GAGTTGAGGTCACAAATAGAGAGAGAGAAAAGTTGATAAACGGTAAAGATGACCAACAAAAGAAAAGTGGGTTATAAGTTATATTTATTTCCCATAGAAAACGAATTTAAAGATGAATATGAGAGAAAATTTAAAAGATGATCATGATGAGAGAGAGAGAGGATAAGACAGAGGTCAGAGAACAGATTAGACAATATTAAAGAGGAAAAAGAGGTTGAGTTAAAAGGACTCGATTTTTTTTCTCTTCTTTTAAACAGAAGGAGAGATAAAGAGTGAGAGAGAGAGAGAGAGAGAGAGAAGAAAAAAAGTTTATCAGGTAAAAATAATAAACAACGAAGGACAGTCCAAGTTATATATTATTTTTCAGGTAAGAAAATGGCCTGAGGACATTATCATCAACATCATCATCTCTCATTCAGTGCAGAGCATCTTGAAGGCCTGTGTGATCAACCAACCGAAACAATCACAACCAGGGGAGATAAAAAAAATAACGATGATGAAAATGGTGAGCAAGATTATCATGAAGTAGAAAGGTGTATGATGATGATGAGGATGATGATTATAACCTCATTTTCATCATTATACAAAAGCAGCAGTCACATTAAAATAACAGGTTAATACTTATTAAAGTAATTTCTCAATCAGATATTATTAATATCATTATTACTTTTACTTGAAACCATTATCATTATCAATAAGTGACCCTATTAGCTTTTTATCATTCAAAGTAATTAGCAAATTAAAACTAATTAAAAAATCGTTTAACCGGAAGTAAGGCCTCCCCTTCATACTCCCTCTCTCTGTCTCTCTCTCTCTCTCTCACCTTCATCTTACCTGAAGATACAAAATGACAGTAAATGTTAACAGGTAAGTTTTTGTCTCTCTCATATCGTATCTCTGATTTACTTACAATAAGTTATCACTTCACAAGGTGTGATAGGTTAAGTTAAACATCATCATTTTCTGATTATTGATTTTTAATGATAAGGAAATTGAAGGACATTAATCAAGGACATTATTAGCATGATTAGGATTAGAATGATCGAAAAGTGAAAACGAAAAACTCATTTACGGGATTGGCCAGTCAGGGTCACTTTTTTCCCACCAAATTATCAAATTCTGCTTTATGATTAATATAAATTAATATTTTTCTCTTTTTTTTTTCTTCACTCCAATCGTAAAAGTGAATTAACTTGAATACAAAATAATTTACAGTCTTCTTAATAACAATAATAATGATGATGATGAAGATGAAGATGATAATAGTAGTAATTGACAGAATTACTCTCTCAAACTTGTAAACTGGTCAAGAAGATAGCAAAGTGAACCATCAGTTTACCCTAAGGGCTAAATTGATACAAATAAATAAACTACTACTGATATTGTATGAAAATATTATGCACAGGTAACATTATTATTAACCTCTCAATGAGAGGAGGAGGTGGAGGGAGGGAGGTGCAAGTGATACGTTTTTTTTTCATCATTTACTAGAGATGAAGTGATGATGATGATGATGATAATGATGATGAAGATGAAGATTCAGGTCTTAAGATTGTTGCTTCTCAAATCAAATGAGTCTAAATAAATAGAGTCAAAATTATCGAAGAAAAAAAAAGTGTATCTACTTCATCTTTTACTTTTCTCTCTCATCATCATCATCATCATCTTCTCCGCATCTTCTAGTGAGTATTAATATATAAGATGGTCACGGGTGAGCTGCGTTCTGGAATTGGTGACCACTCAACCAAATCATCTCTCAGCATATGATTAAAGAGGCAAAGGAGAAGGGAGAGTAAAGTGAAGATGAAGATGAAGATGATGATGATGATGAAGATGACGAGGAAAAGTCCTTGTAATCAAATCATATTACCTGGTGAAAATGAAGATAAAGATGATAAATAAGAACAAAACAGAATCACTGACCTCCATGGGAACCTAATTTCTTAGGAATAAAATTCAACTCAATGAATGAATTGATGATGATGATGAAGAAAAGAAAAGAAAAGTCAAGTAAGATAAATTATCTAATGTTACGATACTTAATTAACATGACTAATTAACTAACAAATAATTAAGGTAAATTCAAATGTAATAATTACTTATCAATGACATTTCATTTACTAGAAAAGTTTTCCCTACTATCAAATTAATATTGACCATTGATGTTGTATTGATTAAATTGTTTATATTTTCGTCAACTATTATGGATAACAATTAATTGTTACTTAATTCATGTTAAAGATGCGGTTAATTAACAGTAAACGCCCTAGAGAGTTAACATCGCTTCGTTACAACGATTAGAACTTTTTTTATTTTCAAAACAAACGCTTCGTTATCAAAGGTCACACCTTAAAAAACTAACATTGAAATAGATGAAGATTGTAATCATTATCAATATTGTAATGGTTATGATTAAACATTAGTTTAACCTTCAAAGTTTCACACTATTAACTAAATTGTAACAATTAAGTGTTAAAATGTTAACACATTTAAGTGCTGATAATTATGGACATGAGAATTGATAACATTATATTTTCAGGGTAAAGGTAAATCATATGATTGGGATTGAAGAAAGTTAGTTAATTGTTTGATGATGATGAGAAAACAAAATTAGATGTACAATTGTATTGATTTCAGTTAATTGTTGTTGTTTTTGTTTCATTTACGTTATGATTGTTGTTATGATTAAATGGCAACGGAAATGAATGGAAAATAAAACAAAGTTTTTATCAATTTAAATTTAAATTGTGTTACTCATTTGATTGTGACTAAATCAATCATTTTTCCGGTTTAATTAACACAACAATTTAATCAGAAATATTGATAAACACTCATTTACTTGTGTATTATTATGTGTGTGTAACCACAAATGATATTAAATATTATTACATGGAGGACATTCAATGTAATTTATCAATTTTTATATCGAACAAAAAAAAAGTTTTAAAACTTTTTTTTCTCATAAAAGTTGAGATATTTATATCATAAAATATATCAGGTGAGAGAGTGGGAGGGTTACAGGTATGAAAAATACACACAATGGTGTGTAAACACTTGATTGACCTTTCGTACAACTATAAACTAACCATAATCATAAATCATTACCTAAAGGTAAGGAAAAAGTTACTAAGAAGTAACAAGAAAAAAATTGACCCACTAAGTGAGGATAAAATGACCCTTAGAGTGATGGTCAACTCCCCTTGTCTCTCACTAAAATAAGGTGAAGAGAGAGAGAGAGAGAGAGAGAGAGAGAGAGAGAAACACCTTACGCAGGTAAGATTTGGAGAAAACTCGTAAACATTGTAGGGTAACAATAAGGTGAGAAGATGAAGATAAAGATGAAGATAAGGATGAAGACAAGTCGATGAAAAATATTATTACAAAGAAGATTTTTCTATGGATAATATTAATTCACCTGAAAGGTAAGTTAATATTCTTATGGATTTTCTCATGGATTAAATTTACGATTTTGAAACTTTCGAAAGAGAGAAAAAGTTTCGGAGATAATAGTTTTAGTTTCGAACTCATTTCTAATCATTGTTTTAATTGTTACTTTCATTCCTTAATTGTTGACTATTAACATGACAGTTTGTCAATAATTATATTTGATTAACATTCTTTCCAGCCATTTTATTGTTTCTTTTTTAATCTCTATTAGTTAATTGTGAATTTGATTTACTATTTTAGTTACAATTTAATATGATTTATGGTTACGATTAACTTTTTTTTTTACTTGTGACTTTTATTGTGATCAAGTGATTATCTAATTGTGTTATTTAGTGTATGAAACAATGTTAATCAAGTTAATTGTAACTAATTGTCTTCATTTTGAATTGCATTTAAGTGTTATATTGTTGTTGACACTGAATTTAATCAACAAATTTGCTTCAAATTATCAACTATTTAACTTTGCTCATTTTAGATTCAGTTAATTGTGTGACTTTGTTAAATTTCATTCATAGTTAGTAAGTTAATTCAATTTAATTGAATTATTTACGAGACATAATATCATAATCATCATCATCAACTAGATTTAATTTAATCAAAATCAATTGACAGTAAATTAAATAAGTACAAATTGTATATCAAATATACAATAAGATATTAAATTGTTTAAGAAATATATTAGTTGATTGTTATTAATGATTAAAAGTATATTAGTTAATCAATTGCTATTTCATGAAAAATGATTAATTGATTGTCAATGAATTCATTTAAGAAAATATAATTGTAATCAAATAAATCATGATTAACTTGATTAAAAGAGAGTAGCTTAAAGTTAATTGTGTACAATTTAAAGTTTATTAATAAAATTAAGTTCATCTAAATTGTCTGATCAAGTTCAGGATCAGTGTAACAATTAAGTGTAACAATTAACTATTATTTTTGTTTTGTCTTTACAAAGATTTAATCAGATTTTGGTTAACATTAATTAGTTATGAATTTTTGGTAACAATTAACGTTAATCTAGTTTGAATATAAATAAGATTCTGATTAATTGATAATTGTATTGATGATTAACACTGTAAACATTGTTTCTAGGAAACTGTAATTATGATATTATCATCATAAGAGTAATTAATTAATTGTGATTACAATTGACTGTTCAACTTGATTGTTAGGTTGATGATTGGTTTGAATTGATGAATGGATTGAGAAAAATAAATCAAGTCAATCACTGGGTGAGAGTAAATTGTTGATCAATGGCAAATGATACTCACAATTAGATTTGATTAGATAATTAATTAGATTGAGTGTATCATCATCATAATAAAGTTAAAGTAATAATATAATTAAGAGATTATAATTAGTGTTAATCAACAAATTGTCATAATAAGAGACAGAGACAATATAATAAGGTCACTGTTGGAAATTAAGAGTTAATTGAGTTCATTGTTTGTTTGTATTCACAACAATTATAACCCCAATTTATATTTATATTATGTAATTTACGATGAAATGATTTAAATTGTCAGAGAAATTAGTTAATTGTCACTTACCATTTGAATTGTCTTCGGATAGATCAGACATCGATGGGACTTTCTGTATTGATCCAATGTAACGAGGTACAACAAATGTTACTTCAATTGAGTTAATTGTTGGCACTTTTTTCATCTTAATTAGTTCACCATTTGATTCAATGTAAGGTAATTGTTGGTCAAAGTTAATCAACGAGGCTAATTTAGTTTCACCGGTAAGTCCATTTTCACTCATTTTCAATTTGATTTGTTGATGATCCTAAATTGGGTTAAATTAATTGTTGTGGTTACAATTATATAAATTGTTGATTCTATTGAATAACCAAAAGGATAAGATTGTAATTAACTAATTAACTGTTATATTAGTTGATTGTAAGAACGGATTATAAATATTAAAGGAGTTTAAATTGAGCTAATTTTGTCTCAATTACAATCATCAATATTTAATGTAAACAGTTAAAGGTAATCACTAATTGTGAATGTTTTAGTTATGGTGTTAATTAGATTAACTAATTTGGTTTCATTTCCCTTCCGTTTAGATGATTTGATTTCCGTTGCAAATGGTTAAACTGATTGTTACAAATTTATCAATTTATCCTACAATCTACATTGTAATATATTAGATTAGTAAATTAATTTGTTAATCACTTAAGTACAGAAATCAACTAATGTGTAAAAAATTGATTTGATTATCTTAAATATCGTTAACCTTTCAAAACACTAATCACAATTGAAATGAAACTGTTTGATTGTCAATTTGTTAATTTGATAATATTATCATTTTGAAAGTAGACGTTGAGGTGAATCACTTTATTATCATCAACTTACCTTTAATTGTGATTAACAAAGATGATAGTTAACACTTATCATTGCAACACTTTTAATCATCAGGCAATGGTAATAACATAAGATGAGAGAGAGAGAGAGAGAGAGATGAGGATGAAAAGAAAGAGTTGAAAATGTGTAACAAAATCAACAAAAAGTAAATTAAACGGCAAATATGATGATGATGATGATTAACAATCGATTTGTGATTGATGAATGATGGAAACCTATTAATATCTAATGAGGTTTGATTAGTACTTTTACTCTAACACAGAGCAATCATAGTGGAAAATGTTAGAGAAAAGAAAAGAAAAATAATTTGAATTTGTTTTCTTATTTTTCACTTTCTCTTTTACTCAATCATTTTCTCCTCACTGAAATTCATTCATAAAAATCGACTGGAAAACAGGTAAATACTGAGTATGAGTAAAAGAAGATGATGAATGAATGAGTAAAAATTGATAGTAAATAAGAAAGAGAGAAAAAGAGAAAGAGGGAGAAAGAAGCACGAGGACAAGAGAAGGGGAAAAAGTAATATTATCTCTCCCTCTTCTCACCATTTCATCATAATAAGAGTAACAGAAAATGAGGAGAATCATAATTGCGAAATAATAATTAGCTCACCTTTCTCATTTACTAATTATGACAATTTATCCAATTCTATTTCTCAATTGAATATTGGAAATGTACGAATAATGGTCAACGAAAATCCAATCGATACGATTAACAATTAAATCGGTGTGAACAAACAAAGAGATTCAAACCCATTGAGAGTTGAATCGCTTCTCTCTTTCTCTTTAATTAACAATTAACAAATTGACTTGATCGTTGGATTGTTATGATGATGGAAGAAAAATCAATGAGAGAGTAAAAACAAACAACCAGAAAAAATTAATGGATGAAATAACAAAAATAAACACAAGAGAGAAAAGAACAAGAGAAAAAAAAGAAAATGGAAAAACGAACAATTTTTACACTTGATTGGAAAGAAGATGAAGAAGATGATGAGGATGAAATTGTTGGTAATTTTGTTCTTTTTAGAGAAATAATAATTATCGAAGAAATAAATTAATAGAAATTTATTGTAATCTAATTAATCTTATTCCTTTTCTTTGATAGTTGATTTGTTTCTCTTCATTCATAGAATTGGAATCAATCAAAGTTCCAGCTCCATCTACGAGTTTCATTCATCATCATTTTCTTTCTCCCACAATTGTAACGTAATATCTTCCATTCTTTATCGTTCTTTTATCTTCCATTTATCATCATTTCCATTGGACACTGTTGATAATCTCTTTTTTGTCTCTTCTTTCATTTTTTATCTTCTTTTCTCTCTCAATCTGTGTCGCTTTTTCATCTTCTTCTTATGAAACTTTTGACTCTTTTTTCGGTTGTTTTTTTGCTTCTTTTTTTCATTCACCTTTTTTTTTCACAACCGAATTTGCTTATACTAAACCTGTTTCTATGATTCTCTCCAATGTCCTACTTATTTTTTATGTTGGTTCGTTTTTTTTTGTTTTTCTCTCTCTTGATGATATTTAGTTTCTTTCCAGTGATTGCTCCTTCTTTTTCCTCTTTTTTCACATTTAATTATTTGGATGGTATCTTGATGGTATTCCTGTGATTTCTGTTATTAAACTGTTACTTTCTTGTCTTTTTTATCATCAGTTAATTTACATCAATCCATTTTTAATGAGATTTACAATTTTCTCATGATTGGAAATTGACTGTTAACTAATCATTTAGAGTTAAAGTTAGAGTAACTCCAAGGTAAGTGAAGGTGGACAAGCTTAAGTTGAAGAAGAGAGAGAGAGTGAGAGATTTCGTTAATGTTGAGCTTCTCCTTTTCTCTTTTTGCACCATTGATTTGGTTATTAAGGTGATTAGATTAAATTGCTTGACTCTTTTTTCTTTTATTCCCATGGGTTGACCATTTCTTTTGGACTTGAAGAGTCTCTCTTTAATTACTCTCACTGGTGAAAGAAAAAGAGTTCCGATCAATCCTTCATCTTTGCTTTGGGTTTTACAAGAATTTTTCCTCAAGTTTCTTCATCCTTGCGATTTATTCTCAAGCTCCATCGATGAATATTACCTGGATAATTAATCGAGAGAAAAAGAAAATAAAAAAAAATCAAACACATAATTAACATGAGAAGATCAAGTAAAACAACTTAAGGATAAAGGAGAATATCATCTTTCTATTGGCACAATTTCTGGTTACCGGTGATCATTTCTAATTAACAATCAACAGGATAATTCGATTGCAATAATAAAAAAAAATAATAATATCCACTGAAATCTTACCATTGATTAAATTTGAATCATTTTAAATGAATCATTTTGATTGTTCCAAAACGAGACTTAATCAACTTGAGCTGACCAATGTACCAACATAAAAAATTTACAAGCACAAACCAACCGAATTAACTAATACAAGAAAGTACAGAGAAACAATAAACAAATTCTAAAAAATGATTAAAATAATAGAATCAAACCAAATTAGATTTAATTGTGGAAAATTAAACCAAAACAATCAACTGTTGATTCAAATTAAACCAAGAAAAAAAATGGAGAATTTAAACTCGGAACAACTGTCGCCACCTCGCGACCATTTAACTTACCATTTAGAATAGAATTTCTCTTCTACTATTATTCCCAACAGATGGCGTTCGTTTGGTTGTGTGATTTTCTCTTTTCTTCGCCATCTGTTGGTCGGATAAGAAAATAGATTAATGTCAAGACCAAACCCATTGATGTTTCTGTTTATGTTATTGTCTTGGTTTAATTGATTTTCTAGTGATTTAATTGTTGTGTCCATTGGTAGAAATAATTTAGACTTGTATAGTCTTAATTAAGAAAGAACAATGGTTCGTCATTTAAATGTATCTCAGCAAAAATTAGCTGAGAAATTGACTATTCTCAATGACCGGGGAATAGGAATGTTAACTAGACTTTATAATATTAAAAAGGTAAGAATTTGTTGTTAATTGTGTTAATTGTTATTCCATTTGATTTAATCCTTTTCTTTTTCTTTTTCTCTTATTTTTATTTATTTAGCAATCAAGTGATCCTAAACTTCGACCTCCTATTCTTTCTGACAAAGGTTTGGAATCAGCTATGAAACAGATTGTCAGAAGATTTCCACACACAGATACAAGGAGTAATAATGTAAACAATTTTGTTCTATTCTTTTATTTGATTTTCTTTTTCTACTTTTTTATTGCATTTGATTGATTTGTTTTCTTCTTTTATTTCTTCCAAAAATCAATCATAGAGCTTAATTGGTGCGGTTGCTACTGCTCGAACTGAGATAACTAAGGCTACAACTCATTTCTATTACACCTTTGTGGATATTTTGGAGTTTAAAGACCATGTTAATGAACTTTTAACCACCATGGATGCTTGTCAATTGACACTCGATATTGTAATTATTTTCTATTCTCATTTAATCAGTGGTTAATTATTCTTTTGCTTTAACTGTTCACTATGTGTGATTCCATTTTTCCAGTTAAAAATTAAGAGTAACTCCCCTTTAAAATTTAATATCTATCCTGTCATCTGAGTATATTACCATATTCATTTTATATCTTATCTATTTTTACTCTATCTCTAATTATTACCATTATTTGTTTTGTTTTTGTTTTTGTTTTCAATTACAGTCCATCAATTTTGATCTAACTCGAGGCTATCTGGATCTCATGGTAACTTATGTATCACTCATGATTCTTGTCTCACGAATTGAGGATAGAAAGGCGGTTATTGGTTTATTTAATACTGCCCACGAACTTACCCATGGACACAGTGAGAACAGTTTTCCCCGATTAGGTCAAATGATTGTCGAATATGAGAATCCACTTAAAAAATTGTCAGAGGATTTTGTTCCACACTCAAAGTTACTTTTTAACGCTCTCATATCTCTCCAAGAAAGTTTCCATCTTCGTAATCTTCCAGCTGAGGAATGGCGTAAAAGTCAAATTCTAAGCATCGTTGCCAATCCAAGAGACATTCTGACTCCTGCACAAACAGATCCAATAAACACCGAATACCTTTCAATTGATTCCATGGAAAGATATATAATTTGTAAGTAATTCCATCAATTTATCTAACCGAACAGTTTTAATTAATCTTTTTGTCTTTTTTATGTTTTGTCTTTAGTTGGATTCCTATTAATTCATCAACATCTTAATCAGACTTCAGCTCATGAATTATTTTCAAAAGCTCTTCAATGTGGTTGGGTAACAACTCTTCACCGAGATGAAGTTATTCATACCCATGCATTTGTCCAACATTTTTTTGAAGGAATCAAAGGTTACAACAAAAGAGTCTCTGATGTTAAAGATGCTTATAACAATGTCCTTCAAAATGCGTAAGTTTTTTAACTTTATCATAAATTTTTATTCTTTCTCATTGTATTGATTACCTTTTTTCCTTACTATTTGTAATAGTGGACATATTCATCGAGAGAAGCGAAAATTTTTACGCTCAGCGTTGAAAGAATTGGGATTAATCTTGGGAGATCAACCTGGACTTTTAGGACCAAAAGCACTTCTTGTTTTCATGGCTTTGTCTTTTGCCCGTGATGAGGTTCATTGGCTATTGCGACATTATGACAATATTCCCGTTCGACAAGGTCGACCTAAAGCTCAAGCGGAAGATCTTGTTGATCGTCAATTACCAGAGCTTTTATTTCACATTGAGGAACTCAGATCATTAGTGAGAAAATATAATCAAGTAGTTCAACGTTATTATGTCCAATATTTAACCTGTTACGATGCAATAGCTTTGAATAATATTATGCAAGGTGTTTCTATGATGCCGGAAGAGGATTCAGTAATTTTGGAATCTATTTACAGTCAAATATCAAACCTTTCAGTTAAACAAATCGAGAACAATGAAATATTTGATTTTCGAGGACTTCGATTGGATTGGTTTCGTTTACAAGCCTACAGTAGTGTCAATCGATACCCAATGAACCTTTTTGAGCACAAAAACTTAGCCACTTTGATGAACATTGTTGTTTTCCATACTAAGATGGTTGATTATTTGGAAGATATATTAACGGAAACTTCAGATCTTTCCCTTTTCTGGTTAGTAATTAAATTCCATGATTAACTTTGTCCAATATTAATATTGATTCTTTTCTTTTTACAGTTTTTATAGTAAAATTTTCGATGACCAGTTTCATATGTGTTTGGAGTTTCCAGCGCAAACGAGATACATCATTGCCTTCCCGATGATTTGCTCACATTTCCTTAATTCATACCATGACCTTGCCCCTGAAGAGGTAAATTGGGTCCAAAATTTTGATTTGATCTTCTATTAACTTTTATTTTTCTTTTCTAACCTTTAGCGAACTCGAATTGGAGAAAGAAGCATTTCTATGGTTAATCTATTCCTCGATGAAATGTCAAAAGAGGCCAAAAATATAATCACCACAATTTGCGATCATCAATGTATGCTCAATGATCAACTGTTACCTAAACATGTAGCACCTCAAATAGTCTCAGTGGTGAAATTAAAGAAACGAGACAAGAAGAATAAAATCGAAAGAGAAATCGACAAACCGGGAATTGAAAGTTATCGTCGAACCAGAGAAGAGTTGACTACGTAAGTTACGATCAATTAATCAATCGAGAAAAAAATTAATAATAATAATCATCTTCTTATTTACTATTAGAATGGATAAACTTCATATGGCTTTAACTGAACTTTGTTTTGCAATCAATTATTGTCCATCTATACACGTTTGGGATCACACTTTTGCTCCTCGTGAATATCTTCATGGTCATTTAGAGTCTCGATTTAACAAAGCTCTTGTTGGAATGGTCATGTTCAATCCCGAAACAAATGAAATCGCCAAACCATCTGAACTACTCAGCAGTGTTCGAGCTTACATGAATGTCCTCCAATCCATTGAAAATTATGGTAACTATTTATTTCTTGTTTCCGATTCACTTTTTTTAAAATCTTACATCAATTAAACTCTAATGATTTTTTTTTGTTTATCTCTTACAGTTCAAATTGAGATAACCAATATTTTCAACTCTGTTCTGCTTTTACAAACACAACCACAGGACAGTCATGGTGACAAAACAATTACCGCTCTCTATTCAAATTGGTACCTTGAGGTACTCTTAAGGCGAGTCAGTGCTGGTCAAATATGTTACTCTCCATTACAAAAAGCCTTTGTTACCTTACCGGTTGAAGGTCAAGTACCTTTTTGTGCTGAAGAATATTCCGATGTTAATGGTATTGCTATTTACTTTTCAAAACTAATTACAAATCAATGAATTATCATTAATCAAATCAATTATTGTCTCTACAGAGCTACGAGCATTAGCTGAACTCATTGGACCCTATGGAATGAAATATTGTAACGAAAATCTGATGTGGCATATTGCAAGTCAAGTGACTGAATTAAAGGTAATTAGTTTATTTTTTTTTGTTAATTCAACTGCCCAAATTAATGGATAACTATTAATGAATTTATTTTGTTTCGCAATTAGAAATTGGTTATTATGAATAAAGAAACACTTCTTGGTTTAAGATCTAATTATGATAAACCTGAACAAATGAGAGAGTTATTTAAAAAACTACAAAGTAAGTAACGTTTTAATTGTTATTTACTATTCTAAATAAAATATATTAATGATTTAATCTTAAACTAATGCTTATTGTGCACTTTAATTGCTCAATCTATTTTAATCTTTTGTTAATTATCTTTGTTGCTTTGCTGCTCTAAGGACCCAAGATTGCTCAAAGTAAAATATACTAACCATTTCTTAATAATCGTTAGATTGTTGCCCAATTAGATTAATCCCTTTTTTGCATTTAACTGTAGAATTAGTCATTGCATAAAAATTTACAATTTACTAATTTGAAACAATTTACTGATCTATTTCTCTGTTCTCAGATGTAGATAGTGTCTTACAACGAATGACAATCATTGGTGTTATCCTTTGCTTCCGGGAATTGGCACAAGAAGCTTTGAGCGATGTTTTATTTGATCGAATACCTTTTCTGATGAGTTCAATTCTTGACTTTAAGCATCATGTTCCAAATGGTGAATCAATGGTAAGCACAATTTAATTTAATTGTGTAAAAAGAATTGAACATTTCAATCACAATTAACTCTCTCTCTTTTCACTCACATCTTTCCGTTTTTCCCTCATTCTATCAGATTGAAAGTGCTAAGCTCCAGGTAAATATCAATAAACTAATATTTTAATTGTTGAATTTTTCATAGATTATTTTAATCATCAATATGTATTATTTAATTGCTGTTAATTTATTTATCCCCACAGAGTATCAGTGAAATGTGTTCGGCGGCTGGGTTACCAAACAAGGTTGATCCAGCTTTAGTTACTGCTTTATTGTCTCAAAAAAGTGGTAAGTAATCAATTTGAAATTGTAATTAATTAGCTAATAATAATGGAATAATTTTCATTACAGAATTGGGTGAAGATGAATATCAAATTGCTTGTCTCCTTATGGTTTTTATTGCTGTTTCTTTACCTAAACTTGCTCGCGGTGAACAATCATATTATAAACCATCATTGGAAGCTCATGGTAATAATATTCATTGTTTAGCTCAAGCAATTAACGGAATTGCAGGAGCACTTTTTACAATTTGTAACCACGGAGATACTGTTGACCGATTAAAGGAGTTCTTAGCATTGGCCTCATCGAGTCTCCTTCGTTTGGGTCTTGAACCAGACAAAGAAGCAACTCGAAATCGAGAATCTATTTACATCTTATTAGATTTAATTGTCAAAGAATCACCTTTTCTAACCATGGATTTACTCGAGTCTTGTTTCCCTTATGCGCTACTACGAAATGCTTATCATGCAGTTTACAAGAATCAAGGGATAACCAATCCATCAACCTAAAAATTTATCTCTCTCGCTCTCTGTTAATCTCACACACACACACACACACACACACACACACACACACACACAAAATGCTCACCGGAAAATATCATCATTATCATTCATTTATATTTCTTTGATATTTTTTTCTATTATTTTTTTCCTCTTTTTAATCAATTATCTGAAAATTACCCGATGATTATTATTCCCTAAGAAAATTAATAGACTTTACATTCACCATCTTCCAACTTACATGTTTTTTCAACACCGTTGATTGTTTTCTAAGGTTTTACATTATGATAAATTATTTATAAATTATTACAATAGACACAAACATCAATATATACACATAACAATCGTATTCAGTCAATGTAATTGTATTGTTTGAATAGAAATTAAAAAACACTCCTACAATCAGAAATGTTTGTTTTTTTTTGTAAATGCTTTTTAATTTAGATTTTAGTTAAGCTTTTTTTTCTGTTAATTTTAATTGTTATTCATCAGGAACTTAAGGATTGGTCATAAGTTGAGTTTTATCAAAATTTGTAAGAATATGAAAACAAAGGAAATACAATTTTAGAAAAAAAAAATGTGGGGCAACAAAGGAGAGTGGGGACATTGCGGTGTGGAGGTGAGTGAGTGAGTGAGTGTGAGAGAAAGAGAGATATGATCGAAGGTGAGATTTATCAGATTCGTCAACAAAAAAAAAGAGAGAAAAACAAACAAGAGAAAGAAAAGAATCAGATTCGCACTTTTTTATCATGACTGTCCAAAGAGAGAAAGAGTGAGTTAGAGAGAGAAGTTTAAAATGGAAGGGAATGTAAGAGAAGAGGAAGATAAGGAAGAGAAAGATGAAGAGATGTCAAGCAAAGGATGATGATGATTAGAAAGAAACAAAAAAATAGTAAGATGATGATGATTATGAAGATGATGAGGTCACATAAAGATTGCGATGAGAAACAAAACAAAAGTCAGTTCATCAGTTGGTGTTGTGTGTGTGTGGTGGTTGATGTTTGGTGAGTAAAATTTATGATAATAATAAGATGATTGATCTTGTGTTTTGTTTTCGTTGTGTTAACCTACACATGAAGTAAAAACAAACATCAAGTTGAGTGTGATATTGTTGATTTGTTTGTTAATTGTTACGGTGATTTGTTTTGTTATTTGGGAACACAGGAAAGCTAATCAATTGCAATTTGATAATGATGAAATTTGTGAGACTCATTTGTAGTGATTGTGAATTAATAATAACTGCTTTCCGTTTCAACAAGAAAAGGCTTGTGTTGATAATGATGGAGAAGATGATGAAAATACTTTAATAAAAATCACCATCAATGTCAATTGTCAATTTGAAGGTTTCCAAACGTCAATGATCATCTTGGTGGAGGTGGTTTTTAGTTGCTCAGTGTGTTTAAGGTAAAATGTTATTCAGTTTATCCAAATGATTAGGGTTAATCATTTTTCGCTTTGAGTACCAACAATTTGGTTGATTGTTGAGTCGGTTGACATTGAGAGCTTTTCTTTTATACCATAGGATAGATTTTAGATGATGTGTTGTAGAGATGAAGATGAAAGTTTTCATCTTTTAATGAGATAATTTTTTTTTTCTTCGTCGCAAGTTATGCATCAATTGGAAAGTGTTGGAATCAAGATTCATGCTAAAATTAAGATGAAATTCCTCTTCTTCTCCAGTCTTTTGAACTTGCTTCATCTTCCGCAAAGTTATCATCTTTTTTATCTTCATCATCCAAAATCATTATGAATATTTTTACATGGTGATTCCTTTAATAATTAGCTTGTTTCACGTTGTGTATAAGGTTGTTGTTGAGATTGTTGTTATTTCCATTGTTGATATTATTACTATTATCTTTGTTGTTTGAATTGTTGTTATTTAGGTTATTGTTATTATTATTATTATTATTATTGGTATTGTTGTTGTTGTTGTTGTTGTTTAAATTGTTGGTATTAGGGCCACTAAGTTTTCTACATCGTAGTAAATGTCCTCGAAGGGTTGACCGATGTTTGAAATGAGCACCACATCTTGGACAGGGCATAGTTTGACCTAAATGAAGGGCGAGTATGTGTTCCCTCCAATTACGAGCATTGGCCAGAGATTTGTCACAATAGGTACAACGGACTCGACCATTTTCAAGTTTGGCCTCTGGTGGTGGTGAAATCATTCCTTGATTGGTTAATGTAAGTGGTGGAGGTGATTCGGGAAGATGGGAAGATGAATTGTTACAATTTGAGGTCATCATTTGATGAGGGATGGAGTTATGCCGACCACCATAGGTAGCATGTTGTAAGGGTGGAATCTCATCTTCTTGTTCAGTTGATGGGATTGATAATGGTGATGGGGATGGACGAAGTTGATTTTGTAATATTAAATCTTCAGAGGTTTGTGAGGCATTCTCAGAGTTTGGGATGATTGTGTTCATCATTAATCGATCTTCAACATCTACATCGACCACTTCCTCTTCAACATCATCATCTTCATCTTCATCTTCTTCCTCATCCACCAAATCAGGTTCATTTTGTAACAATTGAATCCGTTGGCCATCTTTACTTTCCGCTGTTATCGATAATCCTAATTGTGATATTTGATTAACTACTTGACTGGCTCGGTTAAAATCAATTTTACAAGAACCATCGTAAATTAGTTCATGGAGACACTGGATTCCCATTTTATCCATGGTGGGTATTAGAAAATTGGTTATCGTGTGTCCATTGTCGTTACAAGCCTCAAACCAGGCGGAAAATTTGGCCGATAGGAAAACCAGGAGAGTAGAGTGAACTTTCTGACCATAACCATCTTGACCACAGATCAACAAATCTTTGGGCAAAGGTCGCAAGAGGCGAGATTTCATGTAGACATAAGAAAGGGGTGATGAAGACGAAGAATAACACAATTCTTGGACATTTTCCTGTGCAAAGAGAACAGAATCAAATTAGAAAATGGCGACAATCAAGTGCAGCATGGTGACCACACCAAAAGAAAATGATTTGGTCAATACTAGAAAATCAACTAACCTAATGTCAACATTGAATTCTCGGTCCATATCAATTTCCATGTTCATTGTTGAGTTTTTTGTTTTGTTATTTCTCTGGTTTTGTAGATTGAAAGAAGAAGAAAAAAAATACAATTAAGAGGGAGATTTGTTAACTTAATTGTCTTTGGTGTCTCTGTGATTTGGTTAATTTGATGATCTAATATCTTATAGTTGTCAAACACTTTGTTCACATATATTAACCATGATGAGGAACATTTTCACTAGAAAAATTATCAACCATTTAGTTGGTGCGGTGGTTTTTTACTAACAAAAGGTGACACAAATACACACACTCTACATGGAGAGGGGTGGGCAAAGAAAAGCGAAAGAGAGAAAGAGAAAGAGAGAGAGAGAGAGATACAGGAACAAATGAGATAATCAAAGGTTATTATGGAAATAATAACAATAGTTGAACACAGATTTAGATTGAAACAGTTCTAATGAGACTGGAAGGTTGATGATGATGAGAATGATTATCGTTGTTTTGATTGATTTTTTGTTCTTTGTCGCTTTCAACAGCCACTTGGTAATAAATAATCACAATTCTGAACCAATGAATAGCATGAAAAGTGATGTTTATGATAATTTTTCTGTTCAAGATCAAAAACGCTGCTGCTGCTGGTGAAACAAGAAAAAAAGAACCCACGATCAACAAAGCACAAACGAGAATTAAAAATATGGCCTCGGGCGTGTGTTTAAATGTGTGAGTTGTGAAGGAGGAAAAAAGACTCAAGTTAAAGAACAAAAGAAGAAAATTGTTTACAGTTGAAGATCACAGTTTCGATGAGACACAAAACCGAAGAAAGAATTGAAGAAAATGAATTACAAGATGAAGCCGGTGGAAAATATGTTTACCTCTATTATGGAAAAGGAGAGAATTTGAGAAAATGTAGCCAAGAGAAGAGAAAATATGATAAAAAGAAGAAATAATCACCTATGGTGGTGTGGAAATATACGATCGATAAAGCGAAATAGTGATTAGTTGACAGAAACGATGATGACCATCATTCAATGAATGAAGATAAACATAAATTGTTATCGATGAAGATTGAAGATGATTTTTTTTTCAATCCTGATGGTTTTCAGTCTTTGGTGAAACAAGAGATGATGATGATGAAGATGATGATGGTAGTGGAGGTGGAGGTAAATGTTACACTGTTGTTGCTGTTTCTTTTTTGTCTGGTGGTGGTTGTGGTGATTATAATGGTGGTTTAGGTGTAGAAATGGTCATAACGAAACTGAGAAAATGAGACAAGAGAAAAGTAAAAGAGGGAGATTGAAGATAGATAGTGAGAGTGTGAGAGAGAGAGAGAGAGAGAGAGAGAGACCTGTTTAATTACAGGGAGAAAGAAGCAAATGGAACACAGCACAGGCACACACAAGAACAACACTCACAAAGTGCTTAAAAAGTGTGTGTGAGAGAAAGATGATAATGATGAGAGAAAAGAAAGATGACGATTTTTTCTTTCTTTTTTCTTTCTTGTTTTCCTCTGGTGATGTTCTTGTCTCCTTCTTGTTGTTGTTTTTTTCTATCCTTTTGTATTAGTCCCAAAGTGAGTGTTTCTGTTTTGTGTGTCTGTTGTGATGCTAAGAGAGAGAGAGAGACAGAGACAGAGAAAAGAGGGGAAAAAGAAAGAAAGAGAATTATATAGTAAGAGTAGGAAAAGAAAGAAAAACAAGTAAAAGTAGAAAGGGAAGAAAGAAAAGAGAGAAAAGAGAGAAAGAGAAAGAAGAGAAAACGAATGCGAGTCAAGCGAATTGACTACACGCACATTCACCAGGCATACTTGTTGTTTCTCATCTTCATCCTCCTCCTCTTTTCTCCTCTTCTCTTCTTCTTCTCTTTAATCATCATGCCTGAATCTCCAACATGTAATGACCTTTGGCTAAGCACTGATCTTCCTTCATCATCATTTTCTCCCTCCAATAAAATAGAAGAACAAAATTAATCCACCCGACATCAGCTATCGATTTTTAGTATATCAATTGATGCGAGGAATCTAATTCTCTCTCTCTCTCTTTCTCTTCATTTTATCATCTTCTTTTCCTTCACTTTTTCATGTACTTACTTTTATTTCAGGTTCGATGATAAAAGATGATGATGATGATGATGAACAGGTTACCAAGGTAATCACGTAGAGATGAGATGTTGATGAATCTTGTTGGAACTCCAAGTGTCACTGTTATGTTATTACCTTTTTCTAATTGTAGATTTTAATACAATTTAATTCACTTGATTCTTCATTTGACTGTTAAACTTGGAAAAAGAATTTAATTATTTAGAAAGAATAACAATTAAGAGAAAAGAATTAATAACCATAAGAAGAATTAATTTTCTTCTCGTTTTACATTCTCTTTGTTATTGTTTTTCTTTTTTCGCTCCCTCGCTTTTTTATTCTTTTCTCTTTTTGTTTATGTTTACATTTTCTTCTCTCAAGTTGTTGTCTCCTTTTCTAATTTTCTATTAACCATAAGTGCCTTTAATTAATTTTCCAATTTTCGAATTCGCTTGTTACCTTTTATTCTTTTTTTTCTGTAGGTAATATTAACTTTCCTGGAAATGGTGAGAATTTAGTTCAACAGAAGATGGTGTTTTTTTCTTCTCTCTCAAAATCCTTGGCTCTCTTTATTTATTTCTCTATCTTGTTGGCTTTTTAGCCTGAGGAAAGGAAAACAAATTGTGCTCTCTAAACAAACCTGAAGATTGTTTGAAGGAGAAGATGAAACAAGACAATTTCAGGTCACTATACCGAGATTTTTTTCGTCAGTACTTTCCTTTTTCTCTTTATCTCTTCTTCTTATTAAATTGTCCTTCTAATTCATCTCATTCAATTTCTATTTTATTATATCTCAGGTAAACAACTAGTAAGTACCACCCATAACCACCGGTTATTATATTTTTCTTGGTCTCCAGCGCGTTGACAACATCACTGAAAGAGAACCATCAACTTTTTGGTAATATCAACAGCTAATTGGAAAACTCAACATGGTTAAACATCATATTAATACATTGGAGAGAGAGAAAAAAACATGATGAATGCATAATCAGGATTATTGCTTCTCACTCTTATAACAGAAAACATCTCATGTTGTTCAATTGGAATCTATTCAATTTAACATCTTCAAAGCTACTTTTCAACTTTAATTTACCAACATAAAAGCAACAACGCCACTTTTACCCTCACCACCGTTACCATCACTATCACCACCACCATCATCATCATCATCGTCATCGTCATCAGGTTTAACATTTCCAACAGAAGAGCTAAAAAAACAAGAAAATTGTGACTACCGTAGTTAATCAACAACAACCAGCAGAGAATAACAAGAGAGCGAGAGAGAAGCGAGAAAGATGAATCTTTCGAATCAAAATGAAAGAGGGGGAAATGTTTCTGATGGAAACCAGAGAGAAGGAGAAAAGACAAGGATTTAGATGGGGAAAAAGGTGAAGAATATTTGAGAGTGAGAGTGAGAGAGGCTTGAGAAGACAAGAGAAAAAGAAGAGCGAAAAATTAATGAGAGAATGACAGCAAAAGAGAAAGAGAGAAAAAAAGAATTGGAGATTATGAAGGAAAAAAGCAGCACGGCAACTGCGATCTTACACGCAGGATGATAAAAAGAAATGATGGGGATGATGATGAGTAGAATGATGATAATGATGAAGATGAAGATGAAGGAAAATCCTGCGACACGCACAATGCGCAAAGTAGAAATGAAAAGTTACCAATGTTGTCCAATCTTTTCGTGGGTGTGCTTTTAATTCACACACACATTCAGACATCAACATCCACCATACACTTTGAGTCTCTTCGTGTCTTTCTTTTATCATCTTTATCATCATTCTCTCTCTCTCTCTCTCTCTCTCTCTCTCTCTTCGATCTCTGTCTTTCTCTTTCTCTTCTCCCTCTTTCTCTTGTGTATTTATGAGTGTGTATGTGACAGTCTATGTGAGTGTGCATCATGTTAAGCTCTAACTTTCATATCGATTTTTTTTCTACTTTCAGTCTCACCCTTTCTCTCCCCTCTCTCTCTCTCTCTCTCTCTCTTTCATTCTAACTCCCTTATGCTCTCTCCTACACATACACACTTTTCATCAATCCTGTATCCACACACTTATGTATCTAACTCGCTCCCTCTTTTCCTACTTTCTCTTCAATACTCGCAACATTTACTCTCTCATATAAAATGGCCTTTCCACTCTCTCTCCCTCTCTCCCTTGGTTTCTTTACCTTTCTATTAACTTTCTCTCTCTCTCTTCTACTTTTCCACCATCATCCTCTGTTGTGTTTTCTCTTCCATTTTTATTCCCCCTCTTCTCCACTCTCCTTTTCTACTCCATCTTCATCGATCGATAGTCTCGTAGCCTTGTTAACAAAAAAGCGTTGGTTGAATGTGAGTGTGTTTTTAGTTGCTTCCTCTCTTTCATTTTCTTTCTTTCTTTCTTTCTCTGTCTCTTCCATATTCCAGAGTATGATTCTCATTCACTCCATTCTCCATGTTACATCTCTCTCTCTCTCTCAGTACTCTTTGTTTCCGTTGTTTATATTGTTGATCCATTTATTTTGCCAGTCACTTCTCTCTCTCTCTCTTCATCCTCTTTGTCATTCTCTTTCCTCCCTCTTTAATATTCGGGGTATGATTCACTTAAATCACATCAACACGTTCACTTGATTCAACTTGCGATCACAAAATCTCAATATAACATAACAAAACATAACAAAACTATAACTTTTTAATATAATTGTTTGGTTTTAATAAAAATCAGAACAATTTCAATTAAACGTTCATGTAATTACGCAGGTTCTTGGGTATCAATTAGGTTTTATGGTTAAATTGTCCATCTTGTAATTAACATCCAATCCTTTTAAAAACATATCGACATTACATTAATTGCAATCAACTTGGTTACAAATCCTTAAGCTTATCATTAATCATTAATTCATTAATTGGTCATATCCATCATCTTTTCTCATTCAATTGTTGCCAACGATAATTGTTCAACTATAATGTTCATTTATAATCAATTTGACTTTAATTGTGATTGTCCTTTTCCTCTTCAGGTTTTAATATTGTTCATTATGATAATTCAAATTTAATCTCGTTCTGGTAAACATAATTTCACTTTTCTTTTTTTCGTCCGATTTAATTGATTGATTGAAATTGCAACAAATTAATCTAATGGTGAATATTATCCGATGGTAAACTCCTTTGGTCAAATCATCGTCTTTGTATTTTTAGTTTGTCCAGTTTGATTATGATGAGAGATGATGTTGTTAAGGAGATTATCATTTGAATATGATAATTTCTGTGCTAATTAACAAATTGTCGTAATGGTTAACTCGAAAATTAAAGTCTCGTTTTTTTTATGGCAAAAAAAGTAAATGTTTCAGTTTCCAAGAGGATCAAGAGTGTTGGTGTTTTTTGCTTTTCCTAAATCAGTTATTATTTATATTTTTAATTAGTTTTAATTATTATCCATATAATTATCAGCATTATAATTGTAATAATTATCACTCGTTCTTTCAACTCTTTCTAGGAGTTTTAACACTTCTCCGTTAATTCAAGTGATTAGGTTCAATAATTTTCGCTGTTTACCAACAATTTAGTTAATTGTGAGACAGTCGACAATCAGAGCTTTTCTTTAATACCATTGGATAGACTTGAGATGAGAATGGAAAATTCATCTTTTAATGAATTAATTAATTTTCTTTCCAATTGCAACAATTGGAAAGTGTTGCAATCAAGATTCATGCTGAAATTAAGATGAAATAATAATCAATAGTTAATTACGTTCATTTGATTTTGAGATTGATAGAAATGAAAATTGAATTGAAAATTAACAAGTAATTAATATCATGTGCTAATATTTGATGGATGAAATAACAGGATTAAATTGGTGTGTGATTAAGGTAACAATTAACGGTTGAATTTGATATCACATTGAATAGGAATGATGATAAAGATGATAAAAAGTCTCCTTTCATTATGAAAAGAGACAAAATTAATTTCTTAATTGTTTCTCTACCAAGAGAGAAAATATTTCCATATAATAATTAAGCTCTAAATTATTTTTTCCCAATTAACGATAGACTCTTTCCAACGATATAAGATTAACTTGATTATCGTTAAATTTGCTCTTCCAATCAATCAGTTTGATTGATTATCTTGATCCATTTCGGTTCCTGGGACGGTCGTCGTTGTATTTAAAATTATTTAAAATTTTCACAATCAATATTTTAACTGTTGTGCGTAAGTTAATTGTTGAGGTTGATTAACTGGTCAATTCAATAACAGCTAAAGGTTTGCAAATTACTTTGCATAACAATTTTTTCAACGGTTAACTGTTGATTATCATCTTCATTTAGGTTAATCAGCTGATCTGATTTAGTTTCACTTTCAACCATGAGATCGTTGAGAATTGAATCATCTGGAAAATGAGCTCGAAGGTAAGAATCAATTATTATCTTATTCAATTCGCTAACGCGATCAAGAGTCTCGTTTTGGACTGATGATATGTCGACAGAACCAAAGTCACTTTCAAAGTCTTGACTGTCCGATGCCCATTGGTCTAAACTTTCACAACTCATTTCTTCATCTGGACGACGTATTGAACTTTTTGAACTTTTAAGATCACCATTGGATCCATCGGCTACGATTTCACCGGCGGATGTAGTTTTATTGCTCAAAGGATTGTTGGAAAGTTTTTGAAGCCGACGATTGAGTAGCTCATCTAAGGGATCGTCGAGTGTATCGTCACGATATGAATAACTTTCGAGTCCAGGTAAACTGTGAACTGAAACACAGCTGAAGTTAAATTGTGATCTGGGATTAGACTGACCTGGTTTGGTCAGTGGTTTGATTTGAGCAAATAGAATACGATTCGTTTTGCTATTTGACCGAATACGATAATCGTTAAAAAGGTTCACATCACATCGAGATCTTGGTGCTGATGTGGCTCGGCGCTCTTTTATTCGAGTTACTCGTTTTTGAGATGAACGTCGGGAATGTTCAGCGGTCTGTGGAACTTTACTTTGGTGATCGGGTGTCCGTCGAGCCTCACGTACGAGTTTGTCGGGCTTCTGAGGTATAGCTGGTTTATTTTCGCATCGAGATGAAGATCTTTCTGATGAGTGACTTTTCCGTTCGACGACTTTTTTCACCTTTTCATCACCCACATGATTAACTACTGAATTCGACGTAGAATTTACATCTCGAATTTCTTCAATCGGTACATCAGCTGATTTCTTATTGACCTTTTCTTCATTCGTTTCAGTTTTCACTCTTTCAACTTTGGCAACTTCTTGTTTATGTTTTATATTCACTGGTTCTGGTTCAGGTTCAGGTTCAGGTTCAGGTTCAGGTTCAGGTTCAGGTTCAGGTTCTGGTTCTGATTCTGGTATTGGTTTATTTTCTTGCTCAGTTTTCATTTCAGCTTTTATTGGCTCTGGCATTGAATTAATGGCCTCTTGTTGTAAATTTTCATTGGACTTAATCGGTTCATTAGATGGCGATGGTTGATTGTTACCAAGAATGTCAATCATAACCATTGGACTGTCAACATTTCCTTCAATTGTGTTTCGCCTTTTGCGAGCATAAAAAGTGTCACATAACAGATCTGGTGGCATCGGCGATTGGTAAGACATTTTCCTTGGAGTTCGGATCGGCGACTGAAACGTTGTCGGTGTAATGCTCCGAGGTCGATCTTGCATAGAAGATTCTATTATATTTAACTTTCCAGAGAGAGATAAATTTGATATAATAGCTTCATTGGCAGAAGTATTGGTCGAAATGGATGACGGATCCTGGACAGACTTTTCTTCGGACAAATCTTTCTTTTGACTTCTTTTTGACCTAAAAAATAAATCAAACGAAATTCAATTAATCAAACGTCAACGATATTAAAGCCATTACCTGTCAAATGAATTCCTTTTGGCATGGTGCTGATGGACCATTTCGGCTAATTGTTGCTGAGTCCTTCCAACGTATCTGAATGAAGAGCCTCGAGTGAATATCTTTTTCTTCACTTTTTCGATATTTTTGGCCTCACAGCAACGGAAAAACGTATGTTGCTCGACACACTTTTTCCAAAAGTTTTTGCATTCGTCTCGAGATGTGAATATAAATTCAACGACTGGTTGATTAGATGTCTTCGTCTGAAAAGGAAATGAAAACATTTCAGAGATCTAAATCGAATCAACTTCCTTTCTAAGGTACGAAAAAAACACTCACATCGTCATGTAACTTTACATAAAACCTTTTTCGTTTGAAGCTCAACTTTCGTATCTGCGTCCATGAGAACATACAAACTTTGACCAGTTTCCTGAAAACCGATATACCCGAATGGTCAACTGCTAAACTGATCGCACGACCTTCAACGTTTTTAGCGGCAGTAAACTTGATTCCATAGTATTCACTTTTCGATGCAGTTTCGATCAGGTTGAAATCAGCTTCAGCCGGTGATTTGCCCCTAAATAATAAAATAAATAATCGATTAAAACATAATCGTAATGCTATTGATTAAAACTACGCTGCTTTCTAAATCAATACATACTCTAATTTCTTGTGAATATCCATAACCATTTTCTCAAATGCCGGAGTTTGTTGAGGTATCAAATTAAATTTGGCAACATAATTGATTCCTTCATGCTGGTCAGCGTGATAATCACCGATCTCCGCTTGGATAACATAAGCCGCCATTATACTGGCCATGTTTTCATCGCAATGGAAGCTTCCATCAACCAAATCTTTCCTTATTTGTAAACTGAATAAATACCTGGAACAAATTGTTGCGAAAAGAATCAGTTAATTGTTATTAAACCCAAGATCACAAAATAACAAACAATCAGTATAATCAGTATAATCATCTTACCAGGTCAATTCATCTTCCAAAAGATTAGGATCTAATATATAAAATTTGACCCTCAAGTACATATGAGGATCTGTAAGGTCCAAAGATAACTGTCGATTGAGTGGCTTTTGAGCTTCGAGCCAATACTGTGATTAAATAAAGATAATCAAATATTCAGGTGAATTCTAGGTGAACACTTAATCTAAATGATCACTTACTCCAGTTGAATTGGAATCAAAGTATTTCAAACCAAAGTAATCGACTTCATTTAAGTTGAGAGCTTCACAGACTTGAGCAAATAGCCATTTCCCCAAAGACTTGGACTATCAAAAATTAAGTAAAAAAGGATCAATAGAGATGAAAGAATTAAATTGTAACAATCTATCATGTTAGTAGAGAATCACCAACACATACCTGAACCTTAAAAGTGGCCACAGAATCATCGAGAAAATGAATAGTGACCACGATATTTTTACTATCTTTGGACTTGGAGGATGATGAACACACTGATAGAGAAACGATTTTATCGCCACTTTGAGTTGAACTTTTATCATTCTCTTGGCTAATTGGTCTCATCCCTTTTGGCGATTCTTGAATTTAGGTTAACAGATGATGAGAAAACAACTCAATTGGAACTTGGATTGAATTTATGGAAGAAACTGACCACCAGTATTGCTTAGAATTGCCTGGAATTGTAATGGTTTATGGAAGATTCTGTTGGTAAAATGGTTGAAAAGAAAAGTGAATGTGAATAATTAAATAACCTAAATGGAAGAAAATGAATAAAAAATGATAGAGTAACAATTAAAAAGGAAAAGGAAAATAAACGAAAAAGAAAAAGAAAAAGGTAATCTAAGAGTAGAGAAGAGTAAGAAAGGAAAATATCAACTGGGAGTTTGGGGTTTTCATGATAGAAATCAGTTCTCAGAATTCGGAGTGAGTTTGCTCCAAATTGGATAAGAATAGTTTTCCATGAGTCTATTATTGTTTTAGATTGTTGAGATTAAGGGAGAATGGAAAAGACAATTGAATGGAGGTTGAAGAGAAAAAGAGGTAACATGTAATTTAGTTACATGAAATGATCATCTTTAAATTGCTCGGTGGTAATTGAATTAGTGAAAATGAGCAAAAATGAATAAATTTGCTCCAATATTCGATTCAAGGTGAAAGATCTAATTCACTCGAGAGCTAAAGTGAAGACTTTTCCAACTTGAATTATTCCAAAGTTCTCATCACATTTTATGTACTGCGATGCGAATCTCCCCTGATTCGTTTTATAAATTGCATGAGAACTTTGTAATTTTATCTTTAGTGTTATTCCAGAATTTATGAGTTCATTTATTTGTAACTCTGAAGTTATAATGGAAAAAATCGAGATCAAAGCGAACTATTATTAAATCGATTTTTCAAGAAGTCGCATGTTAGATTAACAAAAGTAAATCAGAGAATCCAAAGAGCTTTTCTGTAAATTATTATGTCAGTTTCGATTTTTACCTGATTAGAATGAGCAATTAGAAAAGGAAAATAAAAATTAATTGCAAAATTCCAAAAACTTGGAATTGTCCACTTTCTGTACGGGTGATTCGTAAGGCCGTAAAATTGATCAATTGTTTCAATGGAAAAATATTTGAATTTTAACATATTCTCAAAACAGTAGTGATTGTAATTGTAAAATTTTAGTGATAATTTTAATATTATACAATTATTAAAATGGGATTAGATTAAAATTAAGAAAAAAAATGAATCACTCTAATAAATCAGATGGGGACTCGTTCTGATCAGAAAGATGAACCTACGATCGGTGGATAGTTTTGAGTATGGATAATTTCAAGTACTTGACTGTGTTACAAGCCTCAAACCAGGCGGAAAATTTGGCCGATAGGAAAACCAGGAGAGTAGAGTGAACTTTCTGACCATAACCATCTTGACCACAGATCAACAAATCTTTGGGCAAAGGTCGCAAGAGGCGAGATTTCATGTAGACATAAGAGAAGGGGTGATGAAGACGAAGAATAACACAATTCTTGGACATTTTCCTGTGCAAAGAGAACAGAATCAAATTAGAAAATGGCGACAATCAAGTGCAGCATGGTGACCACACCAAAAGAAAATGATTTGGTCAATACAAGAAAATTAACTAACTTATTAACTCTGTATTTCATATTCCAGAGTATGATTCTCATTCACTCCATTCTCCATGTTACATCTCTCTCTCTCTCTCTCTCAGTACTCTTTGTTTCCGTTGTTTATATTGTTGATCCATTTATTTTGCCAGTCACTTCTCTCTCTCTCTCTCTTTTTCTCTTCATCCTCTTTGTCATTCTCTTTCCTCCCTCTTTCATATTCGGGGTATGATTCACTTAAATCACATCAACACGTTCACTTGATTCAACTTCCGATCAAAAAATCTCAATATAACATAACAAAACATAACAAAACTATAACTTTTTAATATAATTGTTTGGTTTTAATAAAAATCAGAACAATTTCAATTAAACGTTCATGTAATTACGCAGGTTCTTGGGTATCAATTAGGTTTTTATGGTTAAATTGTCCATCTTGTAATTAACATCCAATCCTTTTAAAAACATATCGACATTACATTAATTGCAATCAACTTTGTTACAAATCCTTAAGCTTATCATTAATTCATTAATTCATTAATTGGTCATATCCATCATCTTTTCTCATTCAATTGTTGCCAACGATAATTGTTCAACTATAATGTTCATTTATAATCAATTTGACTTTAATTGTGATTGTCCTTTTCCTCTTCAGGTTTTAATATTGTTCATTATGATAATTCAAATTTAATCTCGTTCTGGTAAACATAATTTCACTTTTCTTTTTTCGTCCGATTTAATTGATTGATTGAAATTGCAACAAATTAATCTAATGGTGAATATTATCCGATGGTAAACTCCTTTGGTCAAATCATCGTCTTTGTATTTTTAGTTTGTCCAGTTTGATTATGATGAGAGATGATGTTGTTGAGGAGATTATCATTTGAATATGATAATTTATGTGATAATTAACAAATTGTCGTAATGGTTAACTCGAAAATTAAAGTCTCGTTTTTTTTATGGCAAAAAAAGTAAATGTTTCAGTTTCCAAGAGGATCAAGAGTGTTGGTGTTTTTTGCTTTTCCTAAATCAGTTATTATTTATATTTTTAATTAGTTTTAATTATTATCCATATAATTATCAGCATTATAATTGTAATAATTATCACTCGTTCTTTCAACTCTTTCTAGGAGTTTTAACACCTCTCTGGGTAAGACCTTCGAAACGTTTATATGTATAGTTAATGAACACCCAATCTTTGGGACTAGTTTCGGTATCTTGAGGAGCGGAGGCTAAAGGAAAAAAAGGGAAATCAATTAGTTGATCGATTATTGATTGACTTCGATTTACTTACGTATTTTGAGATCAACATCGGGAAAGTCATCGAAATTAGATGTATCGTCAATACTTTTTACTTCTACCGGAATTGCTGCAGGTCTTTCCCTAATTGTAATGATTAATTTCAAGAAAACAAGAATTAGTTTAAGTGTCTTGATAATCTAATCGCTGATTGTTACCTTATATGTTCCCAATCGACTCCTCTAAAGAAAAGGTGTTGTTTCAATAGATCAAGTGAGTTAATCCTTCTCTCGGCTTGGCAACAGAATTTCTTAATCAGATCCTCTGAGTGTTTTGAGATTGGCACTTCTGGAGGAAAGACTAGAGTCTTCTCCCAATTCATTACTTTATGATAAGTTTCTTGTGGTGTTTCGGAACAGAAAGGCGGGTAACCTATTAACATTTCGTACATGATCACACCTAATGACCACCAATCACACGACTCATTGTAACCATCTTGTTGGAAAACTTCAGGGGCGATATAATCAGGAGTACCCACGGTCGAATAGGCCAATTGTCGACGATTCTTCTTCCAACTTTCAGCTCTTCTTTTGGAATCCATTGGATTGGATGAGAAATCACTTGGTTTGGCTTGAGATAAATCACGATAAAATTCAGTTCGATGTGATTTCTTTAATCCCGTACAAAGGCCAAAATCAGATAATTTAATGTGTCCCTAAAAACCAATTAACCAATAAAAAAGAAAACAAAATTAATAAATCAAATGACTTTTCCAAATAATTATAAACATGCAGAAGGAAAGGAAAAAAGGAAAGGCTAAATTGCTGTTAAATTAGGATAGCCTTTTAGAAGAGGTGGAAACACAATTATTATTAATATTAATTTTAGATTAACAGTTAATGAGAGTTGAAAATGAAGCAGAAAAAAGGATTGTATCACAATTAATAAATGGATTGGGCTCATGTTTGATGATGAAGTAAAATAAGAAACTCAATTTACCTTCGCGTCTAATAATAGATTATCTGGTTTAATGTCTCTATGAATAAATCCTAATTTGTGTATTGAATCAATTGCAAGAGCCGTTTCGGTAATGTAAAACTGTGTACACTCCTCGGACAGGGTATCCTTTTTCATTAATAGTGTCATCATATCTCCACCCGGTAGGAACTCCATAATAATGTAAAGGTTAATACAATCTTGGAAACTATAATACATTTTAACGACCCATTGATGATCCGCTTCGACCAGAATATCTCTTTCGGCTCGAACATGGGCAACTTGTTCTTTCTCTAACATATCGGCTTTTCGTAAGATTTTCATTGCATAAACATGACCAGTATCTTTTTTCTGTACTAAACGAACTTCACCGAAAGCACCTCGACCAATCACTTTAAGAGGTTCGAAATCATCAACAGCAAGTCGGGATCGCTTCAGACGGAGAAATTGTGTCTCCTTTTTGGCATATTGCTTTCTAAGATCTTCTTTCTTTAAATAACAATTTGATTGATAGATTTTCATCAGTCCAGGTGATGGGAAAAGTCAGTCAATTGATAATCGTAACCAAAGAATCCAATGTGTTAAAATAAGGGGGAAAAAAGAAATGGATTAGATTTTAAATTGGATTAAGTATCAAATTAATTGATAGAAAAATAATTTTGGACAATCAACTTGATCAATAGTTTTAGAAAATGATAACAAAGGAAAAGAAAATGAAAACTTTGTAAGAATTAAACAGAGAGAGAGAGGCGGAAGAATCAGAATTGTATAGATGAATGGAACAATCTTGCAACTGAATTAAGGGTTCAGGGTGATTGGAATTCTGATGATGAATGAAAAGCAGCAATTTCTTTATGGAAACAAAAAAAGAATCAGTATCGGGGGAGGTCGATTAAAGATGGAAATAAAAGTTCAGATGATTCCTGTTTCCGCTAATTGAGAATTTATCATACAAAAAACAGAATTTAACCAACCTGTTCTTCTGTTAAGGATTCATCTTTCAGCGATTCAAGAAGTCTTTCCTGTCTGTAGAAAAAAAAAAGAGAAGAGAATAAAAAATAAATACAATTAGATTGAGGAAACCAATTAATTCAAAACAAAAGTATAACAAATGATCCTGATGATGGTCAAGCTGAATATTTACTTGGTGATTAATTATTGTTTTCTTTTTGAGGCTAACATTTTATGTTTCTCTATTTTCCTATAACTGTAATAATTATATTGTTTATCAGAGTGATTGTTAACATAGATTCTGTTCTTGATTCGTTCAATTGTCAATTTAATTGCAACAATCAAGGACGCCTACTATTTATAAGCTGAATTGTAACTCTAACTGGCTTGATAAATAAAAATCGGTTAAATGAATTCAAGGAATGAAAATTTTTCAGCATAATCATGATAACCATTGTAAATCGTTTCAATGCACAATTAAAAAAAACAGTTAATCATACCAATAGAAATGATATTATTAACTTGGATTATTTCATTTTCTTCTTACCTATTTTTCCTTTCGATATGCTGAGCAATCAAATTACTGAAATAATTTTCCAAATGAACCTTTGCTTTGGTCGCTTTGTCTAAAGTGTGTCCACTTAACCTAATCTGTTGACTAGGCTCACGTGGAGCTGACATAATTTAACGAAGATAAAGATGATAAGATGAGATGATGATGATCGTCAGACTTTAATTTTCCTCGGGAAATGTTGTGGTTGTTGATTTGGTACAGAGAATTTGTAAATGATGTTGATATTACACAAACGATGTTGGTATTTATTTTCAATGGAATATGGTGTGATGATGATGATGATGATGACGAAGTGAGGAAGATTCTGAAGAGATAAAGAGAAAACAAGCAACAGAAAGAGGTGATAGTGAAAATGAAGAGTCAGAGAGAAAAGAGAGAAAAAAAGAAATGGAGACAGAGAAAAAAATGAGTTAGAAAGAGAGCAAAACAAAATGGAAGGCTCAATATACAATTGGAGATTAAAGATTTGGTTTGTTGGTTTGTTGACAAAAGGTAAGAGAGAAAAAAAAGTGAAGGAGGAAGAAGAAATTAGAAAAATTTGATTGTTGATTGATGTAGATTATCAAATATGATACAATATTTGTAATAAGGATAGTAAACAACAATAATGTAACTGGTGATAGAGAAACTGTGATATAAATGGGAACAAGAGGATCAGAGAAAAGAGATTAAAAATATTGGGTAAATCACAATTATCAAGGTATCCCAAAGATTTATGGTGATTTAGGATAAACAAGGTGGTAAAACCACACAGAATGAGAAGTGGAAATTAATCAAAATAGATGAAAAAAGAAAAATAAACAAAATAAACAAATAGAAAAACCAGAAAATGAAGAAAGGAAGACGACACTCGGTGTGTATGTGTAGATGGTTAATGTTAACCAACAGTGAAGGTAAAAAGAGATGAGGAGAGTAACTGAGTGAGTGAGAGAGAAGAAGAATAGAAAACCAGATGATATTTGATCTTAAGTTCAGGTTCTTCCTATTGTTTAATTATCACTGATTGGGAAATATTTGTAGCGATTACTGTTGTTGACATGGTCAACTATTAGAATGGATCTTGTAGTGGATGAAGCTTATTTAGACTTATTGGATCAATGGATGAGAGATAAAAGTGTCGTAATAAACATGGAGGAGAGTAAAGTGTTGCCAATGATGATAAGTTGAGAGATTAACGAGAGAAAGAGCAAAAATTGAGAAGGAGAGAGAAAGATTGTTGTGATGATGATGAGGAAGAAAAGGAAGAGAAAACTTGAGATGAGGTGATGTTGATGGAAAGGTGAATAATTAATGGGAAATTATAAGAGTGGTGATTGAAAGAGATGAAAATAGTGAGTAAATTAGAGAGAGAGAGAGAAATTATTTTTCAATGTAAAATAACGTTACCTTTACATCACTTGGTGATTAATTGGTAAACAATAGTAATATTTACCAATTATACTTGACACACCTTTCTAATGAAACATTTTCCAAGTTAATCCATTAACGTCTCGTGATCAAAATCCTTTAATCTCCATGTTGACAATTGTTTACAACAGAAACTAAAAGCAAAGATAATCCCATTATCCAAGATACCTTATGATTATCCTTTTCTTTAATCACTTACAATTTGAAGAAACAAATTTACCTCCAATAGAAACAATTTAAATACAATCAATTGACCCAAAAAATTAGAGACAAAAATCAACAATTAACAAGAATCAACAAGAGTGAAAGACTAATACAAACAATTGCAAGGATTAAAAGACTAATCATCTGGTGACCAGATTCTGGTCATAGAATAGAAAACAAATCTGGTTTTTTGTTCTATTCTCTTTGCAGAAAATGTTCTTCATGTTAAATGTTCTTCTTGCCATTTTCTTTTTTACAATTTAATTGGTTAATTATTGTTTCTTTTTCTTTTTCTTTTTCTTTGTGAATCTTAATTACTCTTTGGTCAACAATTAACAAATTGATTCAAGTTCTTTTCTTTCCATTGGATCTTATTAGTTACTCTTTTCAACCAATTGAGACCATTTGGTTTTACTGTTTTCTCCTCACCATATGATTGAATTTTTCTTATTTATCTTTTTGGTTTAATTATCTTTTCTCTTTGGGTTTTGGTTTTCTGGTTTTCTTTTATTTTGTCTTTTTTTTCTGGTTAAATTGATTCTTCTTTAACTTTGTGTGTTCTTAATCTTCTTCTCGATATGAGTTCTTCCGGAAAAAATGTTGACAGTGAAAATGGTGACTTGAAACCTCCGATTAAAGGTAATTCTGGTTGGCCTAAGAATTGCCCACAAATCAAGGAAGAGGTTACACTTAATAAGTATCTTCTTGATGCTAATCGGACAATTAATTTGTAAGTAATTAAATTGATTTTCTACTTATTCTATTCCTTAATTTGTGTTAGTGTATCTTTTTTTATATTGACCATTGGTCGGTGTTTTTGTGTTTACAATTTTCCAATTCTGATGGTTTTGGATTCTATTCTTTTTTTTGCTTCTTCATTTGGATTAATTGTTACTCTGTTTCTTTTTTTTTCTTCTATAATTGGTTTTTAGATATTCTTTGGATAGTTATTCTTTTGGTACTAAAAATGCTCTTTATGAGAAAGATGCTTCCATTATGGCTCGATTTAATCGGATGAAGGAAGAATTTGCTGTCTATGGGATGAGACGGTCAGTTGATGCGGTTCTTTTGGTCCATCAACATAAAATACCTCATGTTTTACTCTTACAATTGGGAACAACCTTCTTTAAATTGCCCGGTGGTGAATTAAATCGAGATGAGACTGAAGTTGGTGGACTGAAAAGATTATTAAATGAAATTTTAGGCCATGAAGAGGAAGAAAAGGAAGATCCATTGGCGGCTAATTGGAAAATTGAAGATGTTATCGGTAATTGGTGGAGGCCTAATTTCGATCCACCTCAATATCCATATATTCCTGCTCATATAACCAAACCCAAGGAACATAAAAGATTAATATTAGTTCAATTGCCCGAAGAGACTAAATTTATTGTTCCTCGTAATTATCGTTTAGTTGCTGCGCCAGTTTTTGAATTATTTGATAATGCTCAGGGCTATGGGCACATAATTGCGAGTCTACCACAAGCTTTAAGCCGTTTTAATTTCAACTACTTGTGATACTCATTTAAACTTAAGCAATTGGAAATTTTTTCTTCGCCATTTTTTTTCTTGTGTTTTAATTGCTCAACTTAAAAAAAAATAAGCCTTCACAATCGGATTAACATTCAACATCAACAACTCCGTGAATATAAAGACTCTCTCTCTCCATGTGATATTTATCTAATTATTAACATCATTATGATCGTAACTTTGGCCAACAACTGATTAGTTTGTTACTAATTCCAGTTGTAATAATTATTAATAGAGAGAAAAAAACATTGTGGAACCAGATCAATTTAATTCAGTTATGAGTGTGTGTCTGTATGTGTGTCTTCTCCACTTTAATTGTTAATTATTACCATTAAATGGTTTAAGTGATCTTTATTTCCAAAAATTAATCAATAACAACAATTTGTGATTATTGAAACATTTAAACTTCTTAAACCTGATTAATGTAATTACTCAACAGCCATTAATCTACTAATATTGAGAATCAATCATCATACATTATATTATGTACAAATCAACAATCAACATTCAATTGTGACAATTTAACCATTGGTATAATTTCTCTCTTTCGCTCTCTCTTTCTCTCCAATTAAGACAATTTAGTTCATAGACTAAATTGAAAAGTCCAAAAATGACAAAATAACCAAAACTTTTTTGTAAAAATTAATCTTGGTACTTTGTTACATTACGATGTAAATTAATCTCTCCGTTAAATCAACCAAGAGATAATCTCATTTAATAAAGAAAAAAAAAGAAACTCGATTAACAAAAATATAATTTTTCCAACAATTAAATTAGAAAATCGATATATCGATGTTATGTAATCGATGGTAAACAACTAAAAAAAATTCGAATTCGCTCCTAATTGTCATTAGTTGACTTTCTCTTTGATTAACATTTAAATTGTTTTTTCTTCATTAATTAATCAATTTTTTCTTCCATTTGTGATAATTAAAGTAGTAAATTAATCGAAAAGTAAGTAAATTTTATTCTTTTCCATTAAAGTTGGTCGCTGATTTGAATTAATCTTTTTTTCTCTCATTTAGAGTTACCCTTTCATTTGATATTCTTGCTTTTTCTTTGTTCTCTCTGATTGTTTAATTCCTTTAGATTAATAGATTATTTATATTCTATTGATATGGAACAATTTTGATTCTACTTTTCCCCTGGTATCTCGTTCTTATTTATAATCTTCTCTTCCTTTTTGTTTCTGGTCTACTTACTATACAATTTCCATAATCTCTATTCAGAGCAAACTCTATTTCTTTTTCCTTTCTATTGACATTTACTCTTTGCTTTCTTTTTTTCCATTTCATCAGGTGATATATTAATTCTTGGTTTAATATAAAATCTTTTGTGTACCCTGTATACTCATTCACTTTCATTTGGGTTAACCCGCGTGTTTCTTACTTATTATCTCATCTCTTGATCTTTCTCCTGGTAATCATGTCTACACCAACTAATCGTGCTTTCAGTCATTTAATTTCAATACGTTGGGATTGTTGCAATGGATTAGGTCCAGAGGCCATTTTATCTCGAGCTAAAGATTTACTTAAAACCAAATTCACTGTTAACCCTTCTTATGAAGCTCAACTTCCTGGTGACGGTGGTTCCATTGCCTTGTTCTCATCTATTGAATCTAATTTAACGGTTCTTCTTCGCCGTTACAATGCAAATCAACTAATCACATTTAATATTGAATATCCTGTTACATGGGATCAATCAGCTTTAGGTAAGAATTGATCATTTTCTAATTTTAGTTACATTAAAATAGACTCTCATCTATTGTTTCTTACAGTCATCCCTTTGAGAATTTCCTGTTTATTTTTCTCATCTCTCCTTCTGACCTCAATTTAACTGTAAGATTTATTCAATTTACTGAAATTTTGCTCTTTAACCTCATCTGGTTGATCTCTAATCAGATCATACCTAAGGTTAATAATCCGACAACTCTTTTGCTATTTTCTTAAGCTTCTTCTCTTATCCTTTCTCTCTCTCCAATTTTCATCTCTCTCAAAAACTCTTTGCAATGTAACCATTAAGGATGAAGTTCATATTGAACTTTGCCCTAGATGATTTCAACTAATTGCAATTTTTATTGCAGTCAATCGCCTCTTCTAATTTTCCATTTTAGATTCTTAATTATGCTTAACTAATTTTTCTATTGTATTTTTTTCCCCAACAATCTACAGATAGTCAAAGGGCAATCAGTCGTAAGGTTGACGATCTTAAAAATGAACTTAACGATTTTCTCGGTGGCGGTGTTGAGAAAATACCAGCTCTTAAGTTAGGAACCTCAGTTCCTAATTACTATGCCTCATCTGATGATCGACTACTTGAATATGACTTCGAGCAAGTTTTGTTTGATAAAAAATCGGACTATCAGCAAGTGAAAATACTTAAATCTAAGACGCTTGGAAATGCGCTGTTTCTTGATGATCTGCAAAATTTGGCCGAGAAAGATTTACCCTACACTCATGGATTGATGCACTTTGGACACTTTGATTACAAGGATAAAGACATTTTAATTCTTGGCGGTGGTGATGGTGGCCTTCTTCATGAACTGCTCAAAGAGAATCCTAAACATGTTATTATGATTGATATTGATCAAGTTGTAATTGAATCTTGTCGAGTTCATCTTCGTGGTGCTTGTGGTTCTACAATGGATCAGATGAAAACTGATAAATATGAAATTATTGTCGCTGATTGTATCAAGTATCTGGAAGAATATGCAACTAACGGTAAAAAGTTTGACGTTATTTTCAACGATCTAACGGATATTCCTTTGAGTAGTGACAGTAATGATCAAGTCGCTTCCGATCTTTGGTCATTTATTAAAAAAATACTTTTACTCTCTTTTAAATGTTTACCCGCCGGTGGTAAATATTTCAATCATGTAAGTCTTAGTAAATTTACATCATTATTGGAAATCTAATTCAACTCTCTCTCTCTCTCTCTCTCTATCAGGCGATTGGATCGGGTTGTACCTCCGCTCTCGAGGCCTATGAAAATGTCCTAAAAGATTTACCTTACAAAATTCAATTCTCTGCTCATGCATCTTTTGTGCCCTCATTTTTGGAAGAGTAAGTTGCAATTTCTACTGTTTGATTTTAATTCTAATCAACTTTTCTCTCCTTTTTTTCATCAGATGGGTTTTCTATGATATAACTAAATTGGAATAAATTTTCATATTCATGAATTGAGATCCTAAGAATTTGGAATCGATCCAGAAAAGTCCAATTTTCTTCTATTAAACTCAAACAAAAGAGCAATGGACTATTTTTCGTGCTCTCACACTTTTTGCAATATCAACTATTTCCATCTACGATTTATCCTCGGTAGAATTTTTTAGTTGTATCAATAGTATTCACTTTATACTTGCTATCATTTTTTCGTTCTATCCTTATATCCTTATATTTCCTTCCAAGTATCAATTCCGATCAAAAGACAAAATTTACAAAAGATTTTCATGACGAGGAAGATGAAACCAAACGGATAACAGAATCAAACCCACAACGATCACATTCACTGATAAAAAAAATCGATCTCAAATTCAAATGCATCATATTAATCAATTCTAATTTGTTTACAAAGAAAAACAAATTAAAGGAGAGTAATAATCAATAATTACATTGAGTAAAAATTAAATTTTCCAATTCAATTCATTTCTAATTATTTTTTAACTTTTAATTTGATTATTAGCATAAATCTTGAGTATTGAGAAATGCTGTAACTTGAGAATCAGTTAATTTCCTTTGCTGTTGACACTTTTTTACAAATCGATCCGTCAAAGGTAACAAACTTTTTACTATTTGGTCCTTAGGTTTTCATTCATCAATAATAACAATCTAAACAAATTAAAAGGATCAATTCATAATTAGCCACAAGTCTTAAGCTGAAAAAAAGCTCAAGATATTAATACTATTAATAGTGATTCGAGTCTATTAATTGATTGAAAAATTCTATTGATAAAAACCAAGTTGATTTACCAGAATTATTCTATTCTAGTGGAAATTTAATTGGCCTGTAGAAAAGGAACTCGTGGTTACAATGCTCAGAAATTCGATGATAGCATTGAATCACACTCAACAATTAACAAGAGAAAAGATTCCATCTGAAGAGCAACTGAAAATTTATCGATTGATTAAAACGAATATAAATTTGAACTTGAAATAAGTGCCAGTGGACAAGCGACTAAAAGATTTAAGAAAGTGCCAATAGCTGAAAGAAATAAAGTGAATGAAAGGTCAATCGGAACAAATATCAATTCCACTTTTTTTCGTATAATTATCATGATTATTTCCGTTCTTTATTCACTGGACAGATCAACTACATGTTTCAGACGTTAGAATTGACCAAACCTCCTTTAGCTTATTAGAAAATCTTGTTTTCACCAATGACCCGAGGCCAAGGAAGTGATTGAGCTTCTTGAAACTGTACCGACCCAAATGAAGAACAATCAAGTAAATTGTCCAAATAGATTGGTTCTTATGATCGATTCACTTTCTTTTTATAAATGATAGATTCTCATCTTTGTTATCAAAACCGAATCTATTGTGATTAAACTTTTAGGACAAAGGACAAAAGTGAATTTCGTCGTTTCGCTTCCCGTCTTTCCATAACATGGAAGAAAGAAAATAAATCGATTAGAACAATTTATCGAACTTAAGTTCTATAGAATTGAGATATAAAGATGTACAATTATGATTTTTATTTAAGAATAGATAAGACTCGAAAATTCAATCTTTCGATAAGTTGGACGATTGAACTTGCAATTCTATTCTTATTGAACAAGTAACGTGATAGATTTTTAGATAAATTTTCAAACAATTAGAATAATATAATTTATTCAAAGGATCGGTTGTTGGAGATAATTTCTTTCAAATACAAAATAAACATCGTTGAAATGATGATGACTTTTATATCATTCCAATCATAATATTATTGAAGTTTTTTAGTTCCATTAGAATAGTTGAGATTATTATTATCAGAATCTGAGATTAATTTACTTTTGGTGTATGATTTGGGTGCCATGTAAGAACGAATAAAAAATTGGCAGAAAAGAATGAAAAATGAGGTGTAAATGGCCAGTCCGAAGATGGAAGCATTTGGATGACCATCACATTCAGATGAAGAAGTCATCTGATGATAGAAAGTGGTTCCATTAATTGCTAAACCGGCGATCATTTGAATTATTTGTAGACTGGTTATCGACATATTAACAAACTTTGGGAATCGTATTCGAGCCGCTCGAGCAGCATAATAACCATACATTAGAGTGTGAATAGCGGCATTTATGGTCATAAACCAACGGGCATAAGCGGGCAGATAGAAACCAATGGCAAACATGGTGTAAAGAAGGGTAATTGCATGATGGAACCAGTGGAGGAAGATCAATGATTGTTTACGAAGAACAATGAAAAAAGTGTCACCAAATTCAACTAATTTGGATAAACTGAATAGCCAAATCCACACCTTGACTCGAGGGTCAAAGTGGAAAGATGAGGAATCACAAAAGGTCGCGAAAAGACCTTTATTGTTAAGGTTGGATAAAAGATCGGGTCCGAGACGAAGGACAGTTGCTAGAGAGAAAATGGTTAATCCAAAATTCCAAAGGATTAACGGTAAACGTAAAGAATATGATGAACGAGATTTCATTGAGCTTTGAAGAGTAAATATTATAAACACATAGGCGAGTGAACAGACAATCCAGAGATTATAACTATCGCCCAACGATTTAATCCGTTCATCGATATTGTCAATTATTTCAAACGAAAAGGTAAAAGGTAAACCAGGTCGTGTTGTCCAATCGATTGATGACATTTTCTCACGAGATTTGATGGTAACCATTGAGTCAACCGTAGCTGTAGACATCTTGGATTAGTTTAACACCTCGAATCCTAAACGTTATCTTAATCCTTTGATTGTTGTTTTGATTATTTTGTAAGAGAACAAAACAAAATCAGGAAAATTTTTCTTCTTGTTGATTGGCGATTCTTCAGGGGATCTTCTAAGTCACAATTCACTGAAAGATGAAAAAACAATTGAAACCAGCAATTTATCGTTCAACAGAATGGTTAACAATCAAGAGTGAACAACTGAATTCACATGAAAGAGAGAGAGAGAGAGAAAGTGTGTTAATTTGTGAGTGTGAGAGAGAGAAAAAGGGAAGGAGAATGATCAACTGAAAGATTACAAGGAATAGGGAAAATGTTAAATTAACAGAGCATAAGGAACAAGAGAAAACACCAAGAGGAAATTTAAACAAATCGAAAGAAAAACAAGAACTGGTTATAATTTAGAAGGTAATTTGCTTCTCAAAACATATTCTCTACACTCATGACAATTCAAGCTTAATTTACGTTTACATGTTAACATGATTAGTTCCCTTCGGCGTAATTGGGTAAAAACGATCAGATTAATGTGAAAGGGGGAAAACTGAATTTCGTAAAAACGACTAGAAGAAAAAATTTCTCTTTCTATCAGAATGAAATTGATTGAGAGAAGAGCTTTTCAATGCTGTAATCTACATCATCACCATCTTCATCTTCATCTGGTGCATGATCATTTACTCATCATCATCATCAGCAGAGAGAGAGAGAGAGAGAGAGAGAGAGAGAGAGAGAGAGATAGAATGACCTTCCTCTTTTCTCTCTCATTGACAATCTTCTTTTTCGGCTGTTTTCCTCTTTTCTTTTTACATGGTATTATCATTTCTCTTTCTTTCTGGCGTGATTTTGACGATCTACTCAATTTGATTATCATTGACATGATCAATTGATGAACTGAATCAGCTACAGAACCAGATTCTGTTCCGACTTGTCCTTAATAATATCGTACGACTTTTGATTCTCCTTGATTGTTACTTTTTTCTCTCATTTCTTCCTCTTCCATCTTATATCCGCTTCTTCATCTTGTTTCAGTTTTCTACGCCTCCATTTTGTTTTTTTCTAACGATTGTTCAATTTACCTGATTCTTAATTCCTTCCTTGATTCCTTTTCTTTGACGGTCACTAAAGATAAAGAGATAAATGTAACCTTAATTATCTTGTTCTTAGAGTCCAATTGTTAAAACTATCACCTGATAGCAATTTACAGTTTTATTGATTCTCAATCAATTTCGTACGATAATCAATGATTCTTGGAACATGTTTGAGTAGCTAATTGTTTTACTTTCAATAAAGTAAAATAATTAAACACAAAAAAAACAGGCGAGTTTGTGTTGAATCGAATAGATTGATTCTCAGGTACGACTTGCGAATTTGCTTATTTGTGTTGATTAATTAGCAAATTAACTGTTAAAACGGTTCAAAAATTGTGCATGTTAACCTTGAGTTAAATTGTCAACAATTGAAAATAGAAAAAAGGAAAATGTTAACTCGGTGTTTGTGTGTTAACAGGAGATTTGGTTCACCATCATCATCACCAGATTAATTTGTCAATCTATCCGACAATTTACTAATCCATTGAATATCACAATTCTGGCATTGGTCTAATCTACCTTGAACATATCACGGTTAGATAATTAGTGTGGCAGAATTTAAGATTGATTGAATTAGCAACAGTAATAATCAAGACCACAAGCAAATGAAACAAATGAGATCAAATCATAATTGGGTAAGACTCAAGTGTATCTCAGTCAGCTCAACATTTTCAATTGGAGCTGATTTTTTTCGGCTTAAGGTTCAAGCTAAACAATATGAAAATGGACTTAATTGTTGAGATAATTGTGTTTGTTTGGATTAGGTTAGGTTAAGTCTTGACTATTAAGGGTCATTATGGTCAAAGAAAGGCCCGGAGGACCTGAGACAATCAAACCGAACCCCAAGCCGAAAAAAAAATTAGCTGAAAATTGAAAATGTTGAGCTGTCGGACATAAATTGAGTCTTACCCATAATTGATTCAATGTGGAAATTGATTTAATTATCTCACCGATTACCCATTCGACTAATCATTATAATGCATTAAACCTCAAGGGTTAATTCAATCAACTTATTGGGAACTTATCGGTTAAATCTAATTTAACTGTTCTCAAGTATTGACATCTATTGGTTTTTATTAAAATTATAATTATAAAAAGTGATCAATTAAATGACTTAAAGATAAAAATTTGTGAATGAAATTATCAATTGAGTTGTATACGCATGACTCATTAAAGATCAATTGTTTATATCCACCGGGTAATATTAATTTCTTTTGAAATTGGGCCGTAATTGCCCTTTAAATGGATCGTTTTAAAATGTTACTCAGTAAATTTCGTTGAAACTAGTGCTAGTGAAGGGTAAATATCAAAGGTAAGTAAAGAGTGAACAAAAGTGAACACAACCACGTGCTCGCAGCATTGATTGCACGCACACGAATGAAAACCCAAAAATTTTCTAACAATAAGCTCTCTTAATTTTTCTAATTAGAAAAAGCATTTAAATACTTTTTCTTTGTAAAAATTGTTCTCTGTTCAGTTGTATGACGACCGTAAGGGTCAGGATAGGGTAAGGGTAAGGATCGACCCTTAATCACTTTTATTTAGTGAAACATTTGATATTCTTAATATGATCATTTCCAAGCTCATCAGCTCATCAGCTCATTCCTCTCGTTTTCATGAGTGAGAATAATTTTGATTCAATTGCTTGATTGTTATGAGAATACAAAAAGATTTTATTAAGGTAAATATAAGTTTCCACAATTAATTTTTAGAGGATTAAATTTATAGCCACAAGTGAATTAAGAGAAAGTGATTTTCTTAGGAACTGATTACAAATGATGACTTGATGTTGTTGCCTCAAAGTTTTTGAGATTTTGTGATTACTTTTGTGATCGTACAATCAATGGATTGTATTAAGTTAAAACCAATGATTAATGAAAAATTATTAAAGTGTTTGTAAAAAAAAAGTTTTTTGATTAAAAGGGAAAATTTTCCAGTCGTTTGCGCCAATTGATCATTTCGATATTGTTCAATAATCGTTTCGATTTGTTTTTCCAACGAACTTTTTTTATTCAGAGTTACCAACGTACGTTGAGAATACTCGAGATAATAGACTGTTCGATTTGGTTCCGGTCGGTGCAGTTCCAGAGGGAGGTAAAAGTCCTTCACATTTTTCTTTCTTGTAGGATTGACAGACGATCTCAGGTAATCGGGAGGCCGCTAATCGAACCAATTTACGGCTGATCTCAACGGCTTCGTCTCCACATTTCGCTTTCAAATTTGAAGTTAAACAATCGTCGAATCGATTGAAGGCACAACACGAGGTAGAAATACGTTTATCCCATTGAGCGTCTGAGATAATCTCAAGAGCTGCTTTCAAGTCTTTTGTACATTTCTTGGAATCTTTTCGAGATTCGGACATACACTTGGCGTGTTTCTTGTAATCCTCTCGTAATTTAGTTCCAGCGGTACAAAATTCATCGGCCACTTTTTTACCACCAGTTCCAAGGAAATCAACTAATTCCTTTTGCGATTCAGTGGCACATTTAGAAGTAAAGTTCTTGTGACACTCTTCAGCTTCTCGAATGAATCCACATTGTCGTTCGATCTCATCATCAGTTCCAGTGTTTTCTAAATTTACAGAATTAAAAGAAGCAAACAATTAAATTTATAGTTAAATATAAAACATTAATTCAAATTAGTATTCATTCAGTATTATAATTAGCATCAGGAAAAATATCAACAGAAATGATTGATAATTGAAGCGTCATTGCGATAACGTAATAAGAATAAAAATTCATAATATAACCAATTCATCGGATTAATTAGTTAATTTGTCATTTCCAATTATTATAAATTCATTTTGAATACATCATCAGCTTTATTTTGTTTGAAAGTGTCGCTAATCAAATCAAAATTCATTCCATGAAAAGGAAAACCATTAACATGAACATTTCACCAAATTGAGTCAACCGTTAATGTCAACCTTTTTGCTAATCATCAAACTAATGACAAAGTTGATTATTATTCTAATCATTGTTAGTTAATAGTTTAAGAAAATTTGATTGTGCTAGCGACCATAATGATGAGCTTAATTGTCTACGACGAATGAGATATTTAAATATAGCCATAAGGGTAAAAATGTCCTAAGAAAGCTAACCATTAATTGTTCAACATTAAACAATTTAATTTAAGGACTTTTTCCTCAAACAACATGATCAATCAAATTGTTATTATTAACAAACTATCAGCCGAAAAAGAAAATAATTAATAGCCAATAATTGAAAGGATAGGATTGGCTAGGAACTGGTTGGCTAATTGTGGAAAAGGGAAAAATGAATGATAATAACACAATCTGATTTCAAGGTTAATTGTCCTCTACAATTATCTCTGTAAATTAAAAGTACAATTATGCTGAAATATTAATTGTGGTTGTAAATTTAAGTTCAAATTTAAGTTTAAAATAATAGACTAGAAATATTATCATCAAATCAACTAAAGGGCTTTTCCATTAACTGAAAAACTGAATTAAACTCGGTGAATGTTGATTAAAATATCAGCTGATTGGTTAATTGTCAGCTGATTGCGAAAAATAATCGAGCTTTACCTTTTCCATTAACTTTTTGCCGTAACTTCCACTGTGCTTTTCAAATAACCAACAAGTAATCTAATCGTAGTGATGATTAATTAATTCAGATTAATCAAATTGGTTTAAAAAATTAGTTAATGGAAAAGCCCTTAGATAGAAATAAAACATTAATCATAATCATCATGGTGCAATTGTCAAACCTTAAATTGTTCGTCAGGTTATTGTCAATTTCATCACAATTAGTTAACTGTCCATTAAAATGAATCGATTGCATCACGAACCTTGAGAGTTTCTGATTGTTATTTTCAAGAAAACAACAACAAAAACATTCACATTAAAAATAAACTTTTACTTTATGGACTGAGTTTCGATTAATACTAATGAACTTATTGTTTATTGACAATAGACTTCAATATACTCTTGGTGTCTCAAAAGTATAAAAGTAAACACATCTATTCAAACGGGAGAAATGCGATGGAAAATTGTCTATTTAATGATTATCATGTTAATTGTTATAACGAAAAGGGTTAATAGTTAATCAGTTAGGTGATTGTAATCAATTGTTCCAAGTGAATGAATTCAAGACTAATTGTGAAGAAACATTTTCTTACCTGAAGGATTATTGGTAAAAACCAATAAAGTTGCAGCACAAAGATCAAGTTCTCGAAGGTGACATTGTTGACTCTGAATTTCACCGATACCTGAAATGAGAAAACAATAATAAGATTATCATTAATATTAATTAATAAGCAAATTGATTAATGAAAAAGGTTAACAGAGAAAAATTAATTGAAATTAAATTGCAAGTGAATAACATTCAAATTTATCGGTTCTAATTGAATTAAAAGCTAAATCAACTATTCTCACATTGAATGTTGACCATAACCTGATTGTTGTCGATAAAGAACTGGATTAAAACAAAACGATTATACAATTTGGAGAAAGGTTAAGGTTATAGAAAAAAAGAAGAGAAAAAATGTTAATTTGTCTTCTCATTAATTGTGAGATTTACAATTAGTCTGCAATTAGATTGATTTTGATTAATAATTAACAAAAGGAGTGAAAGGAAAGTTAAAGACAAATACTCACATAGAATTGCAAAAAACGCTGCGACAAAAAGATATTTCATCATGTGAGAATTGATTGTTTTGAATAATCGGAGGAACAATTTGTTGATTGTGATTGGTTAACTTTTCGAGAAAAAATTGAAAAGTACAAAAACTAAGAGTAACAATTGAATGGAGAAACTTTGATTAAGAGAAGATGAAAAGAGAAAGTGATTTACCTGATGACAGAAAAACAAATTACCAAGAAGAAAGAAGAAAACAAGAAAAGTGTTAACTCCTTCAAAAAGAAGAGAAGATGAAAATCGGAGCCAAAACATTGACGATTTTACACTTGACGTCATTGAGACTTTTATATCTTTCATTTTTTTTCTCTTCTCTTTATTTTCTTCCCTTTTCTCTCTCTTTCTGGACACTTATCATCTTAATCTTCAGTTAGAAGAGAGAGAAAAACACTATAAGTTTGGTAATTGTGTTTCGTTGGTCTCTTTGGTGGAACGGCCAAGGCTAAGATTAAATCTTCTTTCCTTTTCTCTGCCATTCGATCGCCATCTTGCTTTTTCGCATTTTCATCATCTTTGTAGACTCTTCTCTCTCTCTCTCTCACTCACTTTCTGTGATTTAAGTACTTTTACCTGGTTTGACGAGTGCAACGAGTTACTTATTTGAATATCTTCCAGTGTCAACAAAAAGGCGGAATCCAATGGAAGGGATTCCATATATTCATGGAGAAAAATTCAGAGCCAATTGGAGACTTAAGCTAATCAACTGTATCCTTATGTCAATTTTATTCATTTATATGAACAATAATTAATTGTATGAGCAACGAAAATGTTGACTGAGTAACAACTTGAAGACAAACAATGAAACCCATTCGATTGCAAGTCTACAATTAAATATTATAGAGAAGTAAATTGACAATAAATTATCACATTTAAATCAACAAATCAGAAGTAACAATTAACTGTTACCAGTGACATGAAGAGTAACATTGGATTAAGTATAAGTAAAATGTCATCGGATTGAAAAATGGAGCGAACAACTAATTCAATTACATTAACTAGCAATAGAATTAATTGTTGAAATGGAATTGGAATTGGAAAAAAATCGAGAAAATTAAATTTATTGAGATTCTGATTAACAGATGAGGCAAAAAATCAATACGCTAACAATTAACTAAACACAATTGAATGAGATTAAAAAAAAGTAACATTTACAATTGAATCTTTTTTGTTTGTTTGATTGTTACTTCACTTTTCAATCCAAACAATTAACCAATTATGATGATTGAATGAGAAAAAAAGTTAAATCATCATCAATGAAATGGCGATAGTAAAATTAACAGTTGGTGTTAATTGTAAAATACACAATTGATTAGGAAGAAAATTTTTTCTTAATCAGTTGATCAGCATTTCCTGCTGATTGAGTTGTGAATCTTGATTGATTCTTAATTGTTAATCAAGGTTTTAACTTTTTTTTGTTGGACACACATTCACCCTTAACTATTATCTCAATCAAATTGATCAGTTTATCAACAACTCTTGAAGTGCTCAACCAAATTGATAGATTTATTTAATAGCGATCATCAATTTTGACTGAATCTATGTGATTGTGAGGTAATTTAATACTAATCAAATTTTCTAGGATTGTGATTAAATGTGGAACCAATTTCAGCAATTAAATTGAATTTAAATCTTTTCATTTGTTATTCATTTCAAGCTAATCGCTCATTTGAATTGATCTTTGCAAGTGATTAAAGTTTTTCTCTCATGTGTCTCTCTGATTGATAAAAATTATTTTGATTGTGCTGTTTGTTTGAGTTAATTGTTCTGATCAACAGAAAGAAAATGTCACCATCAATTGAGAAAAATAATAACAACAATTCATCAATTGCAAGAGAATCAATAACAGAGCAAGTGACAATCAACGAAAAGCTCAATCTTTGTTTTCCTCTTGAATCGTTGACCCAAGTGCGAAGCGATTTGATCAATTATTCAAAAATTAACGATAAGAAACTGGATCAAGGTCTATTGTCACAATTAATGATCGACGACAATTTACTTTGCCGTTATATGAAACGTCGCCGAGGTCACATTGAGCCTTCGGTACAGTTTATCATCGGGGCTCTTGAATGGCGACACTCGTTGGGTTTGGACAAATGTTCAGAGGAAACATTTCCCGTTGAACTTTTTTCCTCCGGTGGACTTTTCATCTTAGGCCACGATAACACCGGTAACACTGTTCTTCACATTCGAGTGTCTCATTTTTACAAAATTCCCGAACTTATTGGTCTTGTTAAACAGTTCGTCATGTTCCATATGTACAAAGCGGACGAAATGGGTTCCAGGTCATTCCCGTTGACCGGTGGTTGGGTTTTGGTGTTTGATTGTTCAAACGCTTCACTGGCCCAAGGTGATCCCGAAATGTTGGCCTTCATCAATTCATCATTGAAAAACTATTTCCCCGCCGGGCAAAAGTACATTCTCATAATCAACCTCAATTGGGTTCTAAGAGCAATTAAAACTCTCGCATTCACTTGGTATCCATCAGCTGTTAAGAATCGAATCAAATTCATCTCAATCAAACAAGTTACTGATTATATTCCGTTGAATGAGTTACCTGATTATCTCGGTGGGTCAGTTAATTGTTACCGTTCAATTCCCAAAAACTGTACAACATTGGAGACGCTTCGTTCAAACGGTTCAATTACTTTGGCTCAATCAGCTTACGATAAAATCATCAAAATACTTACACTCGTTAATTAATCGCAGCAAATGACAATAACAATTAGTTCATTTTTCACCTTAAATATCTTATACTCATTCAATTAAAGATTCGTGTTGATCATTAAATAAAGTCAATTATATTAATATTTGTAAGGTTCACTTCCAGGAGGAATCATTTGTAAACATTTCTAACTCTGGTCATCCTTGTGAGCTAACGAGTGTCCGGCAGCCTTGTTAGAAAATGATTCTAACATAAGTTTAATTTAATATCTATCAAAGGACAATCAGTCGTGAAGTTGACGGCCTTAAAAATTATCGATTTGCTTGGTAGTGACCTTCTTCATGGGACACTTGAAAATAGTTCTAAACATGATTGATTTCGAGTGGTCATTTGGTCTCAAGGTCCATGGGTTAGGTCAGAAACTATTTAGTTAATTGAAGAACTTATTAAACCAAATTACATCGAACTCAATGAATTGTCAACTGGAATCACCATTGTCATAGTAAATCATCTGATCAACTATCAGCTTTATACTGGTCAGTCGATTCTGCAAAGGGTCATTTGGAACTTGGAATGGCCGATAAACGAACGGAAAGAGCCTCAAATCCTCGACGATCACAGTCACTGATAAGAGTTAATTATTTCTAATTCAAATTCAATGTAATCACTTTGTTCAAATTATAACGAGACTTTTTCTCGCATTAAACTTGAGAGAAAAATTTAATTGATTAAGAAAATAATCTTCGTGTAATTAGAATAGAAAAATAAGGAGGAAAGAATAGTTGGCTCGATTAGGGAAAAGAAGAAAAATTAAATTTAAAACGAAAATGATTAAAATTAAAATTCGATTAACAGAATTTGAAATTACCTCCTAACAAACTTTTCTCTCTTTCCCTTTTTGTATTCAGAGTCTGAATTTGAACAAAATCGCTCCATCTACTGGATTTCGGTCTCAATATTGATTCGATTTAATTTGATTGACTCAAATCTTTCACAGCGAAACGTTGATTGTTTAATTAATCGAGAAAATAAACTCTCCACTTCTCAAATTACTGACCACACACCACTGACCATCACCTTACCATCTCTCTGTTCAACACAATCGAAAACATGAAAAAAATTTAATATAACAATCATGATTTTACTGAATTAAGGTTTAACTCTAATTAATTTTGATATTTAATTGTAATCGTTTGAATGTTTTCTCTTATATTTGTTATAAATGGACTTAAAATGAATTGATCATTACGAATCAGAAACTTTCTAGTTAAGAATCAAACTTTTTTTGGTCATAGATTTTTGAACGAGCATCTCAAAAATATCATCAATCGTTTATTTCTGATCAGCCAGACGGAAGATATTCGAGGCCAAAGTACCAAATTTGATACCTTATAGTGACCTAGCTATTAATCATATCACTATGAAACTCAAGATTTACATAGATCTTGTTTTGGTCTTACGATTTGTATCGTTAACTTTGATTTGTCATTAGTAGTTTTAGGTCTATTCAGGTTCCAAAAAAATTCGAATAAATGTCCGTTCTCCGTTATTACACTAACCAAATTGCTACGAAATATTTTCAGTAATGTACACTCATAAAAGGCAAAAGAAATGATCAGATAGATTTTCGATTTCGTCATATTACGAAAAAAGTTCTGAGCCTCAAAGTTCATGAGTTTCATAGTGATATGATTAATAACTAGGTCACTATAAGGTATCAAATTGTAATTGGAGCCGTTTGAACTGCGGCCTTTAGTCTTTATCATAGATTATCACCCAGGAGTTTATTGAAGCAACCAAAGGTTAGTGAAAGAAGCTTATGATTACCATGCTTATCCTAATTGTTTGATAATTGTGAACAATAGCACATGAATCTCATGTTGATCTCGGCATTAAATCTAAATGGAAACAATTAAAATTCAATCAACAGTCAAATTTGAGCTCATCTTTATCACCATTAGACAATTAACAATTGCTAATATTAACCGAAATGTAAAAAACATAATCACTGTTTCTGATAAGCAAAACTGACCAGTTAGTCCAACGGCTTAACGGTCCTCCAGAATTCACGAATGGACCATCAGCGTAAATCGAGACTTCAAGAGACTTAAAATTTTATTTCGAAAGATCCGAAAAAACTCATGATTTAAATCACAATTAATTTAGAAGATAATCGATATATTCTATCCAATTTTTGAAAAATCGAAAATCAAATATGTTATTTTCTTAATTCCAACTAATTAGAACAATTTGAATCGTTCTAAGCGAAGGCCATTGATGTAATAAAATGGTTATTAACGATCAGTCGAATAGCCAATCAATTGAATCTGTTTAATTTTCGAAAGATTGATGATTAGCATGAATATCAATTTCTCTTCTAAATTCAAGGTGATTAACAATTTACTAATTTTTCAACCGAGCAAACGAAAAAATCAGAGAGTTTAATTAATTTATAAAACTTAATAGAGGAAAAATTTTCCTCGATCGCAATCAAATTTTGTCCAAAATGGTTTAATTTATTTTGGTGATTTTTAATAATCTATCTCGAGCCACAATTACAATTAATTTTTAATTTTCCAATGAATTGTATAAGATGAGTTTCAATCTAAAAGTGGGATTGTGATGCTTTTTAACAATCAATTTTTGAAATTACATTAATTGTATTTTATGTTAATTTATTATTTTTTTTTTTTGGTTAATTGTTATTGTAGTCAAAATAGTTGCTCGACTATGTTGTGATTTTTTATATTTCAGCTCGTTATCGTTATCGTCTTCGTCGTCGTCGTCGTATGAATAATAACTTATATAATTTTGTACTTGATTTTTTAGGAATGTTAGAATAGCGACTTAGATCATTGTAGCAATTAGTTAATTAGTTCAATTAGGTAAGTGATTTTTCGCTTACTTAAGGCTTCTACATATGGTCATTGCACTCTTAATGTAATCAAGATTTTCATTTCAATCTTTTCCGTCTTGTTCATTACTCATATTCATCTTTTTCGTATGATGATTTTTTTTATGGTTCAATTTGTCATCTTAATCATCAAAGTCATCGTGTTCGTCATCGAAGCTGTTGTCACCATCGTTATTCAAATTGACTTTGGAAGATCTAATCATCGATAATAACTTTCCAACAAGATGATGAATAATTAATTCTATGGAAAATAAAACAAAAAACGTAACAATTGTCCAATGATGATTGGACTTCAATATTAATTTGAATTCGTAATGTAACTTGCAGTGGGAATTTGCTTATTAGTCCTAAATTTTTGAAAGAAAATATTCAAAGTGAGAAGGAAAAAAAAATGTTGAGAGTTTAGAGACGACGATGGTGAAGGTGATGATGACGATATTGATGATAATGATCATGATAATTTAGTAATTATTGATAGTTCTTTTTTGTAATATGTCATGTGTTTAGAGTTGATTCTAGGTGAGGTATTAGAATGTTTTTCTTTTGGAGTGTTAGGATAAGCACTTTAACTTTTCTTTCCATGTTCCTCTGTTTGTCAATCTCTCCAGTGAGAGACAATCTTGTTCAATATTAGCATCTAACAGCAAATCCATTGATTTGTTGATGTTGCTGTTACTTTGTCCAATGTTTCTGGTTTTGACTTGTTTTCACTTTAATTTACTTGCTCTTTGCTTTATTGGCATAATGTTGATGTTGTTGGGAGGAGGAGGAGAGATGATGAGGTGGTTTTCATCCTTGATGATAATGATTTTCTTCATTTTTCTCTTTATCAATTTGTAGCTTTTTCTGGTTGATAATCTTTTTTTTTTGGTCTCATAAAACTTCACTATTTTTGATAGTTACTCGTTGTTGACGATTTTTCCGCTGTAACATCCAGGCTTCTAGATGCTCGGTTATTGCTTCCGCTGTCATGTCAACCTTTACATAGGGATTCTTTGGATAAGCTATATCATTATGCCAGGAGCGATAATGTTTCCTCATATGATTAGCATTTTGTCGCTCCAAATATCTACAGCCCATTTGAATGCAACATTTAACGATCTCACTATCCACTATTGGCCGACGGAAACGACGTAAAACGGAACTTCGTTGGTGGGAAAGATCTTTATTATTATTATTACCATTGGAGGCACCTATGGGTTCACGAGTGTTTAGATAAGATTGTATTGAATTACCAGACATATCAACCTCAATCTCTTCTTCTTCATCATCTTCTTCATCTTCTTCAATTTCATAACTATCCGCTGTTATTTGTTCCTCAACATATGACTCATCTTCTGGATGAAGCTCAAAATCACGTCCCATTTTGAATCGCATTAGATGATGGTTATTACTCTCATTTTCATTTTCCATTTTTCTTTTACTATTCGAAGGACACTTATTATCGCTATTAATGCTTCCATTGTTAGTAGTATTAGTACCATTACTTTGATATTGTTTCTGTTGGTGGTGATGTGAATGATTGTGTTGTTGTTGTTGCTGCTGTTGCTGGTGGTGGTGTTGGTGGTGTTGTTGTTGATGTTGATGAGATTGGCGATGAGAGCTTGAAGAGGAGGTGTTTGTTTTGATAACTGATGATGGAGTTGATGATGATGATGATGATGATGATGGAATCGAACTCGAGGTTGAAGTAGATGATAAAGTTACTGGTGTTGGTGCAAGAGACTGCGAGGGGATATTGTTTGAATTGGGAAGAGAATGGTAATGATTAGTTGTCAAAGGAATTGCAGCACTTGGAATGTTAGTGGTAGTGGTTGATGTTGAGGTGGTTAACGGGAAAGAGGAACCTTTAATGACTCCAGTCATTCTATTGCCTTTGGATTGATTGCACGAGGATAAATTAAGGTTTAATGGCCCTTCTTCAATGGGTAGATCACACAAGGAACCCGAATAATTGGCAGGTTCGTGAAATTTTGCAAAATTGTCCGTTGCCTCTTTAACTAGTAAATCATTAACCAAGGAAAGTCCATTACGATCAAGTGGAGGGGGTATGTAAATTATTTCATTAATTTTGTGAATAGTTGATTCCAATCGTTCAGATTCATTCTTGTTTGCAGCAACAATCTGATCAGAGGCAGTTAAAGCTCCAATTACTTCACTGATGGTGGCCAGTTTTTCCTCATAAATCTTGTTATTACGAAATAACATTTTCTGTCGACACCAAAGTTTATGAACAAATAATTCCAAACAATTCATGTATAATCGCCCATATTCATCAAGTTGATTATAAACATAATCACGTCTCTCTTCTGGATCTGGATTCATCGTTGAGCCTTTTTCCTTACTGATTATGATTACCCCTCCTTGATACTAGTAAGGTTGCTTTTGGTGAAGTCAAATGGTTAATACACAGATGCACAGGGAATAAATTAATTATTAACAAGTAAAGATGAAGATTATCAATAAAATGAAAACGGTAAATACGCTCGTTTAAAGTTCACTTGGAAAAATTTTCTTCAATAGTACATGAATTATGTAGAACACCTAAAATTATAAAGGAAGATGAAAAAATGGAAGAAAAAATTAGAAAAAGAAGAAAGAAGAAGAGAGAAGAGAGAAAAAGAAAAGGAGACTTTATGAGTGTGATTATGTAAGTGCATATATTATAAATGGAAAATGAGATAAAGACAAGGAGAATGAAAGAGAGGGAGAGAGAGAGAGAGAGAGAGAGGAAAATGAGAAAAGATGGTGAGTGAAAGTGCACTAGACGATATTGAAAATGAGTAAAAAGAGAAGAATATTGTTGATAGGAAGATAGAGAGAGAGAAAGAGAGAGAGAGAGAGAGAGAGAAAAATAGAAAGAGAGATAACCTTAAATGAAATGTTCTCAAGTAAAAAAGAAAAGAGAAATGGAAAAGAACAAATTTAAGGTATATTACCCAAAGAAAAAGATACAGTTGTTTGTGTGTCAGCTGAGATGGTCAATGGCATTGATTGTACCAATGGGAACACTTAGACAAGTAACAGACTAAATTAGTGACCAAAAAAAGAGAGAAAAGAAAAAAATAATCACTGAGAGAATAAGAGGAAATATGTAAAGAACGATACTGAACAGTAAAGAAATAAGGTGATAGAGACATTAAGAGAAAAGGACACTTGAAGAAAAAAAAGAGAAAGAGAAAATAGACAGACACCAAAAAGTAGAGGATGATGATGATGATGGAAGAGAAGTGGAAGTTGGAATGTAACTGTAAAGGTAGAAATAAGTAAAAGGGAGAGAGACGTGAAGACAGGAAGAGAAAGAGAGAGGAAAAAAGAAAGGTAAGATAGAGGTAACTGTAGATAAGGTAAAAGAGGTTCAGTAAATATAGTGAAGGTAAATTTTGGTGAAGAAAAACCAGAAAGAAATGAGGGTTTTATTGGAGAAGAGTGGACATTGCAAGAGAGAAATTGACCAATTTGAGGAGAAAAAGAAATGCAATTTTTTTGTAAAGAAGCACTTGAAATAAACACAGAGTGAGTGGGAAAGTACAATAATCATGAGATAATAATTAACATGTTTAATAGTAGTTAACAGTTCAAACTTACCAAGGGGAAAGTAAGCAACATCAAATAGGTAATAGTAGCTGGGTAGTAGTTAGAAGGTGGATGAGAAACCTACAAGAGAGAGAGAGAGAGAGAGACAGACTGAGAGAGACTAGGGAGAAAGGGGGAGAGTTGAATGAATATGAGTGAAACAAGAGAGAGAGAGAGAGAGAGAGAGAGAGAGAGAGGAAGAGAAACTTAAACTCATAAAGACTGAGAGAAAAGGAAAGATGAAGATAGAAGATTATCACAACAGAATGTGGAACAATTTTTCTTCTTCTCTTGTCTTCTCTTCTTCTTCTACTGAATTATTACAACACACAGAATCTATCAATGTGCTTAAGTTTCCATTGGTAACCAAAGGAGAGAGAGAGATAAAGTAAAGGGAGAGTGAAAAAGAAAGAGAATCAATTGAGCTTTTCATCATCATCTGGGAAAATATTCAAGTGATAGAAACAGAGAGAGAGAGAGAGAGAGAGAGGAGAGAGAGGGAGTGTAATTTGACGAAGTTGTAAAAGATGAAGAACAAAGTGAATAAAAATAAACAAAGCACTGAGAATAAACTCTGGATATTAAAAGTCAATCGTGTAAATTATATTCCCACAGGAGGGCAATTCCTTTCTCTCTGCAAAAATAATGGAAAAATCTAAGCCCATAATCACCTAAACATCTTCAATATTCATTTTCCGGTATCGCCAAGAAAAAAACTATAAACATCATCAGAATGTCGGAACTTGTGTAGTTAAGACATGGAAATTTTCCTTTGGAAATGCGAAGAAGAGAATAAAAGTGAAGAACACAAATTACAAGAATGACAGGTAATCATATTTGATAGTTAATAAAATTGATTAGTTAAGAGGTTTAGATGAAAGTTCGTCATATGTCTAAGAAGAGAGAGAAAAAGAAAATAAAAAAAACGCTTACCTCTTAAAACGAAAGATGTTGAGCTTAGATATCCTTTTGAATCTTAAACCAGATTAGACAATTTATCATTATTCTCTCTAATTCCAACTCTGGGATACGAACAATTAACAACTGAATTAGAAATTTAAACAACTGTTTTCAATTATTCTCTTGTTGAATAACAACAGAGAAAAACGTTTTCTTCAAAGAGAATAGAACATTTAAATTCTTATATTTATCAACGATCCCTGAGAATTTAAGTTTTCTTTTTTCATTAAAAGTTGATCATCAATTGATTCTCATTTTAATTGGAATCTTTTTTTTTATTTACTCGCCTGTCTATTGGTATTTTGGTTACTATCGACAGAACAATTAACCTTAGTGATTAGTGGAGTTTAAAATGATTCACATTCTGTGAATTAATTAACTTGATCGGTTGTTTATTGATTTTTGAGAAAAGTAAACAAAACGTTAATGTACATTTGGAATTCATCATTTTTTTTCTTGTTATTTTGCTCTCTATCTTTTTAATTGTTCATGTTTATCACTACACAAAATCATCATCATCATCTTGATCACAGGTATTTTTATTTATCGACTCGAACAATATTTCTTTTTATTAATTTTTGTTGTCTCTTTTCTTTTCTCATCTCTTCAATTGGCTTATCTACTTTTACCTGTAACTGGATAACTACAAGGATACACCTTACATACGATCATCATCTTCTTCTTGGTTATCATCTTTATTTCTTTTCTTTTTTCCCTCTCTATCGTCTAGAAATGAGGATTCAGACTCCATGTTTTCAGGAGGTTGCGTGCTCTCAACAGGGAAACCGTTAGATGGCGTTTTCTTAAGCACATGATTAGGGGAATTCAAATTCTTTTTTTCTTTGCCAAATGCTTAATTTCTCGTTTGTTTTATTCTCTTCCAAGTAGATTACTCATATCTAACGTAATTTCCAAGAATTTTATCTACCTGGCGATGGAAAGATAATTGGAAAACAATTAGTATCATTTCAACAGAAGAAGTGATCAAAAGTCAGAAACTTGACTTTCTTTCTCTCTCTCTCTCTTTATCAATTGACTCAAATCCATACCTGATTGACTTAATCGATTTCATGATACATTCAATGGTGAATGGCGTTTTTTTCCAATTGATTAAAGCCAACATTCTTTGTATTATGGTGGAGTTAACGATTTCTTATTCTTAACTTATGCCGAGTTTTCCTGATGAATTGGTTTAAGGAAAAAAATTATCTTTGTTTGGTGATATTGGATTAAATTTCAAGTAAACATGATTGGATATGATCTTGAGCAATTAGATGGAAGATTATCTCGAATCCCTCTAATTCATTCAAAAAGTAACTAATTTGCCTCTACAAGGAAACAAATTGAAAATGAATTGTCTCTCCAATGCAAAGTCAAGTCCAATGAGTCCATCGTTGAGCTAAAGTTACAATTGCCCAAGGCTATTGACAAGAAATTGCAATATTTAATTGATCAACTAAAACTGACTGAAAACTCAACAAGAGAAAATGAGAAAGTTTTACCAACATTATGATTCTTTCAACAGTGATTAGTTCTGAAACGAAGACTAATTAAGATTAAAAGTGACGCAAAAATTAACTTTTTGCTCGCATTTCAAGTTAAATCTAATCACAAATTTTAGATTAATTAATGTTGATTCCGTGATGAGTGTAATTGAAAGGTTACAAATTGTGATTAATATTGATCGCTTGCTATTTTCTAACTAAAACAAACCACAATTAACTTGATCACCAACACGCTGAGTAATCAATTGCACACCAAAAGATTATCAATGATACAAAAAAAAATCGTAATTTGATTGTCTCAAATCAATTGAGATATTTTGTATACAATTGTAATTAACATGAGTGATTATTATTATATTTCAACATCTAACAATTTACTAATCAAAGAATAGCAAGAAAAAAGTTAAACCAATTCAATTAATCAATGTTGTTATTATTACACGTAACTTAAAGCTAATTGTCCTTAATTAGCAAAAAATAACTTTCAGCTCCTGAACAATTATCTTGATGATTACCTAATTGTGAAGATAATCAGAGAGAGAGAGAGGAAAAGATTAACCGAAAAATTAATCATAAATTGTTGGCTAACAAACATGGTGATAATCAAGGCTGTTAATTAGTTAGCACTCGCAGTAATCAATTGTTACTAATCAATTCCCAATGAAAAATACGAATTGAAACAATTGATTAAATAAAAAAGGAACAATCAACTTGAATTCTCACGTGCTATTAATAATCATTTTTATCAAACTATAACAATCTTAACAACTGCACTTACAACAATTAAGCAACTAATCAGTCGCATCACATTAATTGATAATGAGAGAAAAATAGAAAAAGAAGATTAAATGTCAAACAATTAACATATCGAAAAAGTAACTTCATCATTAATCATAAAACATATGAGTTAATTAAGAAAGAAGTTACAATCACAATTAAGACGAAAACGAAACAATTAAATTAATTTTTCCAGGAATTTAGCATTAATTTGAAAACATGACACGAGATGACAGCACAAGCCTCGAATTCAAACTGAATTAAATTAAATTTAGTCGCAATTATAATCATCGAGAAAACAAATTGTTGAATTTGGACATTTTGAAAAGAAAAGTTGTCAAAGTTGATTCGAAGTTAATTTGCTAATTTTTCATCGATTTTTCTGAAAAATGTCCATCAATGTTTCTTTATGATCAATCGTGTACAAAGCGGACGAAATGGGTTCCAGGTCATTCCCGTTGACCGGTGGTTGGGTTTTGGTGTTTGATTGTTCAAACGCTTCACTGGCCCAAGGTGATCCCGAAATGTTGGCCTTCATCAATTCATCATTGAAAAACTATTTCCCCGCCGGGCAAAAGTACATTCTCATAATCAACCTCAATTGGGTTCTAAGAGCAATTAAAACTCTCGCATTCACTTGGTATCCATCAGCTGTTAAGAATCGAATCAAATTCATCTCAATCAAACAAGTTACTGATTATATTCCGTTGAATGAGTTACCTGATTATCTCGGTGGGTCAGTTAATTGTTACCGTTCAATTCCCAAAAACTGTACAACATTGGAGACGCTTCGTTCAAACGGTTCAATTACTTTGGCTCAATCAGCTTACGATAAAATCATCAAAATACTTACACTCGTTAATTAATCGCAGCAAATGACAATAACAATTAGTTCATTTTTCACCTTAAATATCTTATACTCATTCAATCAAAGGTTTAACAACTTAATCACTACATAAATGATAACTTAATCAGTGATACTTGTACCTTGATCATTTACATGTAAATTTAACAATATAACTTTAAACTAATCGTCATTCTAGTGAGTAGAAGAAAGTTAATTGTTGTTAATTTAGCCGCTGTTTACTTTTCACTAATTCTGGTTGACCAAAGAGTTTCTTATTTCATTAGACACTTTTTAGGACAAAGTTGTTAGGTCACAAATATAAAGTTTAAATTTATTTATTTTTCTATAATCTGACCAAAAGTTTTCGAAAAAATAAAGTTCGAATTGGCGATTGTGATCTGCTTCATGAGACACGAAAATAGTTGTAAACATGATTAATTTCGAGTGATGATAAGTTGGTCTCAAGGTCCATGGGTTAGGTCAAAGACTATTGAGTTAAATTACATCGAACTCAATGATGAATGAATTGTCAACTGGAATCACCATTGTCATGGTCAATCATCTGATCAACTATCAGCTTTATACTGGTCAGTCGATTCTGCAAAGGGTCATTTGGAACTTGGAATGGCCGATAAACGAACGGAAAGAGCCTCAAATCCTCGAAGATCACAGTCACTGATAAGAGTTAATTATTTCTAATTCAAATTCAATGTAATCACTTTGTTCAAATTATAACGAGACTTTTTCTCGCATTAAACTTGAGAGAAAAATTTAATTGATTAAGAAAATTATCTTCATGTAATTAGAATAGAAAAATAAGGAGGAAAGAATAATTAGCTCGATTAGGGAAAAGAAGAAAAATTAAATTTAAAACGAAAATGATTAAAATTAACATTCGATTAACAGAATTTGAAATTACCTCCTAACAAACTCTTCTCTCTTTCCCTTGATTGTTGTGTTTGTATTCACATTGATGGTACAAAGATCGGAGAGATGATCAAACCCATTAGAATTAACTAATCACCATCGCAATTTAATGGTAATTTATCGAGTTACAATTAGTGTATCAGTTAAGGAAAATTTTCTAATGAAAATCAAAGGTAAGTTGATTTTATTTCACGGAAATTGTGTTGATTTGTTAAAACAAAATTCAATTTCTTCATCTTCATCATCTTTTCCTTTCTTTTTCTCTTTCTCTTTTTTGTTTCTCTTTTCAATCCTTCTCATCATCATCTGGTTCTTGGTCTATGTTTATATCTTTCAATTTTTTCTCTCTCTCTCTCTCTCTTTAGTCACATTGTTTGATGAATTTCCATCATGTAATTGTTGTCATCTTAATCTAGTGAAGTTGATCAGAGAGAAAAGGACAGAAAAAGAGAGAAAGTAAAAAGATTATCATCCCAATCATCTGGTTATTATTTATCTTCATCGTTTATTTTTTTTCTTTTCTGTTCTCTTTGATTTTCTCTTATTTTCTCAATATTTTAATTTCTTCATTTTCTCTATCACATTTACTCACTGGTTCTCTTTCATTCAGGATATAATGATAATGGAGCCATCGAGTGATTATGATTGGACTGATATCACCCAGGAGTTTATTGAAGCAACCAAAGGTTAGTGAAAGAAGCTTATGATTACCATGCTTATCCCAATTGTTTGATAATTGTGAACAATAGCACATGAATCTCATGTTAATCTCGGCATTAAATCTAAATGGAAACAATTAAAATTCAATCAACAGTCAAATTTGAGCTCATCTTCATCACCATTAGACAATTAACAATTGCTAATATTAATATTTCCATCATGGAAAATGAAGATGATGGATTGATTTTTTAATTCTGTATTCTGGTGATGGTTTTTTCCCTCTCATGTGCTCATTACAATAAGTAATTGGATCTTCATACTATACGAATTTATCTGTTTCACCATTTTGAGGTCGGATATTTTTCCCAAATTGCCAACAGTTTAGAATTTTGTAAAACATTGTCCACATTTAGAATGATTGACTTTCAAGGGTCAATTGTATTTGTTTATTCTGATTATTTTATTTTTCTTTACAGAGTTGAAACTCGGAGAGCTATTACATGATGACATGTTTGGCCTTTTCGAGGCGATGTCAGCCATTGAGATGATGGATCCCAAGATGGACGCAGGGATGGTTTGCAATAGAGATAAAAAAGTTCTCAACTTTGATCAATCAGTGAAAGAGGGAAAATTAAAGATCAAAGATTTAACCTGTGAAGAGAAAATTGGAATCATTGATGATACTTACAGTCGACTTGTTTCTTGGTTAGAAGGTCATTCTTTGGGTCAAACGGTGTTCACCAATCTTTACCTTCACAATCCACTTGCCATTGAAGATAAATGTTTACGATCTTTCAGTTTAACTATTTTAAAATTGGTTGAAATAATTCGTGACTTTGTTTATCGAGGGAACGTAGTAGAAGAGGAAGATTTTCAACCGGCCTTTTATTTTCCAATACCAGTTACTATTACCGATAGTAAAGTTTGTGGAATGATTCGTGATGTCGAAGAAGAAATGTCCAAAAAGGTTAAAAACTATCAGAAAACGATGAATAATTTAAAATCTTGTTCAACCTCTTCTGTCGTTTCTCCATCTTCAACAACTCGCTCTTCAATGAAGATCCCATGAAAACCCTTACCAGCGGTGGTGGTGAGAGTGGCATCGGCGGAGGAGATAATAACAATGGTAAATTCACCAGTTGTGATTTAAAGGAGCAAAAAGATCACCAATTAAACGTTGCTCTTTTTGCTAGACTTAAATTTTCTCGTCTATTTTACCAGTCACTGATTATTTTAAAAAAGGAAACTCTAGCCAAGAATAATTTAAATACTACTAATCATCACTCCCACCACCTTCACAGCAGCAACAACAACAACAACAATCCTCTAATCTACATCATTCTCATCACTCTGTTGCAACCTCTCCTTCCTCTTCTGGTTCATCTTTTATTCATCATCATCATCATCCCCACCAGCATCTTCACCATCAATCAAATTCAATGAAAGTTAATAGTAACAACCATCATTGGGCGGAAGATGCTGATAAATATCTTCAACAATCTAGTGAAACCATCTCCGTTTGGCAACAAACCCTTTCATTGGGAATTAAACCTGAGCCCACCACCACAACAACCACTTCAACACCAAACTCTGATTATCGAGCTGATTATCCAACCATAATGGGCTTTGAACCTCTAATTAACCAAAGGTTTTTACCTCCAACTTTTCCTCGTTACACCAAAATGAAATCACGTAAAGAGGCCATCGAGTATATGGAATATCTTGTCTCCCGTATCCGTCATGTGATCAAAATAACTGACCATTTACCCTTTCACATGGCCCTAGACTTTTTTACCGAATTCAGTAAAACATCATCACCACCGTCTTGTGTCCTTTCACGATCTTTACTTCAAGTTTTATACCTTCCAACTGGTACCGCTCCGTTAAGTGACCTACTCCGTGAGGATGTTAAAAATTTCATCCAACCTCCTTCAATTTATCAGAAACCCTCCTTTTTGACCAACGATCCAGAGGCCAGGGAAGTGGTCGATGTCTTTTTCGACCGATGTACCGGGCCAATGTCATTTTTACTTCGAATCAATGGTCACAATCGTGCCCGTCAACGAGATAAATTGGCTCAAGTTTTGGAGGAACTGGCGACCATTCAAGATGAAGCCGATAAAGTTGACTCTTACCTAAACACCATAACCTCTAAATTGGATATACCCACAAGTCATCTAGGCTATTTTAGCACTTGGGTACTTTATCATATTCTAAGGGTCATGATACAATATTTATTGTCCGGTTTTGAACTTGAATTATATTCGACTCATGAATATCCTTACATTTTTTGGTACCTGTACGAGTTTCTCTATGGTTGGATGGCTTCAACTCTTTACCGAGCTCGATCTTTCATTGCAGAGCAAAACGCCATCTCAGGTAATTCAATTATCTTTCATTTCATTCATTTAAATATTAATAATCTTTTCAATCCATTTTTTAGAACTTAGAAATAAAAATGTCAATAAAAAGGTAAAATCTAAAAAGCGGAAACAGAAGCCTCATCAACGAGAATGGTTAATCAATCAGGCATTACAACAACTCTGTGGTGGCTACTTTAAAACGGTCAGCGCTTTCCGGTTAGAGGGTAAATTGAAAAGTCCATGGTCGGGTAATAATAGGGAACAAAGCAGGTACGAACATAGATTTGGACCATTTAAAGCCATTTCCGCTCCACCGCCAGTTTCGTATTTACAATATCGAGGAGCCATGGAGGTGGAAAACTGTACCATTGATGCTAAGGAAAAGGCCGCTGAGTTTTATGCAACAGCCTGTAAATGTTTCCAACAAGCTAAAGTACTTTTTGAAACTGTACCCGATCCAAATGAAGAGGTAACAATCAAGTAAATTGTTCCAAATTGGTTGATTCTAACGATTGATTTTGTTTTCACTTTCTTTTGTCAATATTAGATTTCATCTTTCATCAAGGTTGCCAAAACCAATTTTATTGTGATTAAACTTTTGTTAAGTGGACAAGGAAATACAAAGGTAAATTTTAATGTTCACCTTTTTTATTTGCTTGCAAACAATTGATAGATATTTAAATCTATCTTTATGTTGAAAGTTATTTGAAAATAGTAATTAGTTAATTGTTTCATTTTCTTTGCAGACTTTACCGGAGTTTGATTTTAGCATAAATAACAAATTCCCAGTTATTCGGATTCTGTGAATTTTATTTCTTAGGAAGTGATTTGAAGGCGTGGAAGTTCATATATAAATAAAATGTTTATCAATCACCAGAATATTATTGTAAAAGCCATGATAAAACAAGAAGCTGAAACCCAGGGGCTTAATCTTTCACCGATTCGTGCAGCCTTCCAAAAAATCCCAAGAACACTAATGAGAGAGAGAGAGAGAAAAAAAAATCAACAGAATTATAAGAAAATAGAGAAAAAAAGTAAATCAATTAAATCAAATGCGATAAACATATTGTAATATTTGATTAATTTTCGGTCATTATAATACAAATCTGAGATTCGTTGGAAAATCTAAAATCAACTTTTTGATCAATTATCAAATTCTCAAGTTAAGTAATTGAGATTGAACCTTACAATAAGAGAAATCAACACGCGAAGAATAATTAATACTGAAAATAATTCCATTGAAACACTAATTTCAAAAGAAAGAAACAGACAATCAGTTGACAATTACAATACTAATCATAAGAAAAAACAAACATGAATTAACATACACGTAACCATATGATGAGAAAAGTAACCGACCGATACAAACTGTAAACTAAATATCGTCGCTTATTACCAATGAAATGACATCAATTTAGAACCTGAGATGTATTGATGTGACAATTTCTGCGTCAAGAGGAAAAGACAATTAAATGATAATAATAATTACCCAGTTTTACGTCGATCCAAAAGTGTTGGCATCATTGCTCTGATAAATGAACAGGTACAAATCCACAACAAGATGACTGACAAAAGACTCTGGAAGTTAAACAATGCAGACTGAAAGAAATAGACAATTAGTTAGACTGAATAAACGGAAGAACAATTAATTACTCACCATAATGAATAATAAATAATAAAAGAATAGAAAAAAAAACTAATTACAAATGAAAGAGAAAAATAAAAATAAAAATAATCAATTGGCTGAGAAGAGAAAAAGTAAATAAAAAAATTTAAAGATCCAAAAGCAGAGAAAAGAAAAGGCGCCAACTATGAAAATCTAAAGAAAGAGGAAAAATAAACAGAGAAAATTGACTTTTCTCTCAATTCGGAATTAGATTTTCTACAAGTTAAATAACATAATTAGGGAACTTTCCATCATATGGGTAGCGTGGCCGAGCGGTCTAAGGCGCTGGTTTAAGGCACCAGTCTCTTCGGGGGCGTGGGTTCGAATCCCACCGCTGCCACCACCTTTTTTGAATTTCTCTCTTCTCATCTTATTTTTTTTCTCTTTTTTTTTCCTTTGATCTTTTTCTCCTTCCAATGATCATGTTTACCTTTCAGTCTATTCTCACAAAATTTACTCTTGGAATAGAATTTCAATCACATGAGAGATTCGTCATTTTAAAAGGGAACCAAATGATAACCGATATTCGGAAATATCGATAATTCGGAATCAATTTTGTTTATTTTTTCTTCGACAGAGAAAAAGACAGAGTTTAAAGAGAAATAAAGGGGAAAAGGGGAGTCGAAAAATAGAATGAAAGAGAAAAAGAGAGAGAAAAAGTATCGATATTCTTTTCTCAATATCGATATTTCGTTTTCTTCTGTTTTGGATTATTTTTCATCTTTTGTTTATGTTTTTCTTTAATTATCCTCTTGTCTTTTAACTTTTATCTCTTGATTGTTTGTAATTTCTTATTCTCTTTAATTTTTGGATTGTGTTTACTTTCTATTTCCATTTAGATTTGGAATAATAGTTACCATTTCATCGTAATTGTTAACAATCATCCATCATGATGATGAACCACCGAGAGACTGAAAAATATACCAAAGGGTTTATCCTAAAGTGTATGAATGTCATCATCGAGTCTCGATTAGGAGAAATGGTTGTGAGAAAATGTAGCCCAACTCGAAATGATTGGTTTAACATTGCTCTTAATGATAATGAAGAAGTGTCAACCTCATGTTTGGAGTGTCTAGATAATCTTCATTGGATTGATACGACGATTAAAGAGGAAGTGAAACTTAATTCTGGATTTACCATTGATTCTCGGTGGAAAGTTACTTGTGAGGTTTCACTTAAAACCAATGAAGGTAAAACTCTTAGCTTGGAATATTGGATGTTCGAAAATAAGCCGATCAACAATGTTCAATCTCCAATCTCTCCAACTGGAGCTTCTTCTCCACTTGGTGCCAGTCCCATTTCTGATCCATCCAGTGGATCACCAATTCCAAGTTCCCGAAATGCCAGTTCATTTGCTAATGTACATTCAAAAATGGGCCTAATGATTAAATCTTTAATGTCACTTGCTCGAGGAACTCCTTCATTTAAATTGAGTAACGTTGGACTTAAAGATCAATCTCATATTATCTGTTACCGTATCTGTCAATGTGATGTTGATTTTAACACTTTTCTTAAATCAATTAATCCCGAGATTGCGGATGATATTCATAAACAATTTTCACCGGAAACTAAACTTGGTTCAATTCGTACAAATAACAATTCCATTGATGTGTCTTTCTGTTATCGAGTTAATCTTGAAACATGTCGCCTATTGGATCCGGTAACAACCAATAAACCTGAAGATGGTCCGATAAACATTAAGGAAGATCATTTTGGCGGAGGTCGAATACAAGAGAAGGCCAATACTACCGAAGTAGACAGAAATAGTCCTTGTTTCGTGGACAAAGCAAGAGAACCTCGATTAGCTTTTGGTTCAATCTCACCAAGTAAGTTAATTATCTAATTCTAATCCTTGTAACCCAATTAGAAATTTAATCACTCCCAATATTTTGATTACCAAAATAACTCTTGATAATTGCTCATCAATTGTTGGACTAATTAAATGATTAATTGGACAATGAGAATAACGTGAGTGGGTTGAGTTATAATTCAAAGTGTTTAACTCTTGTCACTCCTTTTAAATCATTCAAGATCTTTACTAGTCAACAATTTATTTCTCTTCTATTTTCTGTCAATCTAATCAATTTGTTTTTCCTTTCTCATTTACAGTTGTGCTTCCCTTTCCGCTTTTACCACCATTACCAAAAGATTTCCCTGGAATCAGTGATGAATCAGATAACGATGATGACCTATTAGGATCTTGTTTCATGAATAATCGTAAAACCCTCACACCGATAGTTACACCCACTACTACAACCACCAATATTATCGATACATTTTCCGGAAAATCGAACACAATAACACCAACCAAAACAACCCCGACGTCCAACTTTTCTGGTTCAACGTATTCCCCTTCTGAGATTGAGATTAATAGGAATGATTCACCAACATTGGAGAAAAAAGTTCCAAATGCTTCAAAGCCAATTGTTATTCCCTCTGATCGACGTAACAACAATTATCGTCAACCCTGTTTGGATAATTCACCTGAACCAGTTGGCTCAGGTGAATCATATGTTTTCGTTGATAATCGACCTCCTTTTGCTCCAGATCATGATGACATCGAAATCCTATTCACTGGTCCAACACCTTCGTTTGTAACCAATCCCTCCGGTGGAAGTGAATTACTTAACATTCAACAAACTCTTGATGCCATGGAAATTGAAATGTTATCAATTGACGATTTTCTTGAATCATTGGAAATTAAATCTGGTGAAGAAGATGATGATGATGATGATAAAGAGGAAGAGGAAGAGAAAGAAGAAGAAGAGGAGGAGGAGGAGAAACGGAAAGATGATCAGTCAATATATGCGAAACAGCAGGAAAGCTCATCAACAATTAACTCCTCAAATTAATCTATTACATGAGAATTAACTAAATCATTTTCAAAGATACTTTTAATCATCATTTTGACAAAGTTACTTTTTTTTTACTCACATTCTCAGTTCTCGGTGCTCTCCTTTTCCAAGATTAATAGTGATAAAACTTTATCATTGTACAGATTTGCATCTCCATCTCCATCACCATCATCATCATTTTTGTAAACAACAATTAATATTAATTTTTAAAGTAAACTTTGTATCTGAGCTTAATTACATGAATGAATCTTAATTCTGTAATTTTCATGAATCCATCTTCTTCTCATCATCATCATAATCAACAACAACAACAACACTCAAATGAAAGGCGATAAAACCATTAGATGTTTTGATTGTAATCTCACAATTAAACTCACATATATAAATATAGATTGTAATACAATTAGTTAAATATTATAAAAATGTTGTTAATGAAACACACATAAGCAAATAATATTTGACTAATTGAGTGAACAAGTTTAAATTATACTTTATTGTTTTTGTAAATAACAAATGATAATAATTAACCATTACAGTTGTATAATAATTAAGGTGATGATGGTGATGATTTTCTCAATGAACTTTTAAACAATTGGTTAATTAAATTATCTGCATTAGTTGATAATCTTCGTAAAACTTTAGTTGCTTCCCCTTGATTGTTCAATTGTAATTGTGATGGAAAATCAATTTGACTACAAATCTCTGATCCATTTGATGATCTTCGATGATGATTATGATTATCATTTCCATCAGAGTTAATTGTTGATCTTTTACCAACAATTAACATATTCAAATTTTCAGCATAAGCAACATTAACAACCATGTTTTCAACTGTAAATACTTGTAATATAATTTGAACGATATTGTTGATAAATCCTTGGGTATAGACAATCATTGCATCTGATGACATGTCTGTAAATGATGGTGGTTTATTTGGCATAACTGGATTAACTGGATTAACTGGATTACTTTGATTACTTGGTTTACCTTTGCTGTCAAGTTTGATTGTTTCAAATTTAGAGAGCATTTGATTGGTAACAATTGAAGCTACTTGATCAGATTCAATTCCAGAAGCAACCAATAAGCCAATCTGTTCACAAAGAGATTGAAAATCATCATGAGTTAAATTATAATTACCAACAATTTGATCACTTGAAGTTACACAGTTAATTGTAACAATTAGCGTACAGATTAAGAGACAATCAAATTGAAACATTTTCATAATGGGTCACATATACAATTAGTTAAATACAATTTCCTACCATTAGTTTTACTTGATAACAATTAATTTCAATCTCTTTTATAACTAAATGATAATTGATACAACCTTAATTTAACTGAATTAATTGTTAACTGTTTAATTTATGGATTAGTAATTTGTTTTAATTTCAACAAATCAAGTGATAAAAACATTTGCCAACAACAACAACAATCATTATCTGATTTAATTATAATCAATTAACAGTTAATTAATGTAATATTTGTAACCATTCACTTAATTTTGATACAACAATTAACTAATTAAAGTAACAATTTGTTATCTTTAATTTTTCATAATATTTTTCATTGCAAAATTTAAATTAATCAACAACATTTTATTGCCTTTCCATTTATTACTTCAACTCTCTTCCAATTAATTATCACATTTTCTTAAATTGTTCCACTTAAATTAATCTATTGCTTTAGTTCGTAATCAAATCGAGAGAAATTAATTTCCACAATTAGAATTGATTTAATGTCCCCTGGTGACGTGGAAGAGAAAGAAAGAGAAACATATGAGAGAGAATCTGAACCGATTGTATTTCCATCTAATGTTTTGGTGACCGGTTGGAATTAATTTCTTTGATTGTGGCTAATTGTTTATTCTATTGATTAAAATGGTGAGTTAATTGTGTATTAGTTGATTGTTGGTTTAATCCATTCTTTTCAATTTCCGAAGGTTTTACTCGCCAGTGCCATTGTCTCCAAACAGAATGGGAAAATTTTGGTTTCTAGACAATTCGTTGAAATGACAAGATCTAGAATAGAAGGTAATTGATTTTCTTTTTCTTTTTAATTCTAATTAGTTAATTCTTTTTAATTGTTTTTCTATTATATTTTAACTAATTGATTTGTTCTCTTAATCTTTTAGGTTTGTTAACAGCATTCACTAAGTTAATTACCAAAGATAAACAACATACATTTATAGAGACTGATGCGGTAAATTATATTTCATTTCCACTTCTATATTTACCTTTATTTTTTTTTTAATTGTTGATTATTTTTTCTTTTTATAGGTTAGGTATGTGTACCAAGCATTGATGGATAAATTGTATTGTGTTCTAATTACAACCAAAACATCAAATATATTGGAAGATTTGGAAACTCTACGGTTGGTGTTACATTTTCTATGCATTTCAATGGGTCTGATTTATAATTGTGGTTTTTTAATTTAATTTAATTCTTTTACATTCAGGCTGTTTGTTCGTGTAATCAGTGAATATACCTCTAATCAGGGTAAAACTTCAGATGAACAGGCAATTCTTGATAATGCTTTCACTCTTATTTTTGCATTCGATGAAATCGTTGCTCTTGGTAAGTTATTTGATTTAAGGGGATTTTTGGATTCGCAATAGAATTTAGAGATTTTTTTTCTGATTATGTGATTTTATTTCTCTATTTTGTTTCATTAGGTTATCGGGAAAGTGTAAATATGTCTCAAGTTCGTACATTCATTGAAATGGACTCACACGAGGAACGGGTTTATGTCGCTGTCCGTCAAACTCAGGAAAGAGAGGCTAAACAAAAGATGAGAGAAAAGGCCAAGGAATTATCCAAACTTCAGCGAACTCAACAACTTTCCAAATCATCGATGCCTTCAATTTCATCTTCTTCCAATGCTTCTTCTGTCCTCGACAAACCGGAACCAGTTGTCGGTGATCGAGCATCAAGTGCATATTCAAGTACCACTAGTGCTCCCGTTGTCAGATCTAAGGGACCATCACGGGCACTTAAACTTGGCTCGAAAGCCAAACAAGCCGAACTATTTGCTGCTGTAAACGAGGAGCAATTAGCAAATGAGTTGAAAGAAGAGGAACCCAATCAACCAATCCCCAGCAGTAATACAATCGGTGGCTACAAAAATGATGATATCGATATTGATTAGCTAATTAAGGAGAAAGAAAACCATTTTGATCTGTAATTCCCTTCTAATCAAATTGTATTTTCTTTTCAGTGTATAAGTTAATCACAAGAATCATCATCTCCACCCAACGATAACCCTTTGATTTTTTAAAAAGTATTATCATAACTTTAATTATTGATACATTTTTTTTCTACAATCACGTTAAATCAGTTAAGCAGTTTTTATCCATTAACCAAATTGATTTTTCGATAATCCCAATGTCCAATATTGGATTATATTTATTTGTGTCAATTTGATACAAACAACGGAAAAAATTACATCTCATGCAAATGGAAAACATTTTGCTGATAAAAACAAAATTGAGCTAAACAATTAACCAGTTAAGTCATTGATAATGTAAATCAGCGTTTGTTACGAACTCATTTCTCCCCCTGTCTATTAAATCATCTGAAAGATAATTATTACTATTAAGTAATTTTAAACTTCGTTTGATTTGAAATACATATTAGACTAGAATAAGTCGATTGAGTCAATTAGATGGAAAAATCATAAAATTTGCTCAATCGACCGGCACCTTCGTTGAGCAATTGAATCACGCAGTGGATTCCCTGTCGATCATCACTCCCTCCACCAAAGGAACATCATTTTTCACTGGTGGTGACATTTTCGGCCCTTTTTCCTTCATGAGCGCACTTTTCATTATATTGACGAACGGAACCTCGACCAAAGCACAGAAGAAGAACGAAAGAGCATAAATTAGAAAGAGAAGAGGGAAAACCACATTATAAGTGAAATCGATTAGATTTGTCTCTATGTTGGTGTGCCAAGTGGCATTTCGAAGCTGAAAAACAATCGGATTAACGAAGAGAGCGGAAAGATTAATCCTCGAGAGAATTGTGAACACTTTAGATGAAAGGAATCGAGGGATTAGTTCAATGGTGTGACCGTTGTGCGAAGCGTAGATCAACCAAGCGATTATGTAAGACCAAATCGCTTTACTGAACATTCCGTAAGTTAACGAGACTCCGTATGGAATTGGAAATAGTCGATAATTAATCGCCGATTCGTAGACAACAATTATCGCCCATGATGCAAACCAAAGTGTCCACATAAAGTATGAGATTAACTGAAAGGTAAGAAAGAAAGAGAAAATTAAATTGTTATTCTTTTTGTCTCAGTTAATTACCTTTGACACTTTGAGTTGATATCCGCCCATAATCAGGCCAAGTATCACACCGATGAAATAGGAGCTCATATGACCCCAACCTTTAGAGTGAATATAAACCAAATAGGTCATTAGCTTTTGCTGTGGATAAGCCATCGGGATCCAAGAGTGTTGGAGGTCAAAGATGGACATAATTACTCCCAAGATAATTGCTCCGAAAAGCACCAAAAGGGTCGTGTTAATCAGGGCGATTAATTTGCGTTTTCGTTGGATAAAGGGCAAAATTAGGATGACAAAGATAACGGCAAACATATAATCCGCTTCTAAGTACCAATCTGCGGTTAGGCAGAGGTTAATGTCTTCTTTGACGTCGAAATAGTGAGCGACCATAAATAAATGGCCTAACCAGGTTTTCTCGCAAACCGATGCGATAGAACCAGCGGCATAATAGTAATTCCAATAGGGTCCACCCATGTAATCACGGAAATGATGACTAAACACCAGAATACTGAGACAGATCATCCAAGCGATTAACGGAACGAATCTCATCCATCTAAGGAAAAGAAAAGTTTTACCATCGAGTCGAGTTTTATTGTGGATAAAGTGAATTGTGGTCTCAAGTCCGGTGAGAAGGAAAAATGTCTCCATGGTAAAAGGTCCAAGAAGAGTCGACGAAAATAAGGGTTGGGTCATCTGATCACGGGTGTGAAAGAATGTGGTCATATTTTGATAGAGAAGAGTAAAGAAAACGTGAATGTAAAGCATGAAGGCCATTGTTAACGCTTTAAGTCCGTCAAGACAGGGAATGGTTGTCGGTCCTGGTGAACGAGGTCGAGTGGAAAACAGTTTCACCAAGTTGGCAGAGAAATTAAATTGTGACAGAAAACTACCCTCAGGTGCCCACAGTCCCAATAGATTAGCAGCGACAATTGAACCCACAAAAGTGGCCGCTATAGTCTGAGGCCAAGTTATTGGATTATGAGGTTCACGGGTTTGACACATATCAACATCGATAACAAGACCAGTTGAATAGTAATCAGATAAACCATTAGCTAGTAAATTAAGATCTTTCTTTGAACATTCCCGTGGAACACATATTCCAGTGGTCACATTTAAATAACGGAAAAAGTGAATATAAGGTTTAAGGTAATTAAACACTGGAGATGAGAAATTAAATGCTTCGGGTGGATAATCAAAAGGTATTCCCTCGATCGGCTGTGGTGACATTAACGGCATATTAGCGAAGGCCAAACAATAACGATTCGTAGTTGAAGACATGCATTGGGTGAAACCACCGAGACTGACGAGGCTTCCATCTAGTATACTGGACGGAATTCGTCCCCACGAATCGAGTCCTATGAGAAAATTAAATAACAATTAACAATTGAGAATCGAAAATTAATAAAAAAAACAAATTCTAATGTATTAATAGAAAACAAAATGACACTGAAAAAGTTTTTTCCTTTTGTTTACAAGGCGAGAAAAGAAGTTTTAATTCCTCTGTTGTATTACAATTAACTAATTGTTTCTAATTTGATTGTTTCTTGTTCGCAACTTACTTTTAACTGATTCAACCTCTGCAGCTCTTAATCCATCAGCCCAGTGATTAAGCGATTCTAAACAATCAATTGATAGATTGGTAACAAATTTCCGATTGGTGATCACTTTTAATTCATTTTCGTATTTATCAGCTAAATTGTTTAAATTGTTAATTGTAAAGTTTTCCAATTGGTTCCAAGCATGTTGATAATCTAGTGAAATCACTGTTGTCGCAAAGACAATATTTGATAGAAATGAGAAAACAATTAACAAACTTGGTAACATTTGAAGGGAACAATTAAAATATCGAGAAAAGAAAACACAAAATATAAGAATTGCAATTAAATGACAAATCTAATTATAAACACAATCTATTGTCTAAATGAAATCATTCCTTAAATTAGTTAACCGATTAATAGAACCGATTCTCAATTACTAATCAGTTAAAGGAAAATTAATTTAATTTAATAACATGAAATTTTGTGTTTTCGTTTGAAAAGGTTAATGAGGAAAAAGTTTTTCTCAATTAACTTGTTTTAATTTGCAAATTAAATCAAATTTTCTTTCTTCAAACTTTTTTCTTGTTACAATTAAATGAAGAGAAAGTTAATTGTTGATCATATGGTTAACTGATACTTTTAACAAATTAATAGTATTTTCCTTGATTATCATGTAGAAAAAGTCAATTAATTAACCGGCTCAAATTCTCAAATGTAAACAATTTACGATCAAAATGTTAATTGTTGTTTTTCATCGAATTTGGGTTAATTTAATCCGGTTTTGTTTTCGTAATCACTTCCAATTTAATCTGTTGATCTTCAGGCCTGATTTTAATGCTCACTTCTAACCTTGATTATTGTGATAATTAAACGATAACACTTTTCAATCAAAGATTTTCCTTAATTGGATTTACGTTTTTGGTAAGAAATAAGAGATTCCGTCAGCTCAACATCCCGACAGCTGATTTTTCGGCTTCAAGTTAGCGACTTTTATGGAAATAAACTTTATGAAATATTAATAGTTTCGAACTTTCTAATGCTTTTGGTTACGATTCTCAACATAGCTCGACTTTGGGATAAAAGAAATCGAACTGAATTTCGTCATGATTAGTGAAAAATCGATCAGGTGATTATTTCTCTCTTGTTCTTGGTTTTCTCAAATTCTCTCCTTTTCCATAATAGAGATAAATACATTTGTACATTTTCCACCGACTTCATCTTCTTCACGAGATTCATTTCAAAGCTTTGTCTGTCATCCTGAATCGTGAACAATTTGCTTCTTTTGTTGCTCATTAAGTTGATTTTTTTCCTCCTTTTCAACTTACATATGACATAACGAAGCCCGAGGTCATTTTTGTTTCATCAAACGATCGATGTTGATGGAAAGCAAGAGAAGAATCAATCAAAATGAAAATCATCATTTTCACTATTATCAACCTTCTAGTCTCATTATTTCTGTTGATGGTTGGCTTCAACTCAAATAAGACTCAAGACTATTCACGATATCAACTGAGATTTTCAGAGTAGATATGTTCAAGTCGATGGAGTTTATGATTTTCCATCGTCGTATATTGTTGATGGATCAGCCATGATGGATTTATTTTGTATTTAAATCGATAGAAAAGTCGATCTATCACCCGAATTCGGTATTAATAATTTCCTAATTTGCATGTACTTTGCTGCACGGAAGTACTTTCAATTCACCAAATCGTATTTAATGTAACAAGTGACGTGAGATCCAAAGGAAAATGCTCAAATTGGTGAACACCATTGATTTAGGAAAACTTAACTCGAATCAAGAATCCAACCCAGAAAGAAAGCTAAGGATACTTTTTGCTTTTTCGATTTCCTTTTTCTCGTTGAAATTGGAAAATGTGGTATATATGATTATGATTAATTTCTTGCAGGATTGAATATATTTGTTTATTTTTATAAGTATAATAAGTTAATTGTTATAATATTTTTCTTGTTGAAATTGGAAAATGTGATGATTCAAATTTTGCGCTTTCTTTTTATGAGTTTAGTTGAATATCTCAACACCAGAAGCGAAAACCTTTCAGCTTAATTTTTGGATTTGAGAAAATGATAAATTTGTATTGATTTTTAATTGTTTTGTGTAAATGAATTAGATTTAATTGAATTGACTTTGATTGGATTATATTTAAAATGTTGACTCCAGCTCAGACTAATTTGCTGAGGGCCCAAATTATGGCCTTTCGTTGTATTAGTCGTAACTTACCTATACCTCCTCATGTACAAGCTGCTCTGGTAAGGAAACCGCAACAACAGCAACCGCCATCACCATCCCCACCTCAACAACAAACACCACCACCTTCATCCCCGGTGTCACAGCATCCACCTCAACAACCGACACCTCCACAATTACAACATCATCAGCACCAACAATCACAACAACAACAACAACAACAGCCGCCGCCACAGCAACAGCAGCAGCATCCTCATCAACAACCTCCACAGCAACAGCAACAGCAGCTTCCGCCGATGCAACAACCTCAACAACATCAGTTGCAACCACAGTCACAAGGGCCACAACAACAACAACAACAACCACCACCACCACAACTCCAACAACAACAATCTCAACCACCACCAATACCTGTCACACAACCATTACCACCTATCCCAGCACCTAATCAGCAACCTCCACCCTCATCATCACCGGTATCTCAACATCAAGGTCCACTTCCACCACCGCCACAACTTCAGCATCATCATCAACAGCAGCAACAACAACAACCAATCCCTCCGATGCAACAACAACACCAATTGCCTCCACCACAATTACAACAACCACCACCTCCACAGTCACAAGCACCGCCAATACAGTTGCAGCAACAACCACCTCCTCCGCCGGTATCAGTTTCTCAGCCATTACAACCAATGCCACCTATTCCCCAGCCAAATCAACAACCACCACCACCTTCATCGCCTGTATCACAGCATCAAACACAACTTGCCCCACCACCACCATCACAATCACAACTTCAACATCATCAATATCAACATCCACATCCACATCAACATCAACAACCACCTATGCATCAACCCATGCATCAACCATCTCAACAACCGCCACATCAACCACATCAATTGCAACCACCTCCACAATTACAACCATCACCCCTTCAACAACAACAACAACAACAACAACAACAACCACATCAACATCCTCATTCTCTTCCTCACCCACATCAACCACCACATCAACTTCAACAACAACACCATCAGCAGCAGCAGCAGCAACAGTCTCAACAACCCCAATCAGCGCCTCAAATCCAACCTCAACATCAACTACAACCTCAACCTCAACAACCTCCACAACAACAGCAGGCGCAACAACAACAACAACAACAATCATCTCCAGTACCAATCCCAGTACCAATTGCACAACCATTACAATCATTGCCACCTCTTCCAGCACCAAATCAACAACCTCAACATCCCGGTTATCAAACAATGATACAACAATTACAACAACCTCGTCCAAATAGAGTGACTCCCGTTTCAAAGCCACTTGGTCTTGATCCAGTTGAGATAATGAAAGAAAACGAAAACAAAATTGCACAAAGAATAGCTCATAGGATTGAAGAATTGCAAAATATTTCTTCCAATCTACCAGAAGATCTTAAAATCAAAGCAATGACCGAATTGCGAGCACTTCGATTGGTCAAATTCCAGAGACAATTGAGACGAGAAGTTGTTGCCCACATGAGGAAAGATACCTCATTAGAAACTGGTCTAAATCCAAAGCTTTATAAACGAAGCAAAAAGATTGGTCTTCGCGATGCTCGAGTCACAGAGAAACTGGAGAAACAAAAGAGACAAGAACAAGAGAACAAGAGAATCGAGAAACACCAAGAGTATCTCCGAGGTGTCTTGCAACATGTGAAAGATTTCAAAGAATTCCATCGAAATATTCGAGGAAAAGTAGTGAAAGTGAACAAAGCAGTGGCCACTTATCACGCAAACACCGAAAGAGAACAGAAAAAGGAACAAGAAAGAATCGAGAAGGAACGTATGAGGAGACTGATGGCCGAAGATGAAGAGGGTTACAGAAAATTGATCGATCAAAAGAAAGATAAAAGATTAGCATTCCTGTTGTCACAAACAGACGAATACATTAAAAACCTGACAGAGATGGTGAAACAACACAAAGTAGAACAGAGGAAAAAACTGAAAGACAAAAAGAAGAAAAAGAAAAAGAAAAGTAAAATTGTCCCTGGTGTTGGTGGAGCAACGGGAACGGGAACAGGAACAGGAACCGGAGGTGATGGAGGGAACAAAGTCGACGACAATAATAAGCAACACGGCGGAGATGGTCCGTCGTCGGGAACAGCAGCCGGTGGAAGCACAACAAACACAACCACTGGCGATGGAAAGTCGGGAGTGGATGGGAATGTGGATGAATCGTCGCAACAATCAGATTTACGAGTGAATGTCATGGAAACATCAACTGGTAAAGTGATGACAGGTAAAGAGGCTCCACTTGCTAGTCAACTAGAAACTTGGCTCGAAATGCATCCTGGCTATGAAGTCGCTCCTCGGGAGACAAGTGATGAGGAAGAAGATGAAGAAGGGGAAGACTCGTCGGACGAAGACGATGCTCATCATCACCAACAACAACACCAACACCAACAAAATCAAAACAATGAAATTGTCAAGAGTGTCATTCAACAAGCATCTCAGGAAGATGATGAATACAAAAGTGATGGGTATCAAAACTATTACAATATTGCTCATGCAATTAGTGAAGAAGTGAAGGAACAAGCATCCATGATGGTCAATGGAAAACTGAAAGAATATCAAATCAAAGGGTTGGAATGGCTGGTGTCCCTTTATAACAACAATTTAAATGGTATTTTAGCCGATGAAATGGGTTTGGGTAAGACCATCCAAACGATCGCATTGATCACTTACCTGATTGAGAGAAAGAAAAACAATGGCCCTTTCCTGATTATTGTTCCACTGTCAACACTGTCCAATTGGATGTTGGAATTTGATCGGTGGGCACCAGCGGTGGTTAAAATTCCTTACAAGGGATCACCTAATGTGCGACGTAGTTTACAACAGAAACTGCGAACCTCCAAATTCAACGTTCTATTGACCACTTACGAGTACATAATAAAGGACAAATCTTCCCTGGCTAAGCTCAAATGGAAATACATGATAATCGATGAAGGTCATCGAATGAAAAACCATCACTGTAAATTGACCCAAGTGTTGAACACTCACTACGCTGCTCCCCACCGATTGCTCTTGACCGGAACCCCTTTACAGAACAAGTTACCCGAACTGTGGGCTCTACTTAACTTCCTGTTGCCCTCGATCTTCAAGTGTTGTAACACATTTGAACAATGGTTCAATGCTCCGTTCGCCACCACCGGGGAAAAGGTTGAACTGAACGAAGAAGAGACCGTTTTGATTATTCGTCGACTTCACAAGGTACTTCGACCTTTCCTATTGAGGCGATTAAAGAAGGAGGTAGAATCTCAGTTGCCAGAGAAGGTGGAATATGTGGTTAAATGTGACATGTCGGCTCTTCAACGAATCGTTTACCGTCACATGCAAACGCGCGGAATTGTGCTGACCGATGGCTCAGAGAGAGGTGATAAACGGGGTGGTAAAGGAGGTGCACAGACACTTATGAATTCAATTATGCAGCTTCGTAAGATTTGTAATCATCCGTTTATGTTTCAACACATTGAGGAAGCGATTGCCGACCACACTGAGAGTACTGGTGGCGGGGGTGGTAGTGGGGGCAGTGGAGGGAGTGGAGGGAGTGGAGGGAGTAGTGGTGGTGGTGACAATGGTAATAATAATGATAAAAATGCCAATGGTGGTTCCATTGTTACTGGTCCAGATTTGTATCGATCGAGTGGTAAATTTGAGTTGCTTGACAGGATTCTTCCTAAATTGAAGCAAACTGGACATCGAGTGTTGCTTTTCTGTCAAATGACCACATTAATGACCATCATGGAAGATTATTTCAACTACCGTAATTTCACTTACCTTCGTTTGGATGGTACCACCAAGGCTGAAGATCGAGGATCTTTACTGGCACAATTTAATCGAGAAGGATCAGAGTTTTTCATCTTCATGTTATCAACTCGAGCCGGAGGTTTGGGTCTTAATCTACAAGCAGCCGATACTGTTATCATATTTGACTCTGATTGGAATCCTCATCAAGATTTACAAGCTCAAGATCGAGCCCATAGGATAGGCCAAAAGAATGAGGTTCGAGTACTTCGATTGGTGAGTGTTAACTCAGTAGAGGAACGGATTCTGGCCGCGGCCAAGTACAAGTTGAACTTGGACGAGAAAGTAATCCAAGCGGGAATGTTTGACCAGAAATCAACTGGAACCGAGAGACGTCAATTTTTACACGCAATTTTAGCAACAGAGGATGTAGATGAAGATGAGGATGAGAACGAGGTTCCAGATGATGAGACAATCAATCAAATGATTGCTCGAAGTGAAGAGGAATTTGAACTGTTTCAAGCAATGGACATTGATCGACGGAGACAAGAAGCTCGTGACCCTCGTCGTAAACCTCGACTTATGGAGGAAAGTGAACTGCCCAGTTGGTTGTTGAAAGACGACGCGGAGGTGGAAAAGTTGACACAAGAAGAGGAAGAAGACAAATTTGGCCGAGGATCAAGACAGAGGAAAGAAGTTGATTACAGCGATTCATTGACAGATAAACAATGGTTAAAGGCTATGGAAGATGGGACATTGGATGATTTAGAGACTCCTACGAAGCGAGGAAGAGGAAGAGGACGAGGTGGAGGAAGAGATTTAGATGGAGATGGTAGTGGAAGTGGAGGCGGTGGAGATGGAGATGGAAGTGATGATGATGTTAGTGTGAGCGGTGGTGACGGTGGTAAATCTGGTCGTGGAAGTGGAGTTGGTGGTGGTCGAGGAGGAGGAGGAGGTGGAGGAGCAGGTAAAGGAAAAGGAAAAGGTGGAAAGAAAAGAAAACGAGATGATGCAGATTCACCTCCGTCCACATCGACAGCAAGTGGATTACCAAGAAAGAAACCAGGTCGTAAACCAGGTCCAGTTCCTCGAGATAAAACTCCAATCGCACCCGAATTAAAGAAACAAATGAAAAAATTGATGAAAATTGTTATCGATTATAGAGATGGAGATGATAGAGTTTTATCTGATCCTTTTTTGAAACTTCCATCACGACGAGAATTACCCGATTATTATGAAGTGATTAAGAAACCGGTTGACATTGAAAGATTCGAGCCAAGATTCGAGACAATAAATTCCGGTGTCTTGATGATTTAGAAAATGACTTTATGTTACTTTGTAAAAATGCACAAACTTATAATGTTGAAGGATCGACGATATTTGAAGATTCAATTGTATTACAATCTGTATTTACCAGTGCAAGGGAAAGAATTGAACAAGATGGCGACATAGAAATGGCCGATACTCCAAGTAATCTTAATACAAATGCTAATACAAACACCAATTCAAATAACAACAACAGTAACAATAATAATTCCAACAACAATTCAAACACTTCTTCCACCACCACCAACAACAACAATAACAACACCAACAGTAATAATAAAGACAATACCAGTACCAGTGGAAACACTTCCAGTACCTCCAACAATAGTAGTAACAAAAACACCAATGATAACGATAAAGATGAAAGTGATGCTGATGACGATGAAGATGAAGAGGTAAATTGAATTCATTTCCTTTCTTTTTCTTTCTTTTTCTTTCTTTTTCTTTCTCTGATTCTCAATTTATATTATTTTTTTAATTTTCTTTATTTTTGATATTTTTTTGCATGAAAACATCGAAAACACTTAATTTTGTCAATTAATCCAGCGACCTGCATGACTCCCTTGATTGATTATTATTTTTATCAACCACAATCACAAGCACAACAAAAGCTACTACTATTACAACATCACAAATGAACCATTATCAAAATCATCATTACAATCTTTTAACACAAAAAAACTAAACAAAAAAAACAATATAAACTTTTGTAATCAATTGTTTCCTTTCTTTATTATAAATATTTCATATTCAATTGATTGATATTTAGATTGATAACGATGAGGATGGAGATGATGATCATGATGACGAATCTTCATCCAATACCAAATCAAGAAAGAAAGGACGAAAACCTCGACAAGCTCGTCAAAAGAAAAGATATGTCGATGATTCTAGTGACATGGAATAATAACAATAATGATAATCAAAGAAACAAATCTCTGGAATTATAAAAATAATTCTACTGTAAAAAAAAGAAAGAAGCAAAAACTAATTGATTTTATTTCATATATTTCTCTTTGTATTATCTATTATCCAACTCAATCACTCCAACATCATCAACATCAAATCATCAACAACAACAACAAAACACCAAGAAAATCACAGACAACAAAAAACTATTTAACTAAATCTCCAAAAAATGTAAAAAGAACCCAAATTGATTATTAATCTCATCAACCATTTGTAATTAAATCGAATCAATTATTAAATTATTTGCTTGTTATATTTATTTTATCGCTATAAGGAGACCACAAAGTAACAGTTTTATCTTTCGATTAATTTGTACTCGTAAAAACTGAGTAACAATAATTGATTATTCTGTTGATGATCAATCAAATAGAGGTGCTGATGATGGTGGGAAAATGTCTACATCATAAGGATCGGAAATTGATAATCATAATAATTCAAAATTGATCAGTGGAAAATCAACTCAACGAATAATCAATTACGAACCTTATAAAAGTGCCTCAACTATTGCTCTTGATATTGATTCCTCTTTAAGGCCTAGGTCACCTTCGCCCTTTAGTAAAACTGGACGACATTCTAGTGTTGATAGTGCCTCAAGGAAAGTTAATCCAACTACTGCCAATAACAATAATAACATAATTGTTACCAATTCAATTCGACCAGGATCGGTAGCGAGCGAGGAAATTACTGAAACTCAAATCGTTGAGAAAAAAAATTCTCTTCTCTGTGGAGTTGATAATTTTTCGAACGATTTAAAAATTCGAAAAAAAATGTATAATCGAATTTTCAATCTGAAACTTTACTTCTAAAACTAAATCACTTGTATTGTGTCAAATCTTGATAATAAAATTATTTCTTACCATTATTGGTCTATGCTCTAATAATTCAATTCTAATTCTTGTAATTAAAATTTACTACTTTAAGTTACTATTATGACGGTTTCGTGTTGAGTTATGTTATTGGTTAGAATTACTAATTTACAACTGACTTGCTAGTCAATGAACAAGAAATTGATTGATTGATATTTTTCTCATGTGATACAAATTGAAAGGGAGTAATTAAGAGAATGACTTAAGTAAAAATATTTATTATAAATATTACATGATTTACAATATAGAAATTCACCGGAATCATTAAAGAATCATAAAAAGACTGGTTAATTTAACAATTCATTGAGGTAATCTTAATAAACAAGATTGTATAACCTAAAAGGCTTAGATATTATTGTTATTGGTTTTTTATTTAAGATGCTCGTCGAGAAATTCGGTAACTGTATCGGTGTCCCATTTGGTCAGTGACAATTCCTCAGCAAGGTTACCATTTTCATCCAAAAGTTTCATTGTGGGTAATGTACCTCGAACCCATTTAACTGTCAAATTTTCGTATTGTTTAGGACGATCGCTCTTGATAAAAGCCTGAATTTGAGGATAACTCGCAAGATTACAACCACAAACCTCTAATCTTGCCTTAGCGTATTTCTATAGACCAGGGAAAAAGAATAACAAATCGATAAGCAATCAAAATAAATTGGATAGAAAACAATCAACTTACCTTACGAAGTGAGCTTTTAGCATCAGTTTTAACACATCGAAGACAATCTTCTTTAATTGTATTGAGACCAAATTTTCCCAATTCCATACATCGTTTCCTTGTTAATTCTTCTCTTCGAAAACCTAATCGAGTACACTCTTCGTCAGACAAATTATTTGACGAACAAGAAACACCAATGATCTAAATGGAGGAAAAAAACCATAAAAATAAATTAATAAAATATATAAAGAGATAAATATAATACATAAGTAGTAAAGGACCAACTCATCACTAAGAAGCAACGATTAAGCAATAAATGAGTTGAGTGTTTTGTTTATCTAGTTACAAGGAGTCTAATCAAATTAACTCGCAGGTAAATGACCAACGCATAAACTTGCAGAACAATTAAACTAATAGAATCACAAGATATTCTAGATGATTAAGATAATTATCTTGAACAATCACCAAAGATCTAGGATAATTAATTTGTTCCAATTGAGGCATTTGTCATGAGAAATGTAGATAAGCTTCAATGGTAAACAAGAGACAGTTGATTCTAAATAGAGATTGTACTTACCAATGCATACAACAAGGACAAGAGAAATGTGTTCATCTTATAATTAGACCACAGCTTTTAAACAGACAATTAAACAGAGATGACAAAATAAAGTAAACAAAAAATTGACAATTAACAATCGGACAGTAAGAGTTGGACTTGAATCAATTAAATCTGGTGATTGAACAGAAAACAATAAACAATGGACAAGGAAAATTCGTTAAAAAGCGACACCTGTCGGGAGAATAGAATATTTTCCTTTTCTTTTTATTCTTTTCAAATTTTTTTTCCAAAACATTAAATCACTTTTTCTCCTTTTGGACAAAAGTTAATTATTTGACTTAATTGTTCTTTTTTTGTTCATAAGAAATTGAATTTTTTATATTTTTTTAATAAGAGATGTATCTGTGATCTAAAGTAAAATATTCTTTGTGAAATTTGAAGTTTATATTAGACTTTTATCTTCAGTTGTATTGGTTAGTTTTTGCTTTTTCTCATTTGGATTGTTTTTTTTGTATGTTTTTGTTTTTTAATCTTCGATTGTTAAAATGTCTCTGGTTCCTGATTATATATTCATGCAGAATTTATACCCTGTTACGTCGACGTGTTTCTTCACTGTTTCCAGTGGAGATTTTCTGATCACTGGCGATGAGAAAGGTATAATTAAACTGTGGGATCTCGTTAGTTACAAGAAGACGCTGTTATTGGAAGCTCATGATACTAGAATTATGTCTATTCAAAGTGATTCGGATAGAAAATTGATTCTTACACAATCAAGAGGAGAAATTAAGATTTGGAACTACATGGAAACACAACCGGCAACCTTAGAATTGACAAAAATATACCAATCATCTGTTGTCAGTCTATCGAATTGTTGTTTACTCTCAATGAGAACTGGAAACTATTTACTCGCTTGTTGTTCAACATCTGATTCAAATATTGCAGATCTTCATCACTCTGACATGGATTCTGTCATTCCGATAACTTCTCAATCATCTAATCAATTTGGTCTATTGATGGTGATGAAATTAGTTTATACCAAAGACCCGAATCAAGTAGTCTTATTAACAGGATATGAATCCGGGATATTAAAGTGTGATAATATTAAACTGGATATAAACGAGAAGATAATAAGTGTAAAAGACTGTCACTCATTGTCTCTGTTCAATGATATGATTACTTCAATTGATTTTGACAGTTTATCATCTAAAGGAGTTTGTGGCTCAGTTAATTCCAAGCTTATTATCTTCACTATAAATGATTTAGACTGTGAACAATTTAAAATAAATATTGTTAAAAGTATTGACATTGGTAATGAAGGAATAAGTTCAATAACAATCCGACCAGATTATCGTTTATTTTGTGTTTCATGTTGGGATTCAAGAGTAAAACTTTTCTCATGGAAAACATTTAAACTTCTAGCAGTTTTGGACAAACATAAACAATCAATTAATTCAATTTCGTTTTCGAAGAAACTTTTAAATTGTTCGAAAATGTTATTAGCAATTTCATCTAAAGATAAAACTGTTTCTTTGTGGTCTCCTTATAGCGAAAAAATAAATATAACAAGCAAATAATTTAATAATTGATTCGATTTAATTACAAATGGTTGATGAGATTAATAATCAATTTGGGTTCTTTTTACATTTTTTGGAGATTTAGTTAAATAGTTTTTTGTTGTCTGTGATTTTCTTGGTGTTTTGTTGTTGTTGTTGATGATTTGATGTTGATGATGTTGGAGTGATTGAGTTGGATAATAGATAATACAAAGAGAAATATATGAAATAAAATCAATTAGTTTTTGCTTTTTTCTATTTTTTACAGTAGAATTATTTTTATAATTCCAGAGATTTGTTTCTTTGATTATCATTATTGTTATTATTCCATGTCACTAGAATCATCGACATATCTTTTCTTTTGACGAGCTTGTCGAGGTTTTCGTCCTTTCTTTCTTGATTTGGTATTGGATGAAGATTCGTCATCATGATCATCATCTCCATCCTCATCGTTATCAATCTAAATATCAATCAATTGAATATGAAATATTTATAATAAAGAAAGGAAACAATTGATTACAAAAGTTTATATTGTTTTTTTTGTTTAGTTTTTTTGTGTTAAAAGATTGTAATGATGATTTTGATAATGGTTCATTTGTGATGTTGTAATAGTAGTAGCTTTTGTTGTGCTTGTGATTGTGGTTGATAAAAATAATAATCAATCAAGGGAGTCATGCAGGTCGCTGGATTAATTGACAAAATTAAGTGTTTTCGATGTTTTCATGCAAAAAAATATCAAAAATAAAGAAAATTAAAAAAATAATATAAAATGAGAATCAGAGAAGTGAAGAGAAAGAAAAAGAAAGAAAAAGAAAGAAAAAGAAAGGAAATGAATTCAATTTACCTCTTCATCTTCATCGTCATCAGCATCACTTTCATCTTTATCGTTATCATTGGTGTTTTTGTTACTACTATTGTTGGAGGTACTGGAAGTGTTTCCACTGGTACTGGTATTGTCTTTATTATTACTGTTGGTGTTGTTATTGTTGTTGTTGGTGGTGGTGGAAGAAGTGTTTGAATTGTTGTTGGAATTATTATTGTTACTGTTGTTGTTATTTGAATTGGTGTTTGTATTAGCATTTGTATTAAGATTACTTGGAGTATCGGCCATTTCTATGTCGCCATCTTGTTCAATTCTTTCCCTTGCACTGGTAAATACAGATTGTAATACAATTGAATCTTCAAATATCGTCGATCCTTCAACATTATAAGTTTGTGCATTTTTACAAAGTAACATAAAGTCATTTTCTAAATCATCAAGACACCGGAATTTATTGTCTCGAATCTTGGCTCGAATCTTTTCAATGTCAACCGGTTTCTTAATCACTTCATAATAATCGGGTAATTCTCGTCGTGATGGAAGTTTCAAAAAAGGATCAGATAAAACTCTATCATCTCCATCTCTATAATCGATAACAATTTTCATCAATTTTTTCATTTGTTTCTTTAATTCGGGTGCGATTGGAGTTTTATCTCGAGGAACTGGACCTGGTTTACGACCTGGTTTCTTTCTTGGTAATCCACTTGCTGTCGATGTGGACGGAGGTGAATCTGCATCATCTCGTTTTCTTTTCTTTCCACCTTTTCCTTTTCCTTTACCTGCTCCTCCACCTCCTCCTCCTCGACCACCACCAACTCCACTTCCACGACCAGATTTACCACCGTCACCACCGCTCACACTAACATCATCATCACTTCCATCTCCATCTCCACCGCCTCCACTTCCACTACCATCTCCATCTAAATCTCTTCCTCCACCTCGTCCTCTTCCTCTTCCTCGCTTCGTAGGAGTCTCTAAATCATCCAATGTCCCATCTTCCATAGCCTTTAACCATTGTTTATCTGTCAATGAATCGCTGTAATCAACTTCTTTCCTCTGTCTTGATCCTCGGCCAAATTTGTCTTCTTCCTCTTCTTGTGTCAACTTTTCCACCTCCGCGTCGTCTTTCAACAACCAACTGGGCAGTTCACTTTCCTCCATAAGTCGAGGTTTACGACGAGGGTCACGAGCTTCTTGTCTCCGTCGATCAATGTCCATTGCTTGAAACAGTTCAAATTCCTCTTCACTTCGAGCAATCATTTGATTGATTGTCTCATCATCTGGAACCTCGTTCTCATCCTCATCTTCATCTACATCCTCTGTTGCTAAAATTGCGTGTAAAAATTGACGTCTCTCGGTTCCAGTTGATTTCTGGTCAAACATTCCTGCTTGATTACTTTCTCGTCCAAGTTCAACTTGTACTTGGCCGCGGCCAGAATCCGTTCCTCTACTGAGTTAACACTCACCAATCGAAGTACTCGAACCTCATTCTTTTGGCCTATCCTATGGGCTCGATCTTGAGCTTGTAAATCTTGATGAGGATTCCAATCAGAGTCAAATATGATAACAGTATCGGCTGCTTGTAGATTAAGACCCAAACCTCCGGCTCGAGTTGATAACATGAAGATGAAAAACTCTGATCCTTCTCGATTAAATTGTGCCAGTAAAGATCCTCGATCTTCAGCCTTGGTGGTACCATCCAAACGAAGGTAAGTGAAATTACGGTAGTTGAAATAATCTTCCATGATGGTCATTAATGTGGTCATTTGACAGAAAAGCAACACTCGATGTCCAGTTTGCTTCAATTTAGGAAGAATCCTGTCAAGCAACTCAAATTTACCACTCGATCGATACAAATCTGGACCAGTAACAATGGAACCACCATTGGCATTTTTATCATTATTATTACCATTGTCACCACCACCACTACTCCCTCCACTGCCTCCACTGCCCCCACTACCACCCCCGCCACCAGTACTCTCAGTGTGGTCGGCAATCGCTTCCTCAATGTGTTGAAACATAAACGGATGATTACAAATCTTACGAAGCTGCATAATTGAATTCATAAGTGTCTGTGCACCTCCTTTACCACCCCGTTTATCACCTCTCTCTGAGCCATCGGTCAGCACAATTCCGCGCGTTTGCATGTGACGGTAAACGATTCGTTGAAGAGCCGACATGTCACATTTAACCACATATTCCACCTTCTCTGGCAACTGAGATTCTACCTCCTTCTTTAATCGCCTCAATAGGAAAGGTCGAAGTACCTTGTGAAGTCGACGAATAATCAAAACGGTCTCTTCTTCGTTCAGTTCAACCTTTTCCCCGGTGGTGGCGAACGGAGCATTGAACCATTGTTCAAATGTGTTACAACACTTGAAGATCGAGGGCAACAGGAAGTTAAGTAGAGCCCACAGTTCGGGTAACTTGTTCTGTAAAGGGGTTCCGGTCAAGAGCAATCGGTGGGGAGCAGCGTAGTGAGTGTTCAACACTTGGGTCAATTTACAGTGATGGTTTTTCATTCGATGACCTTCATCGATTATCATGTATTTCCATTTGAGCTTAGCCAGGGAAGATTTGTCCTTTATTATGTACTCGTAAGTGGTCAATAGAACGTTGAATTTGGAGGTTCGCAGTTTCTGTTGTAAACTACGTCGCACATTAGGTGATCCTTGTAAGGAATTTTAACCACCGCTGGTGCCCACCGATCAAATTCCAACATCCAATTGGACAGTGTTGACAGTGGAACAATAATCAGGAAAGGGCCATTGTTTTTCTTTCTCTCAATCAGGTAAGTGATCAATGCGATCGTTTGGATGGTCTTACCCAAACCCATTTCATCGGCTAAAATACCATTTAAATTGTTGTTATAAAGGGACACCAGCCATTCCAACCCTTTGATTTGATATTCTTTCAGTTTTCCATTAACCATCATGGATGCTTGTTCCTTCACTTCTTCACTAATTGCATGAGCAATATTGTAATAGTTTTGATACCCATCACTTTTGTATTCATCATCTTCCTGAGATGCTTGTTGAATGACACTCTTGACAATTTCATTGTTTTGATTTTGTTGGTGTTGGTGTTGTTGTTGGTGATGATGAGCATCGTCTTCGTCCGACGAGTCTTCCCCTTCTTCATCTTCTTCCTCATCACTTGTCTCCCGAGGAGCGACTTCATAGCCAGGATGCATTTCGAGCCAAGTTTCTAGTTGACTAGCAAGTGGAGCCTCTTTACCTGTCATCACTTTACCAGTTGATGTTTCCATGACATTTACTCGTAAATCTGATTGTTGCGACGATTCATCCACATTCCCATCCACTCCCGACTTTCCATCGCCAGTGGTTGTGTTTGTTGTGCTTCCACCGGCTGCTGTTCCCGACGACGGACCATCTCCGCCGTGTTGCTTATTATTGTCGTCGACTTTGTTCCCTCCATCACCTCCGGTTCCTGTTCCTGTTCCTGTTCCCGTTCCCGTTGCTCCACCAACACCAGGGACAATTTTACTTTTCTTTTTCTTTTTCTTCTTTTTGTCTTTCAGTTTTTTCCTCTGTTCTACTTTGTGTTGTTTCACCATCTCTGTCAGGTTTTTAATGTATTCGTCTGTTTGTGACAACAGGAATGCTAATCTTTTATCTTTCTTTTGATCGATCAATTTTCTGTAACCCTCTTCATCTTCGGCCATCAGTCTCCTCATACGTTCCTTCTCGATTCTTTCTTGTTCCTTTTTCTGTTCTCTTTCGGTGTTTGCGTGATAAGTGGCCACTGCTTTGTTCACTTTCACTACTTTTCCTCGAATATTTCGATGGAATTCTTTGAAATCTTTCACATGTTGCAAGACACCTCGGAGATACTCTTGGTGTTTCTCGATTCTCTTGTTCTCTTGTTCTTGTCTCTTTTGTTTCTCCAGTTTCTCTGTGACTCGAGCATCGCGAAGACCAATCTTTTTGCTTCGTTTATAAAGCTTTGGATTTAGACCAGTTTCTAATGAGGTATCTTTCCTCATATGGGCAACAACTTCTCTTCTCAATTGTCTCTGGAATTTGACCAATCGAAGTGCTCGCAATTCGGTCATTGCTTTGATTTTAAGATCTTCTGGTAGATTGGAAGAAATATTTTGCAATTCTTCAATCCTATGAGCTATTCTTTGTGCAATTTTGTTTTCGTTTTCTTTCATTATCTCAACTGGATCAAGACCAAGTGGCTTTGAAACGGGAGTCACTCTATTTGGACGAGGTTGTTGTAATTGTTGTATCATTGTTTGATAACCGGGATGTTGAGGTTGTTGATTTGGTGCTGGAAGAGGTGGCAATGATTGTAATGGTTGTGCAATTGGTACTGGGATTGGTACTGGAGATGATTGTTGTTGTTGTTGTTGTTGCGCCTGCTGTTGTTGTGGGGGTTGTTGGGGTTGAGGTTGTAGTTGATGTTGAGGTTGGATTTGAGGCGCTGATTGGAGTTGTTGAGACTGTTGCTGTTGTTGTTGTTGCTGCTGCTGCTGATGGTGTTGTTGTTGAAGTTGATGTGGTGGTTGATGTGGGTGAGGAAGAGAATGAGGATGTTGATGTTGTTGTTGTTGTTGTTGTTGTTGAAGGGGTGATGGTTGTAATTGTGGAGGTGGTTGCAATTGATGTGGTTGATGTGGCGGTTGTTGAGATGGTTGATGCATGGGTTGATGCATAGGTGGTTGTTGATGTTGATGTGGATGTGGATGTTGATATTGATGATGTTGAAGTTGTGATTGTGATGGTGGTGGTGGGGCAAGTTGTGTTTGATGCTGTGATACAGGCGATGAAGGTGGTGGTGGTTGTTGATTTGGCTGGGGAATAGGTGGCATTGGTTGTAATGGCTGAGAAACTGATACCGGCGGAGGAGGTGGTTGTTGCTGCAACTGTATTGGCGGTGCTTGTGACTGTGGAGGTGGTGGTTGTTGTAATTGTGGTGGAGGCAATTGGTGTTGTTGTTGCATCGGAGGGATTGGTTGTTGTTGAGACTGTTGTTGTTGTTGTTGCTGTTGATGATGATGCTGAAGTTGTGGCGGTGGTGGAAGTGGACCTTGATGTTGAGATACCGGTGATGATGAGGGTGGAGGTTGCTGATTAGGTGCTGGGATAGGTGGTAATGGTTGTGTGACAGGTATTGGTGGTGGTTGAGATTGTTGTTGTTGGAGTTGTGGTGGTGGTGGTTGTTGTTGTTGTTGTTGTTGTTGTGGCCCTTGTGACTGTGGTTGCAACTGATGTTGTTGAGGTTGTTGCATCGGTGGAAGCTGCTGTTGCTGTTGCTGTGGAGGTTGTTGATGAGGATGCTGCTGCTGCTGCTGCTGTGGCGGCGGCTGTTGCTGTTGTTGTTGTGATTGTTGGTGCTGATGATGTAATTGTGGAGGTGTCGGTTGTTGAGGTGGATGCTGTGACACCGGGGATGAAGGTGGTGGTGTTTGTTGTTGAGGTGGGGATGGTGATGGCGGTTGCTGTTGTTGCGGTTTCCTTACCAGAGCAGCTTGTACATGAGGAGGTATAGGTAAGTTACGACTAATACAACGAAAGGCCATAATTTGGGCCCTCAGCAAATTAGTCTGAGCTGGAGTCAACATTTTAAATATAATCCAATCAAAGTCAATTCAATTAAATCTAATTCATTTACACAAAACAATTAAAAATCAATAAAAATTTATCATTTTCTCAAATCCAAAAATTAAGCTGAAAGGTTTTCGCTTCTGGTGTTGAGATATTCAACTAAACTCATAAAAAGAAAGCGCAAAATTTGAATCATCACATTTTCCAATTTCAACAAGAAAAATATTATAACAATTAACTTATTATACTTATAAAAATAAACAAATATATTCAATCCTTTCTTAAATTTCTTTTGTAATTCTTTAAGAAATTAATCATAATCATATAGAATTTTAAAGAAACTCAAAAATCATCAAAAATTACTTTCAATTTAATCTTTGATAGTTTTTATTTGGTAAAGTGACAGTTAGAAAAATTTATCACTGAAAATAAATAGTTGATTACAATTAGTAAATTACACAATTATCTTTTGTCAACTTCCTCTTCGAGTCTCCAAATGGTAAATAATCTGTACAATGACTGGACATCAAGGGGAAGGTCATCTTTTTGCTCTAATATCTAAAACAATGAAAAAAGAAGGGAAAAAAAGTTAGAAAAAGAAAACCAATTTAAAAATTTCGAAAGAAAACAAAAAAAAGTTCTAATCACTTACCTCAACTAGAAATCTAATATATCTACAAGCCAATCGAAGTGTAGCGATTTTGGACAGTTTATCGGAAGGTAAAGTTGGTATAATAGCTCGAAGTAGATCAAAGCCTTCATTTAAAGATTGAGTTCGTTTTCGTTCTCGGACATTGGCCAGAATCCTTTGATGGACATTCGATGAATTAAAACTATAAGGATGATGTTTATGTTGATTATGATTATGAGAATGTCCAATATGATGATGATGATGATTATGATGATTATGGTTATGCATTGAAAGCATTTAAATTGAAACAAAGTTGTAGAAAACAACAACAAAAACAACAACAATTAATAGTAAGAAAAAAACAATCACCTACAAAACAAGTGAATAGAAACTGTGATAAATCCAATTGTAGATGTAAATTGTCAACAATTAAATGGCAAAGATGAAGAAAAAAGGGAAAATTAAAAAAGGAAAATAAAAAAGTTCGAGACACAAAGAGAAATGAAATCAATGGTTAAAAATGGACTAAAATTAAGTCTATGGATGAAGATGAAGATAGACAGAGAGAGAAATTGAAAGAGGAAGAAGATGTCAAAAGAAGATGATGAAGAAGATGATGAAGATAAAGATGAAGAAAGAAAGAGAATTGTTTAAATAGTCTTTGAAACGGACCAGAGGTCGTAAAATTTTTCTTCGTCCTTTTCATATGTAAAATGACTCCCACTCCAATTCCCTCCTTTCCCTTTGGCCTTTACTCTTAAAATTTAAACTTCCGCTCGTAGCTTTTTCTGGCCTCCTAGAAATTCATCATCATCATCATCATCTTCATCATCTTCATCGTCATTTTTATCTTCCTTGACATCTTTCTCTTCACTTTTTATCATGGACTTAATCATCAACCTTTTCTCCCTCATCTTCGACCTCAAGTCGCAAAAACTTTTCTTGTTTTTATCTTTATTTTTTTCCTCTTCTTCTCAATCCCATGTTAACCATATTGATGAATTTAATTGTTCACTGTTAATCAATGGTTAATTCCCCATCTTCTAAATATCCCTGTGAACAATTTAAATCCTCTTCCTAATAATTTACTTGCATCGCACATTCGGCACAATTAACTTTTCAACATTTCTAAATCACTTTGCTGGATTAGTGTTAATCCTTTGGATTTAAAGTAAAAAAAAAAGTTTCAAGTCTAAAGGAAAAACCGATCAAACGAAATAACCAAATTAACTTTAATTAAATTACTTCATTTTCTTAGTAAATAATAATCTAATTATAACCATTTAACTTTTGTCGCTTCTAATTGTTATTAACCTTTTAAATTGTTTTCCAATTTAATTTGTTGATTGTTGATCATCACGAATGTTATTAAAGTTTAAATTTACAATTTAAATGATTCCTTTTATTAGAGATAATGAAATTTTCATTAATTAACTTGAAGTTTATTTTTGGTATTAAAAAAAAACAAATTGATTAACCAAACTAATTAAACAATCAAACCTCAATCAAATATGATCAACAACAATCAAAATCAATGTTAAAGATTATTAAATGATTATAACAATTTAAAGTATTAATTTCATCATATTTAATTGTGAACACTTTATATACAATCAACTAATCTTAATGTGTTATTATTACATAAAATTTGGTTGATTGAAGATCAAGTTAATTGTAAATAAACAATTATGGTTAACCATTATTATTTGTAATAGTTAGTTGATTGTCAATTGTGAAAATTGTTTTTACGATTTACCATTTGATTGATTAAATGAAATCATCTAAATTGTAAATTGATTTGTTTCTTGTTTTCCCAAATAATTTCAATTTTTGATTGTAATCATTACCAATTGATTGATTGTTTTAGAGACAAACATTTGATTGTTGATCTGAAAAAAGGAAATGATCAAAATGTCTTAAAACTATCAATTAATTTCTAATAAATTGTTCATTTTAATTATTAGGGTTAACTAACTAACTAATAATAATGTTAATCTATTACAAATCAACGGGAAAAATAATATACTAATAATATAATGGAAATGAAAATAATAAGATGAGATAATTATTATCATTATGATTACGAGGACAAATTAACTTTTTCAATGAGAAAAGTTAATTTTTTTCTGATTTAATCATTAGATGAATGATTTAAATTGAGTTACAGTTATTGGGATGATGATGATGATGATAAAACGGTTTTAATATTAATATTTAAAGATGGAGATAAAAGTTTGAAAGTTGAAAATGATGAAAAAATAGAATCACTTTCTCTTAATCATCTTGTATATTTATCGTAATTTGATTTTCTTTTTTACAATTAAAGATGAACATGATGATGGAAAGTAAGAGTAACCATGATGATAATGATGTATGAGAGGATATTCACTTAATTTCATCATCTTTTTATCTTCATCATCTGAATGTTGATCATCATCATCACTTGATTTGTTTTTGTTTTCAGGCAAAGATCAAGTCAAATTTAGGTTAACATTAAATTGTTACCATTTGATTTAACTAAATTATAATATTAATTGAGGTTATATGATGATGATGATCAGGTGGATGATAAATTGTTTCCTTTTCAATTTGTATCATCCAAATATTAATAACTAATTAATCCGTTGATTAGTTTGCTGAGCATTTGTTTTAATCTGATTGTTGAATTTAATAAATTGATTCAATGTGAATTGAATTGTGTTGAATTTGATTAGTTTTAAAGTAATTTCAAATTTAATTGTTGATTGTATTGGCTTTTTGATTGTTATCATGATAAGAAATTAATGTTTTCAGCTAAAATTTCAGTCAAATTTTCACAATTTAGGAAATGTTTTTGTCTTTGATTGTTTAACAATTTGACATTAAATTGTGTGTGAATTTTGATTTGATAATTGTGACTTTTAGTAAGAAATTAATGTTGATCATTTGTAGTTGATTAACTGGACCACATTTCCGATTAGTTTTAATTTCGTTGAACGTGAAAAAGTTTCTTTCCCGATCTTTTTCCTGGTCTTCTCAGCGTGGACGTTGTTTTCGTTATACTTTTCAAAGGCCACTTCCATTTGTTGACCGATCTAAAAATTTAGAATACAAAATATCATAAAATGTATTAAGATATTGTAAAATTTTCGTGAATCAGATTAAATCAGGACAATTAAAATGTTCAAATTATGATCATCATCATGTTGTAGTGGTCAGTTTGTAGGAGGGTGTGTTAAGGCCAAGATTATCCAGAAGAAAGATGAGAGAGAGATGCTGATGTTAATGATAATGATCATAAAACTAGAACAGAAAATAATAGTTTTTTTACAGTTCGAAAGAAAACTTTTCTTCCCATATTTTGGGTTTTTCAGTTATATTACTTTCTAAGCGGTCAGACTAATGGTTGTTGATGATGATCAGGACGGAAGGAAGGAAGATTAGAGAGAGAGAGAGAGAGAGAGAGAGAGAGAGAGAGAGAGAGAGAGAGAGAGAGAGCTAAATGTTAATTATGATTATGTTTATGATGAAATAAAAATGGAGGCCAAAAAATTGGGAAGAAAAGGTGAAAATAAAAGACTTCTGGGCAATTGATTCTTGTAATTAGAATTAATAGTGGGAATTAATGATGATGATAGGTAACAATCTTAATTAGAAGATAATGATGATGAAGGTGAAGAAGATGGAGGAGATGAAGATGAAGAATTGAAGGTAGATAGAGAAAAGAAAGAGAGAAAGAAAGAGAAAGTTTGAAGAAAATAATATCTCATGTTTAGACGAAAGCGAAATTGAAACTTAAATGTTTACAGGGTAAGATGATGATGTTAATCTCGATTTTCTCTCTCTCATGATTATGATGATGATGATCAGAAGATCGCCGGAAGATTGATCAGCCTCTTTCTCAGTGATCTAGATTACTCGCTTTAACGTATTATTACCTGACTCCTGCTTCTGAATCGCCTGCAGCAATAATATTTCGTAGTTAGAACTCATTTCCTCATTGTAACAAATCAACCGGACTTTTGCTTTCTCTTTCATCTTCATCATCATCATCTCTCTCTCTCTCTCTCTCTTTCTCTCTTTCTTCCTTCTTGAATGCTGATGATGATAATGTTAATGGTGGTGGTTCCTTGGTCCATCTCTAAATAGCGTCACCCGTTAATTGGTCAGAAAAATGAGGTGAAAGGTGGAGAGAAATGAAACAGATAAGAAAGGTAGAAAGTAAGTAAGTAAGGTGAGATTTAGAAAGAGAATTTATCTAAAGAAAGAGAAGAAAAGAAAGAAGAAAATAATATCGAAAGTAAAGTAAGATGATGACCATATATTCTTACTCTGAATAACATGTTGGTCAGGAAAAGACTGAGAAGATGATGATGAATATAAAAAGGAAGCACAAGTTGAATCAGAAATTCATTCATTTGATTACAGTTCAACTAATAACATCTCATCAGAAAACAAATAAGTTAATTTAATTTACCTAATCAACTAATAAGAAAAAGGTAAATTTTAATTATTTTAACTCTTTCTAACAATTTCCAATGCTAAGTAACCGCCGAAAATTGATCGTCAGTCAACAATCAGCTTAACTTATAATAAGATAATTGGAAACAAACTCATGGATTAATCAGTGTTTTTCTCTTAATTGTGATTAATTTTTTTTTCTCTTTTTCTCTTTTTACTTCTTCAAGGATCTAAATTATGTCTCTTTCCAGTCGTAAAACGGGCTTATCGCTCGCTTTCTTAGTTCTAGTTGTACTCCAATTGGTTCTTGTTAACTATTACGTTACACAAGTTGAAGGAAGTCGACGAAAACTCCTCAAGATCAAGAAACTCGCTGCTTTGGCCCTTCTCTTGAAACACTCAAAGAAAAAGAAGTTCGGAGTCTTACCTGTCCCAATCCCCATTCCGTAAGTTGATTTAAACCTTTAATTGAACTCTAAAATTCAAAGTTCCAAATGAAATATGAACTTTCTTTGAATCTTTCGAACTCGTTATATTCATTGAGCTTTTCATCTCTTTCATCTTACAATTAGTTTACCTCTTGAATTGGAAGCTAAATCATGGCCAAAACAATCATGGCCCGCACCATCTTGGCCCGCACCTTCATGGCCCACTGTTTCATCATGGGAACCATCATGGGGAGGAGATAATTGGGGAGCCGCCGCTTCTTCATACTCATCTGGTGCCTCATATGGAGCTGGAGCCGCTTCTTATGGTGGTGATGATTATTCAGCTGCCGCTGGTGGTTATGGTGCTTCTTCAGGATGGTAAATTAATCCACAAACAAACAATTAGCCATCATTAACATCAACTAATCACACTCACATCCACAATCAACAAACACACACAAACACAACTTCATCAACACGCATCACCAAACTCCCAATGATGATTGACTTCCACTCTCTCTCTCTCTCTCTTTCACTTTCCTATCATCTTCTTCATCATCTTCCATTGTATCATATTTGTCCCGTACGGTAATTGTGTAAAAGAAAAACTATCATCAAATTTGATTAGATGCTAATTGTTATCAATCAACTGTCAAGGTATTCAAGTTAATACAAACGAAATGAAAAGTTTATCCAACTTTCATTTCGTTTATCACCTTAACTATAAATCTCCTTGCTGGAAAAACAGTTAATTGTTAATCAATCGCTAATCTTAATTGTTGAGAAATTTCTTAATTTTGTCCTCTGTCACCCACCGTCTGTCCCCTTTATATGTTGTTCAGTCTTCCTCTTCCTCCGTCATCATCATCCTCATCATCCACACACCAACACATCAACTCCTTTTTTGCCATAACTTTTTCATCATAATATTATAATAATTTTATTAATAATATAATATTTACAAATCTAATATCAACCTGAGTGTTTGTTTATTATTAATGATTAAGTTGATCAGAATGTTAATCAAAAACCAAAATAGCTCATGATTAAGATAATCGGGAAACAAAAACAACTCTGATTAAATCAGAAAAGTTTCAAATGATTAACGAATTACATTTTAAACCGGTTCCCGTTAATATCCTAAGACAGATTTAAATGCAAATCGAAACAATTTACTAACTATCATCAACTGTTATCAGTAGCAATTAACTTTATAATAACAACCTAAATATGAAAATAGCTCATCAACAATTAACTTGATTCACTAACATTTTCCCATCTTTTTTAATTTATCTTTCAATACGATTTTGTTTTTGCTTTTACTTTGTTGTTTGTTAACTAATTACAATTAACTTGAGATATACAACAAATTGAGAGTAAATCAAAAAATAACATTCAGATTATTATCTTGATTGTAATAATTATTATTACGGAGATTTGATTAATACAATTTACCATTAAATTGGATTAACAATGTGACGGTAAAAGTGAAAGTTAATCAATTTGATTAACATAAATTGCTCATTGAAAAGGCGGGAGAGTCGTAAATTTAATTAGCTTAATTGTGTCTGGATTAACTGGTTAAAAAGTCATGTTGATTAGTCGCAACCTCAATGGAAAGAGTTACAATCAACTAATTGTCGGTCATTTTGTCTCAAACCAATTATGTTGACCACATGGTTAAGATTTGGATTAGTTGATTAAATATAATCGCCTGTTAGTGATTAGGATTAGATTAGTTTTTTTTTCAATCAATTTTAATTGTTCAATTTGACAAAGTTGTTGTTTTTTTACATTGTAGTGACATTAATTGTTAATCATCATGAAATTTTGTTGTCAATTTGTATTGATATAAATAATAGTTTTCTTTGATGATTAAACTGATTGTGATTAAAAAGCACAATTGTAATTACAGAAAGTACAAAATAATTTGTGATTGTAAAAAAATATTACAATTTTATATTCAAATGGAGATGGAAATTGTTTACTTCATTGTCAATGATTGTGGATTGTTAGTTAATTGTCGGTGATTTTAATTGGACCTTAATTAACTTGGATTAAGCTAAATTATCGTTGGTTGATCGCTGATTGTTGGTAAAAGATCACAGGATATCGTGTAGGGTGATGATGGATAAAGACCGATGGTGTAAAAGTAGTAGCAATTAAGGTGATAATCAAGAGATAAGTTTTTCGATGTTAATTAACAATTAACACGAAATTAAGATGATTAAACACAAGTCATAAGAGAGACAATGTTCAAAACTAATTGTTGTAATATTTGAAAATGATCACATTTTGATGACCGTTGCACCGAGGATAATATTGGAAGTGGTAGTGATTTGGCAAAATCAAATTAATCGATGCAATTAATGAAACAATTAGGAGTAAAAAAAAGTTATGGCACATTCAATGGAGAGAAAAGTCAATATTGTTTTTGTTGGTTGTCATTAATTCGGGTCATCATGTTTTGGTGAGTCAATTGTTGCTACGCAATTATTAAGATAAATTCTTAATTAATCCAAATTTGTGACACAAAATAGCAAATTAATACAATCCAATGTCAGGTAATTATCAGGTGATGATTGAGCTTCATGATTAGAGCGGGAAACACTTGAACGAATTGTTTCAATTTAAGCCACGAAGTGAATTCACTAATCAATGTCCATGATCGTTGGACATAAGTAAAGATGATTGGGTGGGAGAGGTTAATTGTGATGAAGACAATTTGACTGGAAAGATGATTGATTTTCACAATATAAGGTTGATTAAAAAAAAATACAATTACAATTATTGATACAATTAAAAATGTACAACAGTATTTTAGACTTTGTGTGTTTTTTATCCATCTGATTGATTAAAATTTGAGATGAGTTTTTGTTGTTATTTAATAGCAACTGATTGGATGGTGATGATGATTACCAAACAATTAAGATTTGTGTGTCTGGTTAAATTTTAAATCAAGAGGGAAAAAAATTTAACAAATAGTTGGCCCAATTGATTATCTTTGCCAATTCTATTTGTGGTTATTTTGAAGTGATTAGTGTTGTTATATTTACAAAAATATTTAACAATCAAATTTAAATAAAATATATTTTTACAGATTTCAAGGTGAATCTGTTAATTATACTGTTGTCTCATTTCGTCGTTGATTAAGAGGCTGTAATTCACGAGTTGAACTATCGTAATAACTGTCGTTGTAATATTCGTGATCATCTGAGTTTTCCTCGTCACTAGAATGTAATTTACGACTGACTATGTGAATAACTTGTGGCCCAGGGGTCATTGGTGATTGAGGTCCTGGTGTTGACGGTGCTTGTTGACCACCGGATGAAATTGTCCCATTCAGGGTCAACGCTGGAACCACACTAGTTGGTCTACCTGGACCAGGATTAGGAACGGTAACTATACTACCCGAACCCACTGTTGCAACACCATTACCGGTAACAACTCCACCATTGATTGATGTTGGTGTTGGTGGAAGTTGTAATGATCCCATTGTATTAATCTGACCACCACCACCAGTTGTAACAACCCCACCAACATTTGTTGGTACAATATTTGAAGTTGTTGACAAAGGTTGAACCATAGACCCACCGCCGTTGGTACCAATACCATAGGCAGTTATATTACATGGTCTTGTGTTAATGTAATCAAGATTCTGGCTCATTCGATAATATTCAAGATTATCAACACCAAATCGACTGTGACCATCAACAGGTACAAAATCAGGTACATTGCAAAATTGTTTGAGATCTTTAGCTTTCAAAGTTCCCATTTCTGTAATTGAACAAATTTAAAGAAGACAATTAGTAAAACATAAGCATATTAAAAGGCCATTAATGTTTGGTAGAAATTTAATTTACCTGAAAGTTTTGCATCACCAATTAAATCGACATAGTTTTGTGAATTACGAAGTCCGGGTGAAGGCATTAAATAATCTTCCTCGTCAACGGGAAGACTGGTCGGGATGTCGCAAGTTTTACCGAAGTTACTTCCATCGGGCATAAAATTATCTATACTTTCAAATTCTAGATGAAAGAAAATAACAAATTAATAAAATTTCAAAATTATAATGAAAATATTTTCGCAATTTAGTTGATCGTTTAATCATTTACGTACCATTTTGATGCATTTTGACAGGATCAGCTGAGAATCGACTAGAAATGAGGCTACTGTCTCTACGATGCATTGTTGAGGTGAGTGGATATAAAGGTTCGATACCTCGAAGGGTTCCCCCGTTCAACATAACCGAACTGGCTCGGGTTTTACATGAGTCAACGGTGTCGTCGAGGAAACTGGCAGTGGTAACATTGGTAACACCTCCAATTGATCCGGTGTGAGCGTGAAGGTGATGAGGATAATTGTTTGAATAAAATGAATGATGATTACCAACTAATCCACTCATCATTGACTGAGCTGAGGGTAACATCATTCCCAATGGGTCACCTTCAAACCCTCGATCTTCCATAAATTTTTTAATCGGTGTTGGAGGCGGTGGTGTTTCACTATTACCATCATGTTCTGATCGACTTGGTTGTAGATACTCTTCTGCGTCCATTATCACTTCAGGTCCTTCAATGGCTTTCGATAGTTTAATTATAAGTTCTTTCTCATCTTGAGGTGTATAACTTGGTAATCTCATGAACTTGTCGCCTGGAATGACCAAATATCGTCCTGGATCACCAGCCATTTTTGCGAATTCCATGGCCAACTCTTTGAACGATGGTCGAGACTCAGCATCCAACATCCAACATTTAATCATAATCATGTAAACATCAATCGTACAAATAGCGGGCTGAGGGAGACGTTCACCTTTATCTAAAATTGAAGGTACATCTCGGGCGTTAACACCCTCATATGGGCGTCCACCGTAAGTTAATAATTCCCAAACGGTTATACCAAACGCCCAGACATCGCTTTTGTGTGTAAAGATGCGATGGTGAATACATTCAAGGGCTAACCACTTTATTGGCATTTTTCCTCCTTCGGCAATATATTCCTCTTTGTTAATGTCCAACAATTTAGCCAAGCCAAAGTCGGTAATCTTAACACACCCTGGTGTTTGAAGTAAAACGTTTCTCAAGGCTAAATCACGATGGACCATTCGTTTCTCCTCAAGGTAGGCCATTCCTCTTGCTATTTGGGTACACCAATTGAGTAAAGGTTTGGAACCAATTTTGTCCTTGTGCTGTTTAACATAATCAAGGAGACACCCTAAAGGCATTAATTGGGTTACTAGCATAAGTTGCGAGGTCATACAGACGGCGAGTAATTTAAGTAAATTGGGATGATCAACAGAAGCCATAATATAAGCCTCTTCGAGAAACTCTTTATTTGTATCCGGAGCTGTTCCTTCCCGAAGGATTTTAATAGCAACCGGAATCTTGACATTCTCATTTTCTGGAACCCAGACTCCTTTGTGAACCATACCAAAAGCACCACAACCAAGTACGTTACCCTTACGAAGCTCGGCTTCCTTAACGATGCGTAGCTTAGCCAAATTGGGTCGGACATTGGTCAGTTTAAGTGGCTCATTATCTTCAAAGCCGGACATTCTCATAGTTAGTTGCATAGTCTTTTCCTTAGTTCGTGCTTTTTGTAAGCCTTGGTAGCTGAAAAATGCGAGGAAAAAGCCGAGACAACAAACGGTCAATGCGATGACTCCAAAAATTAGGAAAGTATTTGAATCTTTTGGTACGGGAAGTAGCGGTTCAGCTTCTTTCTCCGAGCAATATGGATCTTCGGCAACGTTAACGGCGACTACTTTATATGGTTTATCGGCTGGACATGTGGCTGTACAATTGAATGAAGATGGATCATCATTCCAATAGACTCGATAGTTACGACACGCTAAACAATGGCCGTTAGTTGGTCCATGGCAGCCTTGACATTCATCAGCACATTTATAGCAAGCATGATTCGGTTCATCAGCCCAATGATCTCGAGGACAAGTATCTTCACATTGTTCAGCGGAAGAGTAACTTAAACATTCACAAACAGACTTGTGAATGCCATAAGCTGTACAGTTTTTGCACCGTTGGTGACATTTACGACAAACGGACTTTCCAGTCAAAGGCTTAAGAGCTCCATCCTCTTTGGAGCCAATGTATTCATGGTAAAATCCTTCAGGACAAGGTTCATCTGCTTTGAGACATTTTTCAACTACATTTGGATCTTCAATTGAAACAAGCGCTCGTTCACATGAATTACATCCTCCATAAGCAGGTCGATTCGCAGGTCCAGTACATCCTGATACACAATTTTCATGGCAAGGTTTACATTCACCGGAATCATTGTACTTTGAGATTGGACATTGGTTCACACAATAAGGTCCATCGTTTACATTTCGACATTTAGTACAATTATTAGCTCCAGGACCAAAACATTTACCTAAACACTCAGGGTGACAATGTTTACATATGACCACCATCATTGTAATAACTATACAAATAAGATAAGAGATAGAAAAACAAATTCCAAAGGTAAACGGAAGTTGAGAATTAGATAAGATAAATGATGAATGAAATAATCGACTGATTAATTAATGAGCCAATAAAACAGTGAGTAAATAGGTAAACAAGGAAAAAGCAGAAACACCAATAAAAGTGATAAGTTGAAAAAGTGATGACAAACAAACGATACCGGAATATTAATTCTGTTAACCGGTGATGGTGGGAAATTACATTGATGACTGATAACGAAGAGAGAGAAATAAATAGAGAGAGAGAGAGAGAGAGAGAGAGAGAGAGAGAGAGAGAGAGAGAGAGAGAGAGAAATACACAACTAGGTAAAGAAGGTGGAAAGGTATTAATCCAAGATTTAAGGTGTTGCCGCTTCCAATGTTTACCAAATTAAGAGAGTAATTAATCAAATTGTTACGTACCCAAGTGATGAGTTGCATCCATCAATACAAGTATCAAGTAAACGATAAGATCGGCAAGATAAACATTCATCAGGACCTTTGCCCCAACATCCATCGTTACCACATTGAGGGTCACAAACTAAATTTCTGGCAACTGTAAGGTGGGTGGAGGGAAAATTGGGTGAGTGGGAGAGTAGAGAGAGAGAGAGGAAAATAAAGATTATCAGAATTTAAAATGAAATGATTCAGATTATAAAAGTTATATTATCAACTAAGAGTCATTAATATAAACAAATTTCTTAATTATGAGTAACCAATATTATCATCTGATTGTATGTTTATTTGTGTGGATGTATAAGTGCATCTGTTATTTTGTCAACAACAATTAGGAGGACAAGTTAATGATAATCAGTTGTAACTTAAATTAGTTCAAACATGAGGATAAAAAACACTCATAGAGAAAGTGAAACGCTAAGAAAAAGATCAGAGATGATCGTATATCATACAGTCTCTCACAGAAGTGCAGACAGTAGTAGAGTAAAAAAATCCCATCAATACTTGGAAACAGAGGGAAAGTTAATTACAATTTAAATGAATAATGATAATGAAGATAACAGAGGGACAGAGACAGAGTCCATTTTGAGACCTTCTTATTTAATGGAAAGACCATTTCTATTGAAGCTAAAAAAATCGTCCAACTCTGGGCGTTGAAAATAGAGACCACATAAAAAAGTAAAATTAAGGCAAGAGAGAGAGAGAGAGAGAGAGAGAGAGAGAGAGAGAGAGAGAGACAAGAAGAAGATGATGATGACGATGGTAGAAAGAAAAAAAAGTTGACTTTTTCTTTTTTCATCTTCTATTTCTTTTTTCTCTTCTTCTCAACTCATACTATGTTTTTAAGAATAAGGACAAAAAGAAACCTGATTTTGTACGCCAACTCAATTGATCAATTTTATCGTTTAAAAAAGTTGCCTCAACAACCGCAGAGAGAGAGAGAGAGAGAGAGAAAGAAAACCTTAGCGTTTATACTGAAATGTAAAAGCCAAAAAAGGTAAGATGATGAGAGAAAGAAAAGAAAGAGAGAGAGAGAGAGAGAGAGAAAGGGGAAGGTAGAATAGGTGTAGGTTCGAAAGACACATTGTTGTTCTTTTCTCTCTCACTCTTGGTGTTACTGTCGTTGCATAAACAAACACTCACACATCTGAATTAATGTTTAGTCTTTCTAATGATGATTAGAAGTGATAATCAGGCGAACTTTGGTTAAAATGGTTGCGAAGAAAAGAAAAAAGAAGAAAACGCATCGAAAAAGAACAAAAAGAAAAGAATAAAAACGAACAAAGGTTTGTCCAGTTTGTTTATCTTCTTCTTTTTCTTCACCTTCTTCTTCTGGTTTTTCTTTTTTTTCTTTGTCATCATCTGTCTCTCTCTTTCCTTATTCGTTCATACAGCTAAGTAAAGTTTTCCAATATGAGGGCACATTGGAAAAAAAAGTAAGCTAAGAAAATAAAGGTAGATGAAAACTTCACAGGTAAACAAATAAACAAACAAAAAGGTAAAAAAGTTAATGATTTGACACAAAATCGAACAAGATGAGAGGAGATACTTACGGCAAGTTTCATCTTTTCCGTTTCCGTCCAGGAATTTTTGGGCATCTGAACTAATAAGTTTCTTCCAATCAATGCTGTTTGCAAAGCAAAGATCTTTGTTCTCCGATATGACAACAGAGCCAAAACTTATCTTCTTCAACGATCGTAGATTAAGTGAGACCAGAGAAGTTTTAATTATATGTAAAGCGGCAAACATATCGAAAGTGATTCGACCCTGAATCGTTTCAAGATTCTTGAAGTATGAGAGGTTAGTGAATGCTGGATGATTTGCTTGAATGGAAATGAATCCGGTAACTTCCTTGAGAGTATGGAAAATATTTAATCTATCCGGATGCATGGGAGGAATATTTTTACCAAAGGTAAGATTGGGAAAAATTTCTTGATATCCGATGAATGAACTTTCCAAAATAATCAGAGAACCATCAATTTGGGTGCATCCACGGAAATCGTCAATATTACCAGAATGAAGCATCACATCAACACCTTTACAAATCTTGGGACAAGGTCCGTCACAGGGGACACATTCACCTGATTGAGCTTTCTTGTTGGCTGGACAGGAACGGACACAAGCTCCATTGTCTTTGAGTAGATGTTCAGGACAGTCTTTGACACATGTTGCACCATAAGCGTATTTACCTTCCGGATCGGTTTCCCAAGAATAGGTGGTTGGATTATAGCGCATCATGGGTGGACATTCCTGTTTACAGACTCCATTGTCGTAGAAATTTTTACATGCTAAGCAATCACTTTGCTTTGGTCCGGTGCAACCACCAGCACAGAAAAGGTGACAACATTCCCGTGGATTGGGACCAAAACAGCGACCCTGATGACATTGAGGTGAACAATTGATTTTGCTAAATTTTTGACAATTTTCAATACCTTCACCCCAACAACCTCTTGGACAAAGGGGATGACATGGTGGACATACTCTTTCAGGGTGGGTAAAATTGTAAGAGTAAACGGTGGTCGCTTTTGGTTCAGATAGAATTTCTTCCCAATCGATTGTCTTTATGTGACAAAGGTTATAATTGTCAAAGAAACCAACATCTCCTGCAAGAATATCTCGCAATGAAGATAATTCAAGATTTTCCATCTTACAAAGAGTAACCAATAAAGCAAACTCTTCATCTCGAATATTTAATTTGAAATGAGTTCGTCCTCGAATGATTTGTAAATTGGGCAGTGAGACCTTTTTAACATGAACTTGACTGATCAAAACGTATCCCGTCACCTCTCGTATTTCGTTTAAAAAGCTAAGATCGAAATTTTCATCTTCCAACCAAGTTAATTCCAGGTTACCATCGACATAAGTACAATTGGTATACCGATCTCTTAAATTTTGGTAATGATGTTCACGATTTGAAGGAACTGACATTCGTCCACTTGTACCAATACATATTTTACCCTTTTTGGTGGAAGATGTTGAGGTTGGATCATAAGAAGAATAAGATGAGGATGACGAAGAAGAAGAAGAAGATAATGATAGAAGAGATTGACTCAAAATGGAATCAAATGTAGTTACAAAGATAATTACAAAAATATACACAGAAAATAATGTACAACAATTAGGTATCTTCCTTGATATTGTCATCATATTTGCCTGTTAAATTAGACAAATATTAAAAAGAGAGAGAGAGACAGAGAGACAGACAACTTGGTGATAAATGGGATGATAAAGACGATGAGATATTAAGCTATCACAAAAATGGAAGCAAATATGAAGGCACAACAGGCAAAGGCACATACAAAGCACTTAAGGAGAAAGCGATCACCCAATATCCATTAGTCGATATAAAGTATCAACCATCAAGTGAACACAAAAGTTTTTATCCATAGGTAGATCAGCATATTAATCTGTGCGTAATCAACAGAATAGAATAAATAATTAGCACAATTTGAAGGCGAAACAAAATAAAAAAAAAGAATAGAACAAAAATCACATTTAGAAAACCAAGACCAATAGAAAATGAGAAGAGTAAAAAAGCTTGAAAATGTTGGTTCACTTGTTGCTCTCTAATGGTGGTTGTAGTTGTTAATGGAGAACCCAAAAAATTAATTCCATTTACTTTTATAGTTAATTAAACAGTAGACACATAGAAGACACCAAATCACAAATTAATTAACCAAGAGAATTAATTGTTGTTGTTGTTGTTATTGTTCCAATATTGTTACCATATAAAAATGAGTTTTTACCAAAAAAGAATAAAAAAAAACGTTACCGAAAAGTAATGGACACTAAAGAAAGAGAAAACATAAAGGAGAACAGAAGATTTTGTTGTTGAAGAGAAAGAAAGAGAGAGAAAAGAAAGAAGAGAAAGAGAATGATAATGATGGTGGTGATGATGATGAAGACGATGATGGAGAAGAAGAAGAAGATGAAAAAAGTAAGAGAAGAAAAAAAAGAAGGACAAAGAGAAAAGAGAAGAGAAAAATTATCTAAGTTTCTCTCTTTGCTTCGGTCAACTTACTTACTCTGAGAGACGACATTCCAACAACATCTCTCTCAGAAAAAGAAGCCCACCTCTCCCTCTCTCTCTCTCTTCCAAAAAAACAGGTAATTCTAAGACTCACTTATCTTCTCTGTCTACTTGTGTTTTCGACAGAGAAGAAAAATTTTCTTATTTATTTCTCTTTCTATTTTCTCTTACATTTGTTGCTTTATTTGCTTTTCTCTCAACAACAACCAACAGGTTTGACTGTGAGAAGAAGATGAGAAGAAGAAGAAAAAGAAGAAGAAAAAGAAGAAGAAGAAAAGAAAGAGAAGAAAAGCAAAAATGATCGACCATTAAAAGAGAGAGAGAGAGCGAACATTAGTCTTTCTATTTCTCTTTCTATTGAAGAAAGAAAGAGAAAATCTAGACTTTTCTCATCATCTTCTTCTTCTTCTCCATCCTTTTCATCCTTTTTCTCATCATCTTCTTCTTCTTCTTTTACTCTCTTGCAAATCTCAACACAGAACAAAATTGATCTTCAAATTGAGTCACAATTTTATTCGTAACTGTAAATTTTGATGTTCGTTAATTCAACCAAATCAACGGAAAAACAAACAATCAAAATCCACACACAAAAAAAAAGACTATTAATCAATGGAAACAATTAACGGTTCAGATAATTTGGTGAGAGATAATGAAACTCATGATGATGAGGATGCTCGTGTTGGTCAGTTGTCGATATTATATAAAAGTATCTTGACCAGTGTCGGTGAAGATTCAACTCGCCAAGGGCTAATTAAAACTCCCCAACGAGCGGCAAAGGCGATGCTCTATTTCACCAAAGGCTATCGACAGAAAATCAAAGGTAATGTAACAATTAACTAATTGTGTTTAAATGTTTTACTCTTGTAATTGTTTTGTTTTCATGTTGAGAATCAATTTTTTCAGAGTTCCGGTGAAATTAGTTTATCATCATGATGATTAACTAATTTGATAATGTTAATTAAATATGATTACTTATTTCCGTTTCTCTTTTAACTTGATAATGTATTTGTATGTACTCTTAATTGTTGCTGTCTAATTAATTGATTAATTGCAATCAAACAACGGAAACGATATTTTTTTTTTCAAGGATTTTTATACTTTTAATTATTGTTAGTTAATTAATGATTATTATCTTTGGCTTTTGGTCTTGATTTAGTTAATTTAATTTTGTTTCAAGTTAAAAACTTTGTTACTGATTTAGTTTTAATTGTAGCGTCTTTATAATGTATCATTTGATTGTTAATTGTTGATTATTTGGTTAACGGATTCAATTTTAACAATTAACGGGTTTACAATTTAATTTAATTGTAATCAATTATTAATATTTAACTAAACTATTATGATTATATCTGAGCAATCAACTTGTTGTAATAATAATAATTAATAATTTGCTGATTATTTAATCATCATTATCAACAATTAATTTATCATAGTGATGATCATGTTAATTGTAAATTGATTGATAATAAAATCGACAACAATTTACTAATCAGGCGACAATCAACAGGTAATTAAATTAATCATCAAACCATTAATATGCTTACAATGTAATTACAATTACGATTTACAATTACAATTAAATCAAGTGAAAAACGCGACAATTAATGATGATAACAACTATATGATTGATGATAAATTTGATAATCATATTGATCAATACAATTTAGGATATTGATTATAATTGAATTTGATTGTAATTGACAATTTGAATTGTCAATAAAAGCTGAACAATCAATAACAATAGTGTAACAATTTAAATCAATTCAATAGATTCAAGTAGTTGGGATTATATAAGAAAAGGAGATGAGATTAAGTTGATAATGTGATGGAAAAAAAAATTGTATCATTTTTTTTTTCGTCACCATGATGAAGATAATGATGAGTCCATGATGATGATCATCATTATCTTTGAGTAAAAATGAAAGTAAATGATGATGAAGATGAAGATAAGTGAGTTGATATTCAGAATCACAATTTACTCTTCAAAGAATAGGAAAAAGTTGAGCTTAATGACATCTTCTTGTGATAGATACTTTCACCGTCGTCATGATGATGATCATCATCATCATCCTCATCTTTTATCATCTTCATCCTACAGTTTCCTTCCGTTTTATGGTTAGAACTTTTATCTTCATCATTATCATCTTCATCTTCTTCTCAACAATTTTCTTCTTCTTTTTTTTTTGGTTCCTTTCTTTGAATAATCAGAAAGTAGAATCAATTGTTGTATCAGAATAAGTGGAAATTGAGAAAATTCTGATTCTTTCGATTCTCATTAGTAATCCATCTCTGACACTAACAGGAGTTTATCATCATCTTCATCATCATTATCATCATGTCTCGATGGTCAGTTGAGTGAGAAAAAGGATTTGGGTCACTTTAAGCAATTTAGATTAGTTGGTTAACTAGATTGACATTTAATCTAATCAATGTTATCAATTGTTCATTCAAACATGATGATCATTAATCTGTGGGAGAGAGAAAAGATTTTTAATTATCATGTCAATTGATTAATTTCTGGTATGATGAGAAAAAGATGAGAAATTCATTTTAATTGTTTAACGATTTAATTGTCATCTTAATTGTTTCTCTTTCTTTCATCATTAGATGTTGTCGCCGGTGCTATTTTTGAAGAGGATCATGATGAGATGGTGATTGTCCGAGATATTGAATTGTTTTCACTCTGTGAACATCATCTAATCCCATTCATTGGAAAGGTAATCAAATCAGAATAAACAATTAACTACTTTGATTGTGATTATAAATTAATCTTGCCTCATGAGAAAAGTGAACCGATTAACTTTCAACAGTTGATATTGATTACTTTTCTCATTGTCGACATCAAGTAGAGGATAAGTGATGATGAATAGATTGAGATTGTTAACGAATTATGAGTTAATTGTTGTGTTTAATACACAACAATTTAATCAAGAATAGATGATGATAGTAATTGAGTGAGATGAGAGTAAAAAAATAAGGGAGGAGGTGAAGGTGGAATCATGTTGATAATGAAAACGAAAGGTATCTCCATTTACCTGGTATGTTTACGCTCCACTAATCATGATTACAATGAATATTTTCATTATCATCTTCATCATCTTCATCATCTTCATCCTCGTAATCATCCATGAGAAACTGAAAAACGAAATCGATGAGAGATTAATTCAATTACTACAATAACACAACAATCTATTCATTTCTCACTTCTCATCTCTCTTACCTTTTCAATTGATTTTTTTCCTCTTTCGTTATTTTTATCCATCTACACCTTCATCATCCTTATCATCAACACCTCATCATCATCATTTTCTCATCTTCATCAACAATTAATCTTCACATCCACAGGTATCAATTGGTTATCTTCCTCGGAAAAAGATTCTTGGACTGAGTAAAGTTGCTCGAATCGTTGAGATGTTTGCTCGTCGACTTCAAGGTAATATCGATGAATTGATTGTTGATTGTTACTAATTAATAGTGGAAATTTGTTGTCATGATGAAAAATATTCTTGACCATTGAGTGATTTATTTTGATTACAGTTCAAGAACGGTTGACCAAACAAATTGCTCTGGCCATTACTGAAGCCATTAATCCGACCGGTGTTGGTGTTGTTATTGAAGCAACGTGAGTATTTACATAATAAATCATTTGGAATCATTTTCATGATGAATTTTTCTCACCTCTCCCTGTCAAAAGAGGGAACCATGAAAGTAGATTGATTGGAATCTCAATTAACATGAAAAATTGATCAGATTTCAATAGAAAATCAATACATTCTTACCTGGAAAATAAGTATCACATTGTCAACAGATTAACGGATTAGTTTCACATGAGACTTTACTGTTATTTTTATCTCTCTCTCTCTCTCTCTCTCTCTCTCTCTCTCTCTCTCTCTTCAATCATCTAAATCATCATCTTCTTCCTCTTCATCACATCATCATTATCTTGAGAAAAAGATGAGAAAAAGATCCGGATGAGAGAGATGAAGATGAGACTTACAGTAAATGAGATGTTCTTCCGTTTTGTTTTTTCTACGTCTCCATCAATCTGTTGCTTCAGTTTTTTTTTCTTCTTAAAAAAGAATAGAACAAAAGATATTTCCTGAAAAAGAACAGAATTTTCTTATTACTCAATGAAAGAAGATAAAAACAATCACTAATTAAGAAGGAGATTAACATAGAGATAATTAAATGAATTCACTTTCACCTCTTTTCGATTCTTCCCTGAACATTGTTATCGTTTCTTTGGTTACCATTAATCAACTTGGAACTTTTTTCCTCTTCGATAGATTTTCAATTCTATGTTCTAATCCAAAGTCTATTAATCAACTTGAGCTAATCTTCTCAATTAATTTTCTATTAATTTAGTCTCTAATTGTGATCAGGAAGTTTAGTGACAATTAAATGTTTGTTGTTATCTATTAGATGGTTATGGTTAATATCACAATTTTTTCATTCTCTTAGGCAAGTGATGGATTTTTTCTGGTGATTTGTTGATTCTTACAATAAATTACACAGTTGATTTAATTTAATTCAGTTCAGTTTTGCTTCAACAATCAACTTGAGTATTGATTATATATTCCGATTATAACTTATATTTCCAATCTTTTCTTTCAAATCTCTGAACTGGTTGTCACAATGTCCTTCCAATGCTCAAGATTTTCCACCTAAATGAATCGCCATTTTGTTTTTTTTTTCATTCGATTCTGATTCCAACTCTAATCATCCAACAATTAACTTAATTGCTCTCTCTTTCTCTTCCCGGTTACGATTTACTCAATCTTTTCAATTTGTTGTTCCGTTATAATCAGAATACATAATAACAGATTCAGGGGATTGGATATAAATTGTAGTTCTAATATTTGATATTTTTTTTCTTCTTTTTATATTTACCTTAACGTTAGTGAATTTACTTAAATTACTTGACCAGATAATCAATTTTAATTGACCATTAAGTATATACGGTCATTCATGTATACGAACATATCAATTGTTCCGAAAAGGTTAATAATCGTTGTTGGGAATCTCGAGTTAATTTAATTCCTTTACTATTATTATTGTTAATCATTTACATAATGATAATGAACTTGACCTTTTCTCAATCAATTGATTAATCAAATTTGTATCAATCTAAATTTTGTCTCTTTGCATGATAACCAAATCATTTACCTTTACTATTAATACATGTAAAGAAAATGATATTCATATGAATAATAATAAATGTTAATTGTGTGAATTGATTTATCCCTATAACTGGTTTAAATTAATATTGATATGTTATGATAATTTAAATCCACTACCTGTAACCTTTAATTCATATTCAATTGTTGTTGTATTGGCTCAATTGTTTAACTATGATTATCTCATCATTAATATTAATCTGGTTTATGTTGATGATATAATCATATGTATGTAGCAATTATATATTAATACATATCCGGATTTAAGATTAATCAACAACAATTTAGATAACTATTTATATTTGTATTGATTTTAACTGTTCAATTGTTGCTGTTGACCTTTTTGGTTGAAAATGTTAATTTCTATTAATTGGATTCTCATCATTCTCACAATTAACTAACTATTGATTATTTGTCTTTTCTTTCAGTCATATGTGTATGGTGATGAGAGGTGTCCAGAAATTAAATAGCAAGACGATGACCAGTGCGATGCTTGGTGAGTTTCGAGATGACCCCAAGACCAGAGAGGAGTTTTTGACCTTAATTGCTTCTAAATCTTGACCCAGTAGATCACAATTAACTGACAACAAACAAATACAACGACAATACAATGATGATGAAAGGGAAACATGAACAAAACTTTTAAAGTTTCATCTTAATCTTAAAGTTAATTGTTGTTGTTGACTATTGAAAATCTAAATCCAGTTTAAATTTTAATCAATTGTTTGATGTTATTAATAATATTTATCAATAACAATTGTTAACTTTAATTATTGATCAATATTGTTGGTTTCACGACTGATTATCAACAATTAACAATTCTGTTTATCATTCCCTGTGTTTAATTAATAAGCTTGTTGTGTATTTGTTATCAATTATTAACAATTGAATTAATTTTGAATGTTTAACTTTTATTTTTATGATTTTTTTCATCATTAACTTAAAATATGATTAGTTAATTACAGGGAAAAGATTACAATTAAATCATCTTAATCGTGGGTTTTAATTGTTTCCAAAATTTAGTTATATCATCAAAATTTAATATGATTCTCAATATGAGCTCATTTTGTTAATCGCAATTAACTGAAACAATTAAAACACTGACAGACTTTATATTTAGTCATAATCAACATCATCAGTTGATTGTCATCAAATAATCAACGCAATCACGTAAATATAATTGTTATATCGTTGACATAAAATATATACAATTAACTAATTGTTTGATTAAAGGAAACATAAACATTTTAAATTGTAACTAACGTGACGAAATTTTAATCCAATTAACCAAAATTAACCAACGGACAAACAATTAACCCTTTCCAAGTAGTTTAATTAAAATTAACATGTATTATTATCAATATAATAAATTGTCAAAGTAAATTAATGGTGTTGTTAACAACAATTAACTAATGAAATGTTTATTATTAATATTTATTTATTTAATCTAATCAATAAAAACAATCTCACTAATCAAATACAATTAATAAATACGATACGATATAAATTAGCAAATAAATTGTTTACCTCACACACAATTAACATTCAACAATAAATGAATAACGGTGATGATTTAAAACAATTAAACAACAACAATTAGTTGACAATCAACTAACAAGATACAGATAAAGATAAACAATCAACACCAAAGAGATATTAGAAACAAATGAATCGTTAATAGTTAATCTTAATCATCGTGCTAATTAATATGATATTAACAAATTGTGACCTGTTAACCTTGATCAGCAAATGGTTAAAGTTAATTGTGGGGACAATCAATATTAATTGTGATTCTTAGTGACATTCAGGAATCCAGTTTACCTTGGGATCCACCAATAGGATTGTTGAACTTGATTGTTGAAATACAAGAAACTTGTTGATCAACTGATTCTTTGTATTATCATCACAGAGGAGGAGGTGGAGTTGGTGATGAAGATGAGGATGAAGATGATGATGATGATGATGATGATGATGATGATGATGAGGATGAAAAAGAGGAGGAAAAGTGGGAGGCTTAGGATGAGAGCTTCTGGATCCAGGGCTTCAATTGGTTCGCCATCAATAGTTGTAGTTAAATCAAATGAATTCTTGAAAAGTTTCATCAAGAATCTGAGGAATTAAATAAATTACAGATTACAAATTAATCTTTAGTAAATTAATCCTAAGCGATCAATTGAAATTAATTGTTGATCCTTGATTATAATCAATTGGTTAATCAGTTTTATAACTTTTTTTTCAAATTTGAAAAGACACAATTGTTGATTTACCTTTGGAATCGGTTGTAAGTTAATCAACAGTTAATTGTTAACAGAAATTCATTTCTGTTTTTTTTTCTGCAAGCAATTAAGTGTTAATGTGATTTACTGATTGTTAATTAGATTTTTGAAGATTTTAATTGTTGATGCTTGAAGCTGTACCAAAGTTTGGGATGAACAAGCAAAGTTTTAATTGCTAATCAAACAAATTATACATATAATCAATATTAGCAATTTAAAATTGTTAATTCATGTTAATTGGTTTGATTAACTTAAAATCTTAATCATTGAGCTTAATTATGATGTAAAATAAACAAGATTGTATTTAAATTGTTTGATTTTTTCAGTCGGTTATGATTTCAGGTTAATCATCATGATTACGATTGTAATTTGTAATCAGATGAGTTAATTAACTGTATCAAGTTCAATGAATGAAGGTCAATCTGAGTTGGTTAAAATTTTGATTAGTAAATAATAATAATAATAGTTATCAAAATGAACTGGATTAAGAGATGAACATGATTAACCTAATCAACTTTAATTACTTGTGATTGTGAAGATTTAAATTGTGATCATCTTTGATTAACCGTTACCTTGATCATCCTGATAATCAACAATTTCCTGAAAGCTTGTTAATTATTCAAGGTTAAATTAAGTAAAATTAATTATATCAATGTTGATAATTTGCCCATGGAAACAATTAACTTAATCATTTAACCTTCAATAGAAACAGAAAAAAATTAGTTTTTAATTTCTGATCAACATTTGATTGAGAATAATTTTTTCTAAATCATATAATTAAGTTTGTCTGAATGACGATCAATACATTAATTTTAACAATTAGACATCAGGAATATTAAAAAAATTGTTAATTGAATTTAAATAGATCATCATAATTTGATTACTATTATTAAAATCTATCGACAGTTAAGGTTAGGTGAGTGGAAGATTTTATCAATCGATTAACAATTTAATTTCTTTGATTGATTATCAATTATCATTAAATTGTAATTAGCATCAGAGAATACAAAAGAATTTTATTCAAAAGTTTTATTCGAAAAAAATTCGATACATTTTTCGATCGATTCGTCCGATAATCGCCAAAGTTTTACCGATAACTTCGCGTCCCTCGAGTGATTCCTTGTCCCAAGCACCGTCTTCAGTTTGGTCCATGTGGTATCTGAAGGTCGAGTCAATGACAGAACGATGAATAGCTCTGTCGATGGCATTTCCTTTGAGTGGCCTGAATCGCACGAAAAATGGACTGAGTGGGAATCACAGATCACAATACAAACTATTGCAAAGAAACGGCTCAAATCAACACAAAGGAATTTTTCAATTTCATCTTTGTCTATTAACACTAGATAATTAATATTATCAGTTAATCAAGACAAAGATTGATTAATTTAACTTAATTATATTGATAATGATGATTATCATTATGTATTATCAATCAAGTAATTCTTGGGTAATACCTAATTTAAATGAGACTAAAACAGATGAAAATTGAGATGATGATTTCATGAGACGATTCAGTTAATTCAGTTGATGATTAAATTGTAAAATCAATTCCCTGAGGATAATTAAGTAAAGAAAAACAAAGTTTGGTAACATCGGTTTCCAAGGGATGGGAATTCCAAGTCAACCCTGTAATAAATTCAGAGAGAGAGAGAGAGAGAGAGAGAGAGAGATGACCATTTTTTTCACTCTCTCTTCTTTCTCAATGTATGAACTTGTATGAAAGAAATAAAACTGCCCTCAGGGCATTCGGAGGAAATTAAACTACGTTCAATTCAATGGTAAGAAAAAACAATCCACAATGAAACAGGTTCTTCTCTTTCTTTTTTCTTTCTTTTTACCATCCACATCATCATCATGAAAAGATCATGAAAATATTGCTCAGCTCTCTCTCTCTCTCTCTCTCTCTTCGGCATGTCTCTGTTTATTGAACACTTTCCTTTCATTTGATTTCGAGGATCGAAACTCACTAATCGGTTTGATAATCCGATTATTGGTCTTGTGCTGATGCAAAAGCGGGAAACCGAATGTCCTCCGTCTCTCTTAATCACTCTCACTATTTCTCTCCCTCTCTTTTTCTCTCTTTCTCCTTCTTTAATCTTCCCTCCCCAAACAGCGTATTTACCATGAGATAGGAATCTTTGACCTCCATGTAAAGTGAATATCTTCTTGAATTTTCCTCTTTTCCCCAACCTCCTACTTCCTACTTTCTTTTACCTTTTATTTTCCCTCAGCGGGGTTTACCCGCCTCTCAATTTTTCCCCTCTTCATCCATCGTGGACACAAAATTGAAACAAACTAACCATGAGTCCATCGGTAGATCCATCAGTGAATACAGTGACCCTTCAAGTCGTAGGTCGTCCACGTTCCCATACAATAGTAAGTATGGTCAGTTCAACAAGTGTTTGGTCTTCGGTGTCAACCCGATCAGCTCCAAGTGAAAAATCAGCCGTTCAGGCTAAACAAGTTTCCCTCGTTCTCATGAATGGATTAGAACCCGTGCCAATATTAAATCGTCTTAATCTAAATGTTCAAAGAGGAACAATTTATGGGCTTTTAGGTCCATCAGGCTGTGGGAAAACTTCATTTCTACGATGTCTCATCGGTTTCCAGGCCATTTCTTCAGGTAAGATAAGTGTCTTTGGTTACCCTCCAGGCGATGAAAGATCAGGTGTTCCCGGGAGAGGTTTAGGTTACATGCCACAAGATTTGGCTCTTCACGAGTACCTGTCCATAGGTGAATTGTTGACCTATTATGGTAACTTGTACCTAATCGAGACGGAGACTCTTAAAAAACGAATCGATCGTCTTATAACCTCTCTCGATCTTCCGGATAAAGATCGTCTTGTGATCAATTTAAGTGGTGGACAACGTAGACGTGTCTCTTTTGCACTGACCATTGTCCACAAGCCAAGATTACTCATCTTGGATGAACCAACAGTGGGCTGTGATCCAATACTTCGTGAACGTATTTGGGAATCGTTGACACACTTTTCAACCGTTGACAGAATAACGGTAATCATTACAACCCATTATATTGAGGAGGCTCGACGTTCCCATCGAGTCGGTTTCATGAGAACGGGATCAATTCTAGTTGAAGATTCACCCACTGAATTAATGGACAGAATGGGTTTTAATACATTGGAAAAAGTGTTTCTAGCTCTTGTAATGGACAATAAAACAAAAGACTGTATTAATAATAATCAAAAAAATCAACTAATTGTTAACGTTCAACAACAACGAACATCATTTGTTAATGTTAATCTAGAAGATGAAGATGAAATTTCAAGTGATGAGATTAATTATGATGATAGTGATTCAAATGATTGTGCCAACGGTAAACAAAGACCTCGATCAGTTTCATATACCTCAACAATAGCACCGATTAAATATCCAATGTCCGAAGTGTCCGAGATTATGGTTGATTATAAGAAACCAATTCCCGTGAGACGGAAAAATTTAGAGACTCGATTATTATTCTGGTACTACACTTTGATCATCGTAATTCAAAACATCGCCATGCAAATTAAACGCACACCAACAACGATAATTGTTCAATTTGTGATTCCGTTAATTTCCTTAATGTGTTTCTGTATGTTTGTTGGTCAAATACCTTACGATTTGAAACTTGGTGTGGTCAATAATGAATCGCCCGTTAATCTGTCCAGTTTGTTATTATCTACCGTTAATCGGTATGTTTTTACCCAAGTGCCTTTCGATTCGGCTGAGAAGGCGAAAATTGCAGGTAAAACTCAATCGATCGTCGGTTGGATTGAGATTCCTGAAAATTTTACTTCCGCTTTGATTCAACGTTATCGTAAACCCGATGAGTTTACCAATAAAACTCACGATGATTCAACCATCTTATTACATCTCGATGTTACTAATTGGCCGATTTCTTGACCATTGAAAGGTCGTTCCAACAAGCTTACCTTGATTTCGTTCAGAAAATGATGACCCACCTTGGTCGTAATCCGGCAATCACCAAGATACCTGTGGACGTACCTGAGGTTGTCTATGGATCGTTGGAGACCAATGATTTCTCAGGATTTCGAGAATTTGTTTCTGTCGGGATTTTGGTCATCATTTCATATACGATCGCTTTTGGTGCGACCATTTTGGTCGTGCTTTTGGAGAAGGTCAGTCTCATATTCGAGAGAAACTTTGCTGCAGGTAAGAACAATTAATTAATCACTTGATCCTCAAAACAATTGATCGAAAAGTACATTGGCTTTACTTTTCCAAATGACAATTAACCTTTTAAATGGAAAATTATTCCAATTGTTTTTCTTAAAACCTATTGTCCCAATTATCTTAATTGTTTTCATTTACAAACAAAAAAAAACAATCAAAGGAAATTTACAAATTTAATTTAGCTCTAATTGTTGACAAATTGAAAGGTTAATCCAAGGTCTCTTTGTTAATCTCTTAAATCCAACACCTTTTGTGTCTATGGATTAGATTAACTGATAGTTTTATCATTTTGATTGTTTTCAATTTGTTATTAATCACTTTGGTTTTTTCAGCTAATTAGCCTGAGGCAATTAAAGGAAATGATGATCATATGGGTTTTGGAGGTTGATTCATGATAAAAATGATGAAACCTTGTGATAAATTGTTTAATCGCCATTTTGATCATTTGATGTTTTAATTGCAATTAACAAATTTACATGGTTAACAAAACATTTCCAATTGAAACAGAAATATTTCCTTGGCGTTTTAATAGTTGTTTGCTAATTGGTTAATTAATTTAGACAATTAACTCGGAAACAAATTACCAATTAGGTGGACAATTAACACCGAAAGCACATAATAAATTAAATATATAACTCAAGATCAGATTGATAGAAACAACAACAACAACAATTAAGAAGATAATTTTTCTGTCACCTTGATTGTTAATTTGGATAAAAAATTTACTAATTAGACTTTCTCTCTTCCATTAAAAAGGTGTAACCACTGGTCAGTTAATCCTTGGTCATCTAATTACTCGAGTTGCAGTTCAAAGTATCGTAGTTATCGTACTTTTCCTAATAGTTTTAGTCCTATTCGAGGTTCCAAACCAGGGATCGTTTTTCACCGCCATAGCTTTACTTTTGGTCCATTCGCTGACCGGTGCCACTCATGGTATCTGCACCTCTGCAATGTCCACCTCTCTTTTTATGGCCTCGATTTTCAGTAACGCGGTGATCATATTTTTCTTCATCATCGGCGGAGTCCTATGGCCTTACAATTCGCTTCCCTATTATCTCAAATGGGTGGCACTTATTTCACCGATTTGTTTGCCCACTGAATCTTTAAGAGGTGTTCTTGTCCGTGGATGGTCATTCACTCATCCTCAGGTCATCTCTGGATTCGCCATCTCATTGGGCTGGACATTGATCTTCCTACTTGGTGCTATTCACTCATTTAAATACGGAATCTCAACTGCTAAACGTTAACGATTCAAATTAATTATCTTCACAATGATTATATATATTAACCAGCATCACACTATTCATCAATCATATCATCATAATTAACCTGACAATCAAAAAGTAATCATCAGATTAAAGTGAAAGTGATTACAATTATTTATTGTTCTCGATGTGTGTTGAGTCATGTGAGTGTGTTGGTCATCCTACTGGTCATTTACATGTTTCCCTGTTGTCGTTTATTGTAAAAGAAGACAAACTTTTCAACAATCGTCATCATGATTAGTTGATTGTGTTCGTGATAAATATAATTATCTAGACAATGAACTGAGTAAGATATGTTTACCTAAACACAGAAAATAATGATTAATTTTTTTTTTCTCTTCTTCTACTTAATCATCAACATTTATCCTTCGTATTAATAGAAATCTATTATTTATGATAATTTGCCCTGAAGCGAAAAGAAATGATTAAAATTCAATGAATTGTCCTTAATTGTTACATGTTGTGATTTTCTAATTACAATTAACAGGCAACAACAATAATGATTTACATTAACACAAATACGATTGTTGTATTAACTTTCTCAGATTAAATTGTAAAACTAAATCATAACAATCAGATCAAATGCTAAATATGAACCAAAATTGATTAATATTAATATAAAGATAATCATCTAATTGCTAATATAAATCATCACCTTTTCAATTTGTGTCCATTGTGATCAATTAAATTAAAAAGGTAATTCACTCACTCAATTGTTTTCTATGTGAAAATTATAATCAAATTGTAATAATATCATCTTTTTGTATTTAAACTGAATTAAAATATTAACCAACATTAAATTAGACTCACACAATTTTAATCAAGTTGATTTTGTTATTATTTTGATTGAAAACCATTTGATTGTGAAGGTAAAGTTTTCCCATTGAGAAAATGAAAACTTCTCAATGTAAATCAACTGTTCCTAATTGATTAACCAAAGATACTCAACAGAAACAATTAGAAACAGTTGAATTAACCAACAGGTAGGCACGAATTAAACAAAAAGCATCAATTGTAATCCAATTTAAGTGTAACAATTTAAATCTAATCATCAAGTAAATAAAAATGAAGATGAAACAACAAAAACAACTCAAAGAAAACTTTAAATTGTTGCAATATAATATTTACCATTGAGAAGAAGGTAATTCCTGATTCTAGAAGATTAGAATTGAAATGATGATATTGATAGTTAATTATCACGAAAACAATTAAAACAAGATGATGATGATTAGAGGGGATAAGTTGATTAGGGAAAAAATTGAAATCCTGGTTATCAAGACTGGTTAAGGTGAACCAACCAGTTAACCGGGTTGGTTTCTTAGGTTAAACCAGTTAATTTGAATTGCTTGTTGATTATTAACTGTTATTTTTACTATTAGTAAATTGTATCAACGATGTATCATCACCACGTTGAAACAGTTAACCGGAAATCAGACCAACAATTAGAAACAATTTTCTAATAAGAGACCAAGAAGAAATTTAAATCTCTCTGTGTTTTCCCTCCAAAAAAGTTAATCCTTTAATCTTAATCAGTTCGTCTTTATTATTTTCTCATCTAATTTTCAGTTCGAATTTCAATTTATCGTTAATCTACCTCATGGTTAATCTATTCAATGTCAAGTTCTATCAAATTCCACAGAAAACAAATGTTCCAAAGATTAATTGTTATACCGATCATCTAATTGTCACCAATTATCTTTGTAAACAGTTAATTGTTTGCTTTCTTTTCATTGGTTTGATTTGTGATTCTCTGACCAATGGACAATTTTATTCACCTTCTTCTTCATCCTCATCCTCTTCATCTTCTTCCTCGTTTTTACCTTCATCTATGGTGACAAACCTTTGGAATCAATTGACATCAAGTACTGGGAATCGACGACAAGATGTACCACCAATTAATCCCGAACAATTGGAGCAAGGACGTAAGTTAATTACTATAATTAATTATCTTCCATAGATGAGTATCAATCTCTCAAACTCAAATTCATTTCTAATGTTCAACTTTCTTGTTGATCTTTTAATTTTGAGAATTTAATCTGATTGAGAAATTTAAATCCATTGAGAATCAGATTAATCAACTTGTATCAATTGTTTCTTCATATTATTATTATTCTGATATAATTTAGCTCTATTTGTTGGTGGAAGCTTTGACTTTGATTTGAATGAATTGGCTCATCTTATTCAGCCGATGTTTAATTTGATCAAAAATTCTGAGATAATTAAAGTTGATCAAGGTGGAAACCGTGGTAACCAAATGAATTCAGGTAACCAAGTAAATGGAAACAATAATAATAATGAACAGTTGATTACTTCAGCTTCATCTAATCGACCTGGATTAACGTTTTCACCTTCATTTGGCCTTGGATCAACACAGATTAAGCCCTTAATCACTTTAGCTGTACCTGAGATTGAATTTCTAAACAATAATAATGAGGCCAATAGAAATACTAACAACAACAACAACAACAATCTAAATAGTGATTATAATGGTAATAATAATCAGCAACTTAATTCTCAGCGAATATCATCAAATCATCAACTAATTAATCGCTACAATGGAAGACCAATTCAAACCATTGATCCATTTTTAGCATCAGCATCCGGTGACCTCAGTCCATTAACATCATCTTCCCTTAATCTAAATGGCATAAATCGTGGTTCCTCTTCATCCAACGGAAGAAGGAAAAAGAAACGAAAACCGAATAATAATAAAAATAAGAATCGCAATAAACCATTGATTCAAATTGTCGACGATGATCAAGAAGAGACCGATCAAAGTAACGATGAAGAAGAGGACAGTTTAATACCAATGTCATCAAATAATAACGGAGATGAGAGCGGTGATGATGATAATCGTAAAGACACCGATGAAAGTCAAGCTCTTGATCAGATTCTCGAAATGGGTTTACCTTCATTCCTAATGGAGGAAATTTTCGGCCTCAATAAGCGACTATTAAAACCTGGTAAAATTTTGGCCCATTTAACTTTCGGTGCGCTGGCTCGAGGGATGATCAAGCGTTTCTTTAAGACTTTTCTAGCTCGATCAATGCCTGATCGAGGTGGACTCATTCGCCGTGTAGCCGATCAAGGTTGCAGGTCAGTTAAAGGATTAGGACTTCGAGACTCGGTCATACTTCCGTTAGGAGTTGCGGTCACTCTTCATCCGATCTTCACTCCCTTCATGCCCGCTATGCTTTTCGCCCTTGGATCACTAAAAGCAATCGAATCAGCAACTTGCTATGTTAGTAACGCTCTAAGATGATTAACTTTCATAACAATTTAGCCAGCAATTAGTTAACCAGATCAACTAATCAACCACTTACCTTTACCTTTAAATCATTCAAAGTGATTCCATTTTTATTGTATAAAAAAAAAACTTCTAGTATCTAAAGTTTTCATATCTAGTGTATCAATTTATCATACAGATTGATTAACTTATTCAATTAAATTAATACTTTGTTAATCTATCAATATATTAATATTAATTTCGTAAGCTGATTTGTTTGATTAACATTATCGTGATCAAGATAATCACTGGATAAACATTATCATTATATTTTCCAGGTAAGTAACTTAATTTTCCCAAGCAAATTGACAACAATAATCAGGTATGAATTAAACATATAATTAACTTAATCATGATAATAATTCATACAGAAATTGATGGTTAACATTTCAAGTTAATCATCGTCATGTAATCAGGGTGGTCAATGAATAGATTCAACCTTTCAATAGTAATTGTGTATTCTGATTTGTGATATTATTGAATATATGTAATTGTAAAATTGTACGTTTTTGATTAACTTAATTTCCCAATTAATTAGAAGATAATTAAATTAACCTGAGATTAGTTGATTTGATTATAAGCTTAATCAATTGTGAAAGATTTTATCATGATGAGAATGGATTGAAATTGTCTATGGTCAATTCAATTTAAGTCTCAACATGGAATTGTAATTTTGCAATTGGAAAAAGATTAGAAATTGATTTGATTGTTGGAAAGAAAAAGATGAAATGATTTGTTGATTGTTGGAGATAAATTTTTGCTAATTCTTTTTACATAGAGAATCAGGTAAATTATTAAATCACGACAGGAATCACGATTTAATCACATTGTTCACCAAATATCCATCAGAGAATCATCACTGATCATGATTAAGAAATCAAAAGTAATCAAAGATATAAAAGAGAATAGGAAAATCTGCTTAAACTAACATAGAGAAAAATAAACTGACCACAATTACCAAACAATCAACAAACAATTGTAAACATGATTAAAGTCAAAGTTAATCATTGAAGAGATTTAGAAGACAGGCCAAGATTGTCGAGAGCGAAGAGAAGTAGAAAAGAAAAGGCCATTACCTGGACATCGCTGGACGAGAAGAGACAGAGACACAAATCGTTTCTTTATCTTTTTCTACCATCGGTCATACTGATTGACCATCGATGGTCAAGATTTGTGTCTTCTTTTTTGTTTCTCTCTCTCTCTCTCTTATCCATAAAAATGTCAATTTTTGACGAGTGACAGTTGAGTCTAATGTGACATATGATCATTTCTGGGATTTGATTAACTGATAATCCGAATGCTAATCATGTCAATTAATAGCAAATATAAGTGAATATAAATCAAGGTGAAGAGAAAAGTAAAATAAACAAAAGGTAAAAAATGAAACGAGAAAAAAATAACAACAACAAACGAATTGAGAGTCAGGGTGCTTGGAGGAAGATGAAGTAGCTAAGAGAAGAAGATGAAGAATCTTTCTTTCCTTTTCTCTTTCTTTATCATCCTCATCAGCATCATCAACATCTTCCTCTATCAATCATTTGCCTCTTTCCTCTCATCATCATCAACCAAAATCTTCCTCTTAAAACATTTACCAGAAAATGTACATTTCCAAGGAGAAAGAACATTTTGATTTTATAATTGCAACTGGTAACAAGATGATGAGGATGAAAATGGGGGTCAAAGGTAAGAAAGAGAGAGAGAAAGGTAAGAAAAAAAGGTGATATGAAGATGAAAATGATGATGAGGATGATAAAGATGAAAGGAGGAGCAAAGCTTCAAAGTGAGTCTGGAGCCAGAACTAAAATGGACCTGAAAATATTTGGAAAACGTGATGAGGTGAGGTTATTAGGGCTTCTTTTAACAAGAAGCAATAAGAAGATGAAGAAAGAAAAAATCTTCATAGACATAATCTCTTTCTTTTTCTCTTTCTCTTATCATCCTCATCTTCTTCTTCTTCATCTGCAAACAAGTTGGAAAGGTAAGAAGAAGGTAAAATTTTTCTGAGGAAACATTTCAAGCAGCCGATGAGGTGCCAATAAAAAGGTCTACTTACTTTTCACCTTTCTTTTCATCCTCATCTTCTTCTCTATCTTTCATTATCATCCTCATCATCTCTTTCTCTCTCTCTCTCTCTCTCTCTCTGGCATCTTCTCTTTCTTTCCTTTCTTGCATATTTCTCTTCTCTTTCTTACCTTGGTTATATTCATCTCTCTCTTTTGTGTCTCTTTTTCCAGGTAAACCATTTGGAAACTTTTCTTTCACCTTTTGCAATTACATTAACAATTCAAATTGCTCACTAATTACACTAATCACAATTAGGAGCAAATTGCATTTTCACTGATTATCAAAATTCATTGGTAACGTTAATTTATATTTCTCATTCATTTCTATCAAACTTTTGATTGAGTTCTCATTTGGGTGATGATAATTAAAACTGATTCCAAATCAACGTGAATATTTTGTTTCATTTAAATTTCCAACAATCAAATTTACTTCTCATTGGTTTTTTGATTGTTGATTGGTTTGTATTGATTGGCTGATTCTCAGTGATTAAAGTTTAATTTTGTTCTCTCTCTCTCTCTCTTCAATTTAATCATAAATATGGATTCCAAAAGTTTGAAGGTTAACAATTTATTTCCAGGTAAATCATTGCCCATTAATCAGTATTACCTGTGATTTCAGATAACTGGATTAACGAGATACTCAAGCCTCCTGTGATGATATTTAATGATAATCATCTGCTAATTTGATTGAATTGATCAACAACAAAATCAAGTTGAAATTAAAGTTTTCCCTTGATCAACATTAACCTGATTTTAAGCCCGTAGGGTTAATTGTTTGTCAAAAAATATATTTGATTCTGATGAAAATTCATAATAATAAAAAATACATTCATTGGTTTTTCTTTCAACTAATCAACTGATTGTGATCATTATTTTGATTATTTCCAGTTGATTTAGTTGTTGTATATTTGAACCAGAAATCCTTTAATCCTGTTCAACTTAAATTGTGAGTTGATTGTGAAATATTAATAATAAATGATGATTAGTTTAAATAGTTCAAGTTGAATGTTATTTAATCAAATTGTGATTTAAGATGGTTAGTTGATTGTAATTGCAAATAACAATAAATAGACTCAACCGATTAGTAAATTGTATTAGATGATCAATTGAAAAATGGAAACAGTAATTGATTTAGATTCTATCAAGTTAATTAGTATCTTAATCATCTTGAAATTTTCGGATTATTTATCATAACCATCAATAGGATTGGATTAATTTAATTAGGTTGATATTTAAGCACAATTAAGTTTAATCATTGTTGTTACTGTTTCCATCCTCGTTAATTGTTATTGATTGAAACAATTTAATTGTGTCGTTGTGACTTGAGGTGATTTTTAATTGTGAAAATTAAGGTTTGGTTTATTATTATTATTAAAGAGTATCTTAAATTGTCAAGGTGTGTTGATTGTGATGGTTAAATGTTATTAGTTAACTCAATTAGTTAACAATTAAGTTCAGGTCACTGATATTTAATTGAGAAGATTTTTGTTAAATCAATAAACCAACAATTAAAAGCGTAGGTTAATTTAGATTAAAATTTGATTGTAAATATTTTCCTATCTGTGTAGGTTTACCTTGTAATGGATGAATAACAATTAACTGATTACCTGGATCACTATTAATTGCAATTAGATAGACAGATTAGCTTGTTAATCGTTAACATCTCAATGATAATCTCAGACCAACAATCAATAACAATAAAGGAAAAATTAATCAATTGTGTCTGATCAATTTGATGAATTATTTTTCCCAATTGTTTTTACCTTTAATTTCATCTAACAATTATTGTTATTAATTGTAGATGAAAATGATGATTGTAGCATAATAATAAATTACCAAAACAATTTAATCTTTAATTGTAATTAGAAACAAAAACAATTAAAAAAAAGTTTTTTCATTTCAGTTAACACAATTAACTTTTTCAGATAACAATTGTTAATCATATATCAACAATTAAACACCAATAAACAAAAAGGTAAACATGATGATCAATCTTTAGTATTTTATATTTTAATTATTAGGGACAAAAGTGATTAGTTAATTGTGTTGGAATTTGTTTTCTAATAAATTGATTGGAAATTTATTCGAGTTCAAAGCGACATCTGTCGGTGGAAAAAAAAAATTTTCGATAAAAAGTTGAAAAAAGTTTGAGAAACTTGAGACTTTGAATAAACAAATAATTAGGAAACTAATACGAATGAAAATAAATTGTGATTAGTTTACCTAAAGGACATTGTTAAATATTGAATGATAATCTTAACTATAAGTGGATATTGATTAACATTAATTTTGTTCGTACTTCTTTAACTTGTCATCAAATTGACAATCACAACAATAGCACAACAATTAACTGAGAATGAGAAACAAAATCAATGATAAACAATTGAAAATTTATCTCATGTTAAAGATAAACAACAATTTACTAATTGTAATTTGATTCATTTAAAAGGTAAAACATTTTTAAACAAACTGAACCTAAATTTTCAAACAATTTACTTGATTGTTGGGATAAACTTTTCTGTTCATTTCTGAGTTAGTTAAATTACAATAGTAAAACTAAAATGTAATTAACTGTATAAATATAATTGTCTTTGTAACAAAAACAAAAACAATCAACAATAATTAATGATATTGTTAATTTCAAATGTATTCATTTTAATTGTACTTATTATTATTAATTAACTCTATTACCAATGATCCTAATCAACCTTTAGGGAAAATTTGTTTATCATTTATGGTTGAATATGAATATTAAATTGTTATTGTGGTTTAGCAGCAAAAAAATTCAAACAAAATGATTAATTAAACAGCAAATCTAATTAGTCAACATAGACAAACATTATTATTAGATTAATTAATTAGCCTTCTAACCACTGTTGGTTTATGGAGATTCAAACAATTAATGAATTAATTGTTTGATCAAATCCATTAAGAGACTCTCATAATAATCTAACAATCAGAATATTTCATGGTCAAGATGAATATCATTCTCACGGTAAGTTGAACAATTAGTTAACTACATAAGAGTAATTAAGAGGGAAACACTGTTGACATTATGGATGAACAATAATTAAAACGAGAACCTTTAATCAGTATGAGATTAATCAACAATTAGCCTGAACAATTAAGCTTTTGTGGTCGTTGTCAACTCTTTGTTTGAATTTCAATCGTTAATCAATATCGTTGGAAAGTTTAACGATTATTTTAAATTTGTTGATAGGAAATAAACAACAGCGATGACGACGACGATGATGATGATGATGATGATAATTACAATTGTTAATGATCACCTTTATTTCCGGTGACAGTCCCGTGCCTATGATATGGTTAAATAAGTTTACAAGTTAATCATTAAAGCGTAAAAAAAGTTACCAAAAAAAAGGTGAACAAAGTGAAACTCATACAGAGATTTACCTTTGACTAAATTGTTGATACAAAACGTTTCTGGTAGTTAAAATAGACGTAAATTAAATCATTCATGTAAATCCAACAATCAGTGATTGTTAATTGTTGCAACTTTAAAGTAATCATATGGAGAAATCAACTTACAGACCAACCTGGTTGTGGTCATTTAATATTTTTCAGATTTCATCCATCAACTTGCAATCAACGAGTATCAATAATTGTGTTAACTTAATTGTTTCAAATGATTTTACAAATTGAATTGGTTGTTGATCCACTTGGAGATTAGTTTAAAAGTTAATTCAGTTTGATTGTATAACTAAATTTAGACTGTTTTTGATTTTTTTACTATGGAAATTATTCTCACCGTAAAATTACATTTCTACTTTCTAATTAATTAATTAGAGAGATTTTCCTCTTATTTTGACTTCCGTTAACTTCCGGTGACCCAGAACTCTTTCAAGCATTTCCTCTGTGACTTTCCATGTGAATTATGAGATTTTTTTCAAAATTTACATAGATGAATATACAAGTGAGATTGTTATTTACTCCTGGAAAAAAGTGATTTTTTTCCTGTCACATTTAAGGATAACGGACGAAATATGAGTAAACAAAGATGATGATGATGATGAGGATGAGGATGAAGATGGAGATGGAGATGGAGATGAAGATGAAGATGGTGAAGATATCAGAGAGTGAAACTAAGTCAAGGATGAGAACCAACGGTTTCCCGAGTGAAGGAGATGATGAGGATGATGGAGTTGATGGAGATGCCGATGAAGATGGAGGAGAGATGCAAATGATGGATAAAGTGACTTTGGATCATTTTATGTAGAGTAAAAGATTTTTTTTCTCAAGAGAAGAGAAAATTTTTTGTTCTTTTCCAGTTGACAGAGAAAAGACAGAAGAAAAACAAAATAACGAAACGATAACAGTTCTTAACGTTCAATAAGATTTACTGGTTAATTGTAGTAATATGATCAGTCAGTTAATTAAGTCAACAACAAGTAATCAATTTGTCCAATGAGGAAAACAAAGTTTCACCTTTGACAATCGAGACTTTGATCACTTTGCTTTTATCAATTAACTTTCTCAATATTTTAAGGTGAATGATTGATTAAGATACATTCTAATCAATGGTTAGACTATTGTTAGTAAATTGGTTGAGTTTATTGAGAATTTAATTGTAAAAGTAAATGTGAAAATTAATAATGAGAAAATCGTTTTGGTGACGAAAAGTGAAATTTAAATTTTCTCACACAATTTGAGGTCTTCCAAGGGTCATTTATGTGGTTCCTTGTTGATTGTTGCTTGATTATCACCTCACTCTCTCTCTCTCTGCTGGATATTAATAGTTGACAATCAACTATAATTACAGCCAACAGAGTTGATTATGATTCTAATATAAAAAATACACATCTAATTACAGGTATCATTGAAATTTTCAATTTCGATTTCAATTCAGATAATATAAAATCTTATCTCTCTCTCTTGCAGAAATATCAATATTGTAGCTATCGAAAGGTCATCGATGAAGTTGATGACCGTCATCATCAGAAACCCATCAAATTGATAATTTTATTTCTTCATTTTTTATATCATCATCATCATCATTTGAAGGTGTGTCGAGAGAGAGAGAGAGAGAGAGACAAATATAATATTACCTGTTCTTACCGTTTGATACCATAAATATGTTATATAAATGGACTATCATTGCAAATAATAATTAGAGGGTATACAAGGTGAACCAAAATATAAGCAAAAGTAATAATAATGATGATGATCAACATCATTATGATGATAATAATGATAATATATATTACTACTGTGAACAGGTAAGATGATGGTGATGATGAAGGTAAAAGAAAAGAGTCCAAGCAAAAAAGGAACAAGAAATTGGTCCAACTTGTAAGACGATAATTTTGATCGCTCCAAGGCAAAGTTATGGTGTAAATTTCAGTTTATCTTCTCTTTCTTTTCTTTCTTTTCGTCATCATCATCATCTTGAAACAATCTTTTTTTTCTTCAGAGTAAGAGAGAGAAAGAAAAATAAATAATACCTAAGTTATTATACTTTTCTGCTCAACTTCATCTTGGATTTTTTTTTACTTTTCTAAGATGTTGCTGTTTTTTTGCTACGCTCACGGACTTAGGATGATGAACCAAAGGCGAGGATTATGAAGGTGGATGATGCTGGTTGTAATAATGATGACAAGAGAGACAGACGGAGAGCGAAATGAGAGAGAGAGAGAGAGAGAGAGATGTTGTATAAGAATGAGAGAGATGACAGAGAGAAAGAGAGAGGAAGCAAGACCGGAAGATACACATTACAGGAAGTTGAGAGGGAAAGTGAATGTGAAATGGGGTGAAAAGAGACCACAAAATGAGAGAGAGAGAGAGAGAGAGAGAGAGAGAGAGAGAGAGAGAGAGAGAGAGAGAGAGAGAGAGAGATGTATATTACTCATGGAAGATGAGAAAAGTTATGATGATCTATGTAAAAACGAAACTCATGATATGAAGCGAAAATTGTTCATCATGATTATTTTGGGAACTACTGATTCGTTCATGAGCTTTTGTTTTCCTTTGTATTTTGTTTTTCTTTTCAAATTATTATCATTCTGGTTCCAAGTTAATATTATTTTCCATTCAACAATTGAGTTGATTGTTGTTTTTGACCATTTAAATACTCTAATTGTTGTAGTAACTCATTAAAAAAATAGTAAAACTAGAAAACAACTTTATTAATAGTGATGGTTTAGTTAAAATCATTAGATCGATTTGAAATTTTCTTTTCATCATTTAATTTACTTTCTATTAGCTGGACGTTGGTAGTTAATTACATGATCAATTTTACTGATTGTTTGACCAAAGGCCAAATTTTGCATTTAAAAAATCAGTTAAGTTCAACCAAGTGTATTAATGCATTTCCTGTATCAATTTAATTCTTTGTCCATGTTAATTATCATCTTCTAGATTAGATTAGTGATTCTCTTGTATTAATTAAATACGAAAACAAGTGACAAACTATTAATTATATCATCGGAAATGTAACCGATTATTTTAATTTTCCTTAATAATTTTACCTCTTTGATCAAGTTTTTCCATATAATAATAAATAAATTAAACTCCAAGAAACTGATAACCTTTAATTATAAATAATTCTAATTCAGTTTCAATCGTCAGAATTAAAAATCATTTCCATTATCAGAAAATCAAAGAATCACAATTAAAATTAATTAGTTTCTTACGAACGGGCTAGTGTTTCCATCTATCGGTCAAAGAAAAAACTACAACGAATTAGATTTTTTTTTAATTGTAATTAAGAGTATTTTATTTGTTTCTTATTAATTAAAGGAGAAAAGGTCAGAGTATTGATTGAGATAAGCAAATTGTCACAATTAAAGAGAAATGTTTTAATCTTGAAGACACAATAATTGGATGAAGAGCAGATTTTCCCATTGAAAGATGAACAATCAATGAGATTATTGATTAGCAATTAAAGTTTCGTATTATAATTTGATTGTTTGATCCTGATGGATGAAGTTAAATAGTGAAGGAGGAAAATTGTTACAATCATGTTGGCTAATGGATTACAATTTATCCAAATGATTTAATGTAATTTGCAAGTTGCGTAGGAAAAGTAACCATGAAGAGCATGAAGAAGAGCAATTAAAAAGGCAAGTATCTAACAAAAGAGAAAAGAAAACAATTAGTAAACTGTTGATGATCAACAATTAACTGTTGGTTAATTACCGAAGCAGTTTTGTAAGTTGAATAATACGAATCAATGGCGATTGAGATTGACCAGAGTCCAGCTAATAGGAAAAGTATGGTCGCTGAGAAGTGAAAAACAAAATCCTGATTTTCGAGGGAAAAAGTTTCAAATTAAAGTTTTTTTTTTGTTACTCTTAATTGTTGACAATTAACTGTCAATACTTACAAATGTCATCTTTGGCATTAGCGTTGCCGTAGATAATGAAAATAAACAGGTAATTAGCATTAAGAAAATAGCATATAAATGACACCAATTGATTAGGTAGAGAAATAAGAAATCGTTGTTGGCAATTAAGTATCGATGACGGACCGACATTAATATGAATGCGATTAATGTTAAAATCTAAAGAAAAAGAAAACAAAAATTGATTAGTTTAACTGGTTAGCTTAATTGTGATCAATCTTTTGATTTACTTATTGATCAGATTGAAAGTGAATTTAAGATGAATCATTTCAATAGTGTTTTCGTTTGTGTATCAACAAATACAATATACGAAAAGAGCATTTTGATTAAGTTAATTGTCGCAATTTGGTAGAAATGAATTTTAAAATATCAACAGTTAATTGCTATTAATAAATTGGCTTTGATTAGCATAATTTATCTCTGACATCGTTTACTTTTCTGTTGACAGTATTTTCCTTGATTGTTGACCTAATTTGGTTTTTGGTTATTTATATTAGAGGAAAAGGTTCAGTTAATTGTTTGTTGTAATAGTTAATCATCATCATGATTATTTAAATTCAATGATTAAGATTTTCCATCTGATTAAAACATTGTAACAAGATGAAATCATTAATCAGAATCAACAATCAAATTGTCAATATTGTTTTCTAATCAATTTCATTATTAATCAATCGCTTTGATTTTGAAATCTTCATGATAATGATTCATTGTCAGAATCAAAGGTGAATGAGGTAATCTTAATTAAGAAACTGTGATTGACTTGAGTGATTAAATTGTGATATAAATAACACAATTTAATCAAACTAATGAAAGAATCAATAAATCTAGGGTGTGGTAGAAGAGGAAAATGTAAACAAATCGAAGAGCAATTTGAATGTACAGAGAGAGAGAGAGAGAGAGAAAGATTATTAGAAATTTAGAAAAGAACATTATTGAAATGATAGAATGACCATTAGATGGACAATCGAAAATCGCAATTAATTGGGACAAAAAAGAGAGAAAATTAGAAAATTAAATTGTAACAATTAACTCACAAAGATGAGAGACTTGAGAAGACCCAATTTGGTCTTAAGATAACCAGTGTTGATCACAAGGACCGAAGCGGTTGTTGTGGTGGTTGTTGTTTGGGTGATTCTCACATTGGAAGACATTTTTAATTTGAACAATTAACAGTCACAATTAAAGAATAATTAACAATAAAATTAAAAGAGAAAGTGAATTGATTGAAAGATGGAAAACCAAATCGATGAGAGATTAACCCGGGAACAGACAAAGAAAAAGGAAAAGATTATCAACAGGTAAAAAGAAAAATTAAGTTGAAATAGAATATAAGTTAATTGTCTCTCTCTCTCTCTGTAATTAGTTAATTTTCTTGTTGATGTTTAATTTTTGTTAATTCTCCTTTTCTATTAATTGTAATCAACAATTTAAAATGAGCAACTCAAAGAGCAACAATTTTCTAACCCTTGGTATTGACAAATATGGTTACGTCTCTTTCCTTGTTTATGTTTTTCTCTGTCTTCTTCTGGTTTCTCTTTCTTTTACTTCTCTGTCTAATTTTATCTTCTCTTTCACAATTTTATCTTCTCTTATCATCATTCAGTTAGGGATGAAACCTACACTCATCTTCATCTTCATCCCTCATGTGAAGTTATCATCAATTGAAACCTCAACCCACGAAAGACATGAAACAATATTTACTTTTCATTTTCTGTCATTATCATTGTCTCATTTTTATTTCAATCATTTTCGTATTTTAATTGTAACAATTAAAGATAATCACAATCACAATTGTTTCTATTCCAATCTTTAACCAATTGATTAATATACAAATAATCTCATTCTCTTATCCCAATAACATATAAAATCCTTTTTTCGTTTTGTTTCGAGTTTGATTGATTAACTTTTTCTTTTTAATTTGCTAATTAGTGAATTAGCAAATTTCTCTAAAAGTTTCGCTAATTCAACAGTTACATGAAATTTTGTAAGAGACTTATCGATCCAATCTTGACTATTTGACACTCTAACTGAGAGAAACAAATCAGATGAACATTTAATTGTTGAATAAACGAGTAGACTGATCACCTTTACGGTGTGTTTAGTTGGGTCAATTACAAACACTGGGGAACCAGCGTCACCGCGACATATTTCTGAACGATATGGCCTTCCACAGATCAACTGGTCGACCTGATTATCGGGAATTTCAAAGCGCTTGGTACATTCGGATTGATCCACTAGATCAACAGCAGTTAATGACAGTTCACCTTCAACTACCAACGATTTTGTGTAGCCCCATGAAACCAGAATCAGAGTTTCATCGCCAGTTAATTGTTCATCTTTTCCCATTATCTTGATTGTCCTTCCGGTTGAGTTCAATGTTTTGATATATGAGTTGAGTTGAATTAAACCAATATCGTTACTTATTCGTGTCTCTGGATGGACGACAAAATCAAGAACTTGAGCCGATTCACTCTTTGGATCGGTTGGTGAATAAATTTTACCATCGAAATTTGGTTGAACTGATAAAATTGAGGCACTTGTAATTCTGGATATAGAAATGGATCAATGGATTAGTGTTATTAGTGTTAATCTTATTACACTTACCCGATTAAACAGTGTCGAGTGGTCAAGACAACGGAGTTTGTGATTAAAACGCCGGTACAAATGTGTCGCCCGTTTTTTTGGACAGAAACCATTGTACTTAAACTCCAATCATTGATAGATTGAGCTGGAAAAATTGTCTCACTAATTGTAATAATTAAAATAATCAATTGACGTGAGTTGAACATTATTTTCACACAAGTATTGATCTAATTGCACCAATTGGTTTAATGATCAACTGACAATTAAGGCAAAACTCAACTCAACATAATCAATATGGTTTCAGAAATTAATGATCCCCTTAAGGTGATTTTAATGAGAAACAGTGTTTAATTAAATTGTTTACTGATTGTACTTGGTTGACCTTCACAGGAAGATTAATTTACCTTGTAAATCGTTGATTACTACAATTTAATTAACTTTAAAAACTTATGGATTATTTTTCTCACTTTGATTGTAAAACAAGTACAATCTATGGAGAAACAATTTTTCAAGTTTCACTCTTTCTCTATGAGATTTTACATCTAATATTTGGAGGATTAAATCTGACCTCGGCAGCGAAATGAGATTCAGTACATGGAGCGATTTTGTCAATTACAGTCACACCTCTCTAATCGCCCCCTCTATTATGTCACAAATTCTTTAATTTCACAATTTAATTTTTCCCCGATTAAGGAGATAGAGAATATAGTCATAATATGTCACACTCTCCAATCTCACAATCACACTATTTCAGGGCAATTTGTGAGATTCACCATGGTAATTGTGTTTTTGTCCAATGAAAATGAGCTAATTTGGCTTAAATTATGGAATCAGCCAGTAAATTGCATCATTTTTTTGAGAGATCCCAAAGATTATTATTACAGAAAGAGAAAAGTTACTCAACAAGATATAATGAAGAGGGTTAAGGATCAATTCGGTGTTGTAAATAAGATTCCAATAAGTAAATGCAAAAAAAATTGATTTTCACCTTCATAATTAAGAATTAATAGATTTCCATAAAGTCACAATTTCCCAAATTTCACAAGTTTTTTGGGTCCGGTGGGGGTGAAATTAGAGAGGTGTGACTGTATTACCCAAAAAGCGGCTAAATTAAAATAGCGCAAATTGCTTGGGTGTGAGCATAGTTCGAGGCCTTTTCTTGTCGACTTTTCCAACTTTCCTCGATCTTGAACATTACGAGAAAATGTAGTTCCAACTAGTAATAGATTGAAGATATTGAGGTATTATCAACTTTTTTTGAAACAGGGACAGAAAAAGTTATAGAACCATAATCAAGGTTAAATCAAGGTCAATTAAGGTAACCCGAAATGGTTCATCGGAGACCCAAATTATAAGGACACAACAACATTTATTCATTTATTAATTCTTGAAAAAACAATAATTGATGGAATCAAATTCATAACAAATGTTGACTATTTCTATTGGTCAAAGTGAGTTTTTTTATATACAAAAAAATTGTCATACAGAATTGATCGTAACGGAAAGTGGTCATGTTTATCCGAATCTCTATCGAACCTGAATAATAACCAAACTTGAACCAACTATCATAACATATCGTTCATGTAATATTTACCGATAGTAAAGGTCAATCTATTAATATTGATAAATCTAGAGTTAAATGTCGACCTAATGAGTTTTCAGGTCACTATAAGGTATCGAAGTTGTACATTTTGGTCTTGTATTAGTGATGATATTATTGAAATGGCCATTTGAAAGTCCATAGTATTGGGAAATATAAAAGATCATCTTGTAACTTTAGTCGCAGTTCAATCATTTTTTTTGACAGTTTTTGGATAATTTGATTGTCTTTGTTTAAATTTTAACATGATTGTTATTATCAGCGTTTTGATTAAAATAACGTTCAGTTGATTTGATTTCTGATTCACTTAATTTTTGAGATTTCGCAAACTCTTTGAAGGTTGGACATTGTTCAAGAGTCGACTGGTCAATTGTGGTCACTTTTCCTCCCATGTAATCAGGGTAATTTTCCGTTGAGATGAGAGTTTCCAACTCGGGGATGGATAAAAATTGAATATGATCTCGAAGATGTTTCGGGAAAAAGTATCGAAAAGCTTTACAAAAAAAGGCGAAAGCAGTGGACATTTCGAGGAAAATAATATACTCGATCCAAGGGGGATACTGATTAATTCCAATGTTGACTAATTCCTTAAGAGCACTTATATCGATACTTGGATCTCGACAATCGTAAACAACAACGGGCTTCATGTTTTCGGCCAGAGTTCGATTTCGAACCTGTTCCATTGTGTAAGTGAAATATTTGTACAGCAAAGGTTTCGGTCCAAGGGGAACCTTTAATCTGATCCACATAACGGGTCGACCTGAAAGGTCACTACCCGAATAGTAAATCCAACCCAAACGGAAAACTTCAATCGGAAGGTCAGAAGCTTTCAGATCGTTGATTGAATCCTTCAAGCGCCATTGGCAGTGTTTCTTCATGGTGTCCAGGGCTTTTGAAAGTGAGGCCGTTGTCTCAATGAACGATATACAGGGAATATCGGAATTCTTGACAATTTGTAAATCACGAGGATCCAATTGTCCAGAATCTGGATCATCAATGAACGATTTTCGTAGCTGGTCAACTGATTTTTTCATCTCTTCTGAATCCATAACTTAGAGAATCACAATTTAACTAATCACAAATTGTTTTCAACACAACAATTAACAGAAAAATAATTTCTTATAGTTGTTTCAAATTCAGTTGAATGATTGAAATTGATTGTTGAGAAAGTGAAAGGAAGAAAATTTTTAATTACAATCTTATATATTTAATCAGTTAAACAATTTAAACCTCTCGATGATGATGATGATAATTGTTGAATCTAAATGATTAACTAATGACAGACCTCTTGTGAATGAAAACAACAACAATTTAACGATCGGATGACAAGTGAATTAACTAACTACTGGATTAAGATGATTAAATGGAATAGGAATCAACCATGGTGACTTTAAATTTCTTCATTTCGATTAATCTGTTTGAACAATTTACTAATTGTCAAAAAAATTTTTCTACTCGTTCAAGTGAAAGGTAAATAAAATTTGATTTAAGTGCAACAATTAACAAATTAGCAAGAGAATTGAATTAAAACTTGTAAACAAGAAGCAGGTCACAATTAACATCCTTTTTTCATCGTTAGTTTAACTAAACTTGTTAACAATTTAATATTTGATTAAATTGTTGATCAACTTCCGATTTGTTTTTCAAATAAATTAGCAATTGAGTAATTAAATACTGGTCATTTTGAAGTTTAATGGTCAATCAAGTTGCTACTTAACCAACATGAGGTCAATAAGTTTCCTTTAAATTGTAACAGTTAATTGAAATCTGATTAATTAACTTGGGACTAATTATCTTGATCACAATTAAAAGTTAATCTAAACCTTAAAGGTCAAGTAAAAATGAACATGAAGATTAATGATAACAATTAAATTTTGTTTCCATTCACTGTTAAGGTCATTAACATGATCAGAGTTGTTGATTAATTGATTAATTGATTAAATTGTTGTATAAACAAATAAATTGTTTCACTTTATTTCTTAATTGCGATACATGAATTTTGATGGCGAAAAATTTAAATTACAAAGTGAAAAGATTATGAGAAAAGAAAAGGAATCATAAGAAGATAATGATTAATATTAATTGTGATTTAAATTGTCCATTGATTACAATTTACGATTTCGATGGTTAATCAGGTGAGAACGTAACAATTAATTATTGTGATTAAAGTGTAACCAAAAATTAGCAAGAAAAAGACTTGAATGAATCGGTAGATGAAACAAACTCTGTGAACAAATGAGAAGAGGTAGAAAAGTAAATTAATTAATATCATTGATTTAGAATTAATTGTTTTGGAAAATAGAATTTTCAACAATTAACTAAATTGTTGACGTAATTGTGATGTAAATTACGATGGGTTGACATGATATTTATACGAGGAAATCAAGTAATTAACATGAGTCGAGGCCATAAATCAGTCGGAGGCTTTAACCTAATTTCCTGTTAATTTCATTGATAATCATTTAACTCTTCGGGTTGATTAGTTAATTGTTTTACTTACAATTTAACTCTCTTTCTGCTTGTTTCGATATTGTTGTCATCATCCCCGAGGAAATATTTTCTAAATCCAAAGTAAAAGGTTCGAACGATATTTAGAAAGTCCAATTTTCGTAAATCACTCGGGAATAATTGTTGATCCTTCGTTGACATACTTTCGATCAGATCAATGTAATTAGATGTTCGTATTTGATATTGATGAGTGGCAAAGAAGCTGACATGATCCAGGCCTTCGTTGAGTCGCTGAGCGTGTTTATATAAACTAATAGAACGATAAAGGATAGAAAATAATTTGAAATTCGAAATTCGAAAATTAGAATTTTGATCTTTTTTTCTCTTGTCTGAACTTCTTACATTTTCTTGTAACCTAAAAGAGATAAAATTAGATCAATAAGGAAAGCGAAAAGTGTATGGTAGATGAATTTTTCGACCGGGAAAAAGATTGACGCTTTTTTAATCCTTGGAGGTTCGAGTAAGGGTCTTAATTGTTTCGAGCTTGGATAAGCGATTGCTAATTCACGAGCTGCACCAAAGAAACGTCCAAATGTCCATTCAGGGTGAAATGGTCCAGTTGAGAAATTGAATACTTTTAATTTGGTTGGGCTGTTGAGGTTAAATGGGAAGAGAAGAAGATGGATTAGTTTGGATAGAGGAAGAAAAATTATTTCGAACATGAGAAATTAACCTTTTCTCGGCTATGTACCAAGCGCTTGCTATGGTCAGATTAGCGCAAAGATCAACGGGAACCATTTCAAAGCGTGTCCAGTAGTTCCAGTTGACCGTTTGTAAAAGTCCGGTTGTTCCCGAGATCGCTATTCCTTGGATACCTTGTAAAGTGTCACCCCAACCTGGTTCTGGCTCTTTTTCGGAAACAAAAACGATCGATGGACGGATAATGGCCACTGGAATATCTTGCAACTCTTGTTCGACTAATTCTTCGGCTATGGCTTTGGTAAAGGTATAAGAATTTGGGAATCGAGTTTGCAACTCTTTAAGACGATCTTCCATTGAATCGTTACTTTTACTGGTCAAGAAAAAGAAACAAAAATGATTAACTTTTTAATCACTCGATCAGTTGATTGTTCGTACCTTAAACATTTACTCATCTCATCGAAATCAAATTGCAACGACTGAACGGATTCTTCGACGATTGGTTGATTACCAGCAGAATACAGGGATGATAAGTGCACGAAACTTTCGATTTTATCAAAGGTTCGACATAACTTGATAAGGTTCCCAGTGCCCTCGACATTTTGAACATAATTGGTCCTAAAAGTTTCGAAGATGAAAAAAAAAATGATTGTGAGTTTTACTTGTTTCTTTCGGCTCATCTACACTTACGCTAAGCCAACATTGAATCTGACCTCGGCAGCGGAATGAAATATAATGGTCACTTCTCGTCGCAAGGTCTCAATTTCACTTGAGTCAATTCCAAGATCGGGATGAGTAAGATCACCTTTGATTGGTACAATACGAGTTGAATAATTTACATTGGCGTTTTTATCCACGCTGAAAGGTAAGTTGGACACCATCTTGATTGTCCGTTGCTTGTAATTTAGGCCATTTTTATCCCGAATCAGGACATAGATCGTTTTGACATTGGTGCTTTTCACAAGCTTCGCCACCAATACCTAATGGGGAAAAATATGAATTAGAAATTAATTGCAATCAGTTGATTCTAAATTGTTATTTTCGGTAAAATTATTTGAAAGCCTATTGACCAATAGGTTGAGGAAAATTGTTTATATTGAGATTTTAAATCGGTGATGATAATTGGTCAGTTTGTAAATCATTTGATTGGGATGTTGATTAGTGAATCAAATATTGAATTATGATTTAAATCCAGTTGATTTATTGAAGGTAAAATCCTAACAGTCCAAATATTGTAAACGTTTACTAATTCACCTTGAAAGGTAATTAGTTAAACACTGGTCAATGATCATCAAAAGATTCAATGAATCAATTTAATCATAATAATTAGTTAATTGTGATTAGGATTAGGGTTAAGATTGGGAAAAAAAGAGAAACAATTTACTCACTTTACCAAGAAATCCAGAAAATCCAGTTACCAATACACTTTTGCCGTCAAAAAATTGAGATATTGGTGAATCCATTGGTAGTTAATTATATTAATTAATTGTAATGCTAACACTAAACAATTGAAATTAATTTTTATCTCTTTATAGTAACAAATAATCAATTTGATATAATAAAAAAAAGTTCACATCAACACAATTGCGGAAAATGTTTTGAACAATTAAAAATTAAATAATGACTCGGATTTCATGTAACTCATCAGTCTCATTGGTGATAAAATTTAGTTAATTACTGAATTCATTTAATCAACAGAGAGATGAGAGAGAGAGAGTGTGAGGGAGATATCACTCACTCATCATTGTTTCTTCCTCATCATCATCACAATTTGTATGATTGTTAAACATTTACCTTTAATCATCTGAGAATCGATTTCATTGTCAACGAGTTTTCAATAGGATGTTTATCCTTTAAGATGATTGAACAATTAATTCGTAAGAAAATCCAATGTAAACATGATTAACTTAATTAACCTTGAAATCAAATCAATTTGTAACTGGACAAAGCGAACACATTAACAAACCAATCAACTAAATAATCAGTTTAATTTTCTTCTGTTTTAATTTGTTTCTCGTTGATTTCTCAATGATTCACTTAAGGCCTTCCAAAGATAAACTAAATTGCAAACCAATTTAATTGTCGCACCTCGATCGTCATATTAACGCTTTGATTAACGTAAATATCACTTGATTATAAACAATTATTGTCAATGTCATTCACTGGTAATTATTAATTACGATTGAAAGTGGTGGAGGTGCTACCATTTGATTACCATTAACCCTTAATTACTCTGTAAACTTTTGAAACAAGTTTCGAGTTTAGTCCAAAAGTAAATAGCGAAAACTATTAGTATCTCGCTCGAAGGGTAAAAGTTCATTTGGGTGATATTCGAGTTCAGAATTTGATAAATTACGATCATTTACTATTTAGTGGATTAAAATATTTAATCTTGGATTAGCTGGTGCGATTAATCAACTCTCTTAATCTCTGGTTTAAAATTGTCTTCTAAGTTGATTTTGTATTTAAACTCGAATAACTTTTGAGAAATTAAAAGTTTTTTTCTTAATTGTTTATATTATTAATATAATCATATTTAATTGATTATTGTTTATCAAGGTTGATTTAGAGTTACAATTGTTAAAGATTAACTATTGATAATAATTAACTAATATTTTTGATGATGGTTTCACAATCACTTGGAAAGATAAACAATTTGTTAATTGTTGATACTTATGAACTTACTCAAGGTCTTTTAATCAGTATATATAATTTAATTTTTCCAATGTCATCACCATGTTAATTGTTAACACAACAATTTATCAAAAGATTGTTTAGTTACTATGATTAACAATTAACGACGTTTAATTGTCCTTCTTATTGGAAATTATTAATAACAATTACCTATTACAACGATAATCTGACAAGTCAATTGTTTGTTTTTGTTTTCTAATTGAAAATTGAGAATTGATTTAAATTGATTTACCTTTTTTTTCACTCGTTGATTTTAAAACTTATATAATTAAAGAAAACAATTAACTATAAACATGCAATTAAAGTCTCACGATGTTTAACTTTTTGTAAAATAAAATCAATTGAATGTTAAAGTTAATTACTAATATCACCTTAGATATATCTAAATCAAATTTAGTTAATTAACACACCAAACGGTAAACTGAAATCATTAAAGACAATTAACTATTTTTTTTTGTCTAGAAATCAATTAAATCATCAGGTATGATTTTCTTGATTGTTGATTATTCGTGGCTTTTTGTGGTAATCTCATATTACGATGGATCGAGATACTTTTTTGTCAAAATTTTTTCGTCGATTATCAATTCAATTAAATTATATTCCCGGTGGTTCCAAACAATTAAGGTTAATATTTAGTTTACTTTCCTGGCTTGGGATTGTTGAGGTTGGACTTTTGTGCGCTCGAGATATTGTCTTAATCTCACTGGACGATGATTCGGATTGGATTTATATCTTTGGTGATTTCGCAGCCCCGGCGGGTAAATTTCGTAAACAAGCGACCTTGATCTTCCTCCTCTATCTTTGTGGTGGACTTTATTCAGCTCTTTTTCTGGTTCGAACTCAAAACAAGGTCAAATATCAGGAATGGGCCAAAATCTATTCAATCTTTGATTCCATTGGAAAAAAGCATAACCCAAATATTGGACTAACAAATCGGATTAACTGGTTAACCACGAGAATTGAGATAATCTATTCAATGTCCATCGTCATCTCGTTACTACTTTTGTCGGTAGTTCTTACGGTCACTTTTCCACCACAATTTATTCGCTATACTTTAGCTCATCAGCTGATCAATATTCATGGTGGTTATAATTGTTCATCGCACTGGGGAGTGTCCTACCTTTTGTTTCCGTCTTATGGTTACCTGTTGGGTCAACGAATGGATAAGTTGACTGACCAGTTGGATAAATTTATCGGTCTTACCGATTATTGTCCAAGGCATTTGATGAAACGATCCACGTTTATGATTGATAATCGTAGAAAATCAACTCCAAGAGGATTGATTCTAAAATTAACCAAACAATTGAAACAATTACATAAATCGTGTCTCTTTTGGTCTCGGATTAGTGAACCAACATTCTTAATCTCTTTCATTAATCAGGCTCTTCTTCTTTATCTCATCTTTTTCGTTCCAATGTCAACAGGATTTAGATTCTTTCTATCCGTTCTTGGAATATTCAATTTCCTCTCTGGTCAATGTTACCATTTTTTTGCTGGAATTTACACTCAGAAAAAGGTAATCATTCAATCAACTGGAATTTTCATTTGGGTGTTGAGTTTTTGTTTTGTACTTTCAATTTTAGATTGACCATTGTATTGACTCTGTTCTCAAACTTGGATATTCACAAATTGATTGGCGAACTCGGTTAATTGTTCTTAATCTGGTAGAATCGGTTCAGGAGAGAAAATTTTTCACCATATTCAATGCGATTCAATTCTGTTCGGAACATTATTGTTTGGTTGGTAATATCTCATCTCTCATTGATTTCTCGTCTTAATAACAATTGTAATTTCTTTAACCAGGTTTTACTTGAAGGTGTCTCTCTATTGATGTTAATGATTTCAACCTATGGAGCCAGAAATTAGCTTAAATTGGTGAAAACCAAAATCTATTTACAAATCAATCTCCATATTGGACCCAAACATATCCAAATGAATCATCTCCAAATTAACTTTAACCATTACAATTAGAAGTCCATTCATAGATAAAATAATTACCATGATAGAAAACCAGTTAATTGTCCAGGAATATTCGCTAAATTGTCAAGTGATTAACTCACTTGAAGGTTGATTGTTTTTCTCAAGAAAATCTCTCGTTATGGTTAATAAATCTAAAGAGAAAAGTAAACATTTTTCACAATTAACAGTCGATCTTCTAGTTACCTTAGAATAAATAGATTTAATTGTAGAATCAAAGATAAATAATTAAAGAAAATAAATTAAATTAAAACCACGAAATTAAAACAATTCAAATTCAGAGTAAAAAAATCTCATGGAAAAACAGATGATCCGAAAGAAAGAGAAAAAGAAAGAGAGAAACTCGAACGTCCCCTAGAGGGAAGTTGAATAACTAATTTTTTCCCTCAACAATAAACCAAATTTTTGGAAAAGGCAAAATTTGGTTAATTAAATTAAATTGTTTCCATTTTAATTTCCTATTATTTGTTTTTTAATCAATTTAATCACTGACTGGACCGATCAACAAGTTGAATCTTAATTTCTACGAATCGAACCTTTAATTTATTCTAATTTTTTTCTTTTCTGTTCTATTTTTGTTTCTGTTATTATTTTACTCTTCATTGGCTATTGATGACCACAGATGATTGAGAAAAGGTTTGTATGTTTTGGGTTGAATTCAGTCCATTAATTGATTAATTCTCATTCCAATTAAGTTAATTGTGATAAACTTAAGTTTTAAGTGACTTGAAGATCATGGGTACAACCTCATAATTTTAGTTTGTTCTTTAATTGAAGTTAATTCCATGATGGTTTCCGGTGTTCGTTTCCTTTATTCCTTGTCTGTGTTAATTGTTAATTTATTGTCTTATTTGTGTTTTATTACATTCTAATTGTTTGATTTTTATTTATTGCCACTTTTGTATTATAGATTTAATTGTGAACAATTGCCAATTACTATGGTTTCCAATTTATTCTTGGTTATTTTGTCCGGTCATTTCCATGTAAGTATTTTAATCTCAGTGAATGATTTCTCTTGGAAATTATTCAATTTAAATTGTTCTCTTGTACTAATTGTTGTTTATCTTTTATTTTTACAGTTAATTCAATTAGATTATCTCTTTTCCTGATTCCACAAGATGTGATTTCCAAGATTGAATTTGGTTTTTTTTCTATGTGAGAGATCACCAGTCAACATAATAGTGGATTCGGTGCCTCTGCCAACAATATTGTCTACATTTCTACAAAACTATTATATTTTCTACAATTTATCTTCTAATATCATCATGTTAATTGTCATCTAATTATCTTAATCAAAGTTGACATTAACCTCATATCATCAGCAATAAGCGAACTTATATATTTAAATCATTGGAAATAAGACTGAGCGAGACAAAGAGAGAGAGAGAGACAAAAGCTGAAATCAACAGCGATCGTTACATTTATGAAAACAAAACGGTAAGAATGATTTTATTCAAATTCTTTTCTCTTATATTAATTGAATGTTCTATTCTGTAATTTCCAGGTATAAACATTTTTCTTGTGACTTCTACTCAATTCTTCATCATCGCTTCCATCGAGATTCGTGAATCTGGAGCTAATAACAATCAAAAAAGATGAAGGGAAAAAAGCGATACTCTCTCATTATTCTGGCCACCATTTTATTTATCCTTATTTATTTCATATTAAAAGCAATCTCATATAGCTGTGATGCTGGACAATCTAATCTCAAGCCCAGAAGCTCCCTAATTGATAATTATTTCAGTTTTGTGTGTAAATATAAACTGACCACAATCAAGATTAGTCAAGTTGGTGAGAGAATATCAAAAGAGGAGCCAATTGCTAGTAAACAAAAGGTTCGATTAAGTTATTTAGATGATGGACAAATTTGGTATTCTTCAGATTCTTCAGATTCTTCAGATTCTAAAGGTGATACCAAAAATTATCCCAAGTCAAGTTTATCATCAATCGACAATCAAAATAAAGAAATTACCAATGAAGAAAAGACAAAGAGAGGAAAAAGTTTGGATAAAGAAAATTCCGGTTTACCTGAGTTTCCTCGTGATTGTCGTTTCTCAAATTGTTTCAACTTTAATCGATGTCCACCCGGTGAAAGATTAAGAATACATATCTACCCAGAATTATCAAAACTCAAATCTTCATCTCCACCTTTAACCATATCATCAACTTATCAGAAAATTATTACAATCATTGAATCATCTATTTATTATGAACCTGATCCAGATAAAGCTTGTTTATTTATTACCCGTTACGATTATCTTGATAGAGATCGACTTAGCCTTGATTTTCAGAAAAATTTACCCTCCTTATTACCATTGGACAATGGTCGTAATCATATTGTGTTTAACCTTTACTCTGGTACATGGCCTGATTATAGAGAATTGGATTTAGCTGGTTTTACCCTTGGATATTCAATTTTGGCGAAAGCATCTTTCAGTTATCAACATTTTCGACCAGGATTTGATATTTCAATTCCTCTTTTCTCAAAAAATCATCCAATCCGAGGGAAAACATTCATTGAGCCCGATGAAGGACCCGAATATCAGTTGGCTGATGAAATTGCCTTTGAAACGGTTGAAACAAATGTATATAAGGTTAATGAGAAAAAAAATCTTCTCGTTTTCAAGGGTAAAAGATATACTCATGGAATTGGAAGTGAGACTCGTAACACTTTGTACCATCTTCATAATGACCACGATATTCTCATATATACAACCTGTAAACACGGGAAAAAGTGGAAAGATGCCAAAGACGAAAGATGTACCAAAGATAATCGAGATTATGATAAATATGATTATTTATCTTTAATGGCCAATTCAACGTTTTGCCTTGTACCTCGAGGTCGTCGATTGGGATCATTCCGATTTCTAGAAGCTTTAGCATTCGGATGTATTCCAGTTTTACTCTCAAACAATTGGGTTAAACCATTTGAAGATGTAATCGATTGGTCTGAGGCCGTTGTCGAAGGCGATGAACGAAGTCTCCTTCAACTTCCCGAAATAATGAGATCTTATGATTGGAAAAAAATTGAGAAAATGGCCTCACGAAGTAAATCCCTTTACGATACTTATTTCTCAAGTGTGGAGAAAATTGTTTTCACAACTATAGCAATAATTAATGAACGAATTCACTCCCATCTAAGTTTAAATTCATTTCTATGGAATCTTGTTAATCCGGGTTTCTCTGGTTTTACCGGTGCAATTTGGTTTGATACTGAATATAGTTGCCAATTGAAAGATTATCCTGGTTACGGGAAACTTTCACAATTTTCTCCATCATCTTTAATATCACAACAATCAGCCACATCATCACAATTAACAAGATCATCTTCATCATCCACAAATCTCAAGGATCCATTTGATGGCTTCACAACAATACTTTATATAAATAAGCCAATTATGCCAAGCTCAATCCATAGACTGATAAAATCATTATCTAAATCTCAATATTTGATCAAAGTTAGTTAATTACAATTAGCTTTTTTAAACGAAAACTTAATCACCTTTTGTATTGATTGTTATTCACAGATAATCATCATTTGGACCTTACCTGACAATCCTCCGTCTAATTTACTTAAAAATCCCTATCACGATTCCTCACTAGTCAATGTGATCGTACCCGAAATTAAAGTAAGTTAATCGTTGATTAGTTGATTGTAACTAATTTTTGTTTTTCTTTTTTTTCAGACAATTAATGCCAAACTTAAACCGTACAAAGAAATTGAAACTTATGCAGTTCTGACTCTTCAACCCGATACAACGATTACCGCTGAAGAGGTTTGTTATTTGTCTTCTAATTGTCAATTGTTATTCTAATTGTTAATTATTTTCACCTTTTGATTTATTTAGTTGGATTTCGCTTATTTGGTTTGGTGCTCATTTCCTCATCGAATCATTGGTTTTACCGCTCGAGATCATTATTATGATGAATTTCGTTCGCGATGGTATTATACCTCGAAATGGACTAACTATTACTCGATTATACTTCTTGATGCAGCTTTTTATCATCGGTATTGATTGTTAATCTAATTGAGATTATTGATAAAATATTAATTTCCCTTTTTTCTTTTCATTTTGTTTTTCATCTTTACAGATATTACAATAATCTTTACACTAATTACATATCAAGTAATCAATTTTTTTCACAAGATCCAAACAATTGGGATGATGAGATTTGTGTTGATTTGCTTTTCAATTTTCTGATCTCCCATATAACACGAGAAGGACCGATTAAAGTGACACAAAGGAAACGAACCTCTAATAGTAGTAGTTCACTTTACAATTTAATTAATACCTCAAATACTTTAACAAGTAAATTTGAATCATTCACCGGATCTCAAGAATGTTTCACTTATCTATACAATTTAACCTTTAATTATGTTCCACTGATTAAAAGTCAAATGAGATTTGATCCTGTTCTCTTCAAAGACTCAGTTTCCAATTTAAGGAAAAAATATCGACGATCAGAAACAGTTAATTAACCAAATTATCAGCTCGTTTTTGGATAAAATCATCAACAATTCATATTACTTTTTACTCAACCAAATCATGAAAATAACTCCAGCAAATAACAAAAGGACCATAATATTGAATAAGAAGCATTTTTATATTTAATTTACTTAAACGACGATTAATCAATCGAAAACAAAAGTCTTCATGTAAATAGTTCAATATACATGTAAAAATGTGTGCAATAAATATACTAATTAAAGAGATAATTAATTTAGAATTCGATGTTTTCTCAAATTTCCTCCTTTCGTTTGATTACATTTACATTCTGTCAAAGGATAAGCAGAAACGCTAATACAAAGTGTACCTCGTCGACCGTAAACTGAACTTGCCACACCCGTTGGGCCCGAACTTTGACCTGGGAAAAGGAAACTCGAACTACAAGGTTCAAATTGACAGCCGAACAGCGAAGCCATGTAAACGATGATCGCGTAAAAGTGACTGCAAAAAGGTAATAAGCCACATGGAGGTTGTTTAACGATAAGGCCAAAAGGTGCGTTAACGAATAGATCGGTGTGTGATAGGGCAAAAGGTGAGCCCACTTTTAAATCTAACGCCGCTGGAACATGAGAAACTATTGGAACCGGGAAATTGTATGTCGTGTGAACGGCAGTGTTATAAATAGCGTCCAATTTTGATACACCGAAAACAGTTGACGGCTGATAAGGATCAGAGACAACGTCCAGCGCTAGAGGCGATAGAGAGAATTTAAATGAATCGAAGGGTTGATTGTGAATTAGATTGGCAAACTTACCGATCGTTTCGTAAGGTGTCATTTTGTACCTTTCTTGGAGCCAGACAGCGGTGAAATGTGTTGACGCTGAACCAGCGGAGTGTCCGACTACCGTTATGTTTTCGGGATTTATGCCAAGCCTTGTGACAGCAAAGTTATAAGCATTGGCTACTTTTCTACCGACAATTTCACAATTAGCCGTACACAAGAAGAGATTAATTATCGCTGGTTGTTTTAGGATAATCGGTGGATTCGCACCTCGAACCCAATCGCTAAGAACCACTTGGTAATAGTCACGAAGTAGACCCAATCCAGTGAAGAGGGAAAACTTGTCGGCATAACTGCCGAAACAACCATGAGAGTAAAAGGCCAAACTACGGTCTGGAGTTAGACGGGAATATGGGTGTCTTGTTGATGGTGATTCTAGAAACATTGCTGGATTTTCTTGATTTGCAACTCGAAAGGTCAAATTAACTATTGACGGAGTTTCGGGACAAACACTTATCGGAGGGAAAAGGATAATCAACCCAGAGATTAACGGCTTGAAACAGCCGAGATTCTGAGAATAGCATCTTATTTTAAAACAAGGGATAATAGCGTCAAGGTTAATTAAATTACTATCTGTTAGTCCATTAACGGAAATAATTACTAAATTAAATGAGAAGAAAACAATTAGTAAATCACTGGAAAACATCATCGTTGTCGTTGTCGTTGTTGGTGGTTAATTAACCAGATGCTGACTGATTGATAGTCCAAAATTAAAGGTTGATTAACTTGCGATGATAATGAATAGTTAGAAGCCCTCATGGTTAAAATAATTTATTCGCAATTAAAAACTAATCAGAGATGAAACAATTGTTGATTTTGAAAGAAATTGGAGAAATTAAAGGAAATTCAAATTCGGAGCCAATTTTTTTTCCATCACGTGTTCACCATAAAGTCCACATGTTTTCAGATTTTTTTAAATTGAAGAAAAACTTAATCATAATTTAGAGTTGATTGTTCTGTTTAATTATTTTAGTTAAGTTAATTAGTTGATTATTCTTAGTTATTAATATTCGTGAATTGGGTTAATCAAGATGTCTTCGGCCACTAAACTGAGTAAACAGTATAAAACTGTTCATAAGAATCTGGTTAGTATTTTGGTTTTGTGTTTTTGTTTTTTTTTCTTGATTTTTTTTTCAGATGATTTGATTGATTGATTTTTCTAATTGTTGATTTGTTTTCAATTTTCTTAGCTTACTGAAAATGGAGCTGATCGTAAAGCTATTGTTGCTGCTATTCAGTTGTTTAAAGAATGTGTTTCCTCATTTGCTGGAGGCGATGAAGATGATGGGAAAAGAGGAGAAGAGCCAATTGATTTCGACTTGATGAGAAATGTAATCGATATGTGTTTCGTTGATTTACTTCCAGCAATTCATAAATTTCTTAAATTACCTTCACCCACTGCGAAAACAGAAGAGACTCCAGATTCTCGGCCATTAGATCCATCAAAGAGTAAAAAATGGGAAAAATTGGTTTGGTGTTTAAAGGTTTATCTAAACACAATCTTAAAACTAATGGACACAACTGCTCAAGAAACTCTGCTAACTAAATTACTCCGACATAATCTTTATTTAATCCCTTTCTTTTTACAATTTAATAATTTATCGAAAAATTTGTTAAAAGTAAGTCAATCAATTGGAAATGATAGTTTTCAATAACAATACTAATCAACTGATTGAAACAATTGTTCCCATCAACAGAGAGTCATGTTAATATGGAGTCAAGGTGATGAAAAGAATCGAGTCTTGGCTTTTCTGATAATTTTACGAATAATTAGACGAAATGAATCAACAATGATCAATTTCATTATGAAGGTAAGAATAATAATGAGATAGAAAACAAAAATCATAAATAATCATGGTGGAGACAAACAAAACTTATCACCAAATTGGTCATGTTTATTATTCATGATAAATTAATTAATTTCCTCTTCTCCAACAGAAACTGTACTTGGCTTATGTTAAAAATTGTAAATTAATCTCCAAAGGTACTTGGCCTTTAATTACATTCATGCAACAATCTCTCGTTGAATTGTATTCTCTTGATCAAGGAGTCGCCTATCAACACGCGTTCGTGTTCATCCGTCAATGTGCCATTACCCTTCGTAATGCCGCCGCTTCATCGGACAAGGTAACATAAATTGAGCGACTAAATTATCCTGACAAGTTGATTAACTGTTTCCAAACTTAATTTCTCACCAATAGGAACCATTTAAAGCTGTTTACAATTGGCAATATGTTCAATCGTTACTCTTGTGGGCTCGTTTACTCACATGTTTACATCCAAGTGACGTATTGAAACCGTTAATTCATCCATTCGTTCAAGTTTGTATTGGAACAATTAAGTAAGTCTTTATATTGGAATTATTTTATGTTATCAATTGATTTTTAATTTTCTATTCTCTTCTCTTTTTCCATAGGCATTTATCTGTTGCTCGTTATTTTCCATTGAGGTTACATCTTGTTAAAGCTTTGATTAAATTATCAATTACAACTAATACTTTCATACCAATTTTACCATTAATCACTGAGGTAATTTTCTAATTAACCCTTTTGGACTTAATCTTTATTTTCTTTTAATTTATTATTTTGAAATTTGTCGCTTTTTTTCAAATAGGTTCTTGATGTTATCAATTATGAAAAGAAATTCAAATCTACTAAACAAAAGAAACGTCTTGATATCGATTGTTTGACCAAAGTGTCACAAAATTTTACCGATGAAAAGTTGTACGTTGACGCTTGTGTTACCAAATCTTTCGAGCTTATTCTTGAATATCTTTCATGTCAATCTCATTCAATTGCTTTCCCTGAACTTTCATTTTTCACTTTGAGAAAGGTAATTATCCGAATTCTTGATCTGTTTTGATAGTTGTGTGTAAATTATCTGATTATTTCTTTTTTTTTCGCTGTTATTTTAGATACGAAAATTTTCAAAGAAATCTACCCTTGCCCATCATGGAAAAATGATGAAAAAATTGGGGGATAAGATAGAGGAAACTGTAAAATTAATCGAAGAGAAAAGGAAACATGTAAACTTTGCTTTGAAAGACGAAAATGCAATCGTAAGTATTAGATGAAAGTGACCTTTTTTTCGAGTTGATTTCAAAACGAACTTCACTTTTTTCCTCCATAGAATCAATGGCAAAATGAACTAAGAGACAAAGGAACACCATTGACTAAATACTTCACCGAATGGCAGAAAGAAATGGCAAAGAAAAAGGAAGAAGAAATTGAAGAAGAGGAAGATGAGGATGAAGATGAGGATGAAGGAGATGCTATTATGAAATGGGAAGATGACGATGAAGAAAATGATGAAGATAATGAAGATGATTATGTAGATAATGAAGAGGATGAAGATGACGATGAGGAAGTCGAAGAAGATGAGGAATCAGAGCCAGATGAAGAAACACCACCTCCAAAGAAAAAGAAGAAAAAAAATTGAGTTAATAATTGATATTATTTTCTCATAAATGACAATCAACAAACTGTTGTCATCATAATATTTTGTGGATTAAATTAAATATGTTATATTAATAATTATTGGACCCAAAGAGTTAATCAAACTTTACCTCTAATCAACAAAATAATCAACAAATGTAAAGTTTTCCATACTTTTTATTAGCAATTTAGGAAGGAATCAAGTCTTATATCCCAGGGAAAAAATGATTTAGAAAATTAAGAAAAGTCTTTGGCACATCTGAAGCCAACATTTGATGAACTAGAATCAGGAGTGTTAAATTGTCGAGCAGCACAACGATGTCGATAACAAGAGGATTTGATACACATGAAAGAACCGCCTTTTCGGACTTTATCAGTTCCCGTTTCTGGTCCTTTTGGATTGAGTTTTGGTCCATCACCGGAATCAAATTGAACTGACCACCAATCAGATGTCCATTCCCAAACATTTCCAACCATATTCTTAAGGCCAAAAGCGTTTGGAGGGAAAGAATCAATCGGAGCAGTACCTTTGTAACCATCTTCACCTGAATCATTGGTTGGAAACTCTCCCTGCCAAATGTTGGCATAATGTTCACCCTGAGGGTTCAGTTTATTTCCCCACGGGTACTGACGACGGGATAATCCACCACGACAAGCGTATTCCCATTCTGCTTCTGTAGGCAATCGTTTGCCTAACCATTTACAATAAGAATCAGCGTCATTCCATGAAACATGAACAACCGGATGATCCATTTGTTGGTCAATAAAACTTTTCGGGCCCTCAGGGTGTTTCCAATTTGACCCATTTACTAACAACCACCAAGGTGCATTGGCAACTACCTGATTAATTGTACTTAATGTCTCATTGTCGACAAGATTTTCAAACACAAATGAACTGCCAAATCTTTCAGCTTCAGTTTGATAATTAGTTGATTGAGTAAATTGAGCAAATTGTTGATTACTCACTTCAGTTTTATCCAACCAGAAAGGATCCAAACTAATTTCCCTCTCAGGATATTCACCATCTTCAGGAAACTCTGGATAATTTGTTCCCATTAAGAAGATTCCACCTTTCAAAGGAACCATATTAATCTCATCATCATCATCATCTTCCTTTGGATTACACTTTAAATCAGATTGATTAATTTCCTCCAATTGATTAGTTGATTGTCTTGAAGACTTGTAACAACCACAATCACAATAACACCGAGGTAAAATGAACAACACAAACACAATAAGATTAACTCTTGATCTAAATTGATTAAACATATTATGTCTTTAAATTGTCTTCGTTCATTCAGTAAACTATTTACACTTTTTACTAATTTGGTTAATTGTAAATATTTATTACTCATCTGAGTGATTAAGATAAGTCATTAAAGATTATTGAAGATTTAGAAAACAGAGAAAACAAGATAATTCAACTTCACCTTAATCTGATCAAGAATCAATAATCTACAGACACTCAATCATCGATCAAAATGTTAACAATTAAACAGTCAATCAAAGAGTAGAAATTAATTCACACAATTTAAATGAGAATAAAATTTAATGAAAAAAAAGTGTTTACGTTAAAAGTGAAAACATTGTAACAGCTGATCAGCAAGTGAGATTTAAAAAGTTATCACTTGAAGCTACTTTAAATTAGTAATATCATTTGAAGTAAATGATTAAGCAAATCAATAATTTAGATTTATTTGATTCTTTTTAACAACAATCAACCATATTAACAATTAAAATAGTTATGTAGGTTTAAGAAAATCCGTTTGTTTGTCCAAATGAAGTGCGACAAGAGCCTCTTTTGGATTAGCTCCATCGTCTACTTGTTTACACCAATCTTTGTACTGTTAATGGAGAGAAAAGAAAATTAATTAGATTAGTGTACGAGTGATAAATGATTAATCAGGTAATTTGATTAAAGAGGAGTGAATCTGATGTAATAGAAAAGGGAAATTGCCTCACCGTGTCAAGTTCTTTTCGAAGAGAAAAAACTGCTTTTTCTCTTTTATTAACCAAATCTTCCAGGTATTGGTATCGTAATTTTTTCCTCGCTCGACATTCACGAGCACTTTGACGACTTCTCTCTAATTTGGCATTAAGATCAACACGCGTTGACTTTTTACCTCGTTTTCTTTTCTTACTATTAACATTTGTTGATGTTGAACCGCCAGTACAAGTTGATGGTGATTGTTGAATCGGAGGAGTAACTGATGACAGTTGTGGTTGTTGTTGTTGTCGAGATGATGATGATGAAGATGATGATTGTTGGTGGTGTTGTTGTTGTGGTAGAATTGGTGCTGATGATGTTGTTTCCGTAAATCTACTCATAAGCTGGAAGGATGAAAACAAATGGAACACAATCAATAATCTATTATTGACATTAAAGTATGTAAAGATTATTACTTACTGTTGATTGTCCGATTGGAATTTTATTCAAGTTGAGATAATAACTGGAGAACTGAGCAATTGGACAAATTGGAAAACAGGAAAAAAGAAAATTAATTTTCAACATATTAACTATAATGTTCATCACGTGGATGAATTATACTACTTACATCTTGATTCGATGGCTCCATTTGTATTGTTCAAGTTGATAAATTATGATACTTAATTGTTTGCCCATCATAATCAACCAAAAGAGAAATGAAAACAAATCAATTTGACAAAAGGCAAAAAAAGTAAACAACATGAGTGAGTCTGCGCACTCGATCAATAAATTAATCGATTCAAACAATTAACCAACCGATTGATTTAATCGCACTAATTAAATTGAACATATCAGGAAAAAATTAAACAGTTTCGACGGCGATTTTAATTTCCAAGGTCAAATTCAACTAATTCTTGAATTTAGTGTTTCAATAAGCTCAAATAATCTCAATTCAACTTTTACGATTCGAGTCTCGGTTTAATCAATTTAACCCTTTGGGTCAATTTTCCGTCTTTGAATCTGAGTTTTCTGTTTCATTCTCAGAGCAAACACACAATTTAACCATTAAAGGTTTTCACTTCTAATTAAAAGTTGGAAATACACATTTAATTATCCGACAATTTGATTAACTTGATTGAAGAAAATTAAAAATGGACTTGTTTTAATTTCTCTTCACCTGCTCCATCTGTTGGTGAGAAGAGAAACTTTTAATCAATTGTTTTCTTAATTTTTTCTTTGTCTTTTGTTTTGTCATTAGTTTTTGATTCTCATCTCATTGGTTTAGTGTCTACAGTTTATTATGCCACCAATACTTGCTTTTAAGTTACCAATTCTATTGTCCAAGCCTCTTGATAACCAATTACTCACCTTATATTTGATTCGATCAAATCCTCACAAGAAACCTTATGATCCAAATTATTTAGAGAAAAAGAAAAGAAAACGATCAAAGACCAAGAGTAATAAACCTCCACAAGAATCTGTTCAACCATCTAAATCATTACAAAATGAATCACCAAAATGTAAACCAATTCCTGCGGCTACTAAAGAGTCAACAAGTAAACCAGTTAAATCAAAAGAATCTAAATCTAATTCTAAATCTAAAACAAAACCTTCGACTAAATCTAAACCGTTATCACAATCCAAGACTGTCTCTAAATCAAAGGAATCATCAACCTCAAAGACTGCAAACAAATCTTCACCCTCTGTAGCAAATTTAATATCTAGTCAAGTATTAAGTATCCCATCAACATCTAAGGAAATATCAACACAGTTTAAAAATGTTCCCACTACCAAGACAACCCCGAAAAAAAGGTCATCTCAATCTTCATCCAACACCGGGACTCCATCGACTAGTCGAAGTGATTCAACAGCACCAAGAACACCATTAAAATCAAATTTGAAGTCACTTCTATCCAGTTATCCATCGCCAAGTCCCCCCAAACCAAAGCAACTGAAAAAGGAACCTAAAGTTTCAACTGTTTCCAGTGTTTTCGGAGGTTTTAAGATTCCAAAGAAGTCAAAAGTTATCCCTAAATCTGACGAGAAAATGACAATTCCCAAAAGACTTCAACCTTCGGGTTTTAGTCCACTTGATTCAATAATCGGGCCGTCAATCTCTGGTGAAGATAAATCAAGGCCAAGTGTGTCCTCGACTCCGGGAAAATTTGATTTAAGTCAATCTCTAGTGAATCAGAATACTGATTTAGATCCATTGGAAAGTGATGAGCCAGAATTAGGATTTGATCTCTATGGAGCTGAAGAACCAATTAGTCAACCATTAGAAGAAGATTTTAGTAGCGAAAATATTGACCCGCTAATTAGAGAGGAAGATGAAGGAGAACAACAAGAACAACAAGGAGAAGAAGGAGAAGAAGAGGAAGAGGTGGAAGTGGGAGAAGAAGCTAAAGAAGAAATAGCCGAGGAAGAAGAAGAAGAAGAAGAAGCCGAAAATTTTGATAATTGGCGTTTAGATGATCCTATGGATGAAAGTTGTCCGACATCTTTACCAGAAGAATCAATTTTAAAGCAATTAGACGATGAAAGTGAAAGCTCAGAGGATGAAGGAAATTTCAAACGTCGAGGAGTGAAAAATAAAGTCGATATAAAAACAGAAACGATCTCAAAACGAAAAGGGCGCGATGAGGTTGTCCCGCCGAGAAATGATTTTAAATGTTCACAATCAACACCATTAAAGCCCAAAGTCATCCCATTACGTTCATCTTCATCTAGACCACAAATTCCAGCATCACTTTCGCCTCCTCGAAATTTACCTTCAACCTCACAACCACAACACAAACACAACCACACCACACCACCACCACCACCACCAACACCATCATCTACACCATCATCATCTTTGAGACCTACAGTACAATCAATTATCACTAAAATCTCAAGCATCGAATCGTCAGATGATGCAATGAAAAATTTCCTCGAAGCTTATAAACGTTTCCCTAAGCTTTTCGCTGTTGCTGTTCCCCGTTTTCAGACTCTATTCAGAACTTTATTGCTCAATTTATTTCGAGATTTGAATTTCATGTTTAACCAAGAAAAATTTACGATTTTACTCAATCAAATGCGACAACTTGGTATGGATGAAAGTTACAATTGGGAAGAGATTATCTGTTCATGGGGAAAAAATTACGAAACCTTATTATCCAATCAAGCGAAATTAGAAGTAAGTTGTAATTTATCGAATATCGAATAATAATCATCTCAAGTTTCCAATCAATTGAAATTTCCAAAAGGTTAAATTAACACTTTTCTTTTCTTTTCCCAATTTCTAATTTGCAGAATATGATTAAAGTGATTACCCATATTTACAATCATCTACAATCAAATAAGATCTTGATTAATTTACCGGCGGCCGGACTATTGTATGAAATGAAAATGGTTAAAAATGAGTGATCATTAATCAAGAGGGAAAAATATCTGTTATATTAATCATGTTATTAAGTAATTGATTAATCAATTAATTCAATTGTCAACGTATTCTCCTTTATTATTTATCTTTACCATTTGATTGTTAATTATCATCATCATCATCATCAAATAATCATGGAAACAAAAAGGTTTGATTATAATTAAGATTAATCTTGTTTTCATAAATCATAAATATATATTTCTTATTAATATTTTTTTAGTTTTATATGATAAATCAATCAATCATCATCAATCATTTGATTATAAATTCACATCGATAATCACACAATCAAATCAAAGTTTACTAATTAATAAACATGATTTAAAAAAGATTTCACTAATTTCTCATTAGATTCATGATCAACTGTCCTGAAAACAAAACGTTGTAATAATTTAATTGTAACACTTAAAATGATGATGATGAGAAAATTTTTCATAACAATTAATAGTTAATTGAGAAAGTAAATCAACTGACCTGGAAAACAATTGAAAAGGATAAACGATAAAAACTAATCACAACAATTAAGAAACAAACGAAACCAAATTATGATGAGTTTTGGTGTAAATAATTACTCATGTTAATTTGGTGAAACAAAATTAACTATTTTACTAATTATAACAATTAACGATCCTTATCAAAATCATATTAGCATCAATTTCAAATTGTTAATTTAGTTTTTACCTTGAATTGTAAAATAAAATCAAAAGTTATCAAGAAATCAGATGATTTTAATTATTTTGTTTCAATTGATAATCTTAATTAGAAATACATTGAAATGATTAAAACAAAATGAATTAGCAATTAAATAGTTTGTCAATTGTTGATGATTAATCGTGGGGTTTGATTCAACAACAATTAACAAATTTTCAGTGGATAAAATTAAAATTTGTATATTTCAAGTAAAATAATAATTAGTTTTAAGGTAAAAGTTAACCAATGGCAAAAGTGATTGATAATTGTTGTAGTAATTTGTAAATTGTTGTGATAATTAACCATGGAAACCTCCTCCTCCGAATCCCCCACCACCGAATCCACCATGAAATCCTCCACCACCACCAAACCCACCCCCGAATCCACCTCCACCTCCACCATGAGGGAAAGGATGAATGATCGGTGGTTTGACCGATTCAACGGCAAAAGGCACTGGCACCGGGATTGGAATCGGTAGGACACCGAAACCCGGAGGGGCCAAAAACGAAGCGGCCAAAATTAACTTGAGCAATTTCCTTGATTCTCGACCTGAAAGTCGATGATAATTAGCCGATACCGATGAAATTAAGATGACCAGTGTAACCATCAAGGTAATGGAAATAATTAAAACCCGTTTAATCCTCATAATGGTTACTGATTGTTGTAAACAATTTAATCAATAAAATACAGGGAAACAAACAAACTTTTGAACAATTTAAATTCACTGTTAAAATTAAACTGATTCGAGTTGATTTAAGTCAAATGAAAACACTGAAAATATAAATTGTAAACTTTTGCTGTTGGTTTGTTGTTGTTGTTAACCTTAATTGTGATTAAAAGTAACTGTTTACCTGGAACCGGTGAACCAAGGGTTTTTATATGACAATCAAGGATGATGACCAGATGATGATTAACAATTAAGGGTTCATCCTAGTTCCGGATCGATAGTGACCAATGGAGATACACTTAGCTAATTGTTGGTAAATTGTTAGAAAGCAAAAAAAAAAGTAGAACAAAATTTAAACAAATTGTTACTCATCCTAATTAGAATCTGAATGATTATTTACATGCTAATTGTGAATTGAGATAAAACTTTCTCTCCCTTAATTACAATCATAATTATGGTAATTATTAATTCTTGGCCATCTTATTATAATTACAATTAATCTTAAACCTCAATAACAATCAAACCTTAACGGTCAAGTTTTCATATTCATGGTTAATTTAAATGGAAGAAAAATTTCAAATTAATTGTTAAATTTAACTTTTACCAAAATTAAGTATTAACAATCAACTCATCTCCATTAATTACTGGGTTTAATTAGTTTAATTAGTGAGTATATTGTATTAATTTATATTTGTATTGATAGTTGATTGATTATTTTGTTGGTTGATTGTTTAAGTGTTTAATTTGATTCCACTTCAACTAACCATTGACATCGGACTTGATTGTGATGATCAGTTAATTGTTACTTCAAATCAGGTCACTTTATTTACTTTTACTCAATTTGATTACCAGATTTGTCCTCTTAACAATTAAGTTAATCACTTACAAGTTTTTGTTTGTTTCATTTTTTAATCAAATTGTAAACAAACAGTTTAAATGTGGCGATTTGTTTTCTCATTAACAATCAATTGATTGCTATTCAAGTGTCAATTTCATTTGGTAATCACAGACAATCAGTTAATCATCATGAACCATTAATAAATCAATTCCTATGAATTGAATTGAGTAAATTTCAAAATTACCAAAAGAAAACAATATCTCCAATGGTAACGACAATGTTACAATTTCTCAAAACAAAACAATTGGTAAAAATTTTCATAGAAATCGGTTAATACAAATTGTGCAAAATTAATTGTCAACAATTAACTGAATTAATCGATGAATTATGTCCAACTGATTAAACCGATAAAATGTCATCTTCTCATAGTAAACGAATGACCAACAATCAAAACTGTGAATCAATGGATGAAACTCCCGAAGAAAGAATCAGATTAACAGGTAAGTTTATAAGTAGAAATTGTTGATTTAATTGTAAATGATTAGATTTTAATTCTAATCAATTTAATCAATTTTTCCAGGTAAAAGTATTGGTAAAAGTTGCCTTATCCTTCAGATTGCTCTTTATTTCAACATCTATTTTTCACCAATATACTTTGTCACCTTTTACCTTTCATGTCAGAGTTTTGTAAGTATCGATGATAATATTGATTACAATTACTAATTTGATTCAGTTTATTAATTTAACCATTTTGATTACAATTAAAAAGATGAATGAACTTCGAGAGATGGAAATTTTTTTCACCAAGACTTTACTAACAATCGGAAGTATCATTGAGATTCCAAGATTGGTTTTCGGCTACACTGGAAATTATAATCATCGGGTAACGTAACTAATTAGTTAATTGTTCACAATGAGATTAATTAATTACCTTGGATCATTGTTTTTCCAGGTTCCTCATATACTTTGCTTCTGGTTAATGACAACATTCATTCAATTTCCTGTCCAATTGTTGATGCAAACAATTCCTCTTACAACTAAACCATTTCTCGCAACAATCAACGTAATCATGATTATCTTTTTGATTTTTGAAATTTCTGTTGGTATCTTTGTATTCCGTTGGTTAGTTAAGTTAATTCCAAGGATTAAACAATCTTAATTGCTACAAATTGACAATTAAACCAACAAGTTTTACCCTAAAATTGATCTTAATTTGATTCCTTGCCTTCAAAGTAACAATTAAATGTCCAATGAAAAAAAAAATCTCAAACTAAAGATGAATTAAATTAGCTGATTTAATTTACAATATTGACAATTAGTGAATAACCAATAGATACAAAAAATACATTGAAAAATGGACAAAAAATTAACTTAATTGTAAATTTTAAACGATGATTTTTAAGTAAAGTGACCAAATTATCCAATAGATGGCGACACGAATTTCGTTAAATTTTATGTTGATTAAAGTTAATCATTTGAAACAAAAAGCCGAGGATAAGATAATTAAAATTTAGATTGCGAGTTGATTTAAACATTTCGAATACCGAATCTTAATCTCATTATTCCGATTCTCGTTCTATTGCCATCGGCATCATCGAGTTGTTCCTGAGCGGGTTTACCTTTGCACACTTTGATCAGTCTGTCGAGAGCTAAAATGAGTCCACTAAAAGAGATTGACACTGTCAGAATCGCAAGAAAGAAACCAAAATAATTACAATTGTTGAAAATTAATGAGCCAATTATGGTGAAATGAACTGTGTACATTAGGTGGCAGGTAAACTCAACCCGAAGCCAACAGGTTTGATTGAACTTTTCAATCGCATGAAAAATATAAAGTAAAAAGTTGACCAGATTGAATAAAATAGTGACCACTGAGAGTCCCAATAAAGAATTATAAAATATACACCCTGATTGGATACTTGAAATACTATCTATACAGAAAATGTACAACAATTAGTAAATTAGGAACATGAAAGGGAATCTAATTAACTAACCACATCCATTTCTTGTCACAAAAATTAGAATCAAAATTAGTAAACAACCAGAGACAATGGCCACTGAACTTTTACCAGGGCAAGTGGATAAATATTTCCAATCAATGGTGATTGTCCTGGTTATCGGAGGAACAGTATGATAATAATCAGGGAAAATCTCATGAAATCTAATTGTCTCTGAGCTTAAAGAGGAAACTGTTGATTCCATGTGGATCCCGAATCGGTGGGTAGTTTATGAATTTTCATAAAGTTGAACTTTGAATTGGTAAGGTGATTACAATTTTCCATCAATTAAGCACAATACAATTAACCGAGAAGATTAACAATTAAACTCATTCATAAAATCCTTGTTTGGGTTCAAAGAAGAGTAAAAAAACTTTTGATCAACTCTATTAATTATATAATCTTGATGTTGATCGACACAAAATTATGATGATCATTTAAATCACTGTTGATGATCAGTTATATGAATAAATTGGTTGAAATTCAGCATTTATTTTTCATCATCATTAGTGGTAATTGATTAAGACTTTCAATGTTAATAATGATGACAATTTAACAGGAAGGATGTTGGTAGAAAGAGGAAGTAGATTAAGAAAGATTATTCTTAATCTTCATCATCATTTTCTTCATTAACTTTTGAATGAAACAATAAAAAAGAGACACTTTCGCACTGATAAAATGATGAAGATGAAGATGATTGAATATTATAGAGAGAAGATGTAAGAAGATGATGAGAGAGAGAGAGAAAAGTGATATTGTTTATTATGATTGAATTCTGTCTAAGAATCAAGTTTAAATCTTATTGATTGTTGATCAACCTTTTCACGATTTGATTAACTTTACTAACTCCTTTTCGGATAATCAGAAAATTGGGTTAGAGGGATAAAGATGAGAATAGTGATAAATTTTGTAATTTCATCTTCGAATTCATATTTTTGTTTATAATTGAATATGTTCATTGTTACCCAAGAGAAAGAGAGGAAACTATTAATTTAATGTCCATCATTTTGTTATTGTATTTTTTTACTGGATTATTAATCATCCAAGGTACTGATTGATTATTGTGATTAAGCTTTTAACACAATTTAACTTTTCCTTCAATTTGTTAAATCCAATTAACATCAATTGTATGACCCAAAATAGCCTCAGGTATTATTAGAGCGATGAAGAACCAGATAAATATGGACGATGGTCAATTCGAAGCATTTGAAAGGAAGAAAATTAATCAAGAACTGATCATCATCTTCATCTCTCTTCCTCTTCATTGAGCTTCATTTTTATCGTTGATTCTGATGCCTTCTTGTAGTCGAGTCTATTACATTTACCATTTGTCTTAATTTTCTTGTTGATTGTAACAGAGAGAGAGAGAGAGAGAGAGAGAGAGAGAGAGAGAGAGAGAGAGAGATATTGTTAAAATCGAGGAAAGGAAACTGAATAGGATAAAAAAGAAACTTGATTACAATCAATTCTAATGAATAATAGAGTAACAATCTAATGATGATTAACAATCTAACTTGTAAATGATGTTTCGAAAAGAAAAGAGAAACAGTATTGACCATTGTATTCGAAATCAACAAATCTCTTGACACCAATTAACCGAATCAGAAAAAGAGAAAAAAAAAGTTCTAATCACAATTCGAAGAAATTGAAAATCACCAAACAATCAAATCCTACGATCAACATTCTAATAATAAAATTGACCAAAAACGAATAGAATTCAATCATCAACAACTGACCATTGTGTCCATTTGAAAGGATCACAGAGAAACAGAATTAACAATTAACAATTAATTCCTCGATCTCAGATAATTAGTTAATCTGCCACAGTTTCCGTTCGCACAATTAGATGGCAACACTTTCCCTTGAAAAGCAAAAGGATTGAGATGAATTTTTTTTGTTCCTTTTGATTTCTTTTGATTGTTAATTGTTTATCTTTTATATTAATAAATCGTTTTGATTTCAATTATTGTTCCACTAATGTGATTGATATAATAATCCATCAGTGGAAACAATTAACTCCTATCATCATTTTGATTTCTTCTTCTTTTCCAATCTTCATTGTGTCAACTCTTTTTCCTCTATTTGCTTTATAGTTTCTCCAATGTTTTCAACATTAACAGTTCTCATTTTGTAATTTACTTTTTTCATCTCTATCATTAATACTTGTTGATTGTTGTCATTTCCTATTCTATTACATTGATTTGAATATTCTCATTGTCCATCGTCCATTGTGTCCTCATGTCAACATTTTCTGGCTAATAGGTCATCTCGATTTCTCCCTCTCTTTTTTTCTATTGGGGTGGGGCTGGTAGGTATTTCTTTCTCTCTATGTAATGTTACCATTTAATCAATTGTATTAACACTTTTACTCCATTTTTCTCTCTCTCTCTCTCTTTTCTCTCATTCTAGTATTTATGTGTGTCCAGTGGCCCTAATTGTTGTTCTATTGTAATATCATCTAAATGGTCAAGTTAATTTCACTTTCGGCCCATCATCATAAAGGTCATTCGCTTTGTAATCATCTTGTAGCCCGTAAACTTGGATAATATTAACATCTATTAACATGAGTATATTGTAGCTTATTGTTAAATCGGATTAACGGTTGGACAAGAAGAAGAATGGAAGTACAAATTCCCTCTGTAAATTATCACCATTAAGATGATTAAGATTTATATCGATCTGCTAATTGGTCTTTTATTGGTTCCATGTAAATCCAAGTCTAAAGTAAAAGTGAGTGAAGATTGTTGATCTTTTTAATTTTGGTAACTGTTGTAATTTTTTTGTGGTTTTTATCTTATTTGGCAATTTCTTAATTTCTTTCATTTATTTTCATCTTAATTTGACAATATAGGATCAAGTGAGACAATTGAGATGATGGTTAACAATTAAAAATACTCATAAGCCATTAAATCCTTGTTTGAACACAGGGAAGACAAGATAATGTGATTTTAATGAAATTTAATGGATTAGCTGTTGTTTTTTTCTTTGCCACTTCACAGACGAAATTAACTCGATCAATTTGGAAAAGAAACTATGGATTAACCCAACTTTACTGTAATTAAAGTGACACTTTAATTATAATCAGCGACAATTGATTGTTGAACAACCGAAACTTGAATAACCTCATCGGCCTTGATGATGTTAATCCTGATTTCAAGTGACTTTAATCATCATGATGGTTTTATAATTAATATGGAAAGTTAAGTGAAGTGTTACTCATAAATGCAGTTGAACAACAATTAACTACAGTAATTAAAGAAAAAATTTATTAATAAATCAATGATTTATTAACTGAGTATTGGCAAAGGATCAACCCAACAATTGACCAGAAAAAGACACAAAGACATCATTTTTCATTCCAATAATAATAATCAATGTGTTTTCTTCATGGTTATTGATATTTTTCTCATCACTTTAGACACACCACAATTATGACAAGCCAAAGATGATGACGATGAGATGATGATTAGCCAAGAATAGAAAGATTCTGATTAACTTATGATGATTTAACTAATTATAACACAATCCAGCAATCAAAGAGCGTCAAAAGTTATCCAATTGCAAAAGGCAAAAGAGTTTACAAGCCAAGAGACAAATCAAACTAAACTTTTCTTTTTTTCTCCTGGTAACAAACATTGGAATCAACAATTAACTAACCAATAATTTAACCAATCAACTGGAGCAGTGAAAAAACTAATCACCAACTTTAATCAATCAAATTTAGATTAATTATACTTCCCAATGATGAGTGGACAACAAAATCGCTGGTGTAACATGTTGGATGAAAAATGAATTCAATTTACCAAAAAAGAGACATTTAATCATTGGATTTACTTAATGATCAAAATTTGATCACAATCAATGGATTATCATTTATTATTATTATCAACATTGTAATCATTGATTGTAAAAAGATAATAACAATTTGTTTCTTTTTTTTCTGAAAGTCGATCTCATATGGAAAAAGGATCAACTGATGAGGATAAAAAGGAGATGAGGATGACAAAAGGATAAAAGAGTCGAGGATAAGCTTACATAGTCTTACATAATCATCATCTCCATCATCTTCCTTCATCATCCATACTTTTCAATGTAACGATCATCTTGAAAGTCGATCTAAACTAAAGCCACGAGGCGAAAACAAAGCAAGAAAAAAATGACAACAAGACGATAACCAACATGATCATCAAGAGATGGAAATTTTTAAAATACTATTATTATCATTTTCATCATAATCAAGATAATGCTGACACAAAAGTAACAAGAAACTATTCCAAATGATGATGATCCTCATCTCGAATCGCCTGTTGAAACAACATGCACCAATCAACCTCCTCGAACCCAAAATTCCGGACAAAAATATTTCATCAGCGAGGAAAATTTTTCATTTATAAACATAAATGATAACATAGGAATCACATAGATGCCTGGATAAATATCGCGAATACAATCATTAGCATTATCATCATCATCATCATCATCATCAAATATATCATCATCAGTATCATTAGCCTTTCAAGAGCAAGGTTAAAGGTCCAATATCATCATCATCCTTGTCATCAATGTTGGACTGGAAAAGCTGAAAAAACTTTGAGTCTACAAATTGAATACAAATTTTCAATTATTTTTATGAATGAAAAATCTGATCTTGATTCCTTATCATCATTGCAAATATATATAAAAAACTACAATACATGGATGATAATAATGATAGTAATGATGATGATAAAATACGTGACTCTAGCAAAAGAAGATGATAAAAATAACTTTTCATGTCAAATGATGCGAAAATGAAAACGAGACCTTTGTCTTGATAATAAAGATGATCATCCATCCTCATCATCCTCATCATCTATTGATGGCTCTCGAAGGACAAACTTGAAAATTACAATTTTCACATTTGAAGATAAACAAAATGTTCATTTTCATCATCATCATCATCATTATCACAACTTGTCGATAGCATTGAAATAGTGGCTCACTAGTTACTTATCATTTTCTTCATCATTTTTATCATCATTGAAACTTATGATTAAAAACTGAAACTGTTTCAATGCAAACAAAAACTATTCCCATTGACCTATGGTAATAAATTTATATTATCATGATGATTATTATTGACACAGTTTTAGTATCATCATTAAATTGTTAATCTTTATTAATCTCCTGTGATTGTGATTATTATCACTAATCATGAAATTGAAACCACAGGGAGTGAAAGATGGTTAATGATGAATCAAGATGATGAAGATAAAAAACTTTTGATCAACTCTATTAATTATATAATCTTGATGAAACTTGTTGATTGTTGATCGACACAAAATTATGGTGATCATTTAAATCACTGTTGATGATCAGATATATGAAATAAATTGGTTGATAGAATTGAAATTCAGCATTTATTTTTCATCATCATCATTAGTGGTAATTGATTAAGGCTCCGAATGTTAATGATGATGAGGATCGAGAATTTAACAGGAAGGATGTTGGTTGAAGGAGGAAAATGAAAGAAAAATTTGATAAGATGATGAAGATTATTTTTCATCTTCATCATCATTATCTTCATAAACTTTTAAAGGAAACAATAAAAAAGAGTAAGAAAGTGTCTCTTTTTTATTGCTCATAAAATGATGAAGATGGAGATGAATGAATATTATAGAGAGAAGATGTAAAAAGATGATGATGATGAGAGAGAGAGAGAGAGAGAGAGAGAGAGAGAGAGAGAGAGAGAGAGAGAGAGAGAGAGAGAGAGAGATGCTAAAAGAAAAGAAAAAGTGATTTTCTCATGTATCAATAACTTGGGTAAAAATGGTTCATATTATTGATCCGAACAATTGAAATGAACTTTTTCCATCACATGATAACCTTTCTTACCAAGATACCATGATGATGATGATGATGAGGAAGACAAAAGTTCATGAGATTATCCCTGAAAAAAATGAATTGAAGAATAAGATGAAATTGAAGTAACAATCAATCGATGAACAAGGATCAATGTTTCAATTTCATTTTCATTGTAAAATCCACACTCAGAATCAATTGAATTATCAGAACTTCCTCTTCCTTCTTACTGAATATTTATCTCAATTTCACCCTGAAATATTTTTCATGGTTGAAATATGAAAATTTATCATCATCTTTCACCATTTTCCCCCTCACTTAGAAAACAATAACAATCAAAATAATGATAACTTTTCAAGCCAAGAAAACATGGTGGGCACAGATGAAAATGAAAATGATGATGATGAGCATGATGATTCTGTTACTTTGCATGATAGAGGAAGAAAAAAATTCTAAAATGTTTTTTCTTCTCCCATTCTCCTCCTCCAAGGAAACACTTTCCTCTCTTTCTCTCTTGTTGTTATGATATTAAATTGATATTTAATGGAGTTTAAAGTAACATTTCAGGATCAGAATTTTTTTCCACCTCAAATATATTATTAACATTGGAAGACAAGGTTTCAAGCTAAGATCATCATCCACCTTAGCCCAATCCTCCTCCTCATCCTCATCCTCAGCATCAATTTGAGCTTGTTATTTTTATGGAAATTTTTTCACAGAGAGAAATGTTTGACAAGGAAAATATCATCATCATCATCATCATGAAAAGGAGGAGGAAAGTATATTGTTTATCTGATAATTTTGATAAACTTTAAATTGTTGAAATTATCTGAATTGAATCAATTGTTTTCCAGTTTATTGTTTTTACTTGAAACATAAACTGAATCTACTTTGATTGTTATCATGATAAATAATCATCAATTTAAATTGATTCAATTAAAATCTAAACCATAACAATTACGTTAATCTGGTTTATGGTAAATTAATGATAATAAAAATTGTCAATCTGAGTGTTGGAACATTTTTTCCCCATGTTATATATTCAATAAACATGGTAACATTGAAATCACTCCCAGATTCAACTCCAATAATGATAATAATATTCAAGTTAATCTCGAAGTGGATCAGGAAAAAAAAGAAGATGAAACATTGAAACTGAATCAATGGTTTTTTTCATGATCATTTCACTTATTTTTTACCCTGAAAATTGAATTAATAGTAATCAAGTATCTCTAGGTGAAGATAAACTTCAGGAAACGGAAACGGATCCATTTTCTGCTTATACGATTGTCACAAGAACTCGGACCTTCGAGATTATCCTTTTGGCCATCGTCAAAATTATTATATCTCTAGATGATTCTAATAATGATTATCAATAAACTGACCGAAGATGAAAATTGAAAAGCTCGAACCATTTGAAGTTACCTTTCATGAGATCATGAAAACTTATCTCATGTTAGTTTTTCTCGTTCAACTGAATTTATTTATGTGACTTTTCAATTGAATTAGAAAATTTTTCATGAACTTTTTTTTGTTATTCTTACTCATTGAGTGTTATCGTTAACATTGGACCAATAGCCTAATGACCATTAAGAGATCCACTGGACATGATTATTAGATTGTTGTCAATTCAATTCTCAGTGTTGATATCATTTCAACTGGAATTTGAATTGGATACTGTTGAAAGTTGATATTATTATGACCCAATTAAATTAACGGTAAATTGAGTTCATTCAATTGTGATTGTTGATAAGAAGTGAAAAGAAATGAGAAAAAAAAAGTTTTTTTTTATTTCGAATTTTTTTTTGTTATTTCATCTCCATCATTGATTGACCATGAAGATAATGATAATGTTCATGGTTTCATGAGGATATTATCATGATAACTGTTGTTTGTGGCAACACGATTGATGGACTTTCGAGTTGAATTGTTTATTATCAATATAAGATCATTTTTTTCACTCATAGTTTCATCATCATCATCATCATTATCCTTTCTCCTCCTCCTCCTCCTCCTCCTCCTCATGATATTGTGGTCAACAAAAATAGGAGGTGGTGATGGTCAACAAATACTAGCTGACCAAATTCAAGAAAACAAAAGCAAATTAATCTCGAAAAAATTTCCTGTAGGTGGCAATATGAAAGTTCATTGACTTACTCAGATTCTGATAATTTAGCAAAGCAAAATCAATGAAATCAAAAGTCACAACAACTGAATTAAGGTAGAAAACCTTAATCATAATCAAGTAACATCTTGAAACAACAAATTGAATTAAACAATTTTAATCAAATCCAATTGGAGTCTAATGAAAAACAAGATAATCAACTTGATCATCTTCTTGTCTCAATATCATTTCCATTTCCACATCATCATCCCACTCCCACTCCTCATCCTATGCATAAATAACAATAAAGTCCTCAAGAAACATCATCATCATCACCATCATCATCCTTATTATTATTACAATCAGTAAATCCAATTAGGTAATCCATTGATTTCAAGTACATGATCATGTTGATATTATTGAAACTGTTATCCCATGATGATAATAATATTACAAAGATGAAGATGCTAATGATGATGATCCAGATGAAGATGACCATCAAGATGAAAACGTGTTTATATAACATGATATGATTAAAATACAACAAGACAATTTAATTATAATCAATAACAATATAATATAACCGTGACACTTAACAATATTTATTCAATATTGTTCAATAAATGTATTGGTTTAATTTGTGAACATGCAACATTAATTACGATTAAATAAACTTAATTTAATTAAACGTCGCGTGAACTGTAACAATTAAAGTGAAAAAACTTTACTACCGTCTGGTTAATTGTTATCATAACAGTAATACAACAATTAACAATTTGGTTGATGACTAATCAAACTGTACTAATTTAACATGGTTCAGATGATTAAAATTGATTGTAAACAATTTTTTCAAATGCGTTGATAATTGTTGATAATATAAAGCATACACACAAATATAAACTAATCATTTGAATCTAATTCAATTGTGATTAAATATTTACCGTTATATTTGGTTGTTGATTCACTTGGGAGTGAATAACTTTTTCAATCATGTTAATAATTTATTTCAATATGTTTCACTTGAATAACTTATTATTATAATAAGTTTTTAATGTGTCAAACTTTTGAGATGAGAAAATATTTTCACATGGAAATGAAAATTTTTCCTAATAATTTATTAATTTGATGAGTCAGAGTAATTGATAATTCAACATTCTTCATGTTGTTATGATTAAGATCAATATCAATATGAATTTGTTATGGTTCTGAAAGTCCAGTCGAGAAAAAGTTCTGAAAAAAAACAAGTTCGAGAAAAAAAGTTTCGAGAGGAAAAAATTTCTATTATCAAGTGAATCCATAAATTCCCATGTAAACAATTTGTTCACAATTTACTTTGATTATTCAATCTAATGGAACATTATTTTGTAACAATTAAGGATTTTAATCAAGAAATTTACTTTAGTTGTTAACTTTAATTGGGTTAATTTGATTAAATTATATCGTTCATGATTCATTATGATTTCATCAAACTATTATCATTACTGAGCTGATGTTTAAATAAATTGTTTTAGTTGTATCATTAATTTAGTTGAAACAATTGATTCGTTTAAATTTAATCACTCACAATCAGATTGAATTAATGATTTTGACAATTAAAATAAAGTTTGGACAATAAAATGAAAAGCATAATGATAACAAATATAATGATGATTAATGAATTGAATCAAATTTAATCGTTAAATTGTATTATATAAATAAAGTCTTAATGAAGTTACAACAATTACAATTGAGAAGAAACAAAGTTTAATCATTAATTTACTAATCAACGGACAATAATTAACATTAATCATCATTATTATAACCAAACTGATTGACGTTTATGAGGTGAAACCAGATAAATGACAGATGAAAATTTATCATGAAAGTTTCAATAAAGATAAACGATAATAATTCAGTTAATTTCACGAGGATGATCAGGATGACAACATGATGGTGGGAAAATCAAAGCATCATGAATATGTCACGATTGAACTGAACCAAAGGAAAGTTTAGATTCTTAGAGAGAGAGAGAGAGAGAGAGAGAGAGAGAGAGAGAGAGAGAGAGAGCCAAGTGTCACCTTCTCCACTATCACCACGACCTCATCATCATGAGTATTTTGGCTTCTCTTTCATCTTCATTGAAATTTTCATGGAATCTTTTTTTTTATAAATTCGATAAAAAAAGTTCTATGTATTTTATCATTCGCCCATAGCCATAGACCGAATTCATTATTACAAATTCAACTTTCAATTCCCTTTGGAAGCTTATTCCAAATTCATCATGATTATTATTAATTCCATGGGAGAGAAGAAGATATTTATTATCATGAAGGCGAAAAAAAGTTGAAAAGGAAAATTTTTGGCTTTAGAAACATTTTCGTAATTTTTTCCCACCAACATCAAAATCTAATAACAGTTTATATTTAAACTCAATCACAATTAACATAATCATGTTTTTCATCAAAACATCATCATGATGAATCCCTGATTCAAAATAATAATTAGTAAACATAATCGTTGATGGTAAATATTGAAAAGGTAAACAAAACTTTGATAAATAATTTGACAACAATCAAATAATTGTAAATGATTATCAAAGATAAACACAATCAAATTGAAAATCAACATGAAACAAATTGTTAAAATTAATGAAATTATCATTAACACAATGAAATCAACACTTTTTCCCATTAAAAAGTGACAATTAAATTAGTATATTAGTTAATTGTTATCGTTAACAATTGAATCCATTAAAATGAAACAACAAACTGTGAGTTGAATTAACATGATTATCTGATTATTTTCATTACTATTATTGTTATCATCTTAATGATCCCATGGTTGGTTTAATTTGTATCATAATCATTATCATCATCATCCAATGCTTTCTGACCTTAGGTCATATTAACGGTATCTAATTATTATCATCATGAAAAGCATTGGAAATGATAAAAACAGATCTAATTATCATCATTATTAACTGAATCAAACATAAGGTTAAATTGATTATCCCAAGTCATTATTACAACGAACAAACTTTCACCATGATTAGTAAATTAACTTAATCTCGTTTTCTTCCTTAATCATCACTAAATTATCCTAATGATATTTGTGAAATCAATTGTGACCATTACAATACAATTAATCATGATTAGCAATGATTATTATCTCTGTGTAAGATTATCAATGTTTCATAATAATAAAAAATGACCATCAACAAGATTTCATTTTTTACAATCAATTTTCAATTGAAACAATTATCAAACAATCAATCGGATGGACACACAGAGATGATGATGATGATAAATCATCAGGAAATATAATCCAGATCCGCCTAACATTTCATCCGGAAATCTCTTGAACATGATATAAAATATTTCGTCTTTTTTATCATCATATTTGTTTCGAGATTTTTTCTCATCATCTTCATCTTTCCAACTAATTTCACTTACATCACCAATGTGACAATCCTGTTGATGACATGATGATGATGATGATGATGATGATGATGATGATGATGATTATCATTTTAATGGTTGACATGCAACAGTAACAATGACAATAACCACAAACTTAGTTGATTGTAATGATCAACCTGGTTAATGGATTAGTTCAAATGATTGGATATTTTCATTGTGATTCTTTAAGACAATTAAAGTTCAATTAATTGAACTTTAATTGTCAAATAAACAATTTAATTTGATTGTTTTTCTTTAAGTGTCAAACTTTAATCATATTTATTTCATCAAATGTAATTATAAAGTCTCAATGTTTTCACGCAATTAAATAATTTTAATTATTAGTACATAATGTTAATCATTTATGAAAATTGATCGTTAATTGTATAAAGATCAATATAAATTGTGATATTTTTTAATGATCCTTGTTAAATGGATGCAATTTAAAATTGCAATCATGCAACAATTCACAGTTAATTACTGGATGATTTTTGATTATTACAATGGAACAATTGAGAATTATGATTAAACTGAATTGCTTTTAATTGTTCAACATTAATTAACTTGATTCATGTTGAAAATCATGAAAACCAATCCATTTGGGTTGAAAGCTTTTGTTTGATAATAAAAATGAATGATAATTATTGATTGGGATAAACTTTGATTTGTTTTCCCGTTAATGGTTAATTAGCAGGAATTAAAAAACTATAATAATTAAAATAAATCAACCAATAATAACGTCTGTTAATTGTTATTAATAAAATTAACAGTGATTGGGATAAACTTGAAATGATTCATTCCATGGGCTCATGTTTTTTATCCATAACTTAATTAGGAAAGATACATGGAAAGGGAATTCACTGATTTTTGTTAGTATGAAACTTAATTAGAATGAGAGAGAGAAGAAGATGAAGATGATGATGATGATGAGAAGGATGTGGAAGACAGAAGCCTTGTCTATGGTAAATATAATATTCACTAAAGTCTTTAATTATCATCATTATTCAGTCATAGAGTCACAGTGGATGTTACCAGGGAAACTGAACATTTTCACGATTCTTTGTCATGAGGCTTAGAGTTTATTATCATCATTACATTATTAACAGCATTGTTTGGGTGGAAGATGATGAGAATCTAGAGATAAATGAATAGAAATGAATAAATGAAAAAAATGAATAATGATAAAGCAAAGAGAGAAAGACACTGAAAGAAATTATTACTTACATGCATAAATATATTCTAGTGAATTCTTTTGTATGTGTTATATATTTTCTGTTCCATAGTTAATTCTGAGAATGATGATGAAGATGATGAATGAATTTAAGAAGAAAGAAAGAGAGAGATAATCATATTAATAAAAAGAATATAAAATTTGAGAAAGAGAAAGAGAGAAAATAAATATAAAGTCAACAAGAACATGAGAAGAGAGATGGAAACAAGTCCATTGAGAAAGAGAGTATTTACCTTTTCGTTGAATAATTATCTTCTCTGTATGTTAACTGGTGTTCCGAGTTGTTTTAAGTTAATTAAGTGAAGTGATTAATTGTTTAAAATGACAATTCTCAAAGATTATCTAAGATTAAGTGATAAACGTTGAGAGAAGAGCCAAAAACAAAGGGTAACCATTGACACCGAAAAAATAACGAGCGAAAATATATTAACGGTATCAATAAGTTCACTTTGTTCAATCATTCGGGGAAAATCAATACCGATAATTATCCAATTTTCTGACTAATTAAAATTCAGAGTCTTACTGAGATTAAACAATTAATTAGTTATAAAATTTGGAACTTAGTCCAAGTCGATAAACACTACAAAGGAGCGAAAATTTATCATTTTTTTCGAAACTGAACTGAGCTTCGAACTTTTTTTCGAAATTTAAAATAGTCAAAACGAAAATAGATCTTTAGTCTTAAGCTGCTGCGAAAATGAACAATAGATTAACTTTGGTTGTCGAGAAATCGAATTTCGAAATTTGGACTTTTACAATGAAAAATTCGACTGAAATCATGAACAGTTCTCATGGAATCGGTGCATGAACTCAGAACTTATTGATACACTTTAATAATAATCCAACTTTTTGCAAGTTCTTTTCTGTGGTTTGATTTTTTCTCATTTGTTTTCTAATTAATTTAATTGTCGTAATTTAATGTTGAGCTTTTTTCTCTTGTCTATTAGTTGCTTGATTTATGGTAATTAATTCATTCTGGTTTGTAAGATTATCTCTTACTCTCCTTGTGTTTTCCTAATTGATCTTAATCTTTTCCTCTTCTCGGTTTTTAGGCCTACAAGTTAAATTAAGTAATTCTAACCTTGGATGAAGCATCACTTTTGTGTGTATGTGTTTTAATTCAGTTAATGATGAAGATGATTTTGATGAGAATGATGGAAAATTAAGATCAATCTCAGGTTGAATCATTTGTTTCTCTCTCTCATTTTCTCTTCTCATGTCTTCAGGTGAGTTGGTGATGAAAAATAAAGAGAAATCATTTCCTTTTCTCTCTCATCGGGATTTTCTTCTTCAGGTGCATTAGTTTAGTGACACTTGAAATATCCATTTAGCCCTCAGGGTATTCAATCTCTAGACCTTTTCTTTCACAAATATCTCATCTTCATCTTTTTTCATCATCATCAACAACAGTAAGAAGCTTGTTGCTGCTTTTTGGAAGATACCAAAAGAATATCATCTTCGCAAGGTTGGTTACATCTTTGGTTTCTTTGCTCTCCCTCTTTCATTTGGTGACTATTTTCAACTATCTTCATCTCTATCACCATCATCATCATCATTATCATCAAAATGTTTCAGTTTCTCTCATTTCCATTTGATGATAATTCAAGTGTGATCATGAAATGATGATGAAAAATGATTATATTGTCAAGCGAGATATTATTCTTACCATTATATGGATCGGATAAAATTCACGTTGCCATGAAAAAGGAAAAGTGTATTAATAATGTAGAGGGAAGAAAAGAAAATACCATCATGATGATAACATGAAGATGATTGTTATCAGTGTAGTTTGGAATTGAAATGAAATGAGAAGAAAGTGAAATGTTTGAAAAGATTTAATGTAAATCAAAGAGTAAAAACCTCTACTCTTTGATGTAAATTAAAGATTCAGTTAGAGAACGAGAGAGAAACAGAGTGAGAAATGAAGATGAAGAAGAAAACAAAGAAAGTCTTTTCATCTTCTCTTAATCATCATCGTCTCTATGTGAGATTCTGTTAATCAAGTTATACCCGGAAATCCGGAAATTTTAAGAGTATTTATCAAATTATAGCTCTCTCTCTCTCTCTCTCTCTCTCTAGTTTCATCTTCATTCATCTTCATAAGGACGAAAACAATGATAACAATCAATATGATGCTGAGATGATAAACTTTTACCTTTCACACTTAATTTAACCTCGACTGATGATGAAGATGAAAAAGGATGATAATGTTATTGAATAACTGGAAACTTCATATCCATCGGACAAGAAAACGATGATGAAAGAAAAAGAAAATAACTTTCACAATAACAACATTCGCCATCATCATCATCATCATCTCTTTCTCTCTCATCAATCTTACCTCTTTCATCTTCATCTTTATCCTTTGGACAATATGAGTTAAAAAAAGAAGGTCACTTTTCATTCTTTTCATTTTGTGGCTTCTCCATTCATCTTTAATCATCATCATGATTCTTGTGATTTATCATCAACGTAACTCAATCAGGATCTCAAAGTGTCAACATGAATGAAACCAATTGAATTAACTCAGATTTACAGATTTCTCTTTCTCTTCATCGCATTAACTGAGGAGGAAAATAAGTTTCTGCTGAAAAGATAAATTAATCAATCTCATTTATATATCTTTTTGTTTTTATTTCTTCACCAATCTAATTAAATTAGGTCAATTTATCCTCATCATCTTCATTTTTATCTGAAAATAAAAAGGATAAAAAAGATCCAAGGATTAAGTTGATCTCTTTGGCCTTTGATAGCGATCACTTTGATTCCAATCATAATTTAAATTGATTATCCAAAATTTAATGCTAATTTATTTCGTTTTTTCCAGGTTTCAATCAAATAAATTGTTCATAAATTGATTGGTGAATTCAAATTGGATCATCAGTTTCACAATTAAATGATGAAATACAATCGGTAGACTTGTTAAATCACCTATAGACATCATCTACTAATTATTGCAGGTTAATTGTTGTGTAAATGATAAAGTTATTATCATAAATTGTGAATATTTTGAAGGTCTCATGAGATATGTAATCATCATTATTACAATTAACTTTGTAGATGATTACTCAATTAAATGAGTTGATCCTTAATTATTATCAACAATTTGAATAATTAAGAGCAAATTACATTTGTTTTTAATTGTTAATTTGATAATAATGATAGATAATAATGGAAGTAGAAAAAAAATTAAGAAGGTAAATTGTATCACAATCGACATACACCAAAGTAAATTATAACAATTAACGGAGCAACACTTTGATTACCTTTTCAAAGGGATCATTTATCATAATTGTCATCTGAGTGTCAATTTAATTAACTCAATTAAATTGGTACATTTATAAACTTTGATAGTTGATGATTAGTTTGATGATGATTAAATTGCTTAAAGGAAAATTGATCAAAAATCTCTGAGGATAAATCTGTTGATTAAAAGGCTGAGTAATTCAATGGAAATGAAATGATTTAATCAATCAAAATCATTTCCATCAAGGTGAACATCTTATTATTATAATTAATACCAATAATCAACATGACAATTAGATTAATAGACATAATAATCAACGAAATATTCAAATGAAATTGGATCAAGGATGAAAATCAAATTTGATTACGCTAATCAAGAGTCAACAATCAATCATTTAATTGTGATGAAAATTAAACAGTAATTGGGATTTGTTTTAATTAACCAATTTGATTTGTTGTTGATTATTTACACCTAATTATTTTTTTTTACTTATAAATTATCATGATTAGTATATGATTAAAGTTGTCTTATCCTCGTTATTAAATGTATGAAGATGATGGTGATTAACATGATTAAAGGTCTTGATTGTTGATCTGTTAGTTAACAACTTATTTACTGTTCATTAAATTACAAATAAAAAAGGTGTGGTAATTGTTGATCAATTGGGCTAATCAAGTTAATTTCTAGATAATCAATAGATTAATTTTCATCTTTCTTTATGGGTTAACAATTTATCATTTGATTTTGATTATGATGAAGCAAAAATATATTGTTATTGGTGTTACATTAACATGTAATTAGGCTCGTTAATTACATGTTAATGCTTTTTAATACATTGACATTGATTAGTTGATAATTGTTGGGTTGAAAATGATTGAAAAAAAACTTTTAGACCTTAACAACAATTAACATAATCTGGTAATCATCATGATAATCATTTTGGGCTAATCATTGATATTCAAGAAGTCAACTCATGATCATCATTAAGGTAGGAACACTTTAATTATAAAAGGAAACTAAATATCTTATAGTCATTAACTGATTATTATGATACAACCAATTTATGATATTGTAACCAAAACAATCAAATAATTGACCATGAAAGGTACAAAGTGTTGGTCATTGTCTTTGTAAAATTAATTATCTACCTTGATCAGGATTAGTGAATCAGCAATTAGATTAATTTTTTTTCATCGGATGGATATTATGGTTAATCTCTAAATCAATTAATAATGATGACTAATAGCAATCAATTTAAAGTATTAATTTTGTTACATTTGCATAATAACTGTACGATAATTACCTAGGTGATCATCACTGGAAAATGTAGAAACATTAATTATCATCTTTCTCATTAGATTGATTGTATCTCTCTCTCTCTCTTGATAATTTGGTGTTTTTGTTGATCCAAAACAATAATAAGGTAGATAATTGTCCAATTCATAATAATCAGCATACATTTATGATTATTAATATGAAATCATAAATTAAATGATGAAATGATAATCTTGTTATAAACAATAAATAACCAAATTGTAAAATTCAGGAGCAATAGAAATCGGCTTAATCATTTGGATTGGATTGTATTAATATCTTTAAATTTCCAATTTCCACTTGTTAGTTACGATGGTGATTAGGCTTAACCCTAATTAGAAAAGGTAGAAAATCATAAAAAAAAATCGAGATGAGGGAAAAATCTGAAAGAAGGAAAAAAAAAGGTAAACTTGATTAATTTGAATTCAATTTACGAGGCTAATATAACTTAATAGAAATAAATAAATCATCAAATTGTGAGGTCAAAGTGAACAATTTAAATGTTCAATTTATACAATTAGAAGAAGAAAGCAAACCAGATATATAATAGAAGATTGAATGATTCCACTGATTGCAACCATTAACTTATATTATCAAGCGAAATCTTAAAAATTTTGTTCTCCTCTTTAAGTTAAGAATCTATTAACAGCGGGTAATCTTAATCATAATAATCTTGATTTGCTTTTTTTTCTACCGTTTGATTACTTCAAATGATGAAAGTCAACTGTTGATGATGATTAGCTTCTTATCCTCTTACTTATTTCACTTGTGTAATTACCTCAGATCAGAAATTGTTGACAACATACACACAAACAAATACACAGAGAGAAAATAACAACAAACAGTGAGTAGTAAATGAATGAAATTGGTTAAACAAGTTCCATCTCCATCACAACGAGTTACACCGAAAAATTAACTTTGAAGCAACTGGAAGAACACAGTTTCCTATCTCTTCTCCAGGGCCCAGGGTTCCAAGTGGTTCATCTAAATATCGGAACAGAAGAAGCAAAAAAAAAAATATTCTTGTGAGAATGTTGAAAGGTAACTCTGCATGTGATTTTCCTCCATTGATTTACACACACACACACAAACTCACCGAGTGATAGAAGAGATAAAAAAGAATCAAGTGAATGTCAGATTTAGAAAGTCAATTGATCTCATGAATTAGATTTATGAGATAATCACCAATCATAAACCTAATAATAAATTCATTTCCTATAGAAAATTTAAATTTCAACTCATCAGAATACGAAACGAGTTAAACCAAAGGAGAGAAACAAGTTGATCTCAAAATCTGAATCCACACGAATCCAATCAAACCGATAATCATTAATTAGAATAAAAACAAAATTAAACAATAAACCACAAAAAGAGTAAAACAATTGCGAATAATTAAAAAAAAATTTTGTTCCATTTTCCATCAATCAGCTGATCCTTTGTGTCGATCAAAAGTGGGCGGGAGATTAGAAAATTAATTTTTTCTATTCTAAAAAAAGAGTAAATTTAATTTTCTTTTCTTCTTCGATTGTATTTAAATTAACTTGAAAGATTTTCTCTCATTTTTAATTGTTCCATCAAATGGAGAGATTAGATTATCTCCTGATTGCTCAACATGAAATCTTTTCCCTCTTCTTCAAATGTTACATATAAAATTCTGTGTATTTAGTTGGCTACATGAGAAGAGGGCAAATTATGATTACAATCAATCAGTCATCGGGTTGTCATCATCATCATCATCATCTCTCTGTTTGACTCCAGCCTCTCATCATCTTTAATGGACCTCAAAACAATGTTCATCTTTCTCCAAGTTAAATTGTTCCATCTCTCCAATTGTTTATCACCATCAATTGATTATCTTTTCCATCATCATCCAGTATCAACAAAAATCTTCCATAACCATAGACACATAGTATTTGACCTTCAACTCTTTTTCCTTCATCGCCTTTTCCTCCTCTTCCGCCTACTCGTTAGGCCTAACAACTTATAATCTATTATCTTATTATGTATGATATTTGTGTATCTTTTTATATTTATATCTGATTACTGGTCTCATTTTCACATTTTTTTTCTCTCTCATTAACCAATAGAAACTGTTTCCCTTTTCTATGGCTTTTTAATCTGATGATTCATGGCGGTGAACTTGACTGACCACCACAACCACAATCACCACCACCATCACTACCATTGGTCATTTACAGTTACTTGGGATGAAAAGAAATCAATTTTTGCTTAATGGAAAACCTCAAGTTATATTGATTACATGGAGACCAGAGTAAGAAAAAAAGGTTTGTACTTGTATATATATTGATACAAATATTTAAACAATACAATTAATAATAAATGGGTGAGCTTATCAATTGTCACAACAATTGAATTTGAGGCCTGAACACGCGTTGGTCAATAACAGAATATTTTATCTGCATCTAAATAACCGTCGCCATTGTTACTGTTTATTGTTTATTACTATTTCGATATCTTTATCTATCTATTGCAATCATCTTCAGTGGTCACTTTCCCTTTTTGTTTGTCTCTCTCAAAAATGGACAACCATAAGTTCTGATTAATATTATATTCTTCTAAATTTCTCTTCCTCCTCCATCATCATAATCATTATTTTCTTTCTACTTTTTCGTATTCATTATAATCATCTTCTTGTTTATTCACTTACTCATATATCTCTTTCCCTCTCATTCCTATCTTCAGTTTCATCTTCCATTCTTTATGTACCTTCAACACACTCACGAATACATAAACATTCACAAACATGAACACCGATCCACATCTCTTGATGATCAACATTTAATTTTGATGACCATTGGATATACAACATTCAACATTTATCCTGCTGCACCATGAAGGCAACAAACTGCCAACAATACATAACAATTTTCAGCATTTCTAATCAAAGTTAAAGGCATAATAATAAAACTATTTTATTATTACCTTCTCTCTACTCTTGCAAATGGTTTTTAATATTTGATGATTATTAACTCTCACCCATCACTACCCTGGACTTTAAAAGATAATCAACAAAATTGACCAACAACATAAAACAACAACAACAACAATCAACATGAAATCAGAGGCGATTACGATTGAAGCGATGACCAAGGAAATAGAGGAAATGAGAAAAAAATAAAGAGATTGAAATGGACAGAAAAGATTTGATTATTATTATTATTACAGTTACATTATTGTTCATCAGCAGAATTCAAAGTGATAATAATAACCATGATACATGTAATAATAATACTCATCATCATTTTGTCAGCCATTAAAGGTAAATAAAGAGTAACCAGAAGCCTCAATGGTGAGACTTGCTTTAGGCGAGTAAATATCACAATATATGTTGAAGGAAAATGATTCTTTTTGATTTTTCTTTATATTCAACAGAATATTATCAAGTGTCGATAAGAAAATGGAGAGAGAGAGAAAAGTAAAAGCCGGAAATGAGCTCAACTTCCTGTGGATCTTTCGGATGCAGTTGATCAATCTGATTGTCGCCTGAAAAGAACACGAATTTTTGTCATCATCTTTTTCCATCCCGATAAACAGTTGAAATTATCATGGAAAGAAAAATATTATTACATGTAGAGATGATCACGATTCCAATTTCAGGTTCGTCATCATATTATTCAAGATCATGTACACTAAATATCATCATCATGTCAAATGTCATCATCATCACAGTCATTTAGTGAAACTGGAAAATCATTTCATGTTATTGTTTTGACTTGATTCAGATTGTCAATTTATCCTTATCCCTCAATTTCCGTTTCCATCCTAACAATCAACAGTTAGTAAATTGTGTTGAAATAATCATCTTTTCCATGTCCGTTATCATGTTTTTCAGAATGAAAAACAAACAGATTAACCTTACCAATGGATTAAAAAACAACAATAACTTGATCAGTAAATTAGATTTTCTTAATCATTGAGAACAACAATAATGGTGTTAATTTGATTACATTAACAAGTGATTAAATAACATGATAACACCAACATCATCTTGACCATCAACATGGAGACATAATCGATCGGATCGAAGATATTTTCTGGATTTAATCAACTAATCAGTGAATGATTAACAAGTGAAATGTTATTATTTTTAATGAAATTTGTTCTTGATTATCACCATTAACCTTTGAAAACTCTTGATTGATAATAAATCAAGAGTTAAACTGCAATTTCCATTAATTCAATTGCATTACTTACAACAATTAACAAATAGGTACATAAAAAAATACTTGAAATGATAAAAAGGTAACATAAATTATCAATAGTTGGTCATTTTAATTAAATATATTTCTTTAATTACTTTGAGACAATCAAAAGATCAGCAACACACAAGTTGCAAGGGAAATTAAATTGAAATAATTAAGAGATTGTGGTTAAGTGTATAAGCGAAAGAAGGAAAAAAAAGTCTAATCATATTAGATTAATGTCTTCCCTGAAATTCAATTAACAAATTGGCCTAAAGATTATCTTGATTAACGTTAATGATTAGTATCATTTATGAGAGAGTGTAAAAAATGAGTTAAATTGAGTGTGAGTAGAAAATTAAACGAGTTGATTTTCAAGGTCAATCTACTATTGAAATTTACTGTTATTTATTGTTGATTATAATCTATCAATAATTATCTAATTAGATGATAAAAATTGGAGAAAAAAATTGATTCTAGTCAATTGGATTAATTTCAATTATTTTCCATCAATGGAAAAGGTTGATTTGTGTACCAATGGAAGATGATGAGAGAGCCATTTACAATTGGATTAGATTAGATCATCTTTCAAGGGTCTTTACTAAAATGATAGAGAAGATGATGAGGTTTTCCAGTTCACTTTTTCATCTTCTTTCTCTCTCTCTCTCTCTTTAGAACTTTTTTCTTCGAAATTTCTCCCTTCGAATTTCATATGTTCTCTTGCTCATCTTCCTCCTTCTTAATGTAATCCAAGCATAAAAATCCTTTCAAGGTTATTCAGAAACTGTTGTTATCCAATTTTTCTGCTTCTCCAGCTAATTCATCAAGTTATTATGCTGAATGATTTCTGGGTGAAGATGATGAGAGAGAGAGAGAGAGAGATGATAACCATCATCATCATCATCAATGTTTACTGATGTTGGTTATGTTTCCTTGTTCCTTACCGTGTATTTTATCAATGGATGTTGATGCTTGATCCACAATTGATTGTATAATTTAATGGTTCCTCTTATATTTCCCTTTCCTTTTTTTATCCCTCCATCGACATGATTGGTAAAATTGATACCGTTGCTTCATTGAATTATGTGAGTGTGTGTGTGTGTGTCTTTGGGTTTTTTAATATCACAATCAACAGGATCTTCTGTATATATGAGTTAGGTGTTATTATTAGAGGGTAACGGGTCCATGAGCTTTAATAATAATCGTTTTGCTTTCCACCTCTTTGCTTATCACCAATAAAAAACCATTACGATAATAAATGTAATGATATTATAGTGAATCGGTTATCGCAAACAAAAAGTGATTAAAGTTTAACAGCTAATAATGTATCCATACACACCATTGAATGGTTTTAAAGGATTAATTGTATTAAAAGCATCACCATATTAATGATAATCACCATGATTAGCATAATAAATTACTCCAATCATAATGATACGTTTTTTTCTGATATTTATATACATGGAGAGTGGATGTAGATGATACTGAGGAAACCTTTCAATTATAAAATAATTTTATAAATTGAATTTACAATAAGCTCCAATTGACAAATGACAGTCCTCTCCTCCTTCATATCTTCCCATCCTTATAGTTGGCTTGATGGTGATGAGGATGATAATGAAATTAATAACACCAACAATATAACAAACACTTTGATGTTTTGAAAAATTGTTCAATGGGAAGAGTTAAAAGTTTGGTGTATCTCTGCAACTGACATGATTGGTACATTGTTGCCAAAATTAGTTGATATATTGACGATTCCAGGATTGAATGAGAAATGAAAGGATGAGAGAGAGAGAGAACAAGATAAATCAAGAATAATGTATTAGATTGTGTTTAATGGGTGTTGATGATGATGATGATGAGGAAGATGAGGAAGAGTAAAACTTTTTTCACTTTCAAACCTGCAACTGAAACTATTTGCAGATTATTTTGCTCACTTCATTTCCTAATTTTATTGCCAACATTATATTAATATTATCATCATTTACCACCTCCTCCACATCCTTCAACTCCACCACCACCACCACCACCATCTCATTATCCCCTCCTTTGGTTTAATCTTAATCTCATAATCCATGCTGTATAATTGTCTATCTCTGTCCTTGTTTTTGTCGTTGCATTTGTATTATGATGAAAAGTTGCTCCTTCTTTTAGACTCTCAATTTTATGAATGAAACAAATCCAATTTTTGTTGATTCAATTTAATTCTAGTCAATGTTGTTATTTTATTCACCTTCATATGCAATTTAATCATCTAATTATAAATCACTCACGTTCATTTATCCTCTTTAAATAAAGATGTTGATTTTAAACCCAGAAAATTAATATTGAACATCATTATCATGATGAGGATTACATTTATTTTCGTGTATCATTTGTGAATATTGAGAAAATATTTTCTAGTTTTGATCAATCAAATTAACTTCGTTGATTAAAATTCTGTGTGAATAACAAAATCTTAGAAAATGTGATCTAAATAAGAGAAGAAAAAAAATAATTAAAAACGAAAATGAAATTAAATCTATTAGATTTTAATCCTTAATCTCCGCAGGAAAACACTACTAACTTGTTTTCTCTCTGTTAACAATCAACTAATTACTACGATAAGGATTAAGTTGTAGAACTTATTTAATACTTTTGATTGTTATTCTCATGATTAATGATTGATTTAAAAAAAGGGAAATGATTAAGAGGATAGAAAAGGTCTACAATTAAATCAATCATTTATCTGATTGTTTAATGATATCAATTTTTTTCCCTTTTACTTTTGTTTTTATTTCATCTTTAAGACCGATGAACTTGATTGTTGATTGTGATTAAGATGATTTCTATTTTCAAGTTTATCTTGCTATCCAATGTATGTGTATATCCTTGACTTTGATTGAGTGAATATAATCAATCGGATAATAAGTCACAATCAACTAATTGAAGTTTTAATATATCATCAGAATCATCAACTTATCAGAGATTATGTTTTCTAACTCATCAATTTACCTTGAGGATATTTTCAATTCTCTCTCATAATTAACGGTTAAACAAAATGTTTAATTAAATGCAATAAGTGTAGATATTTGTTAGTTAATTAACTAACTATCATCTAAAATTAATTGATAATCAAAGTAGAATACAAAGTTATATATATGATATTAGAAAAAGGTAAATTTAGAGTAGAGTAAATTTGATCACGGATAACATGTAATCTCAGCTGATAACTGATTTTAATTAAAATTGAATTAACTCAAGAATTTGTGGATTCCCTCAATCTATTTGCTCATCATCATCATGATAAGGTTGGGTCTAGATGAGTGGGTGGATCATGAATCTCATCATCTAAACGGAAGACAATCAAAAATTTTGATTTACCCATGAAAATGACATGGTAACATGTAGACACACATACTGAACATGGATAATGAAAGTAATTTAATAACATTGACTTTAAACAACGAGATTAAATTGAGAGATATTTTTTTTTATCCATCATCATGATGAGAATGATGATGAACACACCTTTGATTGTCTTGGTTTCTATCAAATAATAATGTCACACCCAAGAATAAATTGTGAACACAAATTGAACAATATGAGAGTTGAACATGTGGACTTAATGATTTACCTTTTGTTTGATTGTCTATCAATTTTAACTGAGAATTTCAAATTTATTTCTTCATCTCTTTTCAGTGATATCATGAAATTTGATAACATCAATTCTGTTTCATGATAAGATTACATGACGAAGACAATGATGACAATGAACAGAACACTGGATGAGAAATCTGAGTTTACCTGTGAAAAGAATGGAAAAAAAACTCTGTTGATATTTAATTGGAAAAATTTCTCAGATAATTTAAATTCCCAACATAGCATATAAATAACTTGTTCTTTACAATTAACTAATTGCAATACCTTTTTGATTACGAGTATTGTCAACAATAACAACAATCAATCAATTGTGATTCTTTCATTGTTTTCAGTGTATTTGTTTTTCCTCCTCGACTAATTGTTCAACTCTTAAAATCAATTTAAATTGAGATACACAAATAACTTCGGAAGCAATTTGAGTAGTAATTAAAGGGAATTGAAGCAATTTTAAATTGTTCAAATTGAAACAATTTACTGATTTGTTACTATTGAACAATTAGCCTTAAATAACCAATGGTTTTGTTCAAGGGAGAGGAAGGAAACTGGAAAAATCTCACTAAATGTAACTATTACCAACTAATTTGTTGAGCTGAACAACTCAATTAAACTTGGTAAAAGTAGTTAAATCAAATTTAGTTAATTGTCTTCATAAATCAAAGGATCATCTCTAAATAGCAAATGATTTAAATGGTTAAGACATTTATGGTTTACAATTAGATTGCTGTTGTTGTTGTTGTTGTTTTTCTTGGTAGTTGAGTTGGTGGTTGAATCAATCAATCTTGATAATATAATTATATTGTTAATATAAAAATTATACTCATGAAATTGTGTGTGGATGATAATGAAAACAATTCTTGATCACATTTAAATTTCATGAGCAAATCAAATAAAATCAACCACCATTACAAAATGATAACAACAACAATCAAAGGTCCATAATAATACACAAGCCAAGTGAATTAATATTTACATGGAAATGTTTTAGTTAATAGTTGACTTTACAGGCGTGGTTATGTAATGATAATCAGAATAATGATTCGTACTGAATTTGTTGATTGTTATGTTTAGGAGGACATGATCAACTACAATCAGCTCATCAGAATCAGAGGGAAACGATTAATTTAGATCCAGATTACCTTTTAAATGTTACAACAGACAAAAAGTTATGAATGAAGATCATAATAGAGACAGAATGAGAATTGAAAATGTCAACAAATCAACATTTTAATTGATTATTCTGTTGACAATTGAAGATGAGAAGTTATCATTTGTTGTTCTAATAACTCTTTCAATCTTCATCTTCATCTAAAAGATAATGATGATGATGATCCTCTTATATGAAGACAGCTTAATTTGACACAATCTTAACAGAATTTAAGCTCATTTCTTTTAATTAAAATTCTTGCAATACTTTACCTTTAAGATTTAACTTGATTCTCTCTCTCTCATCTTGTTCATTAGAAGAAAAAAAAAGAGAGAGAGATAAGTCCAAGGCTCAGGTCTTAAGATTCATCATGAACACCAATTGGAATGAGAAAAAAACAGGAACCCATTACAACTTAACAATATTATTCAGTTAATCAATCACTGTCTTGATTTATATTGCAGCCATTTGAAGATGGAATCACAATTTAAAATTGGTACACAATCAACATAAATCTTACTACATAAACACAGAATTAATTGAACAATCAAGAAGCAAGAAATTAAAAACATCACATTAACTAACATTCATTTCATTTTCACTTGTACATGTTGATAGATTCCTGTTGAAATTAAACGTTTAAATAGTAAATGATTGACTTATCAGGCGAATGGTTAATAAAATAAGAATATCCAATTAGTTAACTGTGTAGAGTTTATTAATACGATTAATTGGAACACTGATTTAATCAAAGAAATTAAATTAAGTCAATCAAGAGAGAAGACAAAACAACAACAACAAAAAAAACGAAAATAAATCAATCGAAATGATTAAAGTCTTTACTTTTTTGAATCCTTTTTGGAAAAAGTGAATTTGATTGTTGATTAATTTCTATCCAATTCTTTATTTTATTTGTTAATTGTTATGGTTAATCTTTCAAGGATTCGATAACAATCAAATTCGAGCTGATGGAATAAGAAATTATCGATGACAGATTAAACTCCAAGGAGATATTAATATGAATATAATTTTTTCGATTCTTTTTTGTTCCTTTCCAGTTCCGTTCCAAGATGATGATAGAATTAATTTCCGGAGTTTGGAATAAAAAAATTACGATTTAATCTATTTAAACGGTTCTGTCACCATTTTGTTTTTCTTTCGGGAAATCACCTGATAGTTTTACCGTTAGTTGTTCATTGAAGCTGAATATTGGTAAACATCATTAATAATCATCTCTAATGTAATTGAGTTTTAAATTGTTTCACCATTGAACTTGAAACTGCTCTTCGGTTAATCCTTGGTGTTGATTAATTTTACTGTTTATTTGATTGGTTAAATTGTTACTGATATTTTTTTCTTAAGGTGATGATAGTGATTAAGGTGTTTTATGTTTAAGTGTCCAAGAAGATTAACTTTTCTCTTCCTCATCATCAAGTTACATCTTCGTTAATTTTATCTGGTAAAAATAAAAGGTAAGATTAATGTGTAAGGTCAACAATGCCTTTAGGTTAAGTCAAGGTAAAGTGTATTTTTCATCATCATCATCATCATCATCATTATCATCATCTTCTTGTTGATAAATACATCAACATCAACATCAACAATTGGTAATTATTTCAACATAAACCGACCCGAATTTACCGATTGGCAAATAAGAAGCAAATCTTAATGAATGAAGGTCAATCGTTTTTAATTGTTATCAAGATACAGAAAATTAACAAAACTGTTGATTAACTGTCATTGGTAATTAGTGTGATGATAAGATGAGAACCTTCATTTTGTTTCTCATGTCAACCAATAATGTAACAATTAACAAGGAAATTAGCGATTCCTTTGAAAATAGAATCCACTTTGATTGTTGTCATGATTAAAGTAATTAATTTAAAATTGAATTCTATCCAACCATCGATGACATAAATCCACTTAATCTCCAACAGGTTACCTGTGATTGATAATGATGATGGAAAATTAAATTCTGTCCATTAAGTGAATTAAAATAATATTATTCATACAATTAAAAGTCACAAGTAAATTAAATTAATATTATTATTTTTAAATTGTTACTCGAAAATAGTTAATTAATGTTTTATATTTTCTTTTTCTTCTCCTTTTAAAAGCTCTACAGCTAAACAACAAACCACATAATCTCAATGAGGATGATGATTAAAGTTAACTAACTAATTTTTGGGCAATTAAAATCATGTTACAGGTAAAGGTGAGCGAACGTGAAAACGACGTTGATTATGATTATTATGTTGAAAAATTAATCTCAGGTAAAGAGATAAACACATTCCAAATACTAATAATATGAGAAGATGATACAATTATCCCTTAAGGCTCAATATTATCAATCATCTTGATCATTAGCATCTCTCTCTCTCTCTCCTCCTTTCATATTATTTTCTTAACTCTTCCCATTTCAATATCATCTCATCACCATGATAATCATTATCATGATCATCACCTGAACATCATGTTGAAAAAAACAAACAAACAAACAATATAACCAACGAGTAATTGAATTAAGATTGATTAGTTTACCTAAAATCTTAATCATTTACCTGAGATGAAAACAACTTTTTCTCATATTATTAACTCTCTTCTTAAATTAATATTGATTGTAATTATAAACATACAGGCTAATGATAAATGTTTTAATTTAATTAATTGTTATCTAGGTGAGAGTTAGTTGGAAAAGTGTTAATTGTTAATTAATACTTTGATTAAGAAAGGTGAGTAGTTACCTTGATAGGGAGGGAGAGAGAGACTTTTATTAAAAAAGTGTAATAATAAACATTTTTAATGGTAATAATTAATTACCCTACAGGTAAATTAATTGCGTTTTGCCAACTGTAACTAAATCATGATTAGTTAACTAATATAATTAGCTTGACTTGGAATCAAAATTAAAGTGTGAAATTTGATTGCAATTTAAAAATTTATGAATCAACACCAAATATAATCAATAATCAAGATTGTCAACAGAATCAAGTTAATCAAACTTTGTTTATAATATTAAATTTCATGTTCATTTGATGAATTTTTGTTTTCTTATCATTTTCAGAATCATCATCATGCAATTTAATCATGTATCATGTCTTGAAATTGAATATTTGGCAAAAAGAAATTCGAAAAAAAAAGTTTTTTTTTCTCTTCTTCGTTTCTGAGAAAAATAATAGTAAATATCAATGTCATCCTTAATTTAGATTATCAACTTTTCTTCCTACATCATCATCTTTATCATCATCTTAATCTCTGTCTATATTCACCATGATGACACAGGATTAAGATTCTGTTGATATGAATATTGTTTATCTAATCTTAATTTTTCTCTCTCTCTCTCTTTTCCTTTTTTTAGCCTGAGGCTACGATCATTGAAAAAGGATGATAATCAATATTTTCTCACAATTTGTTGATTCTGGTTGATTAACTGGTGAATTAATAAAACAAATTCAATACAAATCACCATTGGTAATTAATCCATGAATCTTAATTTAAGTTAAAGTAAACAAATGACAATGAAAATGATATGAACCTTGTATGATTGAAATGGTAATCAACTTAATCACAATCAGAAATCAATTAAACAAGGCTGATTAAATGAGAAACTTTCAATTTGAAACAATTATCAAGATCAAATTTAATTCCTTACAATTAGATAATATTTTTCAGACAGAACTGAAATCATCTTGATTGTACATTTCATGGTAATTCTTGAATATCCTGATTCATTCATCATCAATATTAATCACAATTCAATTTTTGTATTAATAATTTAATTCAGCAATTTAAATATTATATTAATACTAGAAATCACCGCACCCTCTAATCATAGTTAGATTATCAATTATGTTGATTGTGTCATTTAAATTAAAGTGATTGAAACAAAACATTGAATAAATTCAATCTTTAATCAACATGATTAACATTAATTGCTTATGGGTTAATATTTAAATTGGATTAAGAGGTAAAATAATAAAGCATATTGGCAAATAACAACAATTGGTAATCGTTTTTGTCACAATTAATATGATCATTGTATTAATGGGAATGTATTATTTGTATTCATGAATAAATGATTAGATTAATTGAGTAATTTAGTGTAACAATTTAACTGCACGTTTTTAACCAACATAATCATTCAACTCTCAAAGCTCTTAATCAATTGGTAAACAAAATAATCATTAAACACAATTAACTTAATACATTGGATTTCAATTGTAATAAGTTAACAAGTAACAATTAATTTTAAATTGTCGTTGTTTCAACCTAATCTTAAATGATAATATTATCAAAATAATTACTCTTTAAATCAGATTTATTATAAAATCATCATTAATGTTTGGTAATTTGTATCAATTTAGTATTAGCTTCTTAATTATTGACATTCTGTTAGTTAATGATTAGTTTTAGCTAAATATGAGTGATGATTGTTAATTGTGATTAAGACTAATGGGAATAAAAGTTGATAACAATCAGAAAAATATCTTAAATCATTAATACCACAATTGATATTATTTTTGTATCATCAAGAGTTAATCATTGATAAAATAATAACTTCTAATGATGATGATGATAAATTGTTATTGTATCAATAATATTCAATCACCTGTAATTATTTTGCTGTTGATTTTTTGTCATCTTTATTGTTTTGATTGCTGTTATCATCATTATCTTTGACTGTTATTGTTGTTGGATCATCAATTAAACGATTGGCAATGGTTAAAACGGGTTGGATAAATGATCGATCAGCTAATGATGTTGGAACCAGTGATCGAGCTGATTTAATGTTTTCCATCACTCGAGGTATTTTTTTGGCACAAATTGATAGATTTGAATATTTGGAACAACCAATTTCAATTATTTCGGAAAGAGTCAATTCCAATAGAGTGCTAATCAATTGAGTCACTGCCGTCGATTTGTTTGGACACAAACTGTCCAATAAACGAATTCCTCGGTCGTAGATGAAATGATAAGTACAACAACCATAGGGAAGAATCATAATGTCCGAAGTGACATTTTGACCAATATACTCGACGATGGTCATGGTTCGACTCACCAGAGAGTAAACTCGACCGATATTATCGTTATCGAGGCAGGTAAGAGAGTCTAAAAGTCGTAACCGATTAACGGGATCATCACAAACGTGTCGAACGGCCTTTCCTGCTCCCGATATGAAAAGAGCTAAAATTTGACGGGGAAAAGGTGGAAGACATTGTTGATACTTCGAAGCCAAAGTAAAACCTTTTCGAGCGGTTTTACAATGTCCAAGTAGATCACCTTCATTACGAGGAATTTGTTGATTACCATTTAATAGTAAAATCCGTTTAATTAAGCGATCTGTTCGGCTTTGTAATTGACTGCAAGTATTTGATGATGATGATATTTGTTGACCAGAAGTTGATGATAAGAGTGTGAAAAATGTGAATAAGATGATAAATATTATATTCAATTGATAGATGGACATTTTCAGGTATTGATTGTTTCTGTAATTGACGTTAACTATCATGATGATGATGAGTAAGTGTTGATTATGATGATGATTTAGTCAAAATTAAGGAAGCAAACAAAAGCATAACAATCAAAAGGCAGATTAATTTGATACTGTTATCTTGTTGTTGATGTCGTTAATTTTGATGATGATTAGTTGACAATTTAATTAGGTGACACTTTAAATGAAAGGTATTGTTTCACTTGAAACAATAGGATGAAGATGATGATGAATTTCAGCACAAAAATGTTATTCAAAACTCAGTGTTGTTGATTTTGTTTCTATGTAATGATTATGATGATGATACTCCAATGATCACAAAATTATCATCACTTATTATTCAATATTCTGAGACGGATGATTACAGGGTGATTTTTGGGCTGGGTAAACTTCATGGCGATTCTGGTTTTCCTTGAATAATTAAAACTTGATTATAATTTACTCTCCTCATCATCGTTTTCATCAATGGTCATTGGTTGTTGATCATCATTCATCATCATACCTGAGGAAGAAAAATAAAGAGAAAGTTAAACCTTGATTTGAATTTGCAATTGTGTATCCAAATTAACATGATAATTATCATCATTTTATCATCAATTATCATCTATGATAGTTAACCAATTATGAAATTTTCGCCCTCAAGCATAAATAAACACATAACTTTTATCTCAATGTTTTTCTCTGATTCAGTTACCCTGGAAATAAATTGTTCTGGAAAAATCAGAAAATTACTCAATTAACGATCAACAATTAACATGAAAATTCATTATCATAACTGATTTCATTTCAATTGTAACAACCATTTAATTGACTATCTTTTTAGTTTTGCTAAATTATGATATAATTGTTTGGGAAAATTAACCTTCTAGCAATTAATAGTTTAATTGCTAGAGAAAAACAAAAGTTTGATAACTTAGTTTTTCAATTAAATTGTTGTGTTTGTTGATTAAAGAAAATGCTATTTAAATGATCATTTAAAGAAACAAATTGTTTAAATTGTAACGATAAATTTTACCTCTTCATCATTTAATTAAGTTCCCATACATCAACATCCTATCAACATCCTTATTTGGAACTTCCTTTCATTAATTACCATTAATTTCTTTTCCTTTGTTAATTAACTAAATATGGTCGATACCATATTTAGACCTATTCCTTTTCTCGTTAATAACCAACAAAAGGTGAATCAACGTTTATCTCCCGATTCACTCATAGCTCCCTATCATCTAGTATAAATACCGAACCAATGTAATAGAATTAATTCAGTTCATCAGGATCAACAGTATCAACATAATTATCAGTGTTAATCAACATTTAATTGTAACAATCAACTTATTGAATTCATCATTAATAAATATAACCTTAAAATTATATCATTGTGTTTGTTTTCAACTAAGTCCGCTCGGTAACGTTACATTTGGTGGCAGCGGTAAAAGCAAACTTTTGGAAAATTTGCTATCAGTTTACCCGTGAGCAGTTCGTTGATCAGTGTTTTTCGAATTGGTTAACTTCGGTTAGACTACATTCGTGTTGTGAATATAATCTATTACTTTAGATTATCATTCCTTGGACGGCGGTGAAGTGTGACATTCGTGTTGTGAATTCAACTCACCCGGTTACAATTCTGGTGCAGATTGTAAAATCTTTTCATTTCATTTATAAAATTTGGTTTTGAACGTAAACTGGTTGAAAATGCAGAACACCAGTGCTGATTACGCTTCAATGGATCTTAACGAGTTTACGAGAACTCTGAGAATGTTTGCTGAATCAACCCGATCCAACAATCCACCTCAAGTTAGACCGTTTCTTGGCTCACAGACGTGTGACATTTACGATTGGTTATCTGAATACGATAACAAGACTTCAGCCTCAGGCTGGGATGATATTACTAAGTTAAGTAAGCTTTCTATTTACTTAACGGGATCAACTCTTTCGTGGTATCAGATGATGAAAGAAGGTGATGGACTACCATCAACATGGCCATCAATGAAAAAGCTTCTTTTAGAAACCTTCAATCCATCAGAACAAGAATTACAACTTGCTATTCAAATGCTTAAACAACAAGATGATGAAGATGTTATGACTTATATTGAAAGGTCAATTCACCTTTGTCATCGAGGAAAAATAGGACTAATGGATACAATAAACAAGATCATTGTTGGATTACAACCATTATTACTTGCTGAATTGGGATCGTTAGTAGCTCAACCGATTACAACAATCGAAGAACTGAACAAAAGATTGGTTGAAGCACAAAAAATCAGACAAATTCGGAACGAAGAACTCAAGTATTATTTCCAATCTTCTAATCATGCCAACTCTTCCTATGGCAATCAACAATCACCAAGACCAACTCCTTCATCGATGGCAGTAACATCAACAACCAATCCCGAAAAATCTGATCTTGCGGAGATATTGAATAAAATAAAGGCCATTGAAGCTTGGATCAGTACTAATGATCAGAATAAACGTGATCGTACACGAATTGAGTGCCATTATTGTCACAAGTTGGGACACATGAAACGTGATTGTAGACAAAAAAGAAACGATGACGAGAAAAGACGAAGAGATCGATCTCAATCTCCAGCAAGAGACTATCGTCAGTCTCAAGATGTGAGAAATCGCTCTCCAACACCACACCCGGAAGGAAGAAGATCAAGTTGGGATAATCGAGATAATACCTCTCGTCAAAATAACAATGGTCCAGCTGCATTTGCACTAAAAACTAATGATAATAATCAAGAAGACGAATCCGAAGCCATTGGTCATCTCACTCCATGTTCTGTAGTAATCAAAGGTATTCCTCTGAATGGTTTAGTCGACTGTGGATCTCAAGTTTGTTTGATAAATAAAAACGTGGCTGAAAAATTGAACATTCATCTTACACCTTCCCCATCTTTTCAAGCAACTAGTGTTAATGGTGATCAAGTTCAGATCTTGGGAAAGGCTAGAATAGATCTAAGTATTGTCATCAACGTAGAAAAGAGAACGAGTACTCTAATCGTCTTTGCTGTTGAATCTATCCCAAAAGAAGCTGATATACTAATTGGCTCTAATGCTCTTTATCGGCTTAGCATCAACATCAGTGGCTCAAGAAAAACTATCACATTTGAACCAAGTGAAGGTAAACTTCATCTTAGTGAAAATCTGATCCTTCCACCTAGATCACAAACATTCGCAACTGTGTCAACTGAAAATAAAGACTTTCGATCTAAAGGAACTTATCTGGTTTACACACCTGATAACGTTTTCGAAAAGAATAAATTGTTGATAGCTAACAGCATTGTTACTATTAAACAAGGTAAAGCTGATGTTGAAGTTTGTAATTTCAGTCAAGAACCGTTAAGCTTATCACCAGGAACCGTTATCGGTACTTACGAACAGAAGAGCAATGAAGATATTGACAATTCTAAATCAAAAGATGACACTAACACCAATCGAGGAATTTTGAGTGCTCAAAAGGTAAAGAAAGATGAAGATTTAACATGTGAAATAAAATATTTCGATGGTAAAGTCAAAATTGGAACACAACTCAACGAATCACAGAAGAACGAAATCATCAATTTGTTGAACGAGTATCGTGACGTTTTTGCATTGAAACCTGAAGAAATAGGTCGAACAACCCAGTTTGAACACCATATCGACACAGGTGATTCTAAACCTATTACACAAGCTCCTTACCGTACATCACCAGAAAAGCGAGAAATAACAAATAAATTAGTTCAAGAGCTAATTGATACATCCATCATACAACCATCATGCTCACCATGGGGTTCACCAATTGTCTTAGTCAAAAAGAAAACTGGTGATTTGCGTTTCTGTGTTGACTACCGAAAATTAAATGCCATCACGAAGAAAGACATCTACCCTCTACCTAACATCAGTGATGCTTTGGATTACTTAAGTGGAGCCTGCATTTTCACTAGTCTTGACCTCAAGTCTGGATACTATCAGATTGGTATAAATAAGAGTGACAAAGAAAAAACTGCTTTTGTCACTCCAGATGGAACTTACGAGTTCAATGTGATGCCTTTTGGACTAACCAACGCTCCAGCAACATTTCAACGCTGTATGGATGTTATCTTATCGGGTCTCAAGTATAATGCTTGTCTTGTTTATCTCGATGATGTTCTAATCTTCAACAAAACATTTGATGAACACCTTGAAAGTCTAAGAAAAGTTCTAGATCGCTTTATCCAAGCAGGTTTAAAGTTGAATCTTTCAAAGAGTATGTTTGCTTTACCAGAAGTGACTTATCTTGGTTACAAGATAAGTAAAGATGGACAATATCCGGAACGGTCAAAAATTGATGCAGTAGCAAAAATGAAGGTTCCAACAACTGTTAAGGATGTTAAATCATTTGTTGCGTTTTGTAGTTATTATCGAAAATTCATCGATGGATTCGCAACTATCGCAAAACCGCTAACATCTTTAACAAAACAAGACGTACCTTTTGAATGGAAAACAGAACAGCAACAAGCTTTTGAGAAATTAAGAGACTCTCTTATTCAATCACCCGTTTTAGCTCATTATCAATCTGATCTACCTATTGAGCTAAGAACTGATGCTTCAGGGGCTGGAATCGGTGCAGCTCTTCTTCAAAAACATGACAATGGTTGGAGACCAGTTGCTTATGCAAGTAGACAATTGGATAAGTGTGAGGAAAATTACAGCATTAGTGAACAAGAATGTCTGGCAATTGTCTTCGCTGTAGAAAAGTTCAGAAACTACCTCGAACATAAACAATTCACTGTTATAACTGATCATTGTGCTCTTTGCTTTTTACAAACAAAAGCTAAACTACCAAGACGATTGATACGGTGGTCATTACTTCTTCAAGAATTCGATATGACGATAGTGTATAAGAGTGGTAAACATCATGCTGACGCTGATTGCCTGAGTCGTTATCCTGTAGATTCACCAACAAACATGGATGAATTTGAAGATCGAGTACACTGTTTCTCAGTTTCATGTGAGCTAACAACTGAAAAAATAAAAGGTGAACAAGAAAAAGACTCTCTGTGCCAAGAGATTGTGTTCAATTTAAACCGGATAGAAGAACTATCAAATAAAAAAAGAAAGCGATTCGAAAAATATGTAAACAACAGTGGAATCTTGTACAGAAAAGTTTGGTTTCAAGGAAAGAAAGTAAACTGATAGTGGTTCCCAAATCACTAAGAAAAATGATTTGTGAAATTAATCATGACTCTGTCTTTGCTGGCCATCAAGGAATTACTAAAACCTACGAAAAGATAAGAAACAAATTTTATTGGCCTGGAATGGTATCATATATAAATAGCTTTGTCTTATCGTGTCTCCCGTGTCAAACGAAGAAAAGCCCACATTCTGGAATGAGTGGTAAATTAGTACCATCTACAGTAACCAAACCATTTGAACAAATAGCCATCGATTTAATTGGTCCATTACCACCATCAGGAGGTAAAAAGTACATTATCGTTGCAATAGATTGTTTCACCAAGTATGTAGAAACAACGGCAGTATCTTCACCTTCTGCTCAATGTACTGCTACTTTTATAATTAACAACATCTTTTGTCGATATGGTACACCTGGAACTCTTTTGTCTGACCAAGGGACAAATTTTACGAGCAAACTTTTGGCCGATATAAATCGATCATTGTCCATCAGACATAAACGAACAACAGCTTACCACCCACAAACTAATGGACAAGTCGAAAGAGTGAATGCTACTCTGAAAAACACACTTTCCATGTATGTCAACGCATTCCACTCCGACTGGCATAAGTATCTACCATTTGCAACGTTTGCTTATAACTCGTCTTATCATTCAGCTATTCAAATGTCACCATTTGAATTACTTTTTGGAATGAAACCAACAACGCCAGAAGATTATAACATTCCAGTTGATGATAATCACGCTGATGCTGAACAACGAACTCAGTTTGTTAAAAGCAAATGGCCTGAGATAAGACAAATGGTACAAAATCACTTAGATGCAGCTAGAAGTCGTTACACACAAAATTATAATGAGAAACATGATGATAACGAATTTCAAGTTGGTGATCTGGTACTAGTTTTATTTCCCAATCCAACACCAGGACTTGCAAATAAGTTCTGTCATAAGTATCATGGACCTTATAGTATCATCGAAAAGGCTGGTCCATTAGTATACACGGTGAAAGAAATAAACTCGAATTCTAAACCAATTAAAGTGAACATCCAGAGACTAAAAGATACTTCTTAAGAGAAATAGAAGAGAACGAAAATGACGAAAACAACGAAACACTTCCAGTCACCCCAGTTTTCCCCGAATCAGATAAAGAAATTGGGCAAGAAGAAACTGAGTCAATGAACACTACATCAACAGATAAATCGAACTCTAGTCTTAACCAATGGTTCGATACTCGAGAAAGTTTTGATCTTTTTAGAGATAATGAAAGACCAATGACAAGTACTCCTGCCAGACCTAATCCACCGGGAATGCATTTGTGTCAAAACTCGACATATGATATCAATAGTCCCAGAGTTTGGCGAGAAAAATGTCAATACGAACCAGAAGTTTCGACTTCGACAACTGACTGCTCAGACTGTGGAAAACCCCTTCCACCATGTTTAGGCGCCATTAAAAAACGAGTAAGATTTGAGCTCTCAAACCGATCAGAAGAATCGACAGTGACAGATCAAAGTGACAACAGAGATGCTGATTATGATCAACCAAAAACAACTTCTAAAGTGATAAGAAATGAGCCTGTAATAACAAGATCAAAGAGTAAAACAGGTTTACCACTAGTGTCTATGATCTTAACATCACTTCTTTGTATTATGCCTACATCAGCAAACTTTCACCCAGTAAATCCAATTACGTGGAGACAATCAAGTAGACCTGTTGTTCAGTCAGAAGGTGAAATTCATGCATTTGTTACCGTTAAAAACGTTTGTGAGACCATGGCTTCAGAAATTCATGTTCCTGATCTACAACGTGATAAATTTAAATCTTGGTGTGATGCCATGTATGAAAAATCGATCATGGAGCCAATTAAAAATCATTGTGTGATACAACAGAATAAAGTAGAAAAAAGAGCCGTTATAGTCACAGCAACAATAATAGGAGTTGCTATGGCTGGAATAGGCGTAACCGCAGCCCTTACTCACCATGGTTATCAGATTCAAGAACTTCAAGAACAATTACCTAAACATAAAGTAATAATGGAAGAAATGTCAAAAGTTATCAACGATCTACAATATTCATTGAATCAACACTCATCTGTGATCAACAATAACACCAAACGGCTCGATAACTTAGAAACAAATCTCCTACACACTATTTTAACTACATCTGGAATAGCCAACAGATTTGAATCACAACGAATCCAGTTGAACGACATCTTTAAACAAATGCAAATCCACAAGGTCAGCAGTCAAATGTTCTCGTTCCTCAATCTTTCAGCGGAGGAAGAATTTAGATATCCTCACGAACTCATGTCAATAGACAAGTGTTTATTCGATACAAAGAAACACGAATTACATCTTCCCTTACATGGATTCGAAAGAAGCTATCGATACTTTTTAGCAGAAGCTGATCCTTTCTGGTTACGAGTAGATAAAGAAAAATGTATTAGATATGTTGGTCCTAAATTTGTACTCAACGACAAAATTTCAAAAACTGTTTGTCGAATCCAAAATCAGGCATTACAGATGGGTCCCATCATAATCACCAAGAACTTTAATTGTGACAAGGAAATTTTAAGCATAGATAACTTTTGGAAACCGAAAGAATGCCCTGAAGGAATTGATAGTGATCTACAAATCAAAATCAAATCAGAAAAAAGATTAGTCTACTGTTACGGACATTCTATCATAATGGCAAATAAGAACATGAGCTGTCCAAATTTGGTATTCTCATTTCCTTCTACTCTACCGTTAACAATAGACAATGAAACTTTCGACTATTATCGAATATATCATTCTACCAAATTAGAACAAATTCCAGCTGATGCCGACACAATTAATCATTTCCTTTTTGCTGGACAAACTCACACTCAGCTCTTAGAAATGATCAAAATTTCAAATTTTGATAAATCATTCATCGCAATCGTTCAAAGCAATCCTTTTACAAGTACCATTGCTTTAACCATCATCATCACGATCTTACTAATATTCATATACATCATTTACAAGAATTATCATTTACTTCTCAACAAAATAGTGTCCCCAAATAGAAGAACAAATCAAAACGTCAATAATCTGGAGGACATGGAAATGCAACAAATCTATGAAACACCAGAAGTAACAGATGATTCATCTTCTCCGCACAAGACAAAACTAAAACTTCTCTTCAGATTGAAAAATAATCCCGAAAATTAAGGTCACTTTCAAAATTTATAACTCCGCCCCGCTAACTTTAAAATCAACAAAATAGATTTACACAGTTTGGACCTTACTATATCAGAAAATATATAATCTTTGATAAAATCGACGCGGGCATGACGGGGTAAAACTCGAAATTACAAATCAGCTTTTCAATTAACCACCATTAACTAGGATTTCAGTCTCAATTCTAATTCCGTTAAGTTAGCATTTTATGCAATTTATATCAATTAATATGACTCCTGTAAATCTGAATCTGCAATCAGTTTACATTTCTTGCATGTCCCTTTCTGTCCCTATCCACCTGATCCCAAGTAAAAAAATAGATTGACAATTGAACTGAAACAAGAGCCTGTTTCATCTTCTTTATCAACGTCACCCTTTCATTTTTTGGAAATCTTAGGAAATCACCCAAGCATCGCAAAAGGATGCTCTATCAAATTAAGTGTTCCATAAAGCTGTATCAATTGGTGCCCACTGGTGCTGACAGGTCAAAAAAGGATTTTGTTGATAATCAACGAAACAAGGGACTGTTTCAACTTCTGGTCGAGGGAAATGTAACGATAAATTTTACCTCTTCATCATTTAATTAAGTTCCCATACATCAACATCCTATCAACATCCTTATTTGGAACACTTCCTTTCATTAATTACCATTAATTTCTTTTCCTTTGTTAATTAACTAAATATGGTCGATACCATATTTAGACCTATTCCTTTTCTCGTTAATAACCAACAAAAGGTGAATCAACGTTTATCTCCCGATTCACTCATAGCTCCCTATCATCTAGTATAAATACCGAACCAATGTAATAGAATTAATTCAGTTCATCAGGATCAACAGTATCAACATAATTATCAGTGTTAATCAACATTTAATTGTAACAATCAACTTATTGAATTCATCATTAATAAATATAACCTTAAAATTATATCATTGTGTTTGTTTTCAACTAAGTCCGCTCGGTAACGTTACAAAATGAACAATTTAAAAGTTGATTGTGAAACAAAATCTAACAAATACAGTTACTATTTTGTTCAGTTATATTCAATCAACTCATGGATATGTAGTTACAATTAATATCAGATGATTAAATATATTGGGTTACCACAATTATGAGAATCAAATTGTTGTGTTAAAAAGATGATTAATATTAGATTGCTTTTAGTGATTTAACCAACTAATATTAAAACTGATTGGGTTACATTAGAGACTCGAATATTATTGTTATCATCAAATCAATCAATGATATTATTTCAAACGATTTCTAATCAACAACAATAGAAAGTTACAATTTGAGGTTCTCGAATTATTTTTTGGCTTCTTTTCTTTGAGAGTTTTTTTTTCTCGCCTTACCTTATATGTTATATATAAGTAACAGAATCATCCCAAATCCTTTTGTATTATTACAATGATGATGATAATAGTAACACAGAATTGATGATGAAAAAAATGCTCTTCAAACATCCAAATTATTTGGGTTTTACACTCATAAGAATCATAACCATTGTAATAGTCAAGTATATTATTGATTTCTCAAGAATCTTCATCCTTTTTTGCTCCGCATCCTTTTGTTGTTACATTTGTAAGGGAAATGCCTCAATCGACCCCCATTCATACTTAACCAATAAGAAAAAGAGTTAATCATCTCAAACAATTAACTCTTTTCCCGCTTCTCCTTTGTTACCACAGAAACCTTTTCTCCATCTTGTATATAAACAAGTTCCTTCTCTCTCTCAAAAAGAGAAGCAACACACCAATACCTCAGCTTACAACTACTTCTACACACATTGTATACTCATTGTTAGTCATACCCACGTGTCAATTACCCTTAATTACTTATCTTACTCTTCAGTATTTTCCTATTCCTATTTCCGTCTCCTCAATAATTATTCTTACAAGGTGTATCTATACTGTTGTCTCTATTCTCAATAAATATCTAAGTTGCTCCAAAATCTATTTGTCGATAATAGCGCCGGGCACAAAAGTCGTTCGACCTTTGTCCTCGCTATTTCTACTCTTAGGCTGTAGCTTTCTCGGTTGCAGGTTTTGTAAGGCTGCCTTATCCACATCCCCCAGCACAACCCTTACAAATGGTGGAGATGCCTCCCTTTACTTATTAAGTGTTTGTGTCTCTACATTGACCTTAATCAAGGTTAGCGTGTTTCTTGTATCCACGGCGATACTAAGAGTGAAAAGTGTCGTGCCCTTCAGCGTAATTACCGATCAAAATTGATCCAAGCAACTATAAATTATTAGATCTTTCAGATCAATCATCTTCTTCTACTGACTCTTTTCAACAATACATTGCTTCACCTTCAACATCTTTCAGCTCCTCATCTACACTCGATTTTACAAACCGTCACCTTCATCTAACACCTATTTTCGATTGGTCAAATAGCGACCTCATCTCTATTCACGATAAAACAATGTCTACTGAATCAACTGTATGGGAATACACTTCCAAAAAAGAAAACAAAGAAAAATTATGCGCCATATTTGGCATCAGTCTCAAGAACCTTGAGTATGGTTCCTCAACAAAAGCTCTTCGCGCTGCAGTGATTACAGCGGCGATGGTAGCTGGTTCGGTGGATGACCCCTCAAAAATTAATCAAGAAACCCTTCTCGACCCAAAATGGTTAGAATGCCCCGAAATTTTCAAAAAGATGCGTCAATTTGGTATTACTGATGACAACATCAGAATCCTTTTCAATGAAAATGCATTGGGTAAGTCTCTCGATAGACAAACATTAAGAGATTTAGGTTTCACCAAATATCAACAAGATTGTTATTTAAAATGTTTTCCTCTCTTTGAGTCCAATGTTGACCCTGTCGCTCACCAGAACCAAATCAATGAGACAATTATTAATCAAAGTGATGATGAACTTGGTCGTAATGACTGTTCCTCACCCTTACCTATTAGACAAGATTGTGATTTTAGACATCATTGTTATTCTCCTCCTCCCGTTTACATAGGAAGAAACAAAGAAATCATTTCTGAGTACGCGGAAAATAGTCGAGAAACCTTTTCCCAGTGGCTCAATAAATTAGAAAGACGAGTAAAAATCTATAGAATTAAAGATGAGCAAGCAATTCAAATTCTCTCAGCCCAAGTTCCCGATAAGATCTATCAGAAGATCGAACAGATTCAGATTAAACACAATCATCCTTCTTTCTCTTTCTTATTAACTAAGTTAAGACAAAGTTATTTCGGAGAACACGAAATGATGGAAGCAACAGAGAAGTTGTTTACCAAAAAATTCATTAAGAACACTAATCCAAACGATTATGTAAATGAATTAGCCGATGCAGCTAGATTAGTAGTTCCTCAAATCCCTGAAGAAGCAATATTTTTTCTAATTCTTCATCTCTTGCCTGAAGAATTAGCCTTTGATATTAGACATGATTTGACTATTAGAACCCTAGATCGACTAATTTCCGAATTAATCATTCATAACAGTAAATGTAAATACGAAGCAAACAAATCAATTGATGAGAATTCTACTCCAATTAGAAAAAACGCTTCAACTACTTCTAGAGGTAGAAACCAGAATTCAAATTCGAATTCTTTTAACAAAAATAATCAAAATGAACGCTCCTCTTACCGATCTAGAAATCCTAATGCCTCTACTCCTAATAACAATCAACGAGTCAGAAATCAAAGTCAATCATCAACCCCAAGAAGAGACAACAATCAAAGTTATTCAAGATCACCACAAGGTCGACCACAAGGTCAAAGAAATCAACGTAGGTCATTCAACAACAACAACAATAATAATAACAACAACAACAATCAACCATCAAACAATTCTTCACCGCCGATTAATCAATCCGCACCTACACCTACAGTATATTGTTCCATTTGCATGTCAAATACTCATGCGACAGAAAATTGTTCTAGGAACATCAATATGATTCTTCCTCATGAAGCTTATATGATCAATTCACCTTTAGAACCTATCACATCTACTCCTGAAGTATTTTATAAGAGACCTCAAATCATCATTAATCTTGATCATCCTGAATATAAACAAATCACCGCACTTCTTGATTCTGGAGCTGGTATCACCGCGATGCGAAAAGATACAGCAATTAAATTAAGAATACCAGTCTATCAATCTAATCACTATTTTCTTGGTTTATCTGGAAGAGACAGACCTGTGAAAGCGACGGGTGTTACTCAATTACAATTCCAGGTGGATAATCCATATAAACAAAATCCTTTGGAGGTTTTCGTTTTCGAGGATCTCCCACAAGAATTTATTCTTGGTCGGAATTTTTGGTTTTGGTCAAATGTAAATTTGGCTGCTGTTTCCAATCATGGATGGCTACCAACTAGAAATGGGAAACCGATGAGAATTTCTCTTCGAATACCCGATTCTAGCACATTTAACTATTTATTTCACACCCAATTCCCTAAAATATATGGTCCAGCTAGAAATATTTCTCCTGAGCGCTATCAATCACCGCAAGTTTGTTCTCAACTTTTGGATCAATCATCGAATTTCACCAATCACCAAGGACCAATTCAAGCACATCAACAATCTTCTAAAAATCAACCTTTCAACTCCACTAACTCTCCTACTTATGGAAGAACAAGGTCGAACGACTATGTTCAACCAGAAGTTCCTCCCACCTCATTCTCTGATCGTAGATCAAGGTCGAACGACTTTGAACTAGCATCAGAACAACCTCAATACAACTCCCACCAATCATCAAATCAATCTACAAATCAACTTTTAACTCAAGCAACTCATCAAGCAACATATCATCATGAAGTTTTAGCAATCGACACAACAGAAGAACAGTATCAACAAATCATTCAACAATCTAAATTAGATAAAAGACGAGATGAATTTCCTGTTGAAATCAGCAATTTACAATCAACTTTAAACAATGGAATCTCAAAAGATTTAAACAATCATCAAATCTCTATAATGAAAAATTTTCTCAACAATTATCAATCAGTCTCTCTTCATAAATACGATCTTGGCTGAATACCTGCCGACGTTGTAAATATTAGAATCGATCTGGGATCTCATCCGATACCGAGATGTAATTATTTTCGTTTGGGGCCAATGAAAAGAGATATAATGGATAAAAAGATTAAAGAATTAATCAAATCTGGAATCATTGAACCATCTAATTCATATGGTGGTTCCCCTGCTTTCTTAGTTGAAAAACCTGGTAAGAAAGATTGGCGATTAGTCACCTCTTTTAAAGAGCTAAACTCACTAATGAGAACAAGAACATATCCAATGCCGAACGTGGATGACCACATTCAAGCATTAGCTGGATATAAATATTTTATCACAATCGACTTCGCACAAGGATTCCATCAGATCGAGCTTCATCAAGAAGAAAGAGAAAAAACCGCCTTTGTTACCGAAATTGGTAAATATCAATACGTGAGATTACCTATGGGACTCGCTGATTCTCCCGCCTACTTTCAACAATTTGTAAACAAAGTCTTTGGAAATTTGTTATACAAATGCTGCCTCGCTTATATAGATGATATTATCATCTTTGGAAAAACATTTGATCAACTAATTGATAATGCTAATCAAGTCTTTCAAAGAATCAAAGACATTGGTTTAAAAGTGCAACCTGACAAATGTAAATGGGGTCACAAGGAAGTTAAGTTCCTTGGACACATCATCTCTGGCGAATCTGTCCGCCCTGATCCTGAAAAAGTCGAACGTCTAAGAAACTTTCAACCGCCGAAAAATATTAAAGGACTACAAAGTCAACTTGGCCTCTTCAATTATTTATCAAATTACATTAAAAATTATTCTACTGTTGCTGCAATTTTATTCGAGTTATGTTCCAAAAAGACAAAATGGGTCTGGAACCAACATCATCAGAAAGCTTGGGAATATATAAAAAATCAATTGATAAAAGATTGTCTTTTAGTTCAATTCAATCCTGATTCTGATCATCGATTAATGGTGGACGCAAGTTCAATAGCTGTTGGAGGTATACTCATGCAAAGAGATAAAAATTCAAGTGATGAAAACGATTGGAGAGCTGTTAGTTATTTTGGCCAGAAATTAGCTAAATATCAGATTGCTTATACAACAACAGAAAAAGAATGTCTTGCTGTTGTCATTGGAGTTTTAAAATATCAACACTATTTGAGTGGTAAACATTTCGTGGTCGTGAGCGATCACTGCGCTTTATGTGCACTCCCTAAAATCAATTTTAAATGTGCAAGGTTGCATCGATGGGCAACCCTCTTATCTCAATTTGATTATAAGATCGTTTACTCAAAAGGAAGCGATCACCCTGCTGACTGTTTCTCTCGATCTTCTGAATGGAAACACAAAAGAATCGGAGAAATAGATGAAGAAGATTTTTACAAATATTTACTATTTGCCTACGAAGACAAATGTCATGTCATGGTAAATGAACCTCATGTCGGTCCTCACAGTTTACTTCATCATACCAATTGGATAGATAAAGAAACTTCAACAATTACAAATTCTGATTTAGATGATATTCAACTAATTAAAGAAACAAATCAAAAAGAACACATCATGTATGTTAGACAAATCGCTAAAGAAATTGGTGAACAAATT